GACACGACAATGCGGGGGCGGAGTCACAGAGTCACACGAAGTTAATTTTGAGAGTATTTCGGGTCGGATTGAGTGTCTTTTATGCACCTCTAACTCAGCAAGTCCACGTGACACAAAATCGAAACCTACGTACAAAACCGCAGACATTTGAAGGATTTTATAAACTTCCCTGGACAAAGACGGACAAGACAGCCCCCCCAAACAGAGGACATGTCCGGGTAAAGGAGGACATATGGTCACCCTAGTTGATTGTAGGACAACATGAAATCTTTGGTACAACCCCAATTTGGAAAGCTAGCTAGAGTACTTGAATTTGATGCCATCATCGTAGGATTAATTACATTTGAAAACTTTAATCAAGTTAACTTATCTTGACACAACAGTGTTTAAAAAAGCATGAAAGGCTTCTCTCTGTCTCTGTCGTGGAGGATAAATTTCTAACTCCTTCCATCTTGCACTCAGAAATGAGTGTTTATTTGATGTAGATGAAGGTGATATGTAGTTATGATTGATCAGTAATGTTTCATATTCCCATGTCACATTTTCCAAAATACCCAAGAAGCTCATAGAAGTTTGATAGAATCTTATTTTTACAACTTCTGCTTGTTATTTTCCAAACACACTCTACAATTCAAGCAAAGGTTAGATGAAATATTTTCTGTGTTTTCCTGATAATTTACAACATCGCATCTCCAGTTTCAATGGTGCATGAAACTACAGACCATCAGAACATATTTCTATAACGTTATAAGCAGTTATCTGAAGGACTTTTATTCTGATGGGGCTGTATCTCTTACTCTCTAAAAAAGCAGATATACCTCTGTGTATGTGCCATCATTAAACAGAAACAAACACAGCAGTGTTCAACTTCACTTAAAACTGTGTGTGTTGTAAACTGGCCTGACATTTATTCCAGATAGACTCTAAAATAAAGGCACGTTTGCCTGCATCCAACTCAGTTTTGCATTTCCCTGAATGTGCCGGAGGACAGTTCTTTTTTCATTAACACATAAGAGCAGTCAAATATTGTTTTTCAGGCACATAATGAAACAATTGTTTTCATTTCCTTTTCTTGTATGTTCTGCCCCTGTGGCAAAATAGGTTAGATTTAAAATAACAGTTGATTCAGCCCGTAAATGCACGTTACATATTATAGAAATAAGCCTTGACGTTGCAGCTGGTTGTCATTTCCAACTCAATAAGTCTCCTCTAATAAAGAGCGGAAGAACACAGTTAGAGGTAGATTGTTTTGGTCACATCTTGGCCCCTGAAATGGAAGCAAACCTGAAGGTGGCGGATGTTAGTCATTAGCGGAGCTGTGTGTCACAGAGTGGGGACTGAACATTGTCTGCCAACACTGTGACAGGTCAATAGGTCTACGCTCTCTGTGAAACATTGAGCTGCAAAAGGTCACGCTCAGGCAAAGCTAATTTTAGAGCAGTTCTGTATCTGTTACAGAGCTTTACTCCAGCGGTGAATCATCATAAAGTCACGTGGACATTTCAAAAGTGCCTTTTTAGTGTGATTTGATTATTTTGTATAGTTTTTAGTCTTTACTCTGTTATATTCCACAAAATAAGAGATTTAGATTAAAGCTGCCAAAAAAGAATTCAATTCTGAGGTGCAAAAAAATGCAGTTCCAATAGTGTCCACTAGAGGCTGGCTCCAAAAGCCAAAGAGACCCACTAGCACCCATGTTAAAATAGCATCTGTGTAAAAAAAAAAAGCCTCCATCCCTCATTTTCTCAAGCTTATGATACTTAGTTCATAATACTTGAACATGAGTATGTCCACATCACTTTGCAATTTACTTCAGTGTCACTTCCTGTACAAAAAAATCCAAATACAGTAAAAGCCGTAGACTGTGACACCATGTATTTATTCAGCTATTAAGCGAGAGCAGAGTGTAGGAGCTCAGTCGATACTTAAAGCTACTGAGATGCTTGACCCAGAGTAACTTGGTTGACGCGCTGCGCTACAGAGTTTTACCGTGAATCCATTTTGCAATTGATATCAAACACTGAACAAACATGGATAACGCTGGCAGTTAACGCCACAACGGTCAAAAACCCTCTGATTGGCTAGAAGTGCCCACAACAGTGACATGGCTTCCAAGGTAACAGGACAGCGACACCCAAGGCACACAAAGTGAACTGCAACTCATAAAATATATCACAGCAACATATCTGGCTCCTACATAGAGTGAGGGAAAATCTTAGAGTGCTTCCCCCTCCTCAAAATAAGTCACATAAGTTATCTGCCTTATATGGTGTGCTTATACATTTAACAGCCTATCATGGGACAGTAAACACACTTCAAAATGAACAAAAAAGAGGAATATCATTTACATAACTATTGCAACAGGGCCTCATTAAGTCCAATTATTTGGTCCTGAGGACCTCTTAGTTTTATTTTCTTTGTCCAATGAGGATGCTCAATTATTTTTTAGCGACCACTTCATTATATAGTTAACTTTAAACAAACAGAAGTTGTGTTTAATTTGAAATTCAGCCCCAGTGACTCATGTTTGATTCTGATGCTTTAACAAATGAGGTGCACTTTATGTTGCATTGCACCCAGATGTTGCCAAAAAAGGTGAAGGAATGTGGTGCACTCTGTGTGTGTGCCTGTTTCCCACCGTGGGCTCTCAGTGACAGTCCTTCAGATACAGGAGAGGCTGAAGTGAAGGAGATGATTGCCTTTGTAGCCGAACATCGTCCATCTGCATCTGCTTGGTTATTTGCATTTTATGAACAGTCATGCTCGGATCACAGTCTCCGGGGGAGGGGGCAGAGAATGGGAACAAGAAAATGATCCAGAGAAATGACTTTGGAGAGATATGACATGAGGGGGAATGGGAAAACTGTCAGTGTTTATCAGGTACAGCCAGGGGGGAATGTGATTATTACTGATGCACAGGCTGACATGGAAGCTTTGGCAGCTTCACAGCTCTGTTAAGAACAAAAACCTGCAACGTCAGATGATAAATACCCACTTAGAGTGAACAATGAGTCATCTTAATTGGTAATTTATCAACCATCTTTGTTGAGGTCACTCTCCCGGTAGTTCGATCTCCTGACTTCTGCCTAAATGTGATAAATCCTCAGGTGAGACGCTGGACCAAAAAAAAGGCCTACCGTGTTTAAACGAATGTGAATAATGACTTGATCATTTGTCCTGCATGGCACTGTGACAACCCTGACTCAGAAGAAGCAACATGGAGAAGTTAAAAAACCATCAATCAGAAGACAGAGTGTATTGCAAGATAGTGTTAACAAACAAATGTCAAAGAAAGATGAATGGAGGCTGATGCCATGCTGCTGATCTTGGCTGCAATGTGAGGGAGTCAGCGTGAGAGCTGGATGTGACATGTTTAAAGCACAGTCACTGTTAGGAACAGTTTGATGATTCCCTGAATTTAATCTTGGGCATTTACTGAGTCAAAATACTTAACTTTATAACAACATACATACAAAATCAAAAAATTAGAGGATAATTTCCACCTTTGCAGTCAGAGCTGCACAGTCATCTTTCCTCCTCGTCTCTGAGGAATATTCAGATCTGTCTCTGAACCCAGCTCCACAAATCACCCACAAACCTCCAAGATTTTTGCATGAAAAAATTATAAATATTATTGAATTTACATCTTGGCATGGATAGGATTTAAAGTAGTTTGGAGGGATGCTGTCACATAAATCATTTCTGTCCTCCTTTGGTAAAATAAATATTTTAAAAAATACTGATGTTTTTAGCTGGTTGCAAAATCATTGAAATTTTCATCGTGTTTCATCCAAATTTTAGCAGTAAAACTCAGGTAAGTACCCACTGGATACTAAAGTACAGCTTTAAATGCCTCTGCAGTGTCATTAAAATGCTAGTATGCTTATATGAAGAGAAGAGGCACATAGTTATCTTAAATGTTTGATTCAAATAACACAAAACTTTTTACTTGCCATATTAAATCCAAGTCTAATGTTAATTTTATTATAAAATATGCAATAACAGGCTGTGAAAAAGCCTGCCAACTGAATGAACTTTTCAATTTTCATCTTCCAAACATAATTAAGTGTTCGCTTCCATGTGCATATACATGTTTTCATTAAACCCTTTGATAATAGCTCACTGCTGTCCTTCAGAAGGACTAGAAAAAGCCATTCGACTCCCTTCCAATTAGTCTGCTGCCCTCCACGGGCTGCTGTTCCCATCAGGGCCTCCTCTGTGTCAGGGTTTTTATTTTTTGAACGGGCTGTGGGCAGAGAAACTCAAACTGTCAACCCCAACAAGGTAGAAAGATTAATTACATCTTTGCAGCACCTTTCCCACCTTTCAAATTTCCCCTGAAACTTTAAGCGTGCATGGCGTTGAATAAAAACAAAGTGAACACATGCATAATCAAAGTGAACTCCTGGCTGACAAGGCAATCATCTCATCAGGAGGAGTTCTGGTGCCACGGCACGGCCTGCACGGTTAAAGCTGTAGAGAGGAGGGAAGAAGAGCTCAGAGAAAATACGGCTGGATCATCCTTTAAACTCATAAAGCAAGACCGAGGCTTTTAAGTGTTTGGACGAGCTTTGTAGAAAATACAGTGGTTGACCTCGACATAATGAAATACAGATGAGGAAGCTTTAGACTTTATCCTGATATTTTTGGATAAAATGAAAAGTCAGTAAACATCTTTGTGGAATCTGGAAGCTTGTAACTTTGGTTGCACGTAGAGTTATCAATCAAAAGTCATTTTATTAACTTATATAGGTTATAATCAGGGGTTAAAGAAGGATAAGGTTCTTGCAGGTACTGTACTCAGGCTTTGTATAAGAGGAGCACACCCAAGTTTAACAAGGTGCCATAGTATCATCATCTGCTGCATCTCTCTGTCTCTTGATCATAAAATCAAAATTTCTCTCCATTTTGTTTTATTTCTGCTTGGAGATTGAAGCAGCTGTCTCTTTAAAATTCCCTCCTTCCGTACTGAGCGCTTCCGGAGTTTGTTTGTTTCCGGAAGCAAATATGACTCACCCGCAGGCAGCATGGTCCTAATGGATTACTACGGTTACAACGCAGAGTGCAGACTGACGCGCGGCAACACGGTAAGAAAATGTAGCCTACATACATTACAGGGGTGAAAGTTTGTGTACCGCTGCGTACCAGCTGACTTTCAGCCCTTCTTGTAATAGTCTTAAAGTGGTTCATGTGGGAATGTAGTGGGAGATGTTGCAAACAGGCCTTTATATTACAGAATGAAATTTTGACAAAAAATTGCATTAAAATGATGATAAAAAATGTTCAATCTATTTCAAGTAGTAAATTGATGCGTCCCTAATTTCTGCACATAAATGTATTTATTTTTCAGACTCTGCTTTCACACCTGTAGCTTTGTTCAGATAGAATAATAAAGTGGCACTCTTACTTTTTTAACATGTCCAAAATATTCTGATTAAGGTCCATATTCTGGTTATAGTAGTATCCCAAATACAGTTGTTAGATGTACAACAAAGAGGATATTCCAGTTTACAAATCCCTGCAAATAAACCAGTGATATGTTTCTATTTCTATTTCTATTTGTATTTCTTTATTTATCACAGATGAAAAACAGTGCAAGGAGGGAATGAAGCTGATAGACTTACACAGTTTCACTCCCGTCAGGACAGTGAAGGAACAGGGTGCAAACAACAAAGTAATTAGGACATACATGTTATAATTATACAGTGAGTAGGGAAAGCTCAAAGCTTATACAAATTATCATAAATAGAACATAGACTAATCATCAACCAGCCCAACCAGCGATAGAGACAATATAAGTATACATAACACAAAAGAAACATGAACATGACAGATAATGACATGTTTAAGACATGATTAGATGAGATTTCAATGATATTTTAAAGGATTTGAAGGATAATATTGATTTTAGAGATACATCCAGATCATTCCATAGACTGGTCCTCTAAAAGTGATACTAGACTGATGACAAGTTCGACAGAATGTAGTAGTAGTATCAACATTATACCATCAAAATATACTGCAAAACTTCCACATGCTGTGTCCACTCCAGTGCATGTAGATGTAGTAATTGTTGCATTTTCCACCACAGATTTTTTGTGTTTTTATTGCAAATTGTCATAAAGTTGTCCAAAGATGACATAATTTCAGGGCTGACTTATGCATTGTGGGAATATTTGCTCCAAGAATCCAACTAGCATTAGCCAGTTAACAAACAAAATGAGTTGAATTGGAGGGCATGAAGGTGAAATGCCTGATTGACTCTTTGGCTGATAAGCATATTTTTCATATATTTGATGCAACAAACAAAAAAACAGAAGTTTGCAAACTTGTTAGTGAGTATCATGACTTGCTTGTCCCACATCAGAGTACAATTACTGTAATTCATCTTGTCAAACAGCTGCTGTAAGACATAACAGTCAGCTAACAGGCAGTTCCCTTTGAAGGGTTGACTACATTGTTTTACTGTAATGACTCTCTCGTAACTATAAACCATGTAGAGTTTTATTTTGTCCCCTTTCTCATCCCCGTGTCCCAGATTGGGTCATAAAAGACAACTGTAAACAAGGGTCGCCCCGCGGCGGCCCTCTGCGTCTTTGTCCTGCAAAATGATGTAACGCGGCTCTAAATAAGGAAGAGCTGTTTGGACGTCTCCAAAGACACTGACTCAGAGCTTAACATGCAGGATCAGGCCTTTAGGTCAAAACGTTAAAGCTGAATATGAAAGTCTGGTTTTGAACTCACGGCTTTGTATGCAAGTTGACTGTTATCTTGTTGTGCTTGTGTAACCTTTCATACATCTGTATTAGGTCAGTCATTTTTCAGAGATTTCGTCTTGCACAGCCAGCAGAGAGGAACAGAGGAATAAAGCTGTCTGACCTTTGCTTAAAAACACAATCAGGAAGCCAGTTAGTGTAACCTGGATGTTGCAAAATGTTAACAGGGAGCGAGACATCACATTTTCACAGACAACATATTATGCAAATTGTTCATTTATCTCTTTATTATAATAATTGCCCTTAAATTGTGGCTCTTCCTCAAATTGGATAAAAGCAGTCAATCCGAATTGACTGGGGGTAAATGAAAACATTGGGGGTTTTAGCAATATATCAGCCTAAAATAACAAAGCTGTGTGATTCAGTGGCTATTGAGAACCCAACAGCTTTAATAAAATCTGAATTATGATTGGACATGAGAGCCACAGATGATTTTTTCAATGCTACATCACTCATCACAGACCAGAAAAGTCAGGATTTATGTGTTTGCCTTGCTGGTCTTGAAATCTGGGCTCTCAATGGCCAGTAAATAATACACAGTTAGGCAATTGAGTTGCTAAAGACACTGGAATCTCATTTTCTCATTTACTTCCATTCATTTGGATGACTGCTTTCACTAAAATCACTTAATAGCACCGTTTACATTGCCTGGACTTTTACAACTGATTTTTTTTCATGGATGAATAATTAAGTTTATTTTATTAAATAGGGTTTTTAGAGGTATGCACAAAAAAGACAGCCATTAAAAATGATGTAGACTCGCAGAAAGGGTTAAATACTACTGTGTCGGACATGGTAAAGCCACTCTGTAAAGATTCCTGATTTAAGCCTCTCAGGGCTGGAGTCTGGAGAAAATATATATATACACTCTCTCTCTTTAGAGTAGATGGTGTTTACATCTCCTTGTCTGCTTGGGGGTTTCACATGCTCAATGATAATGCATCTCAGGGATGACTCTCTCTGGATGGTAGGCCTCCTCTGAAGTGCACTGACACTGGGCTGCATTGGTCTTGGGTCCTAATGCAGCTCTGCAGCTCTAGTTTTTGAGACATCTTATAAAATAAATGACATTTTCAGTTGAGCAAGAGATAGTGCCTTTGTTTTTCATTGTTTTATCTGTTACTGGGTGCAGGAACCACACTGAATGTGCCTTGTGGTGGGTCAAGAAAAAGGCTGCTTTTAACAGGAACCAGGTCAGATTAATCACTCAGACTTGTGGGATGTTTGTACTCAACCTTCTAACAGAGAGTTTTCTGATTACCATTTTAAAGTCTTTAAAAACACTTCAGACCACTGTCTTTTGAAGGGTCTTTGACTTCCTGAGTCATCTTCCTAAATCTGGAGGCTTGAAGACCAACAGATCAAAATGGAGTAGCCTGATAAATTCTTTGTGGCATTTAATAAGTGTGCAGGTGTAACCTCTGTTGTTTGATCGCCCTGCACCTACCTGATGTGTCTATAAAGTTTTTAAAAACTGCTCTCCAAGCCCCTCACTTAGACATCCCATCAGTCAAATAATGACCAATTTTAAAACTCATTAAGTGACATGTCAAACGCATCAGCATTAGGTGATCACTTAGTGTTATTAGAAGTACTCTCACTGAATACTATCATCATGATAATGGTGGTTCAGACATTTACAGACGAATAAAACTCGTGATTTGATACGCAGATGGACAGTGTCTAACAGATGCCGAAGTCGTGGTTTGGCAGAGTCTGACCAGACTGTGATGTTCTTCTTCTTCTCCGACTGGACATGTTTGATCAGCTGCCGGACATTATCCCGCTCTCCCTTTTCCACTCCACAGTTCTTGGACCGCTAAATTCCACTCAATCTGCAGTGAGGTGTGAAACGCACCGTTTCCTGCGCCAGCCAGTGCGGAAATAATCCAACCTGTGCTCCAAAGATAATACCTGTCTCCTTCTGTCCCTTTTTTCTGCCCACAGTCTTGTCCCTATCGTACTCCCACATGCCTCACATACCTCAAGCTGTCAAAGCGGGGAATTTTCTCAACTTCAGGTTCATGTTTAGTCAGCTTTATGAGGAATATAAAGACCACAGAGTGCAGTGAACTGACACTGTCGGGCAGGATAGGACACCTGAGGCAGAGACAGCAAGTATGAACATGGACTATAGTGGCAGCATGTTTCCTACTTTATATTTGTTTTAATTTATTGCATGACTTTTTGATTTTGCATCTGTTTTCAAATTCCAACTGCAGAGATATCAACTACACAAATATACCCCCCATTTGTTTCTAAATTGTTCATTACTCAATAAGTTTTCTTTAACGTAATAAGCTTTTTGATGCTGGAGATTTCCTACCGTATTAAAATGCAATAATAATATCACAGAAAATGAGAAGGGCAATGGGTTGCCATCAATTTTTCAAAGTAATAAAGATTCGATGATAGCATCCAGAGATACGCTTTAACACTAATTACAACAGATTTTGTTAATGTGCATTAGGGATCATTAAGCATATTAAACAGCAAGAGTCTGTGAGGCCATTAAAAGGAGTAATTAGCATGACACTGTCAAAGTTTGACAGAGACATGCTTTAACTTTTATGAACTGAACTGAACTTTCTCTCTCTACTTTCTCTCTTGCTGTGCCTTTAAGCTATAATGAAGTAAAATATTTACTTTAGAGAACCCGTTCCATGCTCTTGTTTGGACTACATTTGTCATTTACAGTCACAACAGAATCATTTATTACTCAAATTTAAATAATGAATAGTCTATAAAAACATTATCTTAAGTTACTGCTTTAATATTTCATTATTAGTAATGCATATGCTATTTAATAGTGTCTGCATATGACCTTTAAATGTGGACAGCTAAAAAGTTTTAGAGGGTCCAGAACAAAATGGCTCCAAAGCATAGTGACAACAAAAAGAAATGGACCTTCCAAAGAGATTCTATTCAACTCTACTCCATTTTGTTCTTTTCTACACTTTTTTATTTTATTCTATTTTAATCTGTTCTTTTCTATTAAATTCTATTCTGTTCTATTATTCTCTATTCTACTCCACTCTATTCCCCTCCACTCTTTACTGTTCTTTTCTACTCTACTCTGTTCTATTTTATTCTACTCTATTCTGTTCTATTCTACTCCACTGTATTCCACTCCACTATACTCTGTTCTATTCAATTTTATTGTACTGTATTATGCTGTATTCTACGCCCCTCTATTCCACTCCACTCTATTCTATTTTATTCTTCTCTATTCTGCTCTATTCTTTCCACTTCTATTCTACTCTATTATATTCTATTCTAGTGTGTTCAATTCTACTCTATTCTATTCTACTCTGTTACGTTCTATTCTGATTTGTTCTATTCTACTCTATTATGTTCTTTTCTACTCTGTTCTATTCTGCTCCACTTTATTCTGTTCTATTTTACTCTCTATATTGCATTCTATTCTGTTTGATTCAAATCTGTCACTTTATTGTATTCTGTTCTTTTATACTCTATTCTATTCTAATTTACTCCATTCTGTTTTTATTCCATTTGGCTCTAATTTATTCTTTTCTATGCTATTCTATTTTATGCTTTTCTACTTTATTCTGTTCTATTTTACTCTGTTCTACTCTATTTTGTTCTGTTCCATTTTAATCTATTCTAATCTGTTTTAATCTATCATATTCTATTTTATTCTTACACCTACAATACAGTCCTCTTACTTTTATTTACTTTATATTTTCGTCCTCATCAGAAATTTAAACATCCTGAATATAACAGAATATGCAAATTGCTGTTGGCTCTGTAGATCTTCTCTTATGCTGCACGGTTTCCTTTGTTCTGTTTTTTTTTAATGATGGTTATTTTGGGCTGAGTATTCGGGATATGAAGCTCTTTCTATGACTTCTAAACGTTTAAGGAAGAACCCCCCCCGATAATGTGATACTTTAAGTGATTATGTTTGTACAAAGCTGCTATACTGTGTGTGTGTGTGTGAGAGAGAGAGAGAGAGAGAGAGAGAGAGAGAGAGAGAGAGAGAGAGAGAGAGAGAGAGAGAGAGAGAGAGAGAGAGAGAGAGAGAGAGAGAGAGAGAGAGAGAGAGAGAGAGAGAGAGAGAGAGAGAGAGAGAGAGAGAGAGAGAGAGAGAGAGAGAAAGAGAGTCCCAGTTCTGTCTGTGAGGCTCTTGGGATGCTCCGTAGCTCCTAGCTCTACAGATTGGAAACACTTAACCTCGGAGCAGAACATTAATGCCAAACATCTATACATGAATGGAGGTATCCGAAGATAACCAAGTGAGAGGATGCAGAAATAGGGTTTTAATTTTGTCTGAAATCAAGTGGTGCGGCTGTATCATATCTTAGTGTTTCCATTAAGCTGGCTCTGGTTCATACGGCCCTCACACCGCCTGCTGATGAAAGCCACTATCACTGCAGGAACCTCTTTAGAGCTGACAGAAACTCGAATTAATAGACATTTAATCAAATCCTACATTAAACCATTATTCAGCCTGTTATGATTTATTTATAATTCACTTAGACTTAAACATGATTCAGGTTATTTGTTTCCTCAACAGGCTGGAAGCTTAATGCTGACAGGGATGAACTTGAATTTGTCTAACCGCCTCCTAAAAGAGAGGGACCTCAGAGGTAAACTTTTTATTAAAGCCCCACAGCTGAGCAGCGGATTCTGATTCAATCTGACTTTGAGCGAGAAAAGAACCGAAATGTAGCTCAAATTGTACACACTTCTTCTCTGTTAGAGGCTTTTGTTGGAAAAGTTATTGCAGCTGAAACATATTAGAATAAAACAGTTTAAGTGCTGCCATTATTACATTTATGTTACCAGGGGAACCATGACCTTGATTGATATGAAATAGTTGAATGCAAAAAAGAAAAAGCCTTTTCTGCATCTCTGCTTAACTTAGCTGAGCTTTTTGCCTTTCCTTTATCTCCACTTATTGATTTTGCTATGCTGCATCCTACACCAAGCAGATACTACAAGCTGTGAAGAGGGATTATATCAGCTTTATAGCAACATACAGTCTCTCCAAGGCGAGTAATGGGAGCGAAAAGGACAAAACTGAATGAAAATATAAATTCACTAGACTCAGATCATAATGAAAAATGATAAAGAGTGAATCTGATGGCATTTTGCTAGTTAAGCAGCGCACAATCTGAGTGCTAAGTGAAGGATAGACCATAAAGATATTGTACTATAGGTCCCTTGATTATTCGTAGGTGTATTTCGGGTGTAATATGCTCTCACTCCTCTTTAGGGTTCCACCTGCTTACAGGTATGTTGCTATTTAGACTTCAGCTCTTCTACTTTTTTTACAATGGGCTCGAGCTGGTGCAATTTCTTTCCCTTGTTACTGTACTGAAATTCCACAGAAAACACACACATCACTGTTTGAGTTCAGGTATAGATCTTTTATCCACTGATATCCCTCGATTAGCAGAAACTAAAGACTTGCAAGTTAACAGAGACACTCTTTTATTGAATATTTAAAACTCAGGAAACTCCAACAGTATTAGACAGGATCTAATAAAAACATCATGTTTGATATTTCAAAGAAAAGGTAGGCTGTTATTTTTTATTTACTTGTTTTCATGTGACTATGCGTGTCTGATTCTGCATGTATTCGTGGGTGTGTTTGATGGAAAGATGGCGTCAGATCAGTCTAGAGTTACTATTGCAGAGTTGAAGTGAGGCAAGCATGCAAACTGACAGTGATAAAAGGGATCACACTGAGAGGGTATAAGACTGTCACACAATGTAATCGTGTAAAAATTCCCTGAAGTCATCTCTGTTTCTTCACTGGTCTTACCGAACCTATTTTTAGACGTAACATCACCGCCATTATTTTTACACTATCTTCAGTATTGACACGTCCCATTAGTACTTCATGGTGAATTGACTTTTTCCTGACTTGTGTTCATCTGTTAGTCCAGCACAAATAAAGATACGGTGCATTCTTGAAATGAGCAGACTTCATGTCTTGGCCTGAAAAGGAGGTTTACTTTTGTGCTGCATACCCAAGTCAATATACCCTGTTTGTTTATGTTTGATAGTCCACTGACAAATCTGAAGTAACAAACGAGAATCTGTCTGTGGAGATGTAGTGTGTTTGGGTCTTTTACTGCCAAGTCGCCTAATAGTTGTCTGCCAAAGATTGATGAAGTCCTTGAAGTCATCTCAACAGCTCCTTCATAAGTACAATGGCACTACATCCATTCAACAGACACTGCTCAGCTTCTTTTTTTTTTCGGCCAGACTTTATTATTTTATTTTATTTTTTAGCATGCACGGTTAGGCTAGAGGCACGCTTGACCTGCTTTAACCAGGAGTCACAAGGCTTTTCTAGTTTGGACACTTACAGAGACAATGTTACTCTAGCGTGAGTGTAAGGTCAGGTACGTAGATGAAATAATGCATTATGAGATGTTTTACTTGGGGGTTGCGGGTGTTTCAGCCTCACCATTTATTGCCCCTCATAAGAGTCTCACAGCGTGGGGGAAGAAACCGTTCAAGAACCATGTTGTGCTGTCTTGATTTCTGCCAAGTGTGTGAAAGTGAAGGGGTCCCTCACAGCATGAATGGAGGAAGTTCGACACAGAGGGGACAGAGTTAAAGGGATAGTCCAGCGTAAAATTAAGTTAGGGTCAAACACACTGTAACACCGAGTTGGACACCCTGTCCAAAGGTGAATGTTGCTTCTAACTTTAGTAACGAGTGCATAAATGTTCTTCCTTGAGCTGCGTCACCCCGCTGCAGTCGATGGACTTGCCTGGAGGTCTCTGTACAAACAAGCGGCTGCTGGGAGAGAGTGGGTAAGTTGTGTTTAGTGTCTTTGCTAAAGAAATCCGGCAAAGCTAAAAAGATGTTTGGTAGCTAGTGCTTTGGCTGGGACCCTATATGTACTGTTGATAAATTTAGGTGCTGTTCTGAGCATTATTTGTGGCTATGGAGTGGCGTTTTGGTTGAACGCGTGGCTCTCTGTATTGCTATCTGGGGTTGTTAATAAAGTTGGTATAACTGGAGAAGCAAGCAGTCGGCAACATTCATCTCTCGACAGGGTGTCTAACTCGTGTTACGTGTGATTGACCTTAAATTAATTTCACAGCGTAATTTCCCTTTAACGTCACCACCCTTTCTGACACAGACTATGAGAAAAATCAACTCAAGACGACCCCAGTTTGGTTAGTTAGTCAAGCCTCTCAATCTCGATATGCACCTTTCCTTGATAACTTTCCACAAGATGACACACATCACCGTTGGGGAGCCCACTTCAGCGCAGCATAGGAGTGTTCAAACTGTGAGAAAACCACCTGCAGAGACGATGAGGATGATAGAGAGTGTCTTCCTCCATGTCCAGCTGAAGCTGCAGGTGGGAACAGAGATAAAACGTTAAAGGTCTCAGGTGGGCGGGCTTATCTTTTATTATTCTCTTGATTATAATTCAAGGTATAAGAGGCTTGTCGGGGATGAGATCCAGTACATTGAGCAGAGTCCAGCTGTGGGATGTGGTTTTACAGTGATGAACAATATCTTGTTCGGTCAGGGGTCTTACATGGATCAAAAATGAAATGTAAAGAATGACGACGGCAGCATGATTTTTTTTTTTCCTTCCTTTTGAAGGTAATATTTGAAACTGAGATTGTATCAGGAAAGAAAAAGGGCAGTAATATACCATGGTTCAAAGTGTGCTACCTTCGAGTTATCACACCAGCGTACTCCTGTGCATGTGTGAATAAATGAGCAGACATGAATTATAAGCAGGGAAAATCTTCTTTTACTTAAAACTACCAACTTCATGGAAAAGTAGTCTACACAGCACCTATGGGTGATTATAAACCTGCTCATTCTTACAGAAGGTTTTAAGGGGCATCACAATTTGCATCGGTATTTAAATGCTGCAATAGATTAATGTAGAGAGAGCCGAGGACACAGCTTTTATCTCCTGCCAGCTTATGCTCACCTGAACTCTTTCTTAGATATAAATTAGAAGCTTCTAGAAGAGCAGGATGACGCTGACGCCTCAGGGACAACACTCAACAGTCTCACTTAGCATTCCAGGGCGAGACAGAATTTGCTTGTCGTATGTACTTTCTAACTTTGTAGAGGGAGCATCAGTGAGGTCATGGAGCTGTGAGCTGGACACCGCATTTGGCCCTCCGGGGAAGGAAAGGAACCCAGGAAGTGTGACTGCAATAAAAGGGTCATAGAGTGGTGTAAGAGTCACATTAAGGAGGTCATTCAGATGTCAAGCCAACCACCGCTCACGTGGCGTATCGATTTTAGCAGGCAGGAAGTTCTCGATTATTCTCGATTACGTGGGTAATCCTTTTATTGTTTGTGCAAAACCAAATCTAGTTCATGGCTTGTGATGCAACTGGGATGTGGCGTGAAAGGTTAATACGAAACACTGGTTATACCTGAGGTTTGAGGGGGGTTTGAAAAAGAAAGGCTAAAACTTCCATGGATGCGCTAAATAGGTGCACATGAGCAGGAGGGGTTTGAATCCCAAATCTTGTTTTAGCAGCTCAAATCCGCATTTAAATTTTTCAGCTACTACCTATAGGTTATGATGGTGAGGCTGGATTGTAGACCAATCAGCAAACTCCCCTAACCTCAGAGTCTATTTCACTCTTTGCTTCAGTGTCTGCTGCAGGTCCCAGTCTGAACAATGCAACAGAACTGCATCATCTGCAAATTCAGAGATAGAGATGGACTAGTGGTCTCAAACTAGACACCCTCTTCCAGGAGGGTGGCAGGACTTACATTAATCCCTAATATTTGGGCTGTGTTGTGCATTTTAATGTGACATATTTTGCTTTATATTATAATTTTGCATTTTTTCAGACGTTAAAGTTGTCAGCTCTAAAGATTTCAGTGGCGTCTCTGTATTGTGTAAGTTTTCAAGGATGAAATACGTTAAAGGGTTATTCCAGGGTAAAATGAATTTAAAGTCAAACACACCATAACGCCTAGCTAGTCACCCCATCAAGAGACAAATGTTGCCGACCGCTTGTTTCTCTAGGACCACACTGCAGCACTAGCCACCAAACATCTTTTTAACTTTGCCTGATTTCTTTAGCAAAGTGACTAAATACAACTCACCTACTGTCTTCCAGCAGCCGCTTGTTAGTCGCGAGACCTCGGACCAGTCCAGTACTGATTGCTGTGGAGTGACACAGCTCAAGAAAGAACATTTATGATCATTACTTTATCATTTCATTGAAGAAACAATAGCTATATTAATCATTTTGCACAGCGGACACGGTAGTTCTTTTGCCTTAGCGTCTCGGTCTGATTGCATTTCTATAAAGAAATGATCATAAATGTTCTTCCTTGGGCTGCGTCACCCCGCTGCATTCGATGATGTCCCTTTAAGTTGGACATTTTCTTGATGCCTTATTATCAGTGTTGTATGATTAATTGACATAGAAAAGGGAAAATAATTGTAATCCAAAAGTGTGTTTGTGTGCCTGCATATACTTTTTAGCACATCTGTATAAGAAAGTGCCCCTGTAGAGTTACCCCAGACAGAGAACATCCCAACACAGTCCTGAATGCACCCACTGTATTAAAGTGCTTTGAGTGCTGTGATCAGATGTCGTCAGGACTCTTGTCCTTGTCATCATTAAGAATTGACTTCCTTCAAAGCTTTCGAGACCCTGACACAGAAAAAAATCACTGCAGTGAACTAGAAAGCATATTGAATCTCAAATAACTGTTCACATTGATTTGAACATAGATATACTGTATATTTTGAACTTCTTGACATTTTTTGCAGTTTTCCATTACTGACTTTATCTTTTTTTCTGCTTTTGACAAGCTTTTATGCTCTTAGTTGTTCAGCCTCTCATGAGAGGCTCTGAAGGTTTCTCTGAAAAATAACAGAACAGTCTTCTTTTGGGTAATTGATTTATTTCTCACAGAGGCTTTCAGCTTTGAAAAAAAAAACAGGTTTTTGACAGTCCATTACCTTGGCTTTTGAATGAAGTGAGTGTTTTTTGGGAGTACTTTTCTTCTGAGTTAATGCAAGGCAAAGTAGAAATTTTACATATGCCCATGTCTGTGCTGGAATGATAGTGGAGGACTAGCAACCTGTTTATCTTACTTGACTTACAGGTTTCTCCTGCCACTTCTCAAAACAACAACAAAATGAGCTATGGGGTAACCACAGCGTCAAATTTTGAGTGCTGAGCCACTGTCTAAACTAGCAGACAAATTAGGAGTGGGACTAGAGTGGACAGGTCAAACGTAAAGTGTTTTTAGTCATCGCACCTGACAGGAAATTGAAACGTGGGCCTTGAGTGCTAAAAGGAAAGTGTCCGGTCAAGTCAGGCTAAGGCTAGTTCCTCTGGTGGTGAAGGTCAGGACACACAGAGAGAGAGAGAGAGGAACCTCAGAGAGTTTGTAAATTATGCAACACAGAAAACCATACATGAGGAGCAAGAAGGGGTTTAGAGACAGGCACTCGAAGAGACTCAGCAGTCTGTAATTTCGCCCCATTTTCCCTGAGGTGAAGTTGTCGAGTCTCTCTAGGAAACTCTGCTGACTTAGCCAAACAATTATGGCTGCTGTGAGTTCCCAGAGAAACCACAAAAACTGCAACACTAGTTTGGCTTTTGATACTCTTGGGGCTGTTTGCCATTTGCCATAATTGCTTATTTCCTTTCAGTAAGGTTTTGTAATTTATAGTTAAGCACAATGGTACCTAGAAATCTATCTTATTGAGATGCGATGACAGCATGGGCAGCGTTTGTTTCTGTAAAGCAGAATTTTATAGTGTTTTGAGTCAAAAAACAAATAGACAAAAACCACAGGCTAAATAAATGGGCTGAATTTAAATGTGACGTACAGCTTCTGGCTTGATCACTATAATTTAACCAGATGGAAAAGCCTCAGAAAGAAAAATAACTTGTCAACATGAAATGAAATATTTTCCTCAATGCTCTTCAACTGATTTTTACATCGAAGGGCTCCAGAGTCCTGCGGGGTGAATCATTCCTCTTCTACGACTCTGATGGAGACTTTCCCTCCGGATCTCGTCCTGCAGCCTCCATCCAGACAAAATATGACCAAATCTTGTTCAGATCATAGCTCCAGTTTTTGCTTTGACGTAGTCGAAAACCAAGAGACGTGAGGAGGTTTAATGACAGAGAACAAGAAACAAGTAAAAGGAAAAGTTCATCCGAGGTAAAGCCAGTGTGTTGGTACAAACGTTATGAGTGTTTCTTTAGCAAAGAGTCTAAACACAACTCACCTACTCTCTTCCAACAGCCGCTTGTTTGCAGCGAGACCATGACTAGTTGAGGGGGGTGCAGCTCAAGAAAGAATATTTGTGATAATTTCTTTCTTTATGAATAACTTCCTTCTTCCGTGTCTGCAGTGCAAAATAATAAATATGATGAATATTACTTCAAGGAAATGATAACGTAATGATCATAAATGTTCTTCCTTGAGCTGCGTCCCCCCGCCTCAGTTGATGATGGACTGGCCAAGGTCTCACTACAAACAAGCGGCTGCTGGAAGAGAGTTAGTGAGTTGTGTTTAGTCTCTTTGCTAAAGAAATCAGGCAAAGTTAAAAAGATGTTTGTGGCTAGTACTATGGCTGGGACCCCATATGTACCGTTGATGAAGTTAGGTGCTGTTCTGAGCATTATTTGTGGCTGTAGAGTGGCTCTCTGTATTGCTATCTGCAGTTGTTACTAAAGTTGATATCACTAGAGAAGCAAGCGGTCAGTAAAATTCATCTTTCGACGGGGTTTCTAACTCAGTGTAACGGTGTGTTTGACCTAACTTAATTTTACGCCGGAATATCCCTTTAACTATACACCAAAGTGTGATGATGAAGTCTTTTTAAAGTGTTCAGTGAGGAGACCAAAACTATCAAAGAGTTACTCAATCATCTTTTAATCTAAAGTCAAAGTTCTGTGCTCCTGTTTTTAAATGTGAACTTCAAATAGATTACCAGGAAAGTAAACCCTGCTATGTTAACTCTGGCTAACCATAGAAACGGTTAAAATAATAGAGTCAGAAGATTTTGATTTCTTTATCTATTTTCTCTGCAGCTGTTCCCGAAGCATTTGTTTTCATTCAGCGTGGGTGAAACTGTGTGATGATGGGATATCGCCTTATATGGGATTCAATTCGACCACCAAAGATGCTGGTTGTGGCTGACTCTCGCAGTTAAGCATGACTATTTCACAACATATTTGATCAATTTTTGTGACTGTTTCTCTGTCTTCACCCTTCTTCACTTCTTGATTTTTGTGTTACATGAAAAGAAACTGACAGAAACACTGAGGATGTGAAAAAATCACAAAACACAAAGAGAAAAGGGAAAAGAGAGAAGGCGTAGTGGCACAGTCCTTCTCCGCTCGGTCCTTTTCTGCGTCAGAGCGATATAATATCTGATACTTTCTTGCCTTTGGGCTCATGACTGTAAAACGAAGGCTTGTTTTGAAAGGCTTGCCAGTTCAAATTCAGCATTTTTAATGACTGTGCTGCACAGAACTGATGTGACAGCATGCCCTTGTTGTATATTTATATACTGTATATAGAACTTATTACCCATTTCAACATCAAGAAGAATACAGGAGCACACGTGTTACACTCATGAATACAGATCACAATAAAAAGACACTGAGCTGATGATGGTTTTTAAAATTCAAAACATTATAGCAATTTCTTCTGATGTATTAATTTTCATATGCACGCGTCATAGAGCACCAGAGTTGATTTACGGTTTCACTGTGATTAGACATATCACACTTATCCAGCTGGGTTATTTGGCACGATATGTAAATATTAAATATTCATTCACAAATATACTCCCACATCTAGCTGTGCCACGCCAAGGATCTTGGAGCTGCATCATACTGAAAGCCTGTCAGAGATAATAGAGCGCAGAGTAACAACGGCTGCATTGACATGAAGCAAAATCTGCTGGTCCACATTCGGACACAAGTCCACTGCATGGACCTTAAGGAGAAAACAGATGCACTACTTCTATTGACCCCATCCTCTTGAATATATTTATGCCTCGAGCTTAACAAGGGCGCAGAAAAGATGCTGTTTCCACCCTGGGAAATTAAGTTGTCTAATGCAAAGGTTTTAATTGCTAACAGCCACATTGCCAAAGCAGAAATCCCATTGCTCCACGAGATTGATTCTCCTTCTTCACTGGCGGTAAATCATAACACGCTCCTGAATTATTAAGTGTGATTGTGGAGGTTAAAGAGGATGCATGAGTCTAATGAAGAATTGGAAGGGTAATATTCAGGCTGATGAGGATAATTCCCAGTGGGAAGTTGTAGGGCCAGTGTGGAGTTGTTAGGACCAGTTTACAGCGACAGTAAATAGATCATATCAGTCACTAGGGATGGGTATGAGTACTTATTATACAAGCAGCATATGACACTATGACTGTTTACCATACTACAAGACAACACACCCAAATATAAGTCCGGTTTAAACTCATGTTTAAATTTATTCTTCCACCATTTTGACAAAGTTTGTTATGCAGACACAACATATGATAAAGTGTATACACCTGGACACAGTCAGTTTTTACAGCAAATATTCTGTACACGACCACTTAAAAACAGAAAAGGAATAGACTGCTTTGGGCCTCTTAGAGAATACATTCAGACAGAACCACTTTGGTCCAGAGGAGGGATTTGACCCAAGCTGCTGGCTTTAAAACATACATGGCTATGATCACCACTTTAGAAAAGTATTATTTCAAAATGAATTTAGCCAAAAACTTCAACTACATACTCTAATGAATAATATTAAACACCATGCCTTTGTCACTGTTTCACCTCTGTACATCAGCAGCTGCATTGTGTGTGTGTATGTGTGTGTGTTTCCTCTGAGCATTGGTATCTTCCTCCTCTATTACGATCCTCAGCAGACGATGATGGAAATATTTTACACAGGCTCAATACCAGCACCTGGCTGCAGTGTAAATGCCCAGAGCTATTATGTGAGTGGAAAACATGTGGCTGTCGCACTCTCATTTAACGCTGCATTACAGAATGACACACAGAGTAGCTCCCATTATTAACCACAGAGCTGCGTCTTCCTCATGCCATACATAGGCATGATTTCTAAGAATGTCCTGTGGTGCAATACTGTATATGCAAGAGTGGGACTAACTCATAAAGACATCTGACCTCTGCGCTCCATGTGAAGCCGGATACACTGTTTAATATCAGCCCAGCCATCAATTCACCCCCACTGTAACACATCCACATTTCTAGAATACTGAAAACACAAACATTCATCCCCACCTGAAAATACACTTGTACATACATGCCATGAAATATATAGAAAGCAATCAAATAATTCACCTATATTAACAAATATATACAAAGACACAGTATCTACCAATTATAAATTAACATTGTGCAAATAGTCATATAAACACACTCAAGATGATTTACCAGTAGGAGGCTTTCACTTTTTTTTATGGATGCATGCTCAGAAGCAAACGTACCGCCATTGATTTAGCTTTAAGGGTTTTGTTCTACTTTTATGGTCCAGAGTTTTGTTCTCGGTGTCTGCACTACACGCCCTTGCAGAAACAGAATGAGGCTAAATGTCTGCAGAGTAAGGAGTAGTCATCAGGAAAGGCTCCAGAGATCACGCATTAGATAAACACTTTCATGATGTATGGCAAGAAGCCTCACATAGATGATCACTGACTTCATACTAGTATGGATGATGTGACTCATCCCCCCCTGAAAAAAGTGAAGCCAAAACACAGCCATTACACAGGCGTAGAAATGATCTGGTTGGTGGAGCTGCAGGTTTGACGTCACACCTTTTCAACTATCCTCATATTGAACTTCCAGGTAAAAGAGCAAATACCTCTCAGATCAGATTACAGCAAAATCGATACTTGGATTTATTTGGAGGAGACACTTCTCTGTTTATTTATAGATCTACAGTATACATAACTTTGTATGATGATCAGTGTGCTCAATTTGAGTGCCGACAGTTGATGTCACCCTGTGTTATATGGCATTATAAGGGATAACCATAGCCTGAAATGACCGCCTTTTTCTCACAAAACTTCATCTTCATTCTCATAAAAATTACAACATCAATGTCAACATTTTACAACTTCTTCTTGTAAATTTACAACTTTTTACCTTTTAATTTACAACTCTTCTTTTGTCAATTTAACCACTGTAATCTCATAAATGTAAAACTTTTCCCTTACAAGTTTTTTTTCCTTATACATGTTTATTCTTATTTCTGTGACGTTTAAGTTTCATTCCCATCAAAATACAACTTTTTCTCTTAAAACCATTTTTTTCTGGTATCAATACGACTTCATTATCTTAATATTACAACTTTTTTCTCATACATTTATGACTCTTTTCTTGTAAATTTACAACTTTTTAATTTAAAACTCTTCTTTTGTAAATTTTAACACTGTCATCTCATAAATGTAAAACTTTTCCCTTACAAGTTTTTTTCTTATGTTTATTCTTATTCCTGTGAAGTTTTAGCTTTATTCCTGTCAAAATACACCTATTCTATTAAAACCTTTTTTCTGGTATAAATACAACTTTATTATCATGACATAAGAACTTTTTTCTCATATATTTATGACTCTTTTCTTGTAAATTTTTGGCTTTGATCCCCTACAACTTTTTACAAATTACAACTTATCTATTGTAATATTATAACTCTAGTCTCACAAATATATATCTTTATGTAAATATATTCACTTTGACCCGAACTATCTGATCCACTAACTACTACGATTTAAAAAGAAGAAATACTGATATTCAAATTTAACAGTTTGACTAATTTTCCATCTACTACAATACAAGAGAAAAGATCGTGACCTTAAATGCTGCAAGTCACCAGGGGGAGCTCTAAAAGTTTTGGCTTCACTTTGGGGGAGCTGTTGTCTCATCCATGTTTTATAAACTCTGCAGAACTTTTGCATCAAGCTCAATAAATCTGTCTGTCCGTCTGCACGACTACCTGTAGTTAACATCTCTGCAACACCTTTATTCTGCAGATGTTATTTTCAAGTCACAGGGTTGGCTTCATACATTATGAATGTTTGCCTTCTACATGTATTTTTATTCTCGATATCAGTGCAAGGTTCCCCCTTTCAGCTCTACTGGATGAGGCTGCTGCTGTCTGGAGGTTCATAAATTATGCCCAGGCCTCTGAGTCAGACAGCATTTCAATGGCGGATGATGGAGAAACACATTTAATGGCACACATTTAAATGCATCTCATCCCTTGAATACCAACTTGGCACATTAAACCTTAGCCAAAAGCAGTACCCAAGGTTTAGACACATCTAAAGATGATATATCTATATTTTTAAAGACCCCCTGCGAGTGAGTCAAGTGCTGATCATTTTCGTCTAATCATAATTCATCCTAAACCATCTGTTGACCTTTTTTAAAGGCTGTTTGTAAGCCAGAAATGTCTGAATGTGAGCAGCTGCCGGTTACCATTAAACCCTGAACAACACTGTGGTCACCTTACTGTATAAAGTAACAGATATTTCTTTGTTTTCTGCACATTTTCAAAAAAAATCTGACAAAAATGGACAGATATCAGAGCACGGCAGCAAAAAAAATCCTCTGTCCCCTTGTGTGTTTTTTGTTTTACTTGCTTTTGTATGAAGTTTAATGTCCAATCTGCTTTGAACCTCCAGTACCACAAAACACAGATTCGATACACGACACAAATTAAAGTAGAGGCTCAAGCAAGGACCCTGTGTCTTTTTTTTGTTTCTGTTGCTTTTTGAGGTTGAAGGTTTTCTTAGTATTGTACACATCCTCTCTGCCTCAAGTTGCTGCTGTTGCACTGCCCAGTGTGCAGCAGGCTCTTTTTCACCGTCTGACAAACATCTACAGATATCCATTCACAAGGCTCACAGCACATTAGACACCTCAGCGTGGGTGTCTGCCACATCTCTCTCCATGTTCAGGCTGTGGAAGGGGGCTGAGTGTCTCCCAGTGGCACTGATCTGAGGCAAAGGCCGCTCTGACAGATGACTCTATCAGCCCATCTCCTCACAGCCACACAGAGCCAGACGAGAGCTCAGGGCCCTCCGACTTCTTTCGTCAAGTTGTAATTCCCAGCACATTTCACAGATCGCTCTCCTTGTCTTTTGGAGCCTCATAGTTCTGCACCTTGTCTGTGAGGCCGATCTCCTCCGTTAGAGTGCTGTTACTGATGGTCCCCTCACTCCCACACTTGCCCTCCCCTTTGCTGTCTATCATACCGTTGTGGCATCCAGCCACGAGCATGAGCGTCTCCTCCGGGCTGCAGACCGGCGTAGTGTTCTTGGCAATGTCTGGGAGATGAGGCAGCCGAGAGACGTGGTTCAGCAGGCTTCCTGTCTTTGTGTTGGGGGTATTGCTGTAGGTGTGGCGGTATTCCTCTTCGATGTTCCTCCCCAGCTTCCAGCGCTTCCACGTCTTCAGGATCTCAGACTGCACCTGAGGGGAAAAGGTAGATGTTACGAGTATGATGACAGGGGGGAAGGCAGAGGCTGAAAAATGAGTGTTTGTGGTGTAAACATGGAGACTCACTTCTTTGTTGACAAAGCAGTACAAGATGGCCACCAAGAGACCCTGCAGAGGAAACCAGCAATGAATCAGCTCTTAACTCAGACTATGGACCAATCCCAAACCGACCCCTGCACACTTGCCATTCGATACCGAGTGTCACTTGTAATGAAGTTTCACTTGCAGCTGTGGAGTGCACCTCAAATGAAATCGGAGGGTATAAACAAGACATGCGGGTAAAGGACGCCCTTCCCACTCCATCGGAAAATGGAAACATTTATCGCCATAGCAACAGAAAGACGCATCCTGTGCATGGCAGCGTTTCTGTTTTAAGTAAACAGGCATCATGTACAGCTTCATTCATCGGCCAATCAGGTAGCTTTGTTCCTGAATTTTTTTTAAGCGGCACCAGATAGGGTTGAGTTTGACGGCTACATGTGGACACAGATATTTTTGAGAACTAACACGTGCGGACAGATACATTCATTTAGACGGGAGTACAAAAATATCCTGATAAATAAATATCTATATACGTGTAGTCCGGGCCTAAGTTTCTTCCGTATATTATTCTATACATGATACTTTTATGTCTGCATGACTGTTCTCTCTCTCTCTCTCTCTCTCTCTCTGGGGGTCTAATGATTTCCTCCTCCGTCCCTTACTCTCTTCATCAAGCGAGTCCCCTGTTGTTTAGTAGTAATCAAAACACACGCTATCCATGTTCCAGTAGCTAAAAGGTCACCATCGTTGTCACAGTGTGAAACAGCAGATTAGCAGCACAAACAGCTTTGTAACGTTAATGTAAATCTTCCTGACACGTTCATTAATTCTTCAAGACCTTTTCACAAAGTCCAACCTGGAAAGAGGAGAAGAAGAGGTCGATGAAGAGTTTGGTGAGACGCAGACCGATGGTCGCCTTGGTGGACTCGTCTGTGACGAAGATGAAGACCACCTGATGGATACCCAGCAGAGGGATCAGGGTCAGAGTCGACTTAGCCAACCTACGATCACAAGATAGGAGGCAAAGAGAGAGACAACGCTGAGTAAATGGAGAGGAGAAAGAATAATGTGAAAAGAAAATCTGTTTCAGGGTTTGATCTCACCTAAATTTGTAATCTGTGTATCTCATTTGATGAGCTCGAAGCTTGGACACGAGAATTTTGATGATATGGATAAAGATCAGAAAGTTAATCTGTGGAAGACAGAGACAGTGGAGTTGACAAAGGTCAGTCAAGCCAAAATAATTTGCTTATACAAAATATAAGCTGTAAAGATAAACACCAACAATATAGAAGCTCTAAGCAGATGGACATCTATAAATTTAGTTTCTCTGTTTCTAGTGATAATTTCTTCATTTCACTTGTTTTCTCCAGTATTGACTTATCATCAGATGGTCATAGTTTGTGTTCCCAGAGTTGAAAAAGCACAAAACAAACACAGACATTGGCTAATCTTTCCTTATTAGAGTGTAGGCAAAAGAAACATGGCGTGGTCCGGCACGGTGGCCTTTTGCTCACCAGAAAAATATCTTGTTATCATGAGAAATCAAGCTTTGTTATCTCAGTAAAATATGAATAAATTATAGAAGTACAGCAGGGGTGTGCCTAGACTATTTAGACTGGGGTGGCCAAGGCAAGGGGGGGTATTTAGTACACACATTATGATAGTAATTTATCCTTCTTTTCCTGTCTGATCATACCGACTGTACTACCAACAAAGTTCAATACGGACATAATATTTCGGTCAAAAATGTCAACTTTAAAGAATAAAAATACAGACCGGTCATATATCAGTTTTATAAATTAAAATCTAAAGCTTTTAAAAAAATCAAAAAGAATATTTTTGTCCTCAGTCACAATTCTGCCAAAAATAAATCTGAATTATTCCATCATAAAATGGTAACAATAAGTATTTTGGCGAGACAGTTAGCTTGTTTTCACAAAACCATCATAGTATAGGACGTTGGGTTAGCTCTGAAGATAGCCAATCAGATTTCAAAGGTGGCCCATTTCACGATATTCATTTATTATTAGCTGTCTTGTCATATTTGAAAAGCATTTATGTATTACTGTAGAAACAGTAAGAGATACATGTACACAGTAAGTGTTTATAACTATAGTTTTCTACTGTGACGAGCCCGAACTTGGGATTAGGATAAAGAAGGAAACATGGAAATGGGAACCAGCCGCCCAGTCTCTGCTAGGACTCAAACACAGGAATTCCTGTGAGATACAGGCCACTTAGCAGTACGATTAATGCACGGAAAATGCCGGGATGTCTGTGTTAGTGGCCTGACACAAGAGCCATGACAAATTGCACTTATATAAAGCTCAGAAGTGACTCCAGCTGAGCACACCCACAGCATGGATATGAGTTAGCTCTGCTGTTTGGGTGGGTAAAAGTAATCCAAATTTCTTTGGTCTGAAACCTTTGACTGTAGAGATGTTTCCCTCGTGTTGGGCCGGAAGCACAGACAGCCTTTTATACTTCATAAATAAATTAGTTAAGTTTAATATTTCAAAATGAATGAACGGGGAAAAAATTTCTGGGGGGAAAAAAGTGAAAAAAGGCTGAAGTGGTGGATTAAACTGTAATGCAGCCATAAACTATTAAAACAGCTTCTATGATGCCTGTGTACAAATGCGGAAGCACAAAAGAAAGTCATGCAAAAAACCTCAAACAGTCACTTTACAGTTTACAGCAATCTCTCTCTGCAACCACAGATATTACGTTCACAAGATCTTGATGTTCGGACAATATAAAATAACCCAAAGCCTCTGGCCTCAGCTGGGAAAAGCAACAAGAGCGGTAACAAAGTGAGACGAAGGAAGGTGACATTACCACAACTGCCAGCAGTATCGGGGAACGGATTATCCACCAATAGTTCATGTTTATGTTTTGCTCCCAGCACCTGAAAAAGAAAAGCAGTGAGAGACGATCAAATAAAAGAAACGCCTCACACGCTTTTTAACAAGACTCGCTCTGTAGCTCCTCAAGGCTGAAGTGTTTTAAGACTAAAAGAAAGGCTGTCCACTCCCAAATGTTGGTCACAGCCGATAGATTACAAGAAACAGAGAAATGAGATGGAGAAACTTACTCTTGGTTTTCATACAGGTATTTAGCTGCGACCCAGGGCACGAGGAATATTAAAGGAGCACCTGTAGAGAAATGAGAGTTGTCTAAATGCAAAACAGTCTTAATGTTCACCAGCGTAACAGCCTTTTACATTACTTAATAAACACCTGAAAGACAGCTCACCCCAGCCGATGCACAGGTAGATCTTAAAGTAGTTCCTCTCCGTAAACACTGTGATGACCAGGAGGTTGTGGAGGTAGATGCCCTCCACCAGCAGCCAATAGCTGTTCGCCATAATGCTGTACTGCATCATTACCACGGCGATGCGGCAGCTGATGGTCGTCTGCAAGACAGGGGTGTCGTGTTAACCATCATTTAGACGTGAGCGATCAGTGCTGCAGCAGATGGAAGCTCCTGTTTTGGTCCACAGTCATGAGAGAGATGCACTCGCTCTGTGACCTCCAACACAAACAGAAGAACTCTTAACATCGACTTGGCTTTCGGCTGAGTATTCTCAAGAGTTTTCTCACAGAGTTTGTTGTCGAAGACATACCTCCCGTACAAACGGTTGACTCTGCTGCTTTAAGAAAACTAATAAGTCAAATAAAACTAATAAGTTGAGACAACGGCAGCAGACATTGATAAGAGTATTAGATGCAGTTACTAAAGTGGTGTGCACACATAAGGATTTTTTATCTGTTACAGACCCCACACATGAAGATAAAAAATCAGTTTTGATCGTACTCCGTGTGGTGTGCTCCGATAATCTCAACACAGCACACCACACACAAAATGATTCTGTTCCACCACAGATCTAGAATCTAGTCCTCCAAGACAGAAATCTTGCGTGATAAAACGTGATCTAACAAAAGCGAAGAAGAAGAAACATAGCAACAACCGGGAAACACAAGACGCAAACATGGAAGAGGACACACAGGAGGAGGATTGATGGTGGTTTTGGGAGTATTTTCGACAGAAAAATCCTGTATTAAAAAAAGAAAAGACTGGAAAAAATCCTGGAGACAGCGTGAACGCGGACTTTATAGTCTACTGAGCGAGCTAGAGGTTGTTCCTTGTTCCTCAGTCAGCTCGCTTCTTGATTGGCTACATTCCATTTCACGTGACAATCCACGGAATCGTGACTCGGGAGTCGTCGGCTTTCCCAACATCCATGAAGATTTTTGGTCGTAAATATTGAACAAGTTTAATATTTACGATTGTCAGCCCCGACCCGTTTCATAACCAATTATCGGGACAAATTCACTCTTAATACACCTCAGACCACAGGAAAATCTTATAGGATGATCTTAGGAGACATAAGATAATCTTCCGATTGTCGTTCTTGGACGGGAGGTGGAAAATCGGGACAAAAACAGCCTGATTATCTTTATGTGTGTACCCCGCTTTAGTAAATCACTGCCCTTCATAGCTCCGTGTTCGAACATGACTGACCTCGTTGTTGACCAGCAGCTCCACCGGAGGCATGGATGCCTCTGGGAATCCCGGCTCCTGGTCTCTGCCGAGGTCATGTGACGTGATGTTAGCCTCCAAAAGAGCGTCTTTGATGAGGATCGAGAGAGCTCGCAGGATGAAGGAGGCAAACAGGTTCATGTGGATGTTGTTCCTCATGCAATGAAGTTTCCTGACAAACGAGAAGCAGTTGTGGTCACTCAAAGATATACCGCTGATATAAAAGGTTTGAAATGTAGGGAAACAAGTGTTTTTCCAGGATTAAATAGAGGGTATAGTACTCTGACCAGCAGCAAAAACACCAGAACGTCTAAAGCAGAGTTACTCAACTGTTCTTTTCATAAAGTCACACAAATGTCAAAGTGTCAAAGGGCTATTTAACGGGGCCAGATAATGCCCTGGACTTTCTCCTGACCAGGAGCAGTTGCCAGGCAACAAGTAAATGCTCCAAGAGTTACTGCTAAGTGAAATTTAACACTGAACAAAGGTGTGAGGAAATGAACGTTAGCGTTGTTTGAAGTTTGATTTTGTTAGCTTAGATTAGAGTTTTGTCTTTGTGTGAAGATCAACTAAATAAATTTGCTTATTAAAAACCATCCTTACCTGAAGAATATGAGGATGCCGAGAGCCAACACCAAAGCCACCAGAGATAAGGAATAACCAACTGTGTACATGATCCGAATATGGCCATAATACTGCTGTAAATGACACACAAACACATTTAATATACATTTATGTCTTTCTCATACACTTAAATAAATTAAAACAGCAATTTTCATGTTACATTTGCACTTTTAAAATTAGATTAAATATAAATTAATCTACTTTGAATGCATGTATTGGTTATAGAGGGAGAAAAGAGCAATACTTCTTACCTGACTTGGGTCGCTGGAGTCACATTCGCTGGTATTCTTCATCATCAGCCACTGGCCATTCGCATCACACTCCTGATACACCATGCCATGCTTAACTACACAAACACACACCAATAATCACACACACTGTCTTTGTCTGCAGAATAGTAAGACAAACAGCACATCCACTTGTTGCATCTATTACCTTTATGGTACCAGGGCAGGTACCATGGACACGACACGCTGACAGTGGTGTTAGGAAGTCCATCAGGCCAACATGCGTATTTGTCAAAAGTCCTGTTGCACACAAGGCCTGAGGGGAGACGACATGACATATGGGTGAGAATTTGCATAAAATCACAGCCCAGGAGTTCAGTCCTAAAACGTGGTCTGTCCTCCTACCTTTATGCCTGATAATTTACTCTCTCACTCAGGGAAAAAGGTGCATGAGTGCTCCAGAGTGCTTTGATTTATGTGCGCTATGTGTGCGCGCTGTTTAGGAAGTCAGAGAAGTGCAAAGTTTTCTGACTGTAATTTACAAGCAAGCAGGCTGTACAGCAGCTCAAGTGCCACTTTTGCCATGTAGTTAAACACTCTGTCGATGGAGCAAACCGGAGCCAGTTTTCTCTTCAAGTGTGAGAAAAAGCAGAGAGTGTGTTGTGGCAAATAGGAAACCGGGGAGCAGCAAGCCGAGGGATTATATCAGGTTTGAGCAGGGAGTACAAACTGCGGTCCAACATGGTCTGGTGAAAAATGCCGGTCGAGCATCTTTTAGTGCTTTGTTTCAGATTTATAGTATGACGGCTCACTTATTGGGTTTACTCTCATAGTTTTGCCAACTGCAGACGGATGTTTTCAAGGCTCTTATGAACCCACAGCAAAAAATATCGAGTTTTAAACAGTAACCAAATAAATAAGAGACAAAAACTGAGGTAGAAATGTGAATATTAATAAAAAGACATGAGCTACGAAAGTGTTGTCAAATTTATTTTTCAGACAAATTTAAAAGTTAATGATCAGTCACTAAATGTGTTTTCATTCTGCCCTGGAATTGAACTGACAAGGACAGAGACATCTTGCAACCTCTTGTTCTTTGCCAAGAAAGATAAGTGGGAAACAGCAACCGGAAAAGCAACAGGCAAACAAAACACATCCAAATAAGTGACTGAGCAGTGAAACATCATGCACATGCAAAATAGAGACGAGGAAAACAGTGTAATGGGGTCAGGTTGTAAATTTCTTTGCTTGCCTGCAAGATCTGTAAACTGGAACTTGCGTATCATGCGAGCACATCAGTGCATGACCTACTCTTTTTAGAGCAAGTCATGCAGAATGTAGAGAGAACAACATGTTGGACGGGACATAACCTGTGACTTTCAATGAAAAGGTCTGAAGATACCATCACACTAGGTTAGTTTGACATCGTCAGTACCTTACATTTTTTTCCATCTTTTCTTTATATAATTATTTTGTTGATGTTTTTATCCTTTTTTCTTTCTCCTTATGCTGGTTGAGTGTGTAAAAATGGACATAGTGATCAGATTCTAGTCTGAAATGATCAAGCAGTGCAATATTTTGTAAATATATCTAATATCTATATTACTGTTGTAATTTTGCAGGATTAATTATCACCTGATCGTAAAGCTTCGCCATATTTTACATGGTTTCTGCTGCTGTTGGTTGAGCAACAGGAGTTAACAGCTGTCAATCTATAAGAAGAAGAGCTTTTCTCTGATTGGCTACTGGAAGTGTGAAGGTCATATCTACACTGATATTTTGGTTTGTATGGACGTTATGGTCACCTGGTTAAAATTCACCTGACAACCGTGTGGACTATACTTTTCAAATTTAAGACACAACTTTGGCATAGCTGGTGCAACAGACCGCAGATGTCCAATAAAGTGAATTAATCCTTCTTTATCTGCCATCCTCTTGTCGTGCACTGATAAACCGAAAATTCACAGATGCCGAAATTTACGACAATTATCTATAAATAGATGTTGGTTTTGGATGAGTGTAGGTAGGCTATGGTCTCATGTCCCTTTAAGACGCTTTCCTATGTCAGAGACGTGACTCCACCCCATCCAGTCCATAACAAAGAGGGAAAGACAGGTGAGGAGATGGAGGACGGTTCAAAAGTTGTAGAAGCAGAAGAAGTAGTTATCATTTGTGGAGTAGTTATCGTCCATTTATCGTTATCGAGGTGAACTGCTCTATATATAGTGATATTGATTTGAGGCCATATTGCCCAGCCCTATTGTGAATAACCCATCAGCAGTGGATGCTCTGCTCACCGGTGTTCGGTGGGTCTCGGCTGTTGTTGCGATCACACTCCTCCATGTACAGCGTCCAACTCTCCTTCAGCTTGACCAGAGTAGCGGTTGGAGACACCTAAGAAAGCAGTGAATTATACCGTATAAGAGGGACATGTAACAAAAGGTCACACTAACAGGCATTTTGATTGTTTATAATTATCCGTGTCGTGTTCATAGATTTGAAAGAAACACGAAAAGATGTTCTGTAACAGCTGACTTGGCAAGGTTATATATCTTTTCAGCTCAGATACAGGAGCTGTAAACAACCTGACCTTAAGCTGGGGATATTATCCGTCAAGATGACACTGTTTCGCACTCTTACGTGCCGTGTGTAAGAGGGAGTTCATGCTACTGTTCAGATGCTGTGACACTCATTAAAAGGAAGAAGAAAAAAACAGGACAGTTTGTTTAAGTTCAGCACTCTCTGGCTTCTTTCAGCAGAGCTCAAGGAACAACACCCACCCCCACACTTTAAAGGCCACTGACAAAGTTCAATGACTTGCATGCTGGCTGTCTACTTCAGGGAGAAAGTGTGTACATACTCTTTATATGTGTGTGTGTGTGCGTGCTACCTGGACCCACCTGGATGCTGCAGGAGAAAATAAGCATTGCCAAAAGGAAGAACAGCCGGGACATCCCTTATTCCTGCTTGGAGCGGATACTGCCGGACGGGGAAGGGTTTTCACCTCATAAGGGGGCTTATCTACGCTCGCCACACTGCCTGGATGACACAGAGACACACAATCGATCAAAGCTCATTGCAAACACAACTCGCTACCTTGGTTCAACTTGGCTGAGTGAAACAAAAGGGACCAAAACAGGAAAAGGGCTGGGTTATATACATCACTGTAACACGGAGATTTAAAAGCAGCAAAAGTGACTAAGTCTTGAAACTTTAAGTGGATTTGGATATTACAAAGAGAGATGTTCAATTGAAGCCTTCTGAGCAAATAACGGCGCTGTTATCTGACTGATGCAAACCTAGACTGTCCGGAACATCAAACAGAGAAACAAAAACATCCAGGAAACGCTGTTTGTCCCATCTGTGAGACACCTGCGGCTCAGCACAGCTGCACCCACTCAGTAGGTCACAGTCGGCAGCTGTCCCACTTCATCGTCTCTGTCAGCGTCTGAGTGTGTCAGAGTGTGCCAGAGGTTACTCACCTGCACGTGTCCTGAGAGAATCCGCCCGAGAGATTAGGACGAAGCCGGAGAACGGAACGAAATCTGAAACGTTTCTGCAAAAAACACCTTGACCATGGAAACATTTTTGGCTAAAACGTTTCAAATTCCACTCTGTTCTAGTCTCTAGTGTCTCATCTCGGGTTAGGAGGAAGGAGGAGGTTGTGCTATTGGGATTCCTTCCTCGTACCATATGATACATGTTGAAAAGATAAGAGCACAATGTAGCATGACTGATGTATACTGCGTATTATATAAGCGCTTAAGTCGTCTTTTCCTCCTCTGCTTGAATGAAAGAATATGTCAACAAGCTTTTCAAGTCTGAGCCACCGTAAGTCACAACCTAAAGGTCCGGCCTGTAGTAAATGAAGCAAGCTTTCAGATAATATCAACAGCTAAGAGCCATATTTTCTAAATGGCCTGTTCAGTGTAATGAGCACAGGATGCAGCGAGCATTAGCTTTAGTACAGACTGACTGATTGCTCGGGCGCCTGAGGGATCAAAGCTCCTCTTGTCTGGTCTGACATCAGGTCACAGCTGGTTCAGCTGAGATCACAGCACCGACTCTTTTCCCCTTAACATTATCGGACAAGTTGAAGTCACAAATCTATTATTGTTTTCACAAACATTAGTGGTGTGAAACTGTAGACGTGTCTCTGGTTTGTCTTTATTTGAAGCCGGCTTTGATTCAACAACTCAAGGATCTGTCGTGGGTTATTCATACATTCAGAGCACATGTTCAACGAAGACATAAACCACTGGTAAAGCACTCGGAAAGCGCAGACCTCCGCCAAGCAGCTCATGTCCCCCTTATATTGTGATTCACACCAAAACTTTTACTGTTACGTGTCTTTTTTATTAACTTTTATTTGTGTTTAAACTGGTATGTTCACTGTTCATAATGTTCCTAAAACAAGAAATGCCCTGACCCGAATTCGAACCTAGGACCTTCTTACTGTGAGGTGACAGTGCTAACCACTACACCACTGTGCCGCCTGTCTATACCACTGTGCCGACCATTGGTTATCTTTCAGCATTGAAAATTCCAACGACACCCTTATTTTTGTGTGTTCTGGATCAACCTTTGATACCTCATAAAACTCATTGAGATCCTTTTGTGTCATTTTTAACTAAGGACTCTTTTTTATTTTCATTTTTATAGAGTTAAATGCAAAAATTCCAAAATTTGCCCTATCTCACAATGATAAAGAATCCTTCAAAAAATTCCTCGATCCAGAAGGTGATCCGGATCACCACCGAAATGTAATGGGATCCTCCTGGGGCTGAGACGCACCTCTGGTGAAAATTTCAGGTCAATCCGTCTGTAACTTTCTCCGTAAAGTTGTTCACAGACAAACAAACAAACAAACTAACAAACCAACGCTACCGAAAACTAAAAATAACAGCCAAACTTCGTCTTAATCTCTTCATCTGCACTTTGTACGTGGGTTCTTACCAGAAAAGGTGCCCTAGCATTACGCAGGTGGAGAGAAGACACTCATCCATGTGGGTGAGCACATGCTTTTGCTTACTGTGTGTGACAGTTTTGCAAGGGTTTCCCTCGCCCTCTCCCTCCCCCCTCTCCTTTCCCACGAACACATAAAGTGACTCATTTCCCACCATAGCAGCCAGCCTGCTCCACTTTCTGCAACTTTGCACCAAGTCGGAGCAATGATTAACCTGGCTCAGTGCAGGACTGTAGGAGAGATTATGAAAGAAAGCCACACAGACAGAGCGAATGATGGAGTGGGAGAGGAGGATAGAGAAAGGGCAGCACTGTGGCCCCTGACCCCGTTTTTAAGCGCTAACATTCATAACATCAAACATTATCTTTAGGTGTCGGGTAAGTCCTAAAAACACAGATCAAACAAAGGTCCCTTTGTGAGCAAAACTGAGATATGTTCCCAACAGGAGTGCAGGATTATCCGACCCAAATTGGTTACAGATAATGTCAAAGGTACAAGAGCACAGGTCAGCGGAGCTCTGATGTACAACTCGGTTGATGGCACAACCCTAAAGTTACAACCCGGGTCTCTGCGGTTTAACAGCTTATTCCACTTACTGTGCTCGCTGCTTTCAGTCTCACAAAACTCTCATGCTGACCTTTTAACTTTGAGGAAAGCACAATTCACTTGGATGGCTTACGGAGAGAAAACAACATGCTAGGAATCAAGAAAGGTGAAAAGGTGGACTCTACCTGAAAAAAGGAAAACTATACGATACTGTGATTTTCTCTTTTTTTAAAGAAAAGAGATTAAATCCAATGACAAAGACAATCTTACATCTTGATATAACAGACAAAACTAGTTCTAAAATGTTGCGTTAGGAAGCAAATTTCACAGACCCAAATAATAAACATTTTCAGTACGACAACTTAGCCAAGTCTATGGCACCTACAGGCTAATTTAAAAAGGTTTACAACCACATCTTGTGGCTTGGATGGCCTTTGGGACATGGTTAATAGTATGTTTTTTCTTTACAGGATTTCATGAGGTACTTGTCAAGAGTATTACCCACACAGGATCTCAATAAGCTCTGCCCCTTGGGAAACCAGCTAGAGAACCAGCAGACGCAGACTACCATCTGCTGCAGACGGGTCAACTCCACCGTGTGATTTAGCTGATTTAACAAAAGCCTGACCTTAACATTTATACTGGAACAGGTGTTTGCGTTATTTGAAACTTTTCAGCGCTTCACTCTGCCTCCAGAAAGCCGGTTTGTTTTTGCACTTACTGCAGACTTGACACATTTCTGGTGCTCCAATTGCAGTGCACCGATCAGCTGGTCAAGAGGTTTTTAAAATAACAAAATAACAAACTACAAAATGTGTGATTCTGACAGTCGTGATGACTCGCCTTTTACTGTGGACAAGAGAGGAATAAAAAGACCAAAGGGAAAGAGACTCTCTATGATAAGAGCATCCAGCTGGTGGTGCAGGAGCGGAGTGTGAACAGTGAGCCTATACTTAAAGCTCCTGTGGGGAACTTTTTACGTGTCAATTTTGGCGCCCCCTATGGACAATACAGTTTTTTTTATCTCATTCTACCTGCTTTGGTAGTGTCCTCTGACAAAGCATGAATCCTGCTGGCTTATGACAGTTGAAATTATCCTTTATTGTGACTGTTTTACATGGAAATTGTAGAAAGAAAAAAAAAACAAGGCAGTTTTAGCTGGCACCTACCACCTCGCCCCCTATAAAACTTCTTTAGAGTAGCTTTAAACAAGAACCGTCAATGCAAAGTAAGAGGATATCATAAGACTGTTTTTAACTGTAAACAAAACCTTCAGTGGCTTTCACAGAGGAAGGGCAAGAGCAGTAAAAGGATGTTTTGAATTTCTCTCATTTATATTTTAACTCAACAGCTCACTCTGAGTCCTCAAATAATAATAATTAATGTCATCTTGAATTCCTCAATCTCAAACCTTTGACATCAACACCTTTCTTCTCCTCTTGTTAAGATTCTACTAATTAAAATCAGTCTCACATCACATGTTTGGCAGTTTTCTGCTCCAGTTCATGTTGTATTTGCATATTAGTAGACATAAAATAATAATAATAACAATAATAATACATTTTATTTGTATAGCTCTTTTTACAGGAGCTCAAAGACACTTTACAGAAAGTTAAAAAAACAACAAAAATACAATGAGGCAAGGATTAATAGTAACAAGCTAAAAATAAGATAAAATCGAATCGGATGTGTTCAGGGAGGCTGAGGCCCGGTCCCCCAGGGTACGGTGCTTGGTTTTGGCTGGGGGTGAGAGGAGGTTTGCGTCAGCTGAGCGGGGTGATGTGGTCGAATGGGCGGGTGCGGGTGAGAAGTCTGGCGGCGGAGTTCTGAATGTGTTGCAGTTTGCTGAGGGTGGTGGAGAGGAGACCGTAGAAGAGGCTATTGCAGTAGTCCAGGCTGGTGGTGATGAAAGCGTGTATTAAGGTTTCGGCAGCAGATGAGGAGAGAAAGGGGAGGAGTCTTGCAGTGTTTTTCAGGTGAAGGAAGGCGGAGCTTTGGGTGATATGGTGGTCAAAAGTGAGATTGATTCCAAGGTTGCGGACGAGTGAAGAGGCGGTGATATGGGATTGGTCAACGTGGATTGAGATGTCTGAGATGGTTTCACCAAAATACCCTCAAAGCTGGACACAAAATGTCCTTAAATGAGCATCCAGTACTTGAAGTGCTCCAAAATAAAAGGATGTGGAGGAGTTGGAAGACTCACCCTGAGGACACTCATTTGTAACTCTCTCATGCTTTATTTATGCAGATTTGTCACATCCAATGTGTCTGCTCAGATGCCTTCGATGCAGGGTGAAGAGGAATCACATCAGCCATTTGGTCGGAGCTGGAGTGGAACTAACGGGCTCGAAGGTGTGATGCTAATTAGGCTTGTAAACTCTGATGTTGTGATACGCTGCGAAAGCTGCAGCCAGCAGAGGAACCCGGACCGAATCAGGGGTCTGCTGGAACATGTGTTGTTTAGTAACACTACCTCTCAGTTCCAGGAAGTAACCTCCAGCTTTTATCGCTTCTGTTGCACGTCTGATTTAAGAGCTGGGACTACCGCAGAGAGTCAGAGACGGAGAGAGCTCTCAAGGTGTGTGGGCCTGTTTTATTTGGTGTTCTTCCCCCTGAGACAAGCCAAAATATTCTCTCTCTGCTTCAGGATGTTTGAAAAATGCAGAAAAATAACATAATACTCATGAGATACGCCGTATTGTTAATATTTCACCTTGGATTTGAACAGATGCAATTCAACTTCAGCACCAAAAGGTCATAACCCTTTTGATTGAGCGGACGGAAACAACAAACCTGTTCATTTACATGAGAAATGCACAGGAAATCAATATTTTTAAAAAAAAAGCATTTCCTGAATGCTTCAAAAACATAAAAGCTGCTCCGAGTGTTCAAGTGCATGCTGGATGGCTCAACACAATGGCTGCTAACACTCACCGTTGTTTGTTCGAGAGTACTTACCTTTCATTCGATTGCACTGTCTAACAAATAAAATTACAAAAGAGGAGTGTGTGTGCGTGAATGCGGGCAACAGGGATTAAAAACAAACCTCTTGGGAAACACAATGACTGTCCGGTTCAGAAAATGCCCCCGGAGCAACAATCTATCATGAAGTACACACACACAGACACACAAGCCTCCTGCATCACCCATCTTATTCCACTCTGCAGGCCGTTGGTGAAGCCTGTTTGTCTTTATCAGCACTGAAGTGAGGGTCACTCGTGCGGCTTTGTTTCAGACATATCCGTCACATAGAGAAATGCATCATCACTAAAGCTACAATGCAGCTCGTAGTTATGTGTGTTTTTTTTTTCTTTACATGCTTTGACTTAATGTTCCAAGTTAAAGCACGCCATACTCATACCTTAGGGCTGTAGATGTTATACTGAGCATGACAGTGCTGGATGAGAGCCCCTCCATCTGATAATGGGGTAAAGGAGAGGTCAGGGGAGATGGAGCATCACGCCGCAACACGCTCTGAGACTCCTCTGCAGAAATGAAGATGGAGATAGCGCACTTATCCATCATTGTGCAAAGGATCCATCAACTGCAGCGATTTGACTTCTCCAAAAACTGCGGGGATGAGTCATGAGTCAGCCAGTGAACTCTATCATGCTTATAACTGCATGAAAGTCTGTTTCTGGTCATATTGAGGTGCTTTCATGGCACCACTTCTTGAAAACAAAGTCAGCTGTTACTACAAAATCAGATGTAACTCAGCGTGACCGAATAACACTGATTCAACAGGAAATCTGTCCTAACAAAAACTTCCAGAGGATGTCCCAGTTTCCCGTAAGATATACAGCAGCAGTTCACTTCAGATCTGCTAGGCAACCATCAGGATTAAAATGAAGCAAATCTAAGAGGGAGCTTTCTGTTTGCCCTTCAGTGAACTCAGAATGGCAAACAAACCTAATTTACTGTGGTGTATGAGTCAGTTTTGATGTTTGTCTGCAACAAGCTCTCTACCATTCATGCTAATTATTAAGGCTAAACTTGATGATAAGATGATGAGAGCGCCATTAGGTGTGATTAGGTGCATGGAGAAGAGGCTGCAGGGCCCTGATTGGCTAATCTAATGGGGAGGCCTATCATAACAGGAGGGAGTCAGTTGATTTAGGGGGGTTTCACACCTACGTCGTTTGGTCCGGACATTTCTGTTTAATCCAAACCAAAATTAAAGGTGTAAAATCTCCCCAAGACCTACGTCCGACCAGAAGGTGGTCTCGGTTCGGACCAAACTGAACCATTATCTGGTTCATGCCCAGTGTGAAAGCTTTATTTTGAAAGGTTCTGACCTTTATATCAAAGACAGGAAATGGAGATTGTCCACGAACGGGAAATTGAACAATATTGTACATACCTCACTATTGACAGCTCATCTTTTCAAGAGTTTTGCAACACATCTCCAGAGTCGGTGTTGCAGTGGCTCTCATGATTGTATACTTTCTTCTCCTTTCCTGTAGAAGACGATTAAGATGTCGTCTAATGGTAAAATTCATTACCCCCAATTTCCACCGCATCTGGAACGGCTACGAAAAGGCCGTATCCGCCGATCGTACATTAATGTACTGGAAGGACGTTGGGCACAGACACAAAATAAAACATCCGGCTTCTTTTCAAAATAAAACACTCCGTGTTTCAGGTGGATCGCATTTCACACCATGCAAACGGGCGGGGACGAACAAGTGAAAGGTTTATAGATAGCATTTCACCCCGATGACACCATGGATGAGAGGATGCTGATTTTACAAGTCTAGATACACCATACGGTACGGTACGGTACACCATATTCCACCTAATGTAAGGTTTGAGGCAAATTTAGCTCTGTTTGATAGATCAAGCTGCTGTTGCATGAATCGCAGAGGCCTTATCCACTTTCAAAATTATGCTCCCATGACAGAATCGCCTCTTATAACGCCACTGCTAATCAGTTTGCATTCCTAAAGTATGGGAAACATGTCTTGGTATCTTATTACTAAACATTTATTTGAGATTTCAGGAGAAATATCCCCTGTAAGATCAAGCTCCCAGCGTAGAATCACTTTATATAACCTTAGCAGGAAAAAGGGAAGCATGTTTCAACGCTTTATCACTAAATCATTGTTTAAGATTCCAGACGTAACATACTTGCTCATCTGTGTGGTGATAAGCCCCTGAGATTGTGCCCCTGTGCATGCTCAGCTGCACGTCTTGATAGGTAACTTCTGTTTGATAAAACACTATAATCCAACTCAAACTATCATCTTTTTCATAATAATAGTTTTAAAGTCTGTATTCTTCCATTTTGCAGAGTTAACCACATGCAAATTTATCGTTTCCAAGATGACAAAGTCCCTAAAAGCCTGTTGCTGCAGACATGTTAATGATAATGCACCTTCTGACTGAGTGTTTCATGCCTTGCTTGAAACACTCAGATGGATGTGACTATAATTTTCTAAATCAGAGCAGATTCTTGATTCCAAACACTTTCTCAACAACTAGGAAGTTTAAATTGAGTTAATACGTGCAGGAAGTGGAGAAACTATCCAAAATGATGACCGTCCCTGCATAAATATTAGTACAACATGAAGTGTAGACCACTGGAAATCGCTCAAATAGAAATGAATCAACACACAGGAACTTGACCCAGTTTTGTGATAGATTTTCGTTTGACAGACTGTTTTTGAAAAGTCAAAGATAAGCTGAAAATTGTCACAATCTTTGTTTGCTCACCAGCTGCTGAGCTGGCCTCCACACAGGGATTAGAGATCATTCGATTTTTCACTCCAATTAAACCTTTTCCAGGATGTGCCAGTGAAGGGATACACACACTGCATATACACTCTTCACTCCCCGACCACAAAATTACCATGAAAGTTGTGGCCTAATTTGGTCAGTCCTGTCTGTGGGATTTAGTTGTCAGCTCTGTTGGATTTATTAGGGGATGTGACATACACTGCTCTGCGAACCGTTCGCTGCCTGCTGGCATTTCTCTGCTGACTTGTGTTTGGAAAATGTGTCGAGTCCAAGTCTCACCCAGACCTCTACATATTACCTTTTCCACATCTCAGAGAGCAAAATTATCTAAAAAAAAACTGTCACTGTGTGTTTTAGAGGTGTTCAAACAGTCAATGGGACACATTCATTCACTGAATAATCGACTCAGAGGTGTCTGCAGCAACACGCTTTAAAAAACTGACACTCAAATGGAGAAAGAAACGTGTTTGAGGGAAAAATTGGCATCACAAGATATAGTCACATCTTTAACTGTCGCTCTACTCAAGATGGAGTTCAACTGGCCGACTGCCACAGCTGTGAGATTAAAAGGAAAACAAGTGCTGTTACAGTGAAAAGAGGAATATTAATAGTATCACATGGGAGAAGTGTTGGATTATTCATCATCTGTCTCTCCTTTCCCCTGTTTCCAGAGATTTTTTTTACTGCGAGGAGGAAAATATGCAGAATTTACAGCCTACAGTCCATATGGGAAAGGTATGCATCCCTTTCACACACTTTTTTTTAAACATAGTATGTGTTACAGTGATTGAACGGATTCTTTTTCGCACAGAATGCGAGCATCTGTGGGATGTTATGGAAGAGTTAAGCCTAATTGAGAGTGGAGCCTTGTGCCTGTATTCCCAGAGCAGTTAGATGTTTCGTACTGAATGGAGATGTGTTCGTATTATGAATATTAACAAGAATACATTAGCCTCAAAACTTAACAACATATGGGGACCAATGCTAAAAAAAAGAAAGGCTGAACCGCAATATTTACAGAACCAAAGTCACCAGAGATGCTCTCTGTCTCTGTCTGCTTCTATAGAGCTTGTGTTTCAGAACAAACAGCAGAACTAACAGGTACAGGAGGGATGGAGTGAGAGGAAATTGTCCCCTAATCTATGGTGGATGGAACAGTTCTCATAGATGGACCATAATCAACCACGAGACAATCTCCTGTCTAGACATCTGGATTCTTGTTTTACATAATAACAGTGAGGTCACGGTGAACCTGACCTCCGACAGACAAACTCTGACTTTGTTTGCCCCGAATTTGAAGATATTTCCTCTTTGAGCTGCTGAGATAATGCGTCACAATAATTGGATATTTTTAATGGCTTTTCAACTGAAATGTTATATCAAGATGAAAGTGACCTTTGACCTTTCAGGGTAGAAAAAGACTAATTTGGGTTTTAAATTTTTAAATAATTTAGTCCTATAACAAGTAGAACTGTCAAAAATATATATTGTTTCTGCAGTTAAGATAGACGTTCAACCTGAACTTGCTCTTCTTGGCTTTTGCAGTCAGCCTCAAGTGGATACTTGAGGAACTGCAGGTTTTATCACATCTCATTAGCCGCGTTTTTCAAAATTGGTTGGTTTCTGCATGCTATGTTATAAAAAAGCATTCACCTGCTGTGAAGATTGAACTGCAAAGAAAAAATTAAATGCCTAAAACAATCAAAAATTCTGTCTGGTTGAAGGCTAAAACATACAGGATGCTTATTTGGAGCGTGGCAGCGTTGCGTATCACGCAGCAAATAGGCTGCCATTCTAATCAATGTAGCTAAGCATACGGGACGCATATCAGCTCCGTCGCAGCATTGTATCGAGAGCAGCACAGCTAAAGATACGCAACAAGTCTATTTTTGCTGCTCTAGGCTTCCAATGCGCGTCAATCCACACAGAGGAGATCGTTCTAGACAGGAAGTCGAGCACAAAAACCGCGCATGGTATTTCAAAATGAAACACCAAAATGAAACACTGTGGACCCCAACAGGACTTTGAACTGCTAACTCTGTCTGAGGGTAACAGCACAGCATAAAGGAACATAGTTTACTTTAATAAAGATGAGTAAACCTGAAAAAAAAAAGAAATTGTAAAATCACATTCCTTCAATTTCACATATTGTAGAAGCTCAACAAACACTGAATTATATCTAAATTAGCAGGAAATAGACCAAAGAAAGGAAAAACAAACTGTTGTGAGCTTGTTGTTTCCTCTACACTGAGCCCAGCTGACTGGGGCTGCACTACTCTGCTGCTACACTCCAAATACACATCTTGTATGATCCAATGCTGCTGTACGGAGCAAATACAGAATGTGCTCAGTATGGATCCTGTATGTTTTCGGCTTAAGACTGTTAATTACAGTCAACGCATACCAAACAGAAGGTAGCTGCAGGTGTGTGTGTGCGGGGGGCCCTGGAGGTCACGCACCCTCGTAGCTTATGAGTGAACACCTATACAGGAGTTAAATAAATGAGTTTGCTGCAAGTGCATTCATCTCAGTAAAAGTCAAACTATCTCATTAAACTTGATATAAATCCCATTCACCTGACAAGTCCAGATATGAATCACATTTTAAGATATAACAAGCCAAAGAGTGAGGGACTAATCAGCTGTAACAAGTACGAACGACGGCCTTTACAGCAAGCATATGTTTCTTTAGTGTCCTAGAACAAGATGTGCTACTCAAATTGGCAGCCATTTTCCCTCATTAAACTCAATGAAGTTCTTCGTTTTGGCTCTTGGTGTCATAAACTAGGATCATTATCAGGACTTATCAGGTCAGTGTGACTTATATTAAATGTAATGAGATATTTTGACCTGAAATTAGAAGATTTTAATGGTGTTAATGCAGAATGAGTATCATTAAAGTATACCCGTACCAATCTTTCATCTTTGACCTTAAAGTGGACAGCCATGCCAAAGTGAAAGTCATTTCCTGTAGCTGTTCTATCCGTGTAGCATCCACAGAAATGAGGAAGACAAATGGAGGGATCGTTTTAGAGCGTTACGCCTCGGGCCACAGCTGTTGATGGTGTAGAGGCTTAGGAACATGAAAAACTGTGATTCAGATTTCCACAGCTGTGTTATGTGACTGTTCCGCCCTAAATGTTTGTTACTAACCCTGGCACAGTGTGTGCGAATGGACTGTGACCCACCTGTGTCACCGCTCCTGTGACACTCAGAGCTCTTTTCCATGCGCCAATTATTCGCATGTTTTTGTAAGACATTCACATTTCCCATTCAGAGGTGATGTGGGCGGGAAACAATGAAAAAAAACTATTGTGTAACTTTAAAGATGTACCTGTATTGTGCGAGTGCATGTGTATGGGCTTTTATGTATTGTACAGGTGCATGTGTGTGGGAAGTGTTTTGCACTGGCGGGTTGATGTTTCATGCGGCGAGCAGGATCTGTGAACCGTTCCTGCTGTGAGGCAACAACACCCCTACAGAGCACCTTTGATTAGATTCAGCCTTCACCATCCTACACTGTATGTACCCTTTTTTTTCTGTTCAGTGAAATTTTCAAATATTACAATTTCCTACAGGAGGCCAAAGTGGATTAATTTAAAGTTAAAAAGTAAAATAAAATCAAAGTAATGTCGATGGTGTGAGCTCTCTTTAATTACGTTTGTCCAACTGAGATCTCTGTCTTGATTAAAATAATTTTAAACTAAATTTGGAGGATTACTGTCAAGATTAAATCTTAATTTGATGTGTTACAGAATAAAAAAGGACCTTATCATCTTTTAACCTAATTTGACCTTTTTGACACACCATAGATAGACTGGAGAATCTCCTTAATCTCTCCTGTTCAAACAATAACCCCACTGCACCTGAGAAGACTTCCAGACAGTATTTGACAAGTCAAAGTGAATTAACTTTATATAATATGAACAGAATTAAAATGTAATTGAAGTTCTACTCAAAGCAAACTTCTGTAATGAAGTTCAAGAACAAAAACATCTAAAAGTTTAGCAGCTCTCTGCAGAACTTGAACTTGTATTTGCTTGAGATTGAGATAAACTGTCAGTGTCTCTAATCTCTGCTGTGAGGAGCTGCACCCTGCGCTGTTATCCTGTAATATGATGAGTTGGATGGAGACCTAAAGTCTTACTTCCTGGAGTGAGTTGACAATGCGCTCCATTGTGCATAATTACACAGCTAGTATGTGCAGCGACTGAGCCCTGGACAGCCCCAGACTGATGCAACCCCTGATTACAAGATGAATATGTCAAAGTATCATCAAAAGCCTTATTACACAGATATGTGGATTTTTAGTCACACGCAGAAGGAAATCTTGTCTTAAAGGGATAATCCAGCACAAAATTAATTTAGGGTCAAACACACCATGACACCGACTTTGACACCCCCTCGAGAGATGAATGTTGCCGACCGCTTGCTTCTCTAGTTATACCAACTTTAGTAATCAATTTTATGCTGGAATATCCCTTTAATAACTTTAATAACCCAAAAGATCTAACCTGCCATCGCACCTGCTTTCTTTTCAGTGACATTAAATTAAACCACATTTACATTGGGGGCCATAGGGGGCCTAATGAACCCCTGATGCTACAAATAAATGCAAGATTCATGATGCCAAACAAATAGATCCTACATGATCGATTTGTTTGAGACCCCAGACTGAATCCCAGTCAATCCTAAGAATAGTAGAAAACCGTTTTATTTGTTTATTCCTTTTTTCTGTATTATCTAAATTACCAGATATATTCCTGCTTTAGTAAAATAAGCAATTTGATCATTTTCCAGCACTGAAACTATTTGCAGTAGTTCCAAATCAAAACCTGAATCAGATCAGTCAAAACCTGCCAAATGGCTCCAGTCCACACCCTGAGTTGTGACAGGATAATTCTACAAATTAAAGCAGCCGAAAAGCGCGAAACTTAGCAAAGCATGTCAGAGTCATCTCCTGGGACCAAAATGACCCCTTTATCACGGTAATAAATCTCCCTGTGACATTCCCGGCAATTGCCTGAGATTTGGTGTAAACAAGCAGGCGGGGAGCGGGGCCAGCGCAGCAAATCCACCTGTCAGCACTTGCAGGGAAGCATGACATGTCGAACACACTGATTCAGCTTCTGGAGGACACAGAAAACAGCTCTTAACACTGTGACATTTAACTGAAAGCTATGTTGGTGCCAAAGAGTACAGTTTGTGTCATCAACAGACTTTAAAAAATGACTCGATAAATGTCAAAATGTTCCCGACAGCTCACTGATTCAATGATGGATATTTACTCTGTTATAATAATATGAGAACCAGGACTAAAAAGTGATGTACTCTTTAAAATCTCGGGTGTTTTCCTTGTAAAAAACAAGTCAGAAACTGTCTTATGATGCTCTTGCAACATCTCTGAGTCCTAATGAGGGCTGGAGTTCAGGGGGCAAGCAGCTGTTTGACAAACAAACGCTGTTATCAGACCCAAGACAACATGATAAACCTGCTTAATTGAGTCCATCAGGGACCAGATTTGTGAGGAGCAATAAACAAATACAGACTTTAAGCGTCTCTGGATGCAGTTTCTCACCTAGCAAAGTAGTATATGAACGTACAAACCCGCACTGAATAAGTCAAAAGAAACGGAGCAGAATTACAAAGTAGCCGAGATCAACACCTTTAACATTCAGGAGAAACCTTGAAGAGAACATTTACTAAGTCTGCATCGCTGACTGATGGGATTTTAAGAAGCACAGTGAAAAGAAATGAGGAAATGAGGCTGTGTAACACAATAAACAGCAGGAAGAAGAAAGATAGAAAGAGGGGAAAAAAGGCATGTTACTAACTTGACTTCTTTTTGCCACATTCAGAGATATTCCCAATTTCTTTTCACACACACACACAAAGAAAATCTTTACATTTTTAATATATATATGATCAACACTCACCAAGCTCCTCCCCTATAATTCCCTCTGTAATCTGTATGAGGTAACTCCAACCAGACCAGATGAATTGTGAAAGAGTCGAGGTGATCCCTACACTGTCTCCTCCGCCCTCTATCTCACAGCTCTATTGTATGTTGAGATTTAGATGCGGGCAGCCTCTGTTTACGTGCAGTAATCCCCTGAGCTCCTCTTCACGGCTTCGTCACCGTCAGCCTGGAACTTATAAACACTTTGAGAAAAGGAAAGAAGAGGTTTACCAAAATATGGATACACTGAATCTCTTCAACCTTGTGTGGCATTTACGTCCAAAGAAAAGAAAAGAAATTGATTCATGAGGAAACAAATAGAAGAGGTGCTTTAACAACATCTGAAAAGTGGCGCTAAATCCTTACAGTGTATTTTTAGACTCGCAATACTACTGGCATGTATGGTTGTCGTTTTTATTATTACCACCAAATCCACCAAGGAGACTATAACCGGTAATGGGTGTGCTCAAATGGGCGCCTCAGTCTGATGTATTCTTGGAAAATTGTCCATCTGTGCCATTACTATCGACCTTAAAACATGCATTTTACCATTTACTGAGGGATAAGATGCAACCTGTGCCACACTGACTATGAAAACTAAGAATACAGCAGTAAAATAATATTATATATGAGTATTCTGCTTAGAAATGTAGTTTCAAAATAACTTGTGATGCATCTTGCTAAACTACAAGGTTAGTTTGGTAGTTAAACCAAAATTGAAACTACTCACATCTAAAAACTGAGCGCCAACAAGTCACAGACAAAGATTTTGCAAAGCCGGAAGATCTTACAGGATCACCTAGTGCGTTTACATGTTGCTCAAAAAAAACGATTTGTGCAGCCGTTGAAATCTCCAGTGAGCGGGGTATCAGCCAATAATCTAATCCTACATTTGTTTGCTTCCCCATTGTGTTTGTTTTGCTTCCTATAGGGGCTGGAAAGACTGCACTGATTGGTTGTTGGTCATGTTTGCGTCATTTAACAATCTGATATGCATACAAATGCCGACATGATCATATTAAACATGGATGATTATTGTAATGCCACGATAGGAGGACTTCCTCAAGACCACCTTACACCATACAGCTGCAATCGCTACAGCAAAACTCTCATGAGCTTGTTCTGACTTTGAGTCCAAGCCATGTGTTGAGTCCCCAGGGTTCAAGTCCAAGATTAAGTCCCCAGTGGTCCAACTAAAGTTAAGACAAAGTTACCAGAGAAGAACCTCAGTTTAGTTCTGGTCAAATCCCCACGACTGGAGAGTTTATAAGGAGGACAGCACTGGGCCTCTCTTGATGTTGCGATGCACTCGTCCTTTGTGCTGCAGCGGGATCATCCGTCAAAGTTTGAGCTGGTCTCTGTCTCCTCATGATGGCTCTCTTACATATTTAACATGTCACACTGATCTTTCTTTTGCTGTTCGCCGAACCGAACAGTGTGCTTTTGCAGGTTAAGACTTAGGCTCCCTGACCCTATTTTAAAATGATCCCCAAAATATAATAGTAATACAGTCTTTAGTGATCCTAAAAATCAAGTCTTAGTCCTGGATTCAAGTTTTACAGAACTGAAACAGTGTTAACACTTCAATAATTCAACTACAATGACCGAGAGACAAAGTTATGCAAGACTGGCAGCAACAGTGTTTGATCGGTTTTACACTTTTACACTTAAGATGACCATACGTCTTCTTTTACCTAGACATGTCCTCTTTATGGAAGGCCGTCCTGGCTGTCCGGGGAAGTTCATATAATCCTTCAAATGTCTGGGGTTTTGTTCGTAAGTTTTGAGTTTGTGTCATGTTGACTTACTGAGTTAGAAGCGCATAAAAGACACTCAATCCGACCTGAAAAACTCTCAAAATTATCTTCATGCGACTCTGTGACTCCGCCCCTGCGTAGTCATGTCTACATTTTGTGAAGTGAGAATATGGTCACCCTACTTTAGTACATCTTGTCACTAAAACTGGACTTTTACACCAGTCAGTTTTGAATCTAGGAGTTGTGATACTTAAACTTGAGTGCTGACACTAGAGGATAATCCATTGTCTTTGTATTTGTTGATGAAATCGATGGCGAGCATCTTTTAAATCTAGTCAAGTTTGTGATTTTTTACTGATCCATACAATAATCTATCTGGCTGCTCACTGCTGCAGACTTGAACGGTGGTACTATAAACTATCAATAAGTGTGTTTGTTCAGTCAGTATTGTCCTTCAAAGTAATGAAAACGGAACAGGCCTGAATAAATGCCTCTTCTGATATTAATGTAAGTATAAGGCTCATTGCGGCTGATATATAAACAGCTTTCTCTGTCAATTTGTGAACACTTCGAGGTTTAGGCGGTAAATTGTTTGGCATAATTTGTTATGGAGTAAAATGAAGGTGATTTGTCTCGATTCCACTTGGCTCCCACAGCCCCTCCTTTCTTTATCGCTTGTATTCCTTATCGGTGTTATCTCACTCCATTTCCCTCTCTTAGCATCAGTATCATCCTTAATCTAAATGAACTCGATGCCTCACTCGAGAAAGCAAGGCGACTAATCCGCCGCAGTTATACACACATGATGCTCCCCACACTCTATCCCTCATCTCACCCACACAAACACACACTTGGAGCAGAATGATGCACTTTAAGTTATTGGTGTTTACAGTTTGGGTCTTGTTTAGCTCTGCTGATTTTATTATACACAGCAAATCGGCTTTTTATCCACAAATTAACGACTGTGTCATATCCAAAAGGCGACAAAAAGCCTGTGTGTCAGCCTTGCTAATTCTTTAGTACGTCTGAGACTTTAATTCCTCCCATGAAAAGCTCTGGGTTCGCTTGTTATAACTTGACCTCATCTATTAAAGTGTTTGGATCACAGCAACAGACACACACACACGCCAGTTTGTTCAGGCTGATTTAGAGCAAAACACAAAACAGAGAGCTGATCATGAACAGCGAGTGTGTGTGAATGTTGTCAAACACTCTTGGCAGGGTTGGTTTCAGTCATTCAATTAGGCAGGCGAGATCTACGCTGTTATCGTTTCCCATGTCTGTACATTAGCGATGCGGTGTAAATTGACACATCCTGCCTCTCATCACCGAAAGGAGAGCGACGTGCGCTACGCGGCGTCGACATCTTCAGTCATTCATGAGAAAGTGTGGCGCAAAGTAAACAAGATATTAGCGTCTCACGCTACAGTGAGCAGCAGAGTGAGCAAGAAAAGAAGAGGAGGACACAATGAGGTGAGCCTGGTAAAGTTAGGAACAAATTCAGAGTAGCTGTGAGACAAATATGGAAGAATAAATGTTGGAAAAATTATAAATGTGGACAAAGTATCAAAGAATAATCGCATCAGCTGGCAGCTCATTTGAAAGTGCAACAGCTTTGAAAAAGGCCGTATCCGCCGATCGTCGATCGCAACCATTCCAGTTAATGTGTCAATTTCCACCGGCTTCTTTCCGTTCTGCTGCGGATCGTCGGACTCTGCAATTGATCGCAATAGTTCTATTTTTTCTGGACGCCGGAGCATGTCGGATAAATTCAGCACAGATTAACTCGTGCTGAAAAGAAAATCAGGCACAGACACAAAATAAAACATCCGGCTTCTTTTCAAAATAAAACACTCGTATCTAACAATGAAAACAGGCAGAACAAGTGAAACGTTTATAGACAGAATTTCACCCTGATGACACCATGGATGAGGAGATGCTGATTTCATTAGTCTAGAAGTAGAAATCTTCCTCTGGAAGGACACAATCTACTGTTTATATGATTAGCCTCTGTGGCTAAAGACAACTTGTTATTGCACGTAAATCCGCGGGTTCTTGTGAGTTCTCACGATTCCTGCTGTCCGTAATCCGCCACGAAATTTGCCTCACAAACGGATCCAGTAGAAATTGGCAGAAGGTGAATGGTGAAAATCCTGTGTTAATCTGTCAAGAAACAAAAACTGCGTGTTCAAAAACAACAGGGTGTTTTAAACTTTTACACATTCATATCGTTTCACAGTTTAGCAGTTTGCCGTTTGTAACTCGCAGCGAATTGAGGCTTGTTGGAGATTCTGAATGTCAGATTTCAATTATTTTTCTGCCCTCATATGTCCTCACACCCTGACAGCAATTTTTTAGGTGGCAACTCATTATTTCGGCAGCTATAGTGGCTGTAAAACAGAGCAAGACAGTAGGAAGTGGAAAAAATGACACAACTGAGTCAGAATTAGATCCTGTGAAATCCAGCATGAAGGCCGAATGCTCTCCTAGTGGTACACACTATAATTGCCTATTCCTGTCTCTAGAAAATATTGAAAAAACGCATCCTTTACAATGTTTGTGAGCCATCTTTATCTGCTCAGACATCCCAGATTACTTTGGAGAAATGCTGTTGAAATTAGGATTTGGATGTCTATATCTGATTTCAATCTACTCTCAACTAAATTCAAACATTAAAACCACAGTTAGTCTTCACTGTTTCGTTTTTAAGTATCTTGTTCAGGTCAAACAGTCACACACCGGTGTCATAGCTGCAGTTATGTCAGCCTGCACAAAACACACCTGTCAGCTGGTCTTGTAATGCAGGTAATGCAACGAGCAAACAGAGAGTAGTTAGGCAGTAAAATAGATTAGCACACAGTTATGTACACATGCACACACAAGGAGACACATTTTCCTGTTTGGCTATCATTGTGGGGACTGACAGATTACCTTAACTTTTAATGCACTGCCCCTTTATAGTCATTTTTACTCAAGTGGTCCTAAAGGAGATAGAAAGTATTATATACATGAAAAACGTATAGCACATATGACATTCTGGTATCACTGCTGTGAATCGATCTACTTTACATCGTCTCAGGAGAAATGTTACGCACGAGAAATGACAGATGAAATGGTATGCAAAGAGAGTATGTTTGCAGATAAGCTTTGTTATGCTGATGGACAAAATACTGAGAAATACTTGTCGAGCGGAGGTTGTGGGAGGATATGTTCAGCACTTGCAAGACTCTCCGGTTGAATATATGTCTGTGGAGGGAATGAAAAATGCTTCACAGCAGTAGTGGGCTTGTGTGTCATGAATATTTGATGTATTGAGTTTATGACAACCAAGCTCGGTGGAGGAGGGGGGAGAACATAGAAAGGGGGAGACAAAGTTTGACAAGAGAAGGCACTATACAAGAATGAGGTGACAGGCATGAAGCAGCACAGACAAAAAGGGAAACAGAGTCATGCTTGTTAATTTAACCAAGCGAATTTGACCGCCTAAGTATGTACCCGTGCATAATTTTACAATTTTTCTTTTTATCTGCGTTAAATCGTCGATGATTTGCACAATCTTTCACTGCCCCAGGTACGGGATCATTCTTCGGGAAACGCTGTAACCATTTCTCTATCGCCCTTAAACTGACAAGCAGATATTCACACACAGTTCACATGGTAATTGGCCAGCTGAGCCGAGGTGAGTAAGCGAGCAGCGGTGAGTTTAACACCTCTCCTTGGTTTACAATTCTTCATAGTAACCTTACCAGCTAGATTGTCACCCTATAAATGACATAGAGAGAGTTGTATCTCCATATTTTAACAATTTCCATCTCAATTCATTGAAGTCCCATCCCAATCATTTTATTTTACTTCTTTAAGTGTTATCAGCTGTCTTTAAATTGTGATTATGAATTTTTCAGCTATAATCGTGTTACCTGTGTTATTTTCAAGGACTTTTCTTCAGCAGAGCTCCAATAGCTCATTATTCGCCTCTGAGTCATGGGCGGAGACAGCGCCGCTCTGCACACTCCTCTTCACGCTAGCTTGCAGCCTAACATCGCCGGTGTAGTAGAAGTGGCAGGTAACATAGAAGCTTTTCAGCTCTCGGACACTATTATCTTTAGGGACATGATGAAAGCCTATATCATAGTTAGCTTTCTTACGAGCATTGCAACCCGCCACCGCACACGCTTGTTCCGCGATCATCCTCTGTATTTCTCCTCTATATGCAGAGTGTGGCCTGCATAGCGGGGCTAAGGGGGCGGAGCTTGGATTGGTTACATATGAAATCTCACTGTTCCTGAACCTGCCGTTTGGGTCTGCCAGAGATTTACAGCGATTTGAATAAAGAAATACTCAGAAAATCAAATTTCCTGTAGCATCAGAAAAATGCCATATGAACTTATAAAAAAAAGAAAAACATGATTTTCATCGGAGTGGGTCTTAAAGTGTGAAGATTAATTTCTCACTTTATTAGACAAAACGTTGGGAGCATAAAACAAGCTTTAGTCCTGTGATTTCAGCAGGAGCAGGAATGTTTGTGTGACTCTATTCATCCCGAGTTACATAATAAGACTGATGGTTAACAACAAAAAGAAACAAGTAAGAGTGAGTTTGATCACCCGGAGTACTTCTCAAAGTGAAAAGAAAAACACAAACAGCTGGCAGGGAGCATAAATAAAATGTTATGTTCTATTCTGGACGAGCCAAAAGCGATATTTTAATGTTAGTGGCAGAGGTTTTATGTACTGACGGTTATTAGGTCATTAAATCCAGCACCAAAGTTTGTGTGTGTTCCCCCCTTGTGTTACTTTGACAGCACGCTGCAGGGAGAGTGTGACTGTTTGTATGTCTGAAACATGTAGATGGAGGTCAATGTCTCCTGCCTGTTTACACAGTATTTGGAGGCCCTTTTTCAGCCCCTCAGGTCAAAAACACACTGACATCAGCAGTCTCGTCAATGACGCAGGAGGGCTTGTTGTTTTTTTACTCCCACTAGCAACCACCAGCGTTGAGGACTGAAGAGAAAACCTTCATTCATGGAAAGGTAACAGACGTACACACACACACACAAAAATAAAACAACCTCTGGAAGATATTACTCTGACACCGTATGCTGTTCAAATCCTGAAACGTGTCCAGCTCTCATTCAAAACCTGGAGCGGTATTAACCTCTGCAACCCTCTGAAAATAGATGGTTCAGTGGAGGTTATAGAAAAAAGAAAAACTACTGTTTCTCTTCAAGATTTTTCAATTTCCACACTGAGTTACACAGGTCATCAAATAAAAATGTTGAAAACGTCAAAGCCAAGATCAGTCACAGACAGAACTTTCAACTTCTTTAGTGCTTTCTTGGTAAAAGTTTGACTCGTGCCGCTCATCAGTGATGAATCTCATGAGCAGTAACACATATGCAGCTGTATTTGATACGAAATGAGCCATAAATTAAAGGTTATTTCTCTCAGATGTGCATGTGTGTCATACATATTCTAATTACATCTGCAATATTGAATTGTACACAGAATAGCAGCTTCACAGGCACATTTTGTTCTCTCTCTCTTGTGGATACTACATGCTGCAAAGGCTCACTATGCATTAAGTGCTCTCACAGCACAGCTAACAGCTCAGGGAAAATATATCTCATGTCAAAATTCACATATGTTCAAAATCATCTCTGCCAAAGCTCTCCTATCGAGACATTATTTAGTTAAGGTCTGTTAAAAGCTCGGCTGCATGCAAAACACCTAACAAGTACGCTTGGATCCATCAAGAGTCATAATCCTTTTCATGAGCCGCGCTTTTGATGGTTTTGTTGTTTGGTGTTACCGATTTTCACACTATTATGATTCAACCGTCCATTCAGTGCTAATTGTGCAGCAATATGACTATTTTCAGACCTTTTAGATGCTCTACAATGTTTTTTATTTGAAAGCATTAGTCAATGACAAGCCCTTTATTTATAAAGATAGCTTTCTTTCTGACCAACAGAGTGAACATTTAGAGGCACTAAAATTTTTGACTTGATTTATTAAGATTTAGTTTGTCACACTGTGGTAGCTTTTACAGCACTAGCGATCTCAATTTTACCATCTTTTATGTCATGGCAACACAAGATTAAAATAAAGATATTCGTAGGAAATAACATCTGAATGAAACTATTGAATCATTGTTTCCTCTATTTATACCAACCTTTTTGTGATGTTGCAACACAAAACAATCTGATCTCATTGTCTGAATTTGGAAATCTGATCGACAGGCACTTAATATCGTTCAAGGATTTGCCAAAATGTCACTAGAACAATCACTTATAAAAATATAACCTCTAACAGGTGACCTAAATATCATTAACTGGGCCTAAATTTATAGACAATGTTTGGCAGTAGGGGAGACTCTTTGTCCTCAAAGTTCATGTGTTGGAAGTAAGAAAAATGGACAAGTATGTAGATATGATAGGGTGACCATATGTCCTATTTTACCTGGACATGTCCTCATTTTAGGGGGCTGTCCAGGCTGTCCTGGTTTGTCTGAGGAAGTTTATAAAATCCTTCAAATGTTCACAGTTTTGTACGGAAGTTTAGAGTTTGTGTCAGGTGGTTTACGCTGCGTTCAAGTTATCTTGGAAGTCAGATGTCCAAGCTGAAAATGACATCACACCCGAGTTCCCAGCGTTTCAATTACCAAGTCGGAAAATAGCAAAATTGGAGGTGGAAACAAGATGGCTACATCTACGGAAGTTATTTTAGCGTTTGCCTGAACTGAAACGCTGGGAACTCAGGTGTGACGTAATTTTTAGCTCGGACTTCTGACTTCTGAGGTAACTTGGATGCAGCGTTACTGAGTTAAAAGTGCGTAAAAGACACCTGATCCAACCTGAAAAACTCTCAAAATTATCTTTGTGCGACTCCTTGACTCCGCCTCCGTGCAATCGTGTCCTCTTATTGGGGATTTAGAATATCGTCGTCCTAAAATATGAAGACATGTTTGACGAAGGTTATACAATAGTAAGAAGACAGGATTAGCAGATTACTAAAGTCCACTTTTTATAAGGTGTTCCTCTGCAAGGGTCAAAGAAAGGAAAACTGACGAACATGAAGAAATGAAGCTGGTCAACAGAAGAGCTGGAGCTCAGATCGCTGAAAAAATTTACGCTAAATCTGACAGAAGGGCAGAGCGCAGTCTGTTGTGTATGAGACTGTATGGCTGCAGGGTGGCCATACTAATCTGTGTTTAACAGCCTTCAATGTGCCTGAGCTTCAGATTAGGACCAAAGAATAATGATCTAGTTCTGATGCCTGGAGGAACAAGAGAATGAGTTCAAGGTGCTTCGTCTTGGTCTCCAATTTCCCCACATGTTCATCCAATGGAGCATCCATGAAATGTGCAGTCAGACCTGTGGAAGTCTCACCTTGCAACTAATGGGATTTCAAGGACCTCCTGCTAATGAAAGGAAAGACGAGTGTTGTTGCTAATTAGTGTTAGAATTAAAATATATATGTAAATGATGCCACTGATGTATTTCTAGTTGTTTATGGTATTTGTGAAAGAAAAAAATTACAAAGGAGAAGACTACAAAAAGAAACATCTTAGTTAAGCGCTGGTTTAGAAATTGCAGGTGATGTGGACACCTCGTCATGTGACCAGAGCGTGCCTTAAAGGTCTCGTTACAGTTGTTACCTAGCGGCTGTTATTTGTGCTCTGTGCAGCGATAATAGGACTTGTTGGGGGGAGGGGGGGGCAAAAGGGAGCTACAATTGACCCCCGACCCACACATGTAGAGAGGGAGGAGGGGGTATTTTTAGTGCCTCACAAACACGGGTCTGAGCAAACAGAAAATGGCTCAATAGTGTTACCTCCTCCAGGGTTTACAAAGCAGCGCAGAAAAAAGCAAAACCTTGTTGTGTACTTTTATATTTCAAAGCCTTTTTCTAGTATCGATTCTGCTGTGATAAATCGTTTTGTTCCAGTCTCCACCCTGCATGGAAATGCCTCTGTGTGTGCACTGAAGAGGAATTCACTTCCCACAGGACACACAGGTTAACTCCTCCACTGAGCAACGCTTAAAACTACACATGAACACAACGCCACCTCTCAAGATTTTAAATCTGACACCGTGGATCCTGAAAGACCACGTTCACACGGGTTGGTCATTAGTGAGTAATCATTTAAGCCACTTTAAGCCTGATTGTGTGAGTTATCTTTGAGCACCACTGATGTATTCCAATCATTACAACCCACCGACTTCTGTCAAGTCAACATGACTTATCTGAGTGCTGGGAGATAATTCCAGCCCTGACCTGCTGAGCGTGAGGTTACATACCTCAGTCAATCTACGGTACATAAGCTCTCAGCGAATGTAAATGACAGGTTGATTTTCTGCAGAGAGTAACACACTAGAGACCCTTAAATGTTAACATATGGGAGGGACGGCTTTGAGTGATATGATTATGATTGGTCCACATCTTCTGGGGTCAAATATCAAAGCTGTCCGCACCCGCTCCCACTCCCATGCCTGGTTCCTTTTATATAATCTAATGCCGGTGTTGGCAGTTTAATATGCAGGGCTGCAAAGTATGGCTTTGATGTGCATTGTAAAAATTCCTCTCCCTAAAATATCTACGAGGCAAAAAATGACCCTAACCCTAATATACCTGCGGGTCCTTCATTTATCGATGGGAATTAATCGATGCATGTACAAGAGGGTGCTTGAACAAACCGGTCTGGCACTGACTCTCCCTTCACCTGGCTGCTCTGCTGAAGGTGCCTGTCCCCGTAAAAGGGCAAGGTAACATCATGTGTACACTCCAGTTAGACAACTCACATTTATGATTCGAACCATTGCTTGTGGCAGCAGCAGCAGAACACTGTGTTTGGTGTCTGAGTCCCTTCCTCATTTCATCTTGCAGTTTTACTTTAAAAATGCAGAAACTGAGGAGTGTTGAGGCAATATTTTAAACCCCTTAGTGAGAGCCTGCAAGAGGATGCAGCCAAAGCAGTGACAACAGTTTCAGAGACTGGAGATCTCACAGTTTGAATAGATATGTTTGTCATGTGATTGTATGAATTAGGGCTGGGCGATAAACCAAAAATCTACCGATACCGAAATTTACAACAATAACCAGCAAAATTTTGCCCACGTCAATATATTCGGTGTCAAAGAAGTAAATAAATTAAAGGTGGTTTTGGATGTGTGCAGGTAGGCTATGGTCAAATGTCCCTTAAAGACGCTGTCCTATGTCGGAGGCTTGACTCCACCCCATCCAGTCCGTAACAAAGAGGGAAAGACAGGTGAGGAGATGGAGGACGGTTTAAAAGTTGTAGTAGCTGGAGCGGCGGCTGAAGTAGAAAAAGTTCATGTTGAAGGGGGTGAGCAGCTTGTGGAGGAGTTATCGTCCTTTTTTTGTTATCAAGGTGAACTGCTCAATATATCATGATACTGACTTGAGGCCATAACACCCAGCCCTAGCATGAATAATGCATGTCAAATGTGAAATCAGTGCAGCTGGAGTTGCCTGCCTGGACTAGCACAGGCTTAGCTTTATTATGTCTATAGTTTCGAATAGGGTTGGGCGGTAATAAGGTAATAAGGTTTACCGGCGGTGTCTTTCAAAAGAAACGGTATCAGTTTGAATACCGTCATAGCGCCGGCACCATGTTTTGTTAGTGTTACTACAGTAACTCTGTCAAAGTTTGTCTGATCAGAAAAATTTCAATAGTGTTAGAAAGCTGAGAGTTTGGCATGCACCTGTGTAGGGTTTACTATGGTAGTCGTAACCACTTGAGGTAGGCAGTCGTTGCAAAACACAGGAAGTATTGGCAGAGCGCTACATAGCTTCTCAATACTGTAACTCCTTGAAAGTTTGTTATTGTTTCATTATTAGTGTTTGGTATTCAGTTTCTGAACGGTGTAGGCACAAGCCAACAGTTTGGTGATAATGTCTAAGCCTTAAGTCATGGTAATACCGTATACCGCAGTAAAATGTGGAGACGGTATGTAAGCATCAAAATTTGGATACCGCCCAACCCTAGTTTCAAACCAAGCTGTGCAATTTCCCTCTAAAAGTTCCTCTACTCTTCAACCTTGAATAATTTAACTATTGAACATAACCCTGCCCCTACAATTTCCAGTGGTCCTGCAACAGTGTAGGCTTCCAAAAACTATTACAGATGCCATGACTGCAAAGTAGGGGCAGAGGGCTTCATCCATTCATATGCATATAACACAGAGCATAAATGAGCCATTTGTATTCGCTCATGTCCAACCAAACAAATACTGTGAATAAAAGAGAGGAGGTCACATGCGTAGGATATGCTGTATGCCACCAAAATCAACTGGAAGGAAACCATGCTCTGTGATTTCAGCGCTCCGTTCCTCACTTGTTATAGTCACAGAGGGAAAAAAAACAAGCTTTTTTTTTGGATAAATCAGTGACTGATGGGGCTCCTTTGTGCACTTTGGCTTTTTGTTATTTGCCTTCAACAAACAGACCCACTTTTTGCTTAATGTGGGGCAAACACAGCACTGAGTGTGTGGAAGCTGCAGATAAGTCCACAGCTTTTGAAATAACATGAACCAAGATTAACATCCAAGTGCAGGCTGGTGTTGCCAGCTAATACAAACAAGACTCACAGTAATGGTCTCACAGTAATGACCACAACCTCTTTACAACGTATTACAGAGTGACAGCACTTCATGTGTTAAATGAATGTTTAACAATCACAAAAACAAAGCCAGCAGGAGTAATCATAACATAAATTAAGTTTACGCTTCACTGCTTTATCGGCTTAAATAAGTATTTAAATATTAATGCCTTTCTCTCTGATTTGTCTCATAATTACTTACAGATTTACACGCATGTTTGTAATCCGTTACAAAAACCCAGCACCCCCCTCTCACTACAGGTGCTGTCAATCAGAGTTAATCACAGTGGATGACGGCACAGCATGATGTAACTTTCAGGGTGGTTTAAATTCAGTTTGAGGAGATTTCAGCGGCAGTCATCACTTCAGCAGAGAGCATCCGGCAAGTGATAGACCTCACGAATTAAGTGACAAGCTGCCCTCCCTTTCTATCACACTTTTCCCACTCTATCACAGTTGTCTTTTCCTTGCAGGGACAAGGGCTCGAACAGTTTACAGTTTATTAAGCTGTAGCTTCTGCGCCGCTTTGATTGAAAAGTTACATCCTAAACCCTAACCGTGAACATTTTTTTCTGCAAATCCAGACGCCAACATCACCGCCGCTCGTGTTTTTTCTTTGTCCCCTTTAAAGACTCAGAGATGCACTCACTATCTATGCTGCCCTTGTATGGATTGCAGGACAGGATCTGTTGATAAAACATTTATATCGTTTAGAGCTTATACATGTAGCTTTTAAGATAAGTATCTTTTATTTTTCTGAACCTTCATCACATTATTGAAAACCTTGAACAAACAAACTCAGATGAAATAAAGCGGCTGTTTGAATAAAAGTAAAGGCTCCGCACTGGAGAATAACAAACTATTTGCTTTCTGTAAAACAAGTGGCAGTAAATATAAAAAAAATGTTAAAAGGGTATGCAGCTGCCCCAGTGTAGTGCCAGTACAAAAGCAGCTCTAAGTTTAAATAAATAAATAAATACGTGGCTGACAGTGTGTTCATGTCTGTGCTCACCCAAAGTCATGCAACACTCACAGAAATCGCCGATAGTGTGAACCAAAACACTCAATATGAAGAGGTTGTTCACCCTGCTGGATGTTTCTCCTCTGAAGCTGCTCTCTGCCTCCATCATTGTTTACTTTCCTCACGAAGCACGTAGCAAGATCCGGGCATGAATCCGATCGCTTTATTAGCCTATCAGAGGCAGACAGGTGTGATGATTTGATTCGCCACGACTCCGGAAATGATTTAAAAACTACAGATTGTCCGCGCTCCTGGATTGGAAGGTTGAAATGCGTACGTGCTGTCCCGGTGAATCAGCTGTCTGTTTAAAAGTTCCCTTCGTCCCCAGCGCCTAGGCAACCAGCGTCCAATCAAAAGTGCGCACTGAGCGCTGGAGTTTGTTTCTTTGCGGAAGCGAATATGACTCACTCACAAGCAGCATGTTCCTATTGGATTACTACGGTTACAATGAATGCAGACAGACATGCGGAAACACGGTAAGCTAATGTAGCCTACATATTTTGCAGGGGTGAAAGTTTGTGTACCGCTGCGTACCGGCTGCTTTTTAAGTCTTCCTGGTATGGCGTACCGCTGTGTACCGGCTTACTTTCAGCCCTGGTAATATAAATAACATTCTTCCAGAAGTTCCAGAACTGATTTCTGACTGTGGCAAGACATCCACTCATCGTCCTGCTGCTATAAAAAAACCCTTTAGTAACAATTACTGAAAAAGAGAAAGCCCAGGAGCTGATTCCTATTGAGCAGCCTTGCAGAAACAATTGAGCCTGTCCACCATGAGGGCACGTACGGCTCTTTCAGCCGGTCAGAGTGATTAATCTTGTCATTTTCCCGCAGAGCAGGCAACATCAAAACATTGTCTGGATTTGTTCGCGGGGGCAGGAAGGTAAGCTGTTGGCAGCCACCCAGTAAGTGATGGAATGTGCTCCACTTTATATCTGATACTGGTCCTGAGCAGACAACAAGGAGGAAAGGCAAAAGACGCTACCCAGAGACCCGAGAGCAGGGATACTGCTCAGATGAGCCGAGAGGGAAATGCAAGAATAAGATCTGCTCCTAACTTCTTACAATTCTGCTTCACTGATCTGAAACAATAGCTTACACAGCAAGTTGAATTTCTTTGCCTTCATGAATTTATTTGCAACAAAACTGAAAGAGCAGAAAGGACACCACAAAATTGTGTAAGGTTTATATTTTAAGGAAGAGCAGTTATTTTAATTTTAAAACAGCATTGGTATAACAACATGCAATGCTTCAGCCTTCAATAAGCGGAGAATTCTGGATAAAATCACGTGAGATGGGGTGAGGTTGATCATTTGGTGTAAGGTGGTCAAAAAACTCTTCAGTGTGTCCACTTTGTACAGAGACAGGGAAGGAAAAGAAATGAGCAGAAATCACTGTGGCCTCATCCCCTGAAACTGAAGTGCACCAGCTAACCACTGTCCTGAACGTGGCTGTTATCCTCACTACAATCCATGTGAAAGGGTGGAAGTCCGAAAGCCTTTTTATTATATTTAGAGTCTACTAATTTTTCGAAAGGCACAAATCTGCAGCTGTAACACAACAACATGTATCAATAGATTGGTCATTTGTTTCTACCAGCACACAAGTTTGAATTTTTTATAGGGCTGGGCAATAAACCGAAAATTTACAGATAGTGAAATTTAGGACAATAACCAACATCATTTTGCCCATGTCAATATATATCAGTGTCAAAATAAATAAATAAAGGTTGGTTTTGGATGTGTGTAGGTAAGCTATTGTCTCATGTCTCTTTAAGATGCTGTCCTACGTTGAAGACGTGACTCCACCCCATCCAGTCCGTAAAAAGAGGGAAAGACATGTAAGAAGATGGAGGACGGTTCAAAAGTTGCAGCGGCGGCTGAAGTAGACAAAGTTAATGTTGGAGGGGGTGAGTAGCTGGTGGAGTAGTTATCGTCCATTTATCGCTATCAAGGTGAACTGCTCAATATATCAGGATATTGATTTGAGGCCATATCGCCCAGCCCTAATTTTTGATATCAGGCGAGTGAAAATCGTTCCAGGACCTCTCTACTGACACTAAAAACATATAAGGTGACCACAATCCACACCTGAGAACAGGTTTCCAGTGCTTGAATAAGCGTATCTAGTCTGTAAAGAACAAATAGGAAACAAATCACTGATGCAATTCTCTCTGTAGGTAAAGAGGTTTCATTAAACGTGACAGCTGCTTTGGCAGACTGTTAAGGTGCACTTGGGAAGATTTCATTACCTCCGTTATCCGTTTAACCCTGTGTGTGCTCGAGAGTATAAGAGAGGCAAATAACCCAAGAAAATTGTAGCTTACAGCGACACGGGAGTCGATGTCTATTTGATAAGCTGTATCTATTTCCTCTCACTCTGCAGGAGCGGATTGGTTCAGAACTTTCCTTTTCAATCGTGCATATCTATACAAACTAACATGACAATGAAAAGGGGAAATGTACGTGTTTCACATTCAGTATTTTAAATTTGCACAACACATACTGTGTGTTTGAGCTTCTGGACATGCAGTGTTACGAGCTGTATGACACACAGCTCTGAGGGGGGCTTAGGGGATATCTAGATGGACCCTCACAATCCACAGTGACAGCTCTTTGTAGTGGAAGCTATTCTTAGCTCTCCCGGGTCCCTTGTGGAGGTATGTTTGAATTGGAGCATGTAGACCCTTACAGGACATCAGGACTCGCCTGATAGGTGCTGACACCTATTCCCCTTTCTCACACCTGTCCATAGCACCAACACACGCCGTCAAACAAAGCAGGATCACCTCATTATCTCTCTTTAGCTTGGTTTCTTTTGTTTGCTCTGCAGGCCCATCTCATTAGACCCTTTTGATTGTTGTCTCTTGTTGATGCACTTTTGTCTTTTACTCTTTTTGGTGCTGTTGAAATAGAAAATAAGGGCGTAAATGAAGAATTGGAAAAAGCCTTTGTGTTTTTTTTTTCCTCTCATCTTCAGTTTCTCTTTCGCTCTCATTGTTTGATGACTCATAGTCAGCAAACCGCGAAAAGCAGAGACACAAGTTTTGTGATCCTGTCCTCCCTCTCCTTCTTCTCTGAAGCTGCAAGTCTCTCTCCCGTTCACCTCTCTTTAACCTCAATCCTGCAGAGTGTCTGTTATATGCTGCACTATATCATCAGTGAGCAGACAAAAGCATTCATGTGAGATAAAAAAGCTTCCTCTCCTTGAAGCACTGATAACTTCATGATCTTTCCTAAGAGCATGACTTAAAAAGGGCAATGCAACTGGTGTCAGATGAAATGTCTCCAACAATGCCTGGGAAACGTGCTCTGAAAGTCAATTCAACTTTGCTGCAGCAACAAAAAACAACACAATGCAACGCCCTCAAGCTGTACGAAAAGACAGACAGCACAACAGTTCCCCAATAATAAAGCCAAAACAACGACCGCTTGCTTCTCTAGTTATACCAACTTTAGTATCGACCGCACGATAGCAATACACAGCAGTCTGAGGAGCCATAAACAAACCTCAACCAAAACGCCACTCTATAGCCACACATAATGCTCAGAACAGCACCTAACTTCATCAACAGTAGATAAAGGGTCATAGTCACAGCACTAGCCACCAAACATCTTTTTACTTTGACTAATTTCTCTAGCAAAGAGACTAAACACAACTCACCCACTCTCTTCCAGCAGCCGCTTGTTTGTAGCGAGACCTCAACCAGTCCATCATCGACTGAGGCGGGGGGAAGAATCAGCTCAAGGAGGAATATTGATGATTTTTTATTATTTCCTTAAAGTAATTATCTCCATATTAATCATTTTTCACTACGGACGCGGTAGTTCTTCTGCCTTAGCGTCTCTGTCTGATTGCATTTCCATGAAGAAATGATCATAAATGTTCTTCCTTGAGCTGCGTGACCCCGCCTCAGTCTTAAAAGATGTTTGACGGCTAGTGCTGATGAAGTTAGGTGCTGTTCTGAGCATTATTTGTGGCTGTAGAGTGGCGTTTTGGTTGAGCACGTAGCTTTCTGTATTGCTATCCTGCAGTCGTTACTAAAGTTGGTATAACCAGAGAAGCAAGCGGTCGGCAGCATTCATCTCTCGAGGGGGTGTCTAACTTGGTGTTTGGGTGTGTTTGACCCTAAATTAATTTTACACCGGAGTATCCCTTTAAGCTCACACCATAAAGTCACAGTTCTCCTTTCTGAGACTCCACTTCTATCCGACACAAGAAGCGGAGCCTGATCCGAGAGCTCTTCTCAGTTTTATCTGCAAGTAGAACATGTGTTTTAGTTATCGTAGCTTCACCAGCTGACCTCCTTTAGCCAGACTCCAAATGTGCCAGATGTCAGCGCCTGCAGTGAGGAGTATTTTTGCTTTTAATGGAACCAGGGAAGTAGAGACACATTATCCATCTATTAATCTCTTTTTAGCATCTTTAGGCTTTATCTTCTTAGCTTATCTCTTTGGCAGTCTTTATTCCACTGTGTGAATGGATTGCACGAATCACTGCCTCCAACTCTAGTCTCCTAGGTGAAGTCTTCCTATGATCCTAACCCTCGCCACGACATTGTCAGTCTTTCAACGAAGCTGCCTAATGGACTGTCAGATATAATGAATGCCTGCTTTGAGCATGTCAAACAGCATACATTGGAGGTACTGGTGCTGAAGGTCCCCTCATGCAGATGAACAGTATCTTGTAACAAACGGGCTTGACACAGTTCTGGTTTTTGACAACCTGAAGGAGAACAGGTTGGTCCCTCTTCCTTTGATGTTTCCTCCTCGAACAGTCTTCAACAGATTAACTGTATGTTTACAGACAGTATGTTTGATGTCCGGGCAGATTGATTATCTAGCACTAGACTCGGTCTGTAATGGATCAGAGATGAACAGGAAAAGCAAATGTTTGTGGACAAGGAAGGCCCTGAAGGGTTTTGCAGCCGGAGTGCTGATTTACGTCTGTTTATTTGGAAGGCATGGCTGAGTGTAGCTTCAAAGAAGATCACCGTCTTATCATCTGCTCCCTACACTAAAAATACTGTTTTAATGGCTGACTGTTTTGTTATTCTATTTATTTATATATATTCATTCAGCTGTAGGTAAATGGACCGCACTTTCATGGCTCTTCTATGGCCCTCTTCGGATCACTCAGGGCAATCATCATTATGTTACATTTAGCCCATGACACAGCGAGTTCACTTGGTTCATAATGATGCTCTTCTCTAAACAGCTCTGAACAATGTTATATAAGTCTTGTTAGTCATCTGCCCAGCTCAGTAATTCTGATCAAATTCCCTCATGAGTTGTCAAAATTAACTTTCTTGCGACAGGAAGTCTATGACATGGGCAGATCCGTTCCACTCGACTCCCTTCAGATTGAAATCAGAAGATTTAAAGGGATATTCCAACGTAAAATAAAGTTAGGGTCAAACACAACGTAATACCGAGTTAGACACCCCCTCAAGAGATGAATAATGCAGAGCGCTTGTCTCTCTAGTTATACCAACTTTAGTAACGACTGCATGATAAGTGGCTGCTGGAAGAGAGTAGGTGAGTTGTGTTTAGTCTCTTTGCTAAAGAAATCGGGCAAAGTTAAATAGATGTTTGGTGGGTAGTACTATGGCTGGGACCCTATATGTACTGTTGATGAAGTTAGGTGCTGTTCTGAGCATTATTTGTTGCTATAGAGTGGCTTTTTGGTTGAGCATGTGGCTCTCTGTATTACTATCGTGCGTTCTTTAATCAAGTTGCTATAACTAGACAAGCAAGCGGTCGGCAATGTTCATCTCTTGACAAGGTGTCTTACCCAGAAATCCCACTAGATCCGGATAGGTTCCGCTCTGGACTGGACCAGCAGGCAGATCTGATCCACAACCGCTATCTGAGGAGAAGCGCTCGAGAGATTACCGATATTTCTCGCGAGACTGGACGAGATCTCATGAGCTCTCACGTGTTTCCCGGGGAGTCATAGAATGAGATCCGCCGATCGGTGTACATAAAACTCCCACATCCCACAACCCTGGCCTCTCCTATTATCAAGTTAAGAACAGTTCAGTGTATTGACTTTAATGTATTTTGAATATACATTAAAGTCGGGGCCGATCCGCTGCAGAGCCGGACGGATTCTGTGGGTTTTGCCTGTAACTCTGTGTTACAGTGTGTTTGACTCTAACTCAATCTTACGCCGGAATATCCCTTTAATTGTTCTGATAATTCAATAGTGAAGCAGCCGTCCTGTTGTTCTACATGAATTTAACATCTACTCAGTCAAAGCCACAAGAAAGTTGTCTCTAAGCTGGAGTTGTAAAGCATCAAGACAAGATATGCCGTGTGTACCATAAGTGGGCTGTAAGCAGATCATTACTTAACTCTGGCTCACCGCTCAGACTACTACTATATAAGTACATTAATATCTCGCTTTGGAGCCACAGAGCCTCACACTGACAAAGCACAAATCTACGACACTCACATGTGGTATAAATATTACAATATATCAAAGATGACCGTTAAATTAATGGCGTCTGTGGAGCTTTTTGCGCATTTGTGGACAGTGAGGCAGACGAATACTTAAGCCAGAGTTTCCAACCTCATGAACACACATGACAAATCAAAGCTGACATCAGACTTTATGATACCAACATTACACAGGCATAGAGAACAAAGTTATTAAATAAGAGTGCAGCTTTCTATGAGATAAAAATAAAATCTTCCTTCAGAGCTGATAGAGCTTTGAAACAATAGGACAGCTCCTCTCTTCTTCTTCTTCTCTGACAATCCTCTGCAGGCTGCAGCTGAACAGTCTCATATGGCGCACAGTACTTTCATACTCCATAGGGGAAAAAAAGATCAGAAAGCGCTCTCTGCTTTCAGTTATAACCCCTCGAGCCCAGATCTCCGTCAGGCCATTTAGCAATGCACGACGTATCGCATGCATATGAGCGGCGAATAATTATATAGGACATTTCAAAATGCAAACGCTGACCTCATATTATCATTTTGCTTCATTCAGCCACACTTATCATGATAATCTTGACCAGACATGTTCACCCAGCTGATCAGAGAAGCACTTAAAAAGCAGAAGATGACTTTATGTGTCACAAAAATGCATTAATATGTGTTTTGTATGCATTGAAGCACCTGAGCCGCCCACTAATGTTTTCAAATGACCACCGGGGACCACATAGAGCGAAACATTGCTCATTCATGTGCTGTGCACCTGCAAGCACTACACGGCTGATCCCTCTGCTCCAAGAACAAGCTTGCATCTCTTATGTCACCAGCAGATGTGCAGTGGTAGTAATGAATATGTTTGTTTAGTTATGTGACAGGTGTTTACCAGTTAGCCTGTTTATTAGCCACACTCTTTACCGTCAAGTTAAGAAGCAGCAGGAGGGACCAAGAGGCCACATGTGGTTATCCCGCTATTACGTGATGCTGCCCATGTGGGTCTAATTAGGATCACAGCTGGACAATTAACTCTCCAAACACTTACTTTGTATTCACTCCTGTATCTGTTTTTCTTTCATGTGCAGAATGGGAAGCCAATAGTTGTATTGCTGTTATCGAATGAAATAATTAATCAATACATTCCAGATCTATACATATGAGAAGAGGATTACTTGTGAAGAGTTTTAAAGTTTGTAACCGTCTTGGCCTCAGGTGAGGCGCTGTGACGGAAATGATTTTCTTTGCAAGAGGGTAAAACAGACAAATTAGTCGTTGAAATAATTGTTGTTTTTCCAGAAGCTTTAATTAAGTTCGGGGTGTCTTGTTTCTGTCTGAAGAATGAATTTATTTATTCCAGTCCCAGCTGGAATTCAGTTTAATTGAGACAGAGTGGTCTGATGAGTTCACTGTGGGTCTTATTATAACATTATGCAGTTACCTAATTCAAGAAATACATAACAAGTGAAACGCAACAAAAACAAATTTGCAAAAACAAATCGAATACTTCACTGTGCCTGGGTTTGACCTGGGTCATTTTATGGCCGGTTACACCTGACACCTGTCTGCATCACCAGGTTAAGTAGAAAAGAGAAATTTAGTTAATGCAGCAATTTCGTCAAATTAATGAACAAGTGTCTGATTTTACCAGAGGGCTAAGGGTTAGATGAACTGTAACACTGACCTTTCTGCTTAAGAAACTGTAAATTACCAGAGTCACATTACCTTGACATCCACTTAGATATTAACACACTTGGATATTAACACATCACAGACAGAGGACAAAGAAAAAAGCCTTTTTTTGTTTGTTTTGTTTTGTTATAGATATTGAACTTTTTCCCCCAACCTGTAAATCAGGAAACATCACAAGCTTAAAATAATTGACAACAACTCGTCTGTGGATCTAAATATAAGCTTGACAGCTGATTGTTATGAGAGTATAAATAGAAATGTTGAGTCGATGTTAATTTTGAGCTTGATGGATTTAGTTCGTCTGTTTTTTTGTTTTGTTTTCAGGTTAAGTCATTGTATTTTGGTTCATGAGAAAACGTGTGAATTTTATCGAACAGCTAGAAATATAAAAATATTGTATTTACCGATGACAGCCAGGGATTCCTCTTGTGTGTCCAATCCGTCCTCCACTTCTGCTCATCTTCTGAGCAGCATCTGCTAGATTGTATTTCCTCTCAGAGTGAGCGGCTCCGTTAGTATAATCCAACTTTCAACATGAAAATACTGCCTGCTTCGTTCAGCTTTGGAAACAAGTCCTCTGTCCTTCCAGCGACTGGAAACGAAGTTGACTGTTTCTGCTTTTTAACGAAATGATCTTAAAAAAGGAGGATCTGAAATAAAAGGGACTGTAAAAGGTTTTAGTCTGTGACTGTAGTTGGCTGAGTGAGCGCGAGCCGCACCGCTGTTAACTTGCGCTCCGTGTACCCGTGTGACGTCATGGGAGGGGGGCTGGACTGGGGAGTGTGTGTGTGTGTGTGTGTGTAACATGAATCCAATTAATGTGGTTTAAAACAGCTTAAAACTGATTTTTAGAGGGAAAGTCCTTCTTTGGAAATAGGGGAGAGTGGGGTAAGACGAGACATTTTTCATATTTTGGATCACTACATCAAGTCAATCATAGTTTTGTCTCTAACTAGTGTATCTGCATATATTTTAAGATGTTGTGCATCCCTGCAAACCAATAGAATGAGTGTAAACATAACTGTCTTGATAATTTAGCATGCCAAAAAAAGTGGTCTAGACGTCACTCTGATGTTTAGAATTTGGACGTCATCTGAAGACCAAATCTAGACGTCGGCACAACATGCAAAATAGATCCAAGATTTAGACGTCATTATTGGACCCTTTTAGCTGTTGAAATGACATCCACATTTGTACCTCATTGTCGAAAAAATATATTAAATAGATATCATTTCGACGTCGCATTGCACAGTGGGTAACATGAGAATGCCTTTAAGTGATTTAGAACATTCACAGCTGTATTTTTGAAAAGACAAAGTAAAACATTTCAACAATCTGAACTGAAACTCTGATCCTCTCATCAGAATACTTTACTTTCTCAGTTGAGCCACTGGCTTAATTTACCCCAGAACTAATATGGAACCTGGCCGAATAAACCTAACTCCAAGAGGCTAGAAGTTTAGCATCTAAAACAAATTAAATCTGTTAAATTATTCATTTTGGACCTTCTCTCTAACTTTATTACTAGTTTAAAAAGTGGAGTAAACTTTGCACTGCCTCCTCCTCGGGACGCCTCACATTGATTAGCTTTCAGTTGACATTTCCCTGAGCGGTTTTGTGGCTTTCACCTCTACAGGGCCATTTCTTACTCTGTACTAAGCAGAACCATGCATTTATTAAAGGGATCTGGTTCAGGAGTGGTATTTACTTAAAATGAGCAATTAATTCAATATGATTACCACTGTAATGTCAGCCTATAATACTGTGAATGGAGTCTGCCTTCGAATCTGGACTTATGAGCAGGAAATCAATCATATGGGACATGTAAACTGTGTTTGGGGCGTTGGTTCAGATGGATGTGTTCACTGAGGATTAGACTGAATGAGAGCTACTGAAAATGCATGAAATGCTGTCTGAGTTTCCAGAAATTAATGGAGATATTTGAGTCTGGCCTGATATAGTATACTGCTCAGTCTGGGGAAATTCTGGGGTCTGTCATCCAGCTAAACAATCACTTTGCCTTGCAGAGAATTTTTTGCATTTCACACTGTGACCACAATCCCTCCCGTGACAACATGCATGAAGGTAGAAAGTTTCTGAATAAAACACTCTTTCTCTTGGAAAACACACACAGTCATACAACTTTCAACATGAACTTTGCCCAAAAACAGAGTTCAAGGACCTTCAGCGTGAGTCAATAAGCCCATAAAGAGACAAAGCCTGATCCACTGAAAAGATTTCTCCTTAAAAGGCAATATTGTTAAACAGTTTCCTTATCTTTATAATTAATGGAAACATAATCTATAATTTTTTAGTCCTGCTAGATATAAAATGTGCATTCAAGTCATGTTAGACATTTGTATTCTTTCATGCTTTCACCTTTTACCTTATATGCACATTGTTTTGTGCCTCAACAGCGATTATTTAAGATGTCCAGATTTGAAAAGAGGCAAAGATCCTATCAGCTGATGGTAGTTTGTAAAATCAAAGATACGCAATTCAGCTTGACTGAGCACTGATGTTGAAACCGCCTTGAGCTCCCTTGGGTTCGAGTGTCACACAAGATCAGTACCTTCAATTAGGTGAAAATGATGCACCTTTCTGACCCAGAACAAACAGCATCTGATTAAATACAGTTACAAACTAAATTACTGAAACATCCAGCTTGACCGTTTGTTCACAGCCACTTTTCAAGTCAAGTGATAGAGAAATAAGAATTGGCACCATCTTTGAAGAAATATCCTTGAGCCCTGCAGGTCACAGACTAAGTATGATTGGAACCGGAGTACCTTTATAATCCAACAGAGGGAGCCAGTGGCACAATGCCAACACTGTAAGACACACAGCAGAAATATTAGTGACAAGGTGAAGCAATATGACGCCCTGAAATCTGCTTTTAAATGCATGAAAAGATTACAAGTCGCATGGAGATGTTGTTCTGTTTTCTTATATCCTCCACCTTCTCTTTATGTTCTCTTCACTCCCTGCAGGGTGCAATCTCTGCACTGTTATCTGCACAACGCAGGCATCTGTCAGCACAGTAGTGGGTTAATATTTGAAGAGAGATTGATCCTACTGCAAAAAGTAATGTAAACACTGGATGTCCAGTTAAGATAAAAATATTTTTTCTCTGGATTTGAAGCCTCACAAGGTCAGAATGATAAGCTCCACAGCACCAGATAAGACAGTAGGTTTCAAATGTCTAAACTAGCATGAACACACCCTCATTCTCCAGTTGGTTAAAATTAACTTTAATGGCTGTCAAGGTATTTGTTTTCATCAGAATGAACGGCTTATGCAAATCTCAACAGAGATAAACTTGTGCAGAGACAAGGTTCAAACATCTCTGTACGCAAAGTTCCCAGTGTAGGGAACAGTCAGCGTGGAGGTGGGACAAGGTCTAATGGCAGTGGGAATAAACAGGCAGGGGAACAGTGTACTTTGTATTTGGGTCGCCTGGGGTCTGTCCTGCGCGCTCTCTCTGAGACAAGTTTGTTTTCAGAGTCTGGTCACACTCTTTGAGTCTGGCCATTAAAGTGGCATTTGGCAGGAGAGCATACTCCATACAAGATAATAAGATCAGCGCACAGAAGGCATCACAGAGAACGAAGGCTTTTGATATAATGGACTGAAATGTTTGGGTCGATATCTTCGTTCATTTCTTAGCAGATATCACTAAATCTTGTCTTATGGTATGTTTTAGAGCTACAAGGTATCGCTGTAAGTTCAGTTTTTTTTCTTCGTTATCGTGGTCCTTAAGGTTGTTTTTCCCTCGCTCTGTGAATGTAATTCACAAGATATTACATTTAGAGCCACAGCAAATAAAAGCTGGGGTTGGACAAGTGAGTCGCAGAGTACATTTTGTAAGATGTCATAGTGTTGCAGTCCGACAAAAGTTCGGTCCGGGTCTCTAATGGCTCCATACTTTCACCTCTCAGTCGTCATTCTCTGTCAAACTGAATAAACTGCATGTCCGAGAAAGAAACTTTGACCGGTTTGACTTTGAAAAGAGAGTCCGCAGCTGAAGACCTGTAACAGCACGAGGTCGGTAATGTGAGTGATGAAGCAGCAGCACGTAATGGAAAGGCACACATACTTTCCCGAACAACTTAAGGCGATATATGAACAGCCATTGTGTGTATGTTTCCATCCATACCATAATGTGTTCATGTGACGGCCTGAGTGTTTTGCAGCGAGTCCTCCATCAGCATCAGCAGTGGCAGGGTGTTCAGAGAGGAGCTGTTAGCTGTACCGTCATGCTGAAAGACTATCAGCTCTGTTCTCACTCTAATACCTCTGACAGCAGGCTGGCCAGAGTATGTGTCCCTTGGGGAGCCTGAGGCATGTACCGGCGTGGGAGGCATCTCCTATCAGACACAAACACTCTTTCAACATGGTATAGTGAAAGTAAAATCACATTCTTTAAATGAAGACTCTCTGGAGTACTTTAATAAATGACAAAAAGGCTGGTGTGGTTGATTTTTAGACACCAAAATTAGTCTCGAAATCTTTTTTGGAGAGCTCTGTAGCCACGGACACAACCCAAACAGTTTATAATTATTCTGTGAACAGCAGCAGGCAGGTGTTTATTTCTGTTAACCACAGAAGCACAATGGAGTCCAGCAGCCCATGTCCCAGAGTATAAAAATAGCTGTTCGGTGGATGGTCTTATCAGAGTGTTCACACCACTACTGACCAACACAGATATTTTTTTTTGCTGCTTGTCTTTGCAGTTTCACACGTCAAGCCATGCCAACTCTCTCCTGCGCTCAAGTATTTCCAATTATGTATTCAAAGGCGTAAATGGTGTTTTTTTTTTCCTCCACACAGCCATTCAAAAGCATTTCCAAAATGTCTCAAAGGTAATTCACAATTTTATTCTAGATCTGGGTGGTCCCATGCATCGCTACTCAGATTTGTTAACCACCATTAAGAGATTTTGAGCAATCAGAGTCAAGATTTAACACAGCTGATGTGTAAGAAAGGCAGGAAATACAGACTTTTACTAACTTGTGAATCGGTGCATGAACTCCATGGGGTTTCAACAAGACCAGCCAAGCAAAAGTGGAAGTCCACACGATCAGAAGGACAAATTTCCTGGATCAACAAGTTGAGCCAAATCAAACCAGTTTTTGAACCGAACACGTTAAAAAAGGACTCTTAATTTTTCTCAGCAATGCTTATTTTCATTAGATCTGTCAGCTTAAAGAACTTATTTTGTCAAAGAGAGTTAAACATGACGCTCTTGTGACTGTTAGAATACAGTTTTTTAGTTCTGTGAAATTTTGTCAAGTTTTCAAGATCATAGGGTGTGAAAATGACTGACAGCCCCTGCTGGTTCAACCTGTACATCACACTATCAACTAGGCTTGCCCTGATGTTACATTTGGATTCGACTCCATCTAAAGACACAGTAGCAGCGGAACACAGGAATCCAGACCCTCGTGGTATCAGCCAGATCATGCTAGCTTTAAATGCTGGGATTTGAACCCATGACCATGTACTGTACTGTTAGACATCAGTGTTACCCATCATACTAAGGCACCACTATACCATTGTTGCCTGTGTCAGTATAACTATGTACATTTATCTACTAAAAGGGATTACAGCCAGTTTAAGAAGAGGTTTCAATAATCAACACTTCTGTCAGAACAGAAATCTTAACAGGACAGAACTGGTCACTATAACTCCAACAGTCACACCAGAGTCTGAGGTCTTACCATAATTATCCTAATACATGCACACTTAAAATTCAAGAGCAGCTGAGTCGACTAAGCGAAAACAAGGAGTTGCTGGGCACTACAGCAACACTTTGGGTATTTCTAGGGTGAGAATATCCTGATTTTAAAGGATGTTTTGGTTCTATATTTTTGCCTGTGACGGTTATTTACTCAATTCAGACAATTTAGACAACTGAGGCTTATTATTGGATTTCCCTCTAGAATATTCTCTAAAATAGATGGTAGGTCTTTAGTACGTAAAAGGAACAATCACAGCAAATAGCATTATGTTTCAGGAATATTTCTTCTTAATCAAGAAACCCTGAATTATATTATAGAAATCACTAATGAGCAATCATACAAAACGCATTTTTGATACCTGTGGTTCTTTTTTGCTTAACATGGACTCTTGCTATACTAGAGTACCTGTTCTGTGTTGAAATAATGATAAGGATACGTATACTTTTCAAATGCTGTAATTGACATGCACTCTGTGTATGAGAGATGAGGCTACACACACAAAACAAGGAAAACTGAGTGGCTGAGAGATGATAAATGGTAAATTGTATCTTTGAAGAAGTCAAAGGTATCGATTCAAGACGTCCATGGCATGCTGAGTGCTCTCACAACAGTCATGCATTTGAAATACACACCCAACAAAGACCATAAAAGGCAGAGAAATACATAATTGAGGCCATTCAGCTTGTACTGATAACCTGAAGCTTGTGAACTGAATAACAGCACTCTTCAAGCGTACATATTCACTCTCCAGCAAGGCCAAACATCATGTTCTGAAATCTGTTCTGAACTGAAGGTCAAATTTTAATGGACCAAGGTTTGTGTTTGTCTTACCTCACCTATGTGAGGTAACAGCAGTATGATGTTTTCATATAGAACTAATAATGTCAGTGGTGAACTTTGATCAGAGTAAGATGATGAAACATATGTAATTCATAGTATGGTTTACCTTGAGGAAACTACCATTTAACATACGACTGGTATGCAGTAGGAAAAAGTCAATGTTAGTCAATACAACTTGATGGCTGTAGTTGAGGTAACAATAAATCAGACATTGAAAGTGCTCAAAGATACAAATTAAGTGATAAAGTTTTGCTTTTTGTTGTAAAAATTTAGTATAATTTGTTTCAGAAAAAAATTGGCAAAGTTGTTTGGAAAACTTTTGATACTTGATAACTTGATATTTTAAGTTAGAGGGATAGTAAGCTTTGTACCCTGAGCTAGTGTTGTTATGTTGGCACTACTAAACCACAATAAGTGGTTAAACTCAAAATAGTCAACGCGACTAGTTCACTTTTTATTTCAAATTGAGACAACTGATCACTTTTAACAGTGTAGCGTGACGTTGCTATGGCTGTTACACTTAAGATAGAAACAAGTAACAAGCAACTATTTTTTCCAGCTGCTGGGCTGAATGCTTATCTCTGCAAAACACTCCAGGTTTGATTTAGGCAACTACCTCCCCTTGATGATCCCAGCTTGCTTGTTTTGTATCTCATCAGAGTGTAATTGCTTTGTCAAAATGACTCCTGTGTCGAACATCTAAAAAAAGCCACATAAGAGTCAATGTGACCCGCTCCATCAAGTGAGTTACAGTGATGTTTTTGTATTCATTTACTTCATCATGAGTCACCTCTTGATTCTCCCCTTATTACCCTGAATATATTCTGTGTATGTCTTCCTCTTGTTGTTTTTGTGCTTTCTAGTGTCTCCTTGTTTAAGCAGTCTAACTTGTGAGTTTCCTCGTGCAATAATTCAACTTTTTGCATGCTCCTATTTGGATTGTTTTTCCTTTTTTAAGTTAATTTCAAGTGCACTGACACTGGAGGGATTGAATCCTGTCTGTTTTTGCACACATGCTCTTGTGTGAGACGTGCATTTTTGGATCCATCTCGTTTTTTCCTTTGGTTTGTCAGTTTGTAGACAAATAAGACACCTGATGTCAGCATTTCAAATATTTGCACTCATTGAAATCTTGCCTGTGTGCAGAAATGCCTCTATAATTGTAGGGATTATTAAAGTATTATCCGGATGAGGACTTGTTGTATTTCTGACAGGCTGCCACTCCTCCCTCTGTGTGCTGCTTAAACAAACAAATAATTCTGCAAGCAGCTTTTGTGTGTCCTGTCATCCCTGCAAGAAGAAAACGATCAAATGCTGTGCAAGTCGTACACATTCATCGTCAGCATGATTATTTTGACTATTGCTCCAAAATGCATTATCCAGCAGTTAAAAACAGCACAACAGCATTTTTCAAAATCCCCCTATAACAGCTGTATTGACTTGAATCATGTGCATTTCCTCTCTTATTGAATTAATCACTCAACCAAACACGGCTCAGCCACTACTTAACCCAACAGGCTCTGTGTGCAGGGGATCAATGAGAATTTAATTATGCGTGTGAAAAGTGGACGGAGAAGATAACAACACAAACAAAAGGAAATTAAGGAGGCTGTTAATAAATTGAATTATAAACCTATTAACGCTGTCCTTCAAAATAAAGTTCATGAAACTCACACATGAATTAAAATAAGATCTTTAAAGCCTATTTGTCTTTGGCTATGAGCTGCTCTGACTCGATAATACCTCAAATACGCTCAGTTATCTGTGTCTGCAGGTCTTCGCAGCAATATTCATTTACTTGTGAAACATTTCCAATGTGTCTGAATTATTCCAGTGACTAATTACTTCTCACGCCTTTTTCACTTTCATTCTCTCCTAAATCTGTTGTGTTGATCGGATTTCAAATATCACTAATCGTCCATGTTTATCGCACAAAAAGAGTAATTAGGAGCTCATTCTGTCTCACAGTGGTTTATGCATCTCAAAAACTGAAAAATATTTAACCACATCCTGCTGTTTGATTCCATAATTAATCCCATTACTGCTAAATGAAACCCAGCGTTGTTTGTTTGTAAGTAAGCCACCCGATGAATGAGCAGCCTTACGTGTGGTAATTGCATGTTTCAAGAGGCGTAATCATAATAACGGGTGGTTGAGCTGATGGGAAACCAGTCTTCTGATTTTGGCAACAGACCATGCAGCTTTGCAGTAATCATCAACATCCCATTTTAAAGAGTCGGTATCTGTTCACTGCATGCAAATTTCTCATGGATCTGAGCCTCTGGGTAGAGCACTGGGGCATCACGAGCCGCTCACTGAGAGAGCTTCTGAGAGCATTAAAAACACTGTGTGATGAGTTTTATTATTATTATATATTCAGTTCATGTAGAGTAAAAAAAAAAAAGTGCATTTTTCCCATTAGCATTCAGATGCAGAAATTACCAGCAGCACTTTTGTCATACTAAACCAGTTTCAGAGCACAGCTTAAGTATAAACCGTGTAGATGTTTGTGGTTGCTTAACAGTTTTTATCCTCTCATCTCATCCTCTACTTGTAACCAAACCCGTTAACCATCGATGTTAGCTTTCATGCTCTCCAATGCTATTATAAAGTGTAATATTTCTGCCACATTTGCAAAAGGAAAAAGTGAAATTAGATTGATTTAAAAAGGTTTCGAGTGGTGGCCTCAACCACCACTTTGTGCTAGTGTTTCTTTGTCTTTAGGTTTTAACACAGTAAATTTGTTTCAGTTAAGATAAATGACATAACCCTTTTTTGTTGTTAAAATAATTTCACTTTTTTGCATTTATGGTAGTTGTATCGTAATTTGCGTGCACATAGTTCAGTCAACAAACCGTCACATGGTTTAATTTGAGTTGATATCATTTCAAAGTAAACTTACCTTTTTGTTTGTCTTTGCTGGAGCTCACCTGACTAAAGGCTGTCTGCAGCTCCAAGATGGCCTCTTAAGCCCTACCCACAGGAAGTGGGACAGACCATCCAGGGGGAAGCAAGTAGAGGTTTGGACTTTTGATTCTTTATTAAACTTTTGTCTTTATTCTTTCAGGTAAAACAGAGTATTTAGTTTAGTTTAGTTTTTTTCTGTAAAAAGTTGGTTTGGATAATATGATGGTGTTTTTCTGAGTTTGTTAGATCTTTAGTTTGTAGTCACCTTAATTTCCCCCTTGTGTTCAGGTTGGACATGTCCTTTGTCTATTTAAACCTCCAACATGTATCACTTAGTGGGTCTGTTTGATTATGTTTGTTGTTGGTAGTGTGGGCCCAGATTTTGTTGATTCTATACCACATTAAATTGGATATTTTGTTATTGATTTCTGCTTTTCTTGAGTAAAATTAAAGGATCAATATCTTTTTCCACACCTTTGTCCTTTGCCTGGTTACTTGGTCCCTTGCATTTCTGCAATCAGGTTGCTCTAGATATTCAGAATTACTCACCTCTGTTACAGGGTTTCGACCAATCAGGATCGAGTTTTTAACACAACTGGGTGATTGCAAAAAAAAAAAAAAACATGAAAAATGCTGGATGATGACCATTATTAGCACAATCATAATGGACCCAAACATTATAATGACTCAGCAGCAAATAAACCCAGCAACACATGAACTCAATGACATGTATTAAGAACGAGAGGTCAAACCATGTAAAACAATGAAAGCAACCAAACAACGTAGAAACAGCAAAATCAAAGTATCTATGAAAGATAGAAACATTTTGAAAATGGAGGTATCCATTAAAAGGATTAAAGCAGTAAAATGAATACAAGTAATAAAACCAAATAAGAACCATGAAGTTTATGCAATCAAATATATAAAAAACAAAGCAATAAGATGAATGGAAGCAATAAGTGAAAAGCTCCATTTCAAAAAGTCAAAGAGAAACACTTAATCCTCTCTCCTCCTGTAGTTGCTCTGTTACCAATCACTCAACAAGGTCGATGATTGATGATGGTTTCTGCAGAGTGGGTGCTTTTGAAAACTTCCAGCTTTCCTCTCATCTCCTGACTGCCATGACACACAAAGGTTTCCGACCTATTTCATCAATAACAGAAAAGGAGCTGGAAATACAAAGGGCTTTTTTTTTTTAAGTCACTTTTTCTTTCCTTAACGCATATCTGGTCGTTAATCTTCCACCTGTCTGTCCTTTTGTCTCAGGATTATTTTTCACATTGTCAAAGAGAACAGAAAAAAAAATGGATTAACATGAAGAGACACAGTAGAAAAGATAGAAAAGGAAGCTACTATAGATGCGCTGAGAAACAGAGGTGTTATGGGATCAATGCTAATGCTAATCCTGATGTTTGGCTGGTGTAAAATTTACAATATTCAACATCTTACTTGATAAATTATGAAGTACAGCTGGGGTTGGTGGGAAAATTGTTTAGCACCAAAGATGACCAAGTATTTTTAATTCTAACTTAATGATTGTGCCAGATGAAAATTTAAAGGATCAGCAATTTTTTATCAGTTTTTTATGTGGGGAAAAATAAAAACAAGGAGTCCAGGATTCATCCTCAGGGGACCATGAACATCTGTCTGTTGAGTAGTTTTAAGATGGACAAAAACAGGAGACTAACAGGTAAACATTGCCGTCTATAAAGCGTTGCAGTTAGGTACTCATGTTGTTGAAACTGAAGCATGACTCTGTTGAACCTTTGCTGTTAAGCCCCTGTGAGCAACTTCCACTTTGTGGGTTTTGGCGCCCCCTGTGGTTGGAGTTGGACCTCTTATATCTTCATTGATTTCACCCTGTAAATCTAATCTTTGTTTTTTGTTTTTTGTGCAGAAAACCTTTTCATGTTCAAGCAAATAAATTGGACCGACACCAACTCCCCTCCAGGAGTCTAAAATAAGTACATGAAAATGAATGTTAACGGTCTAATTTGCTTTTGTTTGTTAAGGAAACATTGATATAAATTTCAGTGTTTCAGAACAAGCTGAAAACTCCTTACAGAAGCTTTGAAGAATATATTCATTACTGCTATATTCACATGGTTGACATTTACACCCTATCATGAACAATTATTCTTAAAAGCACAATTACAAGGATTTGAAACACTGAAAACAACATATTTACAATCATTTTTGTTCCATTTCATTAAGTTTTCTGGTTTTTGTGTTCGAACTGGTGTTTATTTCCTGCACAGATTCAACACAGACTCATATTGTGGTCTCGAAATCTTGATTGCTAGGAGGGAAGCATGCACATACAAATGATTCTGATTGGTGATAGATACTGTAGTCAACCCCCTGCATTTAACAACAATACATTTGATTCTGTTTATTCGAGGCAGAGAATCTAAGAAAGCAGGAGGAAAAATCCTAACAGCATGATTTTACAGTACGCTTATATAAGAGATGAGTCATCTCTGGGACAATTATATGAACCCTGGATTGGACCGGGATAATGTCCTGTGATGTAGTGCTTTACTCTCAAACTTCTTTGATTTATCCTTGAAATATCTAATTTAAGGAAATTCGTCCAAGATAAAAGTTTATATTTTATGTTTTTGTCTTATTTCATTTTATTCTTATAAAGCATATCCTCTACTGGGTGGATAATTATTATACTTCACGCTGCGTTTGTTTCTTTGTCTGCATTTGTTTCATTGGTACAGCTGGAAATAAAAGGAGATAGTATATTCTCTGTGTTATTCTGATTCACAGAGGCAGGGTTGATCAGATATTAGTTTCATCTCTGTGCAAAAGCAGGAATTTTTCTGTGGCTTAAAGGGATATTCGGGCATAAAATTAATTTAAAGTCAAACACACCATAACACCGAGTAAGAACCCTATTGAGAGATGAATGCTTGCTTCTCTAGTTATACCAACTTTAGTAGCAACCACACGATATGAATGATCATAAATGTTCTTCCTTGAGCTGCGTCACCCGGCAGCAGTCCGCAATGGACTGGCCTGAGGTCTCACTATAAACAAGCGGCTGCTGGAAGAGAGTAGGTGAGTTGTGTTTAGTCTTTTTGCTAAAGAAAGTTTGGTGGCAAGTACTATGGCTGGGACCCTTTATGTACTGTTGATGAAGTTAGGTGCTGTTCTGAGCATTATTTGTGGCTATAGAGTGGTGTTTTGGTTGAGGTTTGTTGATGGCTCCTGAGACCGCTGTGTATTGCTATTGTGCGGCTGTTTCTAAAGTTGGTATAAGTAGAGAAGCAAGCGGTCGGCAACATTCATCTCTCGAGGGGCTGTCTAGCTTAATGTTACAGTGTGTTTGACCATAAATTAATTTTACGCCAGAATATCCCATTAAGTATGTGCAGGTATGTGTTAAAAAGTCCAAACAGAAAGTATTATATACATTTAGATTGACTCAATAAAAGCTTAATTAAACAGGGTAACCACAGGGTCGTAAAAATTCTTAAAACATCTAAAATCCAGTTATTTGAATTTAAGGCCTTAAAAAGTCTAAATTTACCTTAAAATCTCATCAAATGTCTTAATACGATGTTGAAAGGTCTTGAAAATGTAGTAACAGTACTTACAAAAATAATGTGTCATAGGAATAAAGATTGATTAGAAGTGATGTAAGATGTTCCAACAGGCAGGTTCCTCATATTAGGGACAAATTTATGATAAAATCAGCAGAAATTAAGTGTAAAATGCTGTCACAGAAGAGTGCCTTCAAAAAGTTACCAACACAAACATGTTGTTGGAGACGAAGATTCAAAAGCCGTAAGAGCCTCAGGAAATGTGTTGAATTATACACATAAAACAAGAGTGGAACAGAAATATAATGATGCCCCAAGGGTCAGCTCACGCCTGAATTCATCACCATTAACATACAACTTAAATGTGTGTGCTCATTCAAAACAATACACATCACTGTTTTTGTTTTTTAATCTTCCAGGAACGAGACAAAATGAATAAAAGAGTCAACCTGGCCAAGAAAGGCTTCTCCGGGGCATTTAATGTCATCTATATTTGGTGTCACAGAAATCACAGACCACTACTGCCCCTACAGATCGAAAAGAGTCAGTGCAACCAAATTAGGCTTCCACGTTTTGTGTGTTTGTGTGTGTTATCCTGGTAATTTTCACGTCATTGACACGATGGATCGATGTGGCTTTTGTCCTCATGTTCACACCAGAACAGGACATTGGGCTCTTTTCACCTAAGCAGTGACTAAAATGCAATTAAGCACTTTGTAAAACAATCAGTCCAAAACACATAAAAGGCTGAACACAATTTAATCTGTCTCCATACTTGGGTGCTAAGTGATAAACACTTCAGAGTGAGTCTCGAGCAGCTCGGTTTTAGCTGAAATGCTGCTGAAATCTGTTCCTTTTGTTCTTGTGCACCTGTGTTCATTGTCTCCAGTAACAGAGCTGCGAGGATGAAGTGAGTGAGGATGACACATATCGCTCCAGGAAACCCACAGCATCATCGCCAGACCAGTCCCATGATGCTCCCTCAACCCACTTGTCAAGCTCAGTCTGACAGCCCAGGAGACAAGGGAGCAACTCGTATTTATAACCTCTGGCGCTGTTGAACGATGGTGGGAGACATAAACAACTCTCTTGGATAACAAAAAAATGTCTATGTAACAATACAGAAACAGAAACCACATGCAAATGTACAGGATTAGCATGAAAAAATAGAGAAAAATAAAGATTAAAAAGTAAATACACAAAGAGCAAATTAGCCCTAAATGTTATTTTATAACTAGTGTTGGAAAGAGGAGGTGAGTGGATGTTTGAGTAGCATTTTAATACTCTAGCCGCATAAATTAAGTATTTCAGCCCAGATCTCAGAGTTTTGTCCCTCTGGTGGGTATTTATTGGAGTTTTAAGTGATTAACAGTGCAGGAAAAGGTAAATACCTACTTTGCTGGTACTTTTTTCCTCGTTTTATATATGAAATATTATATTCTGCTTCGCTTCTTTGGGCTTCAGGATAGTTCAAATGGGTTTTGTCCAATTGAAACTGTGCATTTTTTGGTGGAACTGCTCAACAGTGAAAGTGAAAAGCACCTGAAAGCATCGCAATAACAAGGGTTTGACTTAAAGAGTTGGAAATCCTTTGGGACATCAAAAACCACCATAGATCCTCCCCTTCTGGTCAGCGTCAAAACCCGGGACACTTTGGAGACTTATAAAGGAGTCCTGACACAAAACGCGCACTTGTGTTTGTCACAAACTGCATCACAGTTTAGGACACCGAGCCATACTGGTGAGTAAACTTAATCTAGATTTTTTAATGCTTTACATGCTATAAAATTGAACCTGTATTTTAATATTTATACCAATATTTTGATACTATTTACAAATAAGCATAAAATATATTTTTTTCCTCAGGATTATCAGCCTAAACCTGGAGAATGAGTTGAATATTTTGAATGATCAAGTGTGGATGAGTTGAGTTTAGGGTTTTCACTCATATCAGCTGCAAAATTGTGACATATGAGAAACATTTTAGCATTTTAAAGCAGAAAAAAGCTCCAAAATTCAATGACCACAAGGAGTACCAACACTTCAGATTTCACAGTTTATACTTGAAACAGAAAGACCTAAACTTTACAAAAACTGCACATATTTGCACACAATACATCCTTATTGTTATTAAGATACATGATCATTAAAAACATTAAATGTAGGAAATTAGGACAAGTTTTAAGGACTAAAAAGATGATAGAAGTTTAAAAACTGTATGCGTGTTTCTAGTTATACAAACTGGGAAAGAAATAGGCAAACTCTCAAAGTCGAATACTTTATCTTTAACAAAAACATCCACCAATTGACTCAGCTTCCATTTGGCAGTAAAAACTTTGCCTTTAAATGTTAATGAAACATATAAAACATATTAATTTTACTGTAGGGTGTTCAGACACAAAATAAACGGTAAAAAAATACAGTAAAATACTCTGTTTTGTTTATCTCTTTTCTGTAGATATGCCTGCAGAAAACCACGATTGATTAAATCTGCCACCTACAGGGACCTGAATCTTGGCTAAGAGCTTCACTCCACCGCCAGTGTGATTAATCCCTCAGGAGTGTGTGTGTGTGTGTGTGTGTGTGGCCGCAGGTAGAGCCGGCAGCAGAGAGAGGTGAGAAACACCATCCACTGAGGGAGCGAAGGGGAGGAAGGTCCACCATTAAACCAGAATAGGTCTCTTGATGGCTGTACAAGGAACGATCACAGCCTCTGGCTCCAATAGTCCGTTCAGAGGAGGGAGGGAGGGAGGGAGGGAGCTCAGGTGTACTGTGTGAGGAGAGACTCAATATTTTAAAGACGTTGTGTGAATCAGCCTGAGTCAGAGCTGCTGAAAATAGTCCTTAATCCAGGAACAAAACCTTGGTTTGAATTGCAAAGTAAAAACCTTGCAGTCCGTGTGTTCATGACGAGGTTTGAGACAAGATATAAGGGCTTGAGGCCCATGAGATTTATACGTTTTCTCCTTTTTCTATGCTAATTATCATTCCATTGTTGAACACATTTGTTAGGCAGTTGTTCTTTGGTTAGAAAATGTCATAAATGGTCTTTAAAAAGCACCAGAATCTACACATTTCCATCCATAAAGCATAAGCATTGTGCTGTATCATAAATCGAGCTGCTCTTTTATTCTGCTGTGACAGGGTGGGGCTTTTAGTGAGGGTCTCTCAGGTGAGTTAGATGTCCCTGTAATCAGGGAGTTAGGTTCCCAGAGGAAGGTCCACAAAAGCACAATAACAAGAAAAACAGCCTGAGGAAAAGCCCGGACTGTGTTTGCTACATGTTTTTGCTCTCCAGGTTCTGTGTTCGCTTTGTACCTTAACTCAACTGAGAATAAACTTCTCAGCAGACGGATGAACCGGACTGTGTCGCTTGTTCTCGTATAAAAAAACATGTAGATGTGATTATTGACAGAGACAAAAACATATACAAGATTATGGCTGAGTGAGCAGCTGTCCAGAAATCTGTGCATGTCAAATACTGATCATCTGTTGCCCTTCTCTTCACCCCTCAGAGTCCTGATCATGGAGAGAAACACATCCTCGCCTCTCAATTCCACTTTTCTGCCGACTCCATTCCCCACCAACGCTACTGCTGACGTCAACGCCACCGTGAAGCCCTTCAGCGTGTTTGACGGCTGCGATCATCAGGTAGAGGGCATCCTCTTTGACCTGACTATACAATGCATCAACGTAATCGTGGGAATCCCTGCTAACATACTTGTCATAGCAATCCTCATTCATAACCGTAAAGAACCCTCCACCTCAGACATATTCCTAGGCTGTCTGGCCTTCATGGACGCCTACTTTGGCGCCATGACCCCTGTCAGCTTCCTTAACCTTTACCACTGGCAGAGCAAAGAGGTGTGGTCCGCCCTCAAGTTCTCCTACGGTGTGAAAGACACCAGCGGGCCGTTGTTTCTGTCATGTATCTGCTTAGATCGCTTCATAGCCGTGCTCTTTCCGATTTTGTTCGGTCAGCTTAAACACATCAAGTACAGGCTGAGCCTCTCAGTGTTGGTCCTTCTCCTCACCTTTGCCTACTCAGCAGCCAAGGCGGTGGGAGGCCTGCCTAACTTTGAGAAGGTGTTCACTGGGGAGATTCTTGCAACATTTACCTGGATGGTCCTGTGTAATGGAAGCATCCTGTGGGCCCTGAAGAAGTCCCGTGGTGCAGGGAAAGATGAGATGCACCCAATGAAGAAGAAGGCCTTCAAGCTGGTGCTGTCTATCCTTTGTATCATCGTGTTTAACTACCTACCTCCTGTAGCGCTGTTCCCCTTTGAGGACTACTACTCCCCGGATGTGTTTCGCTGCTACGTGCAACCTGTGGGCTTCTCTTTCCTGAACATCAGTAGCACCATCCAGCCACTCGTCTATTTGTCACGTCTGGAGAAGGTGCCTTTCCTCCCAGACGCCTGTGTGAAGAAGTGGTGCCCCTGTGTCTCCTCAGAGGACAAGAAAAGCCAGCCGACACAGAACCAACAGGCATAGCTTCAGGATGATATTTAACACATTTAACCTCCCTCCTGTGTTAGGTTTTACTACGCACGCACTATGTTAAGAGTCGGTTTCGACCCATGTCTTAAATCAGCTGCTATCAGCTAATTTGGGTCTTATCTCTAGGTTACCTTTTTAGGTTTCATTATCCATGAAAAAATTGCTTAAAATAGTTTTTATAGTGAGTCTCTGGCCTTTCTTTGTCACTGTACCCCTCATACAGATGGCAAAATGAAAATTTCCTAAACTCACATGATTGGAAGAGAATCTGGCTGTCAGTGTGGTGCCTGACAGTGCTCAGATGATTTTAGTTTTTGCTGTAATTATTAGTTATAATCTAACCGGGTCAACAGCGACCCTAACACGACAAGTGCCATGATTTTAAAAAAAGCATTTTATAATTTAGTCAATTTAATTTTTTTACTTTTATTTTGTTGAAATCGAGGTTCCTGACAAAGTCCAAAAGTCTTGATGCAAAAAAGCTAATTTATTTGTTTTTTTTTTAAGCATTTAAAAACAACAGCAGGGTTGGTGCAGACCCTAACACAGGAGGAGGGTTCACCATGTGAATAAATCTATAATTCAACTTAAAGATGAGGAATGCTGTGACACTTTTATTGTCTTGACTGATTTATTATTAATTTGCTATTTCCAAATGTATGTTTTATTGAACAAAAAGTTTAATAGAGTAACAGAGAGCATCATCAAGAATGAGACAAGTGGGAAATCAAAGTTAAATTTAACGTTTCATGATTGATCATATATTACATTAATTCATTTAAACGGTGTGAGGTTTGTGTGTTCAAAGCAGTCTCTGCTTGAATAAAACCCTTCATGATACTTGTTTGACTTTGGCGCCACCCTGTGTACAAAGAGAAGAATAGACTGTACTGTACAGTCTGTAACAATAAATATACACATGAGATCAGTGAATAGATGCTCCTCTTTCCCTGCTTAGGTTAACATAAAGATTAGTATGTGTGATTGTGTGTATAAAGTGCATGGTGCCGGGCAGGTTTTGGTCCCAGTCCAGTGTAAAATAACATGTTCATTACCCACAGACAATATCTGCACAGCAGTAAATTCGTTTGCATGAATCAAAAGAAGCCCAGTAACTCACCAACCTAAAACTTTTTCATCTGTACAGCTGATTTTGAAAGTGCATACCATAATACAGCATTTCAGAAAGTTTACATAACACAGAAAATGACCGCAACAACCCGAAAACTTTGGTATATTTTCCACCACTGGTTTAGTCATGAGTTTGTTTGGTCTTTAGCCCAGAGTTGATTTCAAGTCTAATTTAGATATCTTATTAAATTGACCTACTTTTGCATCACCAGCAGCACAGAAATCATGTGCTCTCTCTTTGGATGCTTGATAAGACGACTCATGTTGCTGTAATAGCTGTCTGTTATGTATTATATGAGCCAGGTGATATCTAAGTTAGGCTATAACCACTCGCTACCTGATGGTAGTACACTTAAATTTGTGCAAATGCTGAATAAACAAGACACACCAAAGTGAGATTTATAGGTTTAGAGGCAGAACTGTCTGCCTTTAGGATGAGCCAGACATGCTGTTTTCAATCTCTATGCCATATTGCAAAGCTAATGGGCCTCTGGTAGTAGTTTCAGACATGTTAGCTGCATCAATCCTCTCATTTAGCCTTCTGCAGAAGAGCATTCAAGTGCAAAACCAAAAATGTTAGACTTTTAGGAGAAAGAAACAGCTCAAAAGAACTGTGTGAAAAGAGAAATGAACACCGCATCCTGTCATTTACCCTTTTCTTTTGCACTATTAATCTACTTATTGGCGCAGCATTGTAATAAGTACCTTTTCTGGCATTATTCTCAGTGGATGACTGCTCTGTGTATAAAAATATGGAAGCAAAGATTCTTTGAATGTTGTTGTAAATGTGTAAATCGTTGTGTTATCAGCAGTGTCAGAAAACGACACTGTTCCTTTGTTGTAATCCAGCTGCACTTTGACTTGTTTGGGCGGTTTTGTAATTGTCAGTGAGGTGGGGGGCGAAGTCATCGCCCTGAGCTCTCCATCCCGGAAACACAGTGTCCAGAATCCGTTCTCGGGCCGAGCGGAGATCTCATTGTTTCTAGGTACGGATGAAGAAGCCACACCCAGAAGCCAGTCCTGATTGCTTCCTGTTTCCACGACCCAGTGGTGATTTCCGGAGCCCAGCGAGGCCGTGCCTACCACCTCAGCGCTGATGTGGAAGCGCTCGGGGTTGTCAGGGCAACAAGTGGCCTGCTTTGAGTAGTGGAGGGAAGTGAGGTCCTCGGACAGGATGAGGCAGGGGTGTGCTGTGTTTGGGTCCAAAGTCACCGGGGCTGAAAGACAGGAAAATGGTCATACTTAAAGACTTATATATTTAACACATTTCAGATTTAACAGTAAAACTCTATTGGCTTCTAAATTTGAGAGAAATTAAAGCAATGCGTACTCACTGTAATCTATCTGGTCCAGCATGTTCTCCCAGACTGTGTACTTGAGGTTGGCAAGATGCTTGGTTATGTCAATCAGAGTCCCTGACATGTGGTCTGAACCAAGTGCTACACTCTTCCTTCTGGGATGAGAAAAGAAACTTTACACTGAGGCAACATGTCAAGGCAAGACACACGAACACACACACAGCAGCTTTTCCAGCCTTACCTTTCCAGAGTGGATTGGAAATTCTAGAAAAAAAGAAAAAAATCACGTGAAAGTGGGAAATTTTAGATTGAACATTGGGTAATGATTAAAGTTTGATGTTTACTGAAGTGTTGCCAACCTTAAATAAGACCATGTCATCGTATTTTAGATTGAACATTGGGTAATGATTAAAAGTGTGATGTTTACTGAACTGTTACCAACCTTCAATAAGACCATGTCATCTTCTTTAATCTGCTCCTGTATGACCGAGATGATCTCTGTGAGGTTCAGCACTTCTGCTGACACCTCTTTTATTTTATCCTTCATCCCTGCGATCTTCTCCTCTTCTTCTTTTTTCACAGCTGCTATCCTGGCTGACTCCTCCGCGTGGAGGACTTGATGGAGCTGCTTGAACTGACTCTTTATCAACCTTTGAGTTTCCAACGACTGAGTCTAAGGAGTATAATTGCACATGTTTGGTTCCTTTAACCGCATTATTTCAACCCAGAATCAACTCCGTCATTGTACGCCGGGTTACCTTGATGTATTTGAACGTGTCCGCGGAGGTCATGTGAATCCTTTTGAGGTTGTCCAGTTTGTCTTGCAAGCTCTTGAGGGATAGAGAGAGTTCATCCTGAAAACAAAGCAGGCCTTAAGTGAGTAATTAAATAGCTTAATAGAATAGTGTCACCGTGTTAGGAGCACTTTGGATATTTTTCAGCTCAGCTGGTTTAAAGGTAACAATCAGGACAGACTTGTGGGACTGCATTCTACCTTTAGGTGTTACCTTAAAAACGTCAGGCTGACAAGTCAGTGTATTAGGTTGATGTTGCAGTCTAGGTCAGGAACACATTTATGTTTAATCCTTACCTTGCAGTCCACTGTTGCCTCTTCTATAGGTGAACAATCATGACTTTTGTGCAGCTTCGAAGACTGACACACCACACAGATGGGCTGTTTGTCAACCAAACAGAACAGTTTCAGCTTCTCCCCATGCTGGCTACAGTTTGTCTTGTCCTCCACGACCACCGAGTTCTGTCTCCTGACCTCCAGAAGAGCTTCGCAGACGTTCTTCAGAGCAAGATTAGAAGGCGCAGTGGACTTGGAGGCTTTTTTTCTGCACACTGGACACTCACGTAAGCCGTTGTCCCAACAGCGCTTCAGACAGCCCCTGCAGAAGCTGTGGCTACATGCCAGCAAAACGGGGTCTGAGAAAATGTCACAGCATATGGGGCATGTCAGATCCTCCTCTGGGAGTGACATTCTTCTCGTAAACAATCAAGTAAATCCACGGTTAGAAACAGCATAAATCCTCAGGTTTAAGTCCCTAAAGAGTCCATAATTCAGAGAACCCGGTTAAACTCGTCTCCTAAGAGCCTCAGACCTCACTGACTGCTCTCTATTGTTCCTCATGTGAAGTACCAAATGCTCTTCTTGGTTTTCCTGCATGACTTCTGTGGGAGTAACTTAAATCATGCAGCCGGGTGAAACAACACTGTATATAGCAGTGCTGGGAAACAGGAAGTGGAGTCCTATTGGCCAGCTGCTGGAGAGCTAAACTGGTCGGTAGCTTGCTGCATGTTTGGAATGTCATCTTTCAGGGTATGAATGAATCTTTTAGAGATGACAGCCGTGTCAGTAACCCAGGATTGATCAGATATCCCATTGCTTCATGGCGTAAATCCCCAGCAGTGATCCATTCAAACACAACCTAATTCATTAATAACTATGGGAGTCACAACACTGAGGCTAACACTATTGTTGTATTAGCTGTATTGTGTCTGTTTGTGATCCAAACTAGCTAAACCAGCTCGGAGCAACTTGGAATATATTCACACCAGCTCAATTTCACTAAATGAAGCCACAAGATGCTTATTCAATTAGATATAAACATGTTTAGTTGAATAGATGTGAAAGGTTATTGATTAATCCGATAAGGATAGTACATACTGGGTCTTTTATGCAACAAGTCTTCTCTTTGTGCATATTTGGTTAACAGGACAACAGAGCTTTGTATTGAGGATTCACACGGTCACGCTGCCAGGCCAGGACTTTAGCACTTACTTTTTGTTCATTCTTTTAAACTAAAAGAAAACAGCTGCATGTAAAATAGGTGGCAGCTAAAAATAGATGTAACGCAGTGAGCACCTGCTCTGAAAGCTTATTTTGGTGTGTCTGAAGAGCCTGTTTTTGCGCATGTGGGAGCAGCTTGTTCTTCCAATGACATCTGAAGAATAAATTGGATTGCTCCTGGATCCTTATCCATCAAATTTTAGTGAAGTGCCCACACTTTGAGGATTGGCATTTATTAGACCCTTTTAGGGGTGTTGAGGAATTGCTAAATTTCATTTCTGCATCCCTGAAATAATAATGAGAGGGGCGTGTGCCAGGATTGCACCAAGGCTTTTGAATTCAACTAGTGTTTATTACAATCTCAATCATATATTCAAGCTTTTATTTTGGCGGGCACAGACACAGAAGTTACAGGTGAATAGCTGGAGAGTAAGGCAACAAGCCACAACATGAAAATGAAATACTACAAGTTAAAACTGTGCCCTAGAGATATTTGCCTCACCTCATTCAGGTAGTTTCGTCCTCTGGATCTCCTGCCAACTTTAGTTTTAACGTAGCATCCCATTTAATATTGAGACGTGGGGCTCGGAGCTGCATAAATCAATGTACCATGATTCTGAAGGATGACAATTTTACAGCAAAATATCACATTTGAGCTCAACACAAAATCTAAATGACATGAAAGGATGCAGAAAGAGGCTTTTTTACTGATAAGTCACAAAATAGATCCAGCTAATTAACATAAAACAGGTGGTAGATAAAATCAGTATTCCACTTTAATAATATTATGTATCATTTTACTGTATTATAATCATTGATGGATAACTATTTTGTTTTGTTTTTTTATCCATTTGGCCTCACTTAATGCGATTTTACATTTCATGTCACATGCTCCCATTCACACCACATTCACATGCTGATGGTGGATGCTTTCTAAAGAACCCATCAGTATTAACTAATCCCATTCACACACTGATGGGTGCAGCCAGCAGAGGCCGTTTGGGGTCAAGTGTTGTGCGCAAGAACACAGCATGTCGACAGTCGGGGACAAAAAAAATACATGCTGTAGTTCAGTGTTCATTGCAGTTTTTAAGACTTTTAGTATGTTTATCAGTATACTATCTGTGATGAAAAAGAGAAGAAGAGTTACCTTGTTTGACAGTCGTGAGGAAATTTCTATTAAGTTTCCTAAGTTTTTTACCAAGAAAAAAAAAGGAAAAATCCTCTCTATGTAGGGGGGACCAGGGCTTGTTGTCACATGGGTCAGTTGTCACATTACAACTATCTTTGCCACCAGAGGGCGCAACTAAAAAATGGAATACTAGTGTTATTCCTTTACATGGTCAGGGGTCGTATCCTGTCTGAGAAGAGAAGAGCACATTGTGAGCTGAGATGAGTGCCAATTAACACTTTTACAGAACCCAAAGTAAAGAAAAAATAACTATATATTTCAAAATAAGCTTCTTCAAGATGAAAATCTGAGCAGTGATACATGTGGACTTGTCATGTCAGACAGCTCTCCAAACTCCGGAGTATGTTCCTTAATATTTTATATTAATATTATATTATATTATATTGTTACAGTCTGGCGTCCTTGTCATGACCACCGACTGATGCTCTGCAGATTATTTCATCTGAACATTGTGAACTCAGTTGCTAATCCCTGGATCTGCAACACTGTTACAGCTGCAAAACTTCGACCTTGATGAATAGCCCTGCTGTGTGTGTGTGTGTGTGTGTGTGTGTGTGTGTGTGTGTGTGTGTGTGTGTGTGTGTGTGTGTGTGTGTACAGGCCTCAGACCGTAAGACACTCCTCCGTGCGTAATTGTGTGTAGTGTGCGTTTTGGGGGTGTGTGGGTACACCCACTCCGTGAGAATAATAAGAACCGTATGGATGAGTGATGTAGCTGCTCCTCGTACCCTATCCGCCATCTCCACGGGTCCGGGTCCCTCCCTCTCTCCTCCGCTCTTTGGTTTCCATGGAAATGACGTCAAGTTGCACCACCGATTCAGCCCAGTAGACGGTCTAAGAGGCGGTGCAAGAGATCTCGGTCATTCGACGCAGGAACCTCCACCCTGTGAGACTCCGACGCCGATTCTCCTCTCTCCTGCTCAGGCATCTCCATCCGTCCAAAATGCGCGAGATTGTGCATTTGCAAGCCGGTCAGTGCGGAAACCAAATCGGAGCCAAGGTACACAGTCTCTTATTTGATAGTCTAGCACGGTTTTGGTTCATGCAGGGGCGCTTCAGTGCCGCTGAGAGGAGCCGTCTAATCCATCTTCCGAGAATTCTCTAGAATAAACCCACCCGGTGCGATGACCTGCTTTGACTGAAGAGTGGTCGTGAAATGAATGAAAATTATTTATTCATGCACAGAAGCTTCTCTCATTGATTCTTCCATAAGGACACCTGATTTTCTGCAGCTATAAATCAGTGCGATGATGCAAAAAAAACTTAATACGCTTAAGAGTTTGATCAGCTTTTTGTTTCTCTGAAATTTGTTAGAATTCTGCAAGCCGTGATATAGGAGATTATTGGTAGAAATAATGTAACCATTGTGCATTGTAGATCAGCTCCCCCTCCCCCTTCACATTTATGACCTATTTATACCTATGATTCTTTACAACCCAGTTGTTTACGAGAAATGATAACTTATCCATTCATTTCAGTGTCAGTAAAACCAATTCTATGGCGTTTTGGTCTTCTTTGAGCTCCCATATGTTCTTGTCACATCAAAGTTAATGTTACTTATCAGATTACTGCAATCAGCTTGATTCCTCTTGAGACTGTCTGCATTTCAGACTAATAGATTGCACTATTAACCTGCATTAGAGACTTAAATACTCTTGCAGCCTCTCTCCAATAATCGGCCTACTTTAAGAGAGCGTAATTTTATTGGGGCGATTGGAAGTTTGGTAGCAAATTTTGCCATAATTTACATTTTACCTTCCAGGCAAAATAACATCTGCTTCCCCCTCCTCACGGCCCACACCCATTTTTTTCCTCAGTTCTGGGAGGTGATCAGCGACGAACACGGCATTGATCCCACTGGCACCTACCATGGAGACAGCGATCTGCAGCTAGACAGGATCAGCGTCTACTACAATGAGGCCACAGGTGAGTCCTCCTTCTGAATGTATTGCATGTGTGTACAGCAAAAATTTCCAATATTGTGTTCTCTTTTGCTTGCTCCTAGGTGGAAAGTACGTGCCCCGTGCCATTCTGGTGGATCTGGAGCCAGGGACGATGGACTCAGTCAGATCTGGTCCTTTTGGGCAGATTTTCAGACCTGACAACTTTGTCTTTGGTAAGCCGCGTTCATTCAGTGAAGATGTGCTTTCTTCTCTTGACATCAGATCTGATTTCCTATATCAGTGAGCTCTGATAATCTTGATTTTAGGTCAGAGTGGAGCTGGAAACAACTGGGCCAAGGGACACTACACCGAGGGAGCAGAGCTTGTGGATTCAGTCCTAGATGTGGTGAGGAAAGAGGCTGAGAGCTGTGATTGCCTCCAGGGTTTCCAGCTTACCCACTCCCTGGGTGGTGGCACTGGCTCTGGCATGGGCACCCTGCTCATCAGCAAGATCCGTGAGGAGTACCCCGACCGCATCATGAACACCTTCAGCGTGGTGCCTTCTCCTAAGGTGTCTGACACTGTGGTCGAGCCCTACAATGCCACTCTCTCCGTCCACCAGCTTGTAGAGAATACAGATGAGACCTACTGCATTGACAATGAAGCTCTCTATGATATCTGCTTCCGCACGCTCAAACTCACCACCCCCACTTACGGAGATCTCAACCACTTGGTGTCTGCCACAATGAGCGGGGTGACCACCTGCCTGCGTTTCCCTGGACAGCTCAACGCTGACCTCCGTAAACTAGCTGTCAACATGGTGCCATTCCCACGTCTGCACTTCTTCATGCCTGGCTTCGCCCCCCTCACCAGCAGGGGCAGCCAGCAGTATCGCGCCCTCTCTGTGCCTGAGCTCACCCAGCAGATGTTTGACGCCAAGAACATGATGGCCGCGTGCGATCCACGTCACGGCCGCTACCTCACCGTGGCCGCAGTGTTCCGGGGCCGCATGTCCATGAAGGAGGTGGATGAGCAGATGCTGAATGTGCAGAACAAGAACAGCAGCTACTTCGTCGAGTGGATCCCCAACAATGTGAAGACCGCCGTCTGTGACATCCCACCCCGTGGCCTCAAAATGGCTGCCACTTTTATCGGCAACAGCACAGCCATCCAGGAGCTCTTCAAGCGCATCTCCGAGCAGTTCACTGCCATGTTCCGCCGTAAGGCCTTCCTCCACTGGTACACCGGTGAGGGCATGGATGAGATGGAGTTCACTGAGGCCGAGAGCAACATGAACGACCTGGTGTCCGAGTACCAGCAGTACCAGGATGCTACCGCCGAGGAGGGCGAGTTTGAGGAGGAGGGAGAGGAAGAGGTCGCCTAAAACCTCGGTCAACCCGGTTTCAAAACCACATTTCATATCATCCATCCCACGAGTTTATCCATTTCATCCCTCTTCCTCATAAATCGAAAGGTCCGCCACGCTCTGGAAAACTGTTACCATCTTGATTGCTGTTGCTCTAGTGTTAGACTTTGATGTTAACTGATACTAGTGAAGTTTGGTTTGATTATTTTTAATGTTTTGTGAATGCACTGAACTCTTTCACCCTTTTTCATCTGTCCTGTGATTGCAAATCCCAAGAAGCAAGTGATTTAACTGTGAAGCTCTGAAATTGGAGGATTATTAAAATCTGATAAGAAAAGACCTTTTTTATTGCCTCTGAATTTTTATTGATGTGTTATTTTCCTCCCTTTTTCTTTCTAATTACCATAGTGCTGACGGTGATAGTTGTTATTTGATGAAGGTTAACCTCAGTGAGGGTCAGAACATGGTTCAAAGGTCGGCAAAAACCTTTTCTGCTCTACAAAGAATCTATTATACCCACGTGGTAATCGCTATTGCAAATGAATTAAGCATATGACGCAAAATGAGACCAGAAAAATGAACAAGAATGTTCATAGTGCTGCTAAATATCTCGCATGGATTGAAAGAGTCAAACACCAGAAATGAAAATCCCATCCATACCGCTCTCCACAGTGGCTGCTGCATGTAGAATCAGAGTGGGGGGAGTATCCATCATAAAAGCAAAAAATACTCTGAATTCTTCAAATGAATCCCACCAGTGGAAAGCCCTGGAGTCATGTGACTGACTGTAATGTAAGTTTTAACAATGAACAGTGCGAACAATTAATCTTTGTGAAACTAATCCAGCTCTCGTGATTGAGAAAGGGAGATTTTTCAGCAGCGTTCCTACATTATTCCTGTGAAAAAAACAGTCTGGGTGGAGTATACATTCCCTGCTTGTTCTTCGCTCAGCTGAAATGTAGATAAGCTTCCCTTATCAGTGGCACGTTTTACCAGATATAGAACATATTCACCTACATAATTCTCAAAAACAGACTAAGAGGCAGGATATACTTCATGACCTTCTTATACCGTGCCAAAAAGCTCCGTACAAGACCAAACTTATTGACAAAACATTCATTTAATATCAAGCACTTGTAGCAAAGTGTGGTTAAGCTGAGAGCAGCCATGCTACAACTAAATGATTGTATTATCTCATGAAAACATGCTCATTTATCTCAAGATGATAAACCTATTACAGGAAGAAAATCAAAGGTAGCTTCCTCTTAGTGCTGTTGTTTACTGGAAAGAAGGAGGGCCGTTCCTCAATGCAGAGACAACATCTTGGCATCTAAAGCAGAAAAAAAACAAGATAGCTTTGAACAGCAGCAACATGTAGTTTATTATATTACTAACCAACGTTTTGGAGCAGTAGGTATAATTCCTCTCTTTTATTTTTGCCATTTTTCTCTAAAAAAATCTCAGTTACCCCAAGACACTAACAGTGACTTTCGCGTTTCATGGAACTCACAGGAGGAAATCCATGCTGTGTCCAAGCATCTCTCTCCCCCATGTTTCAACTACTGGAGCCAAACTTTTCCCACCTTGCATGGCTAGCAGGCCTTCTTATATACCTCTCTGTTTCATCACGCTATGATTAACTGTGCAAGTTCATGGTCTTAGTCTTGGTCTTGTATACCGGACCCTTTCTTGGCCTGTTTTAACCCTCTTCCTGTGTTAGGGTCTTCACTGACCTGTTTTTTATTTTAAATGCTTAAAAAACCCACTTAAATTAGCTTTTGTACATCAAGACTTTTTGACTTTGTCAGGAACATCTATTTCAACAAAATAAAAACAAAAAATTAAATTGACTAAATTATAAAATGCTCTTATCAAAATTATGCCACTTGTTGTGTAAGGGTCACTGTTGACCCGGTTAGATCAATACCCAATAATTAGAGCAAAAACTGAAATCATATGAGCACTGTCAGGCGCCACACTGACAGTCAGATCCTCTTCCAATCATGTGAGATTTAGGAAATTCTCATTTTACCATGTTTTTCCCTGCACAAAAAAACAACATTGGGCATGTCCAGACATGTAAGATCAATTCAGTATAGATGACAAAGAAAGGTCCAGAGGCAATATTTTCATGGATAATGAAGCCTAACAAGTTAACCTAGAGATGAGAACCAAATTGGATGACAGAGAAATGATTTTAGTGTAATTTGCAGCTGATTTAAGACACGGGTCAAAACCGACCCTTAACATAGTGGGTGCATAGTAACAGCTAAACAGGAGGAGGAAGGTTAAGAAAGGTTGCACACGTTAAATACTTTACAGCAGGATGAAATTGGACGCAGAGATGCTTTAAATGTTTCAGGGCCTTTGCTTCATAAAATAATTCAAACACAAACTTTTTTTGATTTATTTGACAAAAGCATAAATAGGTGATATTTAAAAATACAGTATCTGCTTGATTAAGATGCATTTTGCACTGCTTGTTGGACTTTGATTACATAAGGAATTTTGAGTGTAAACAATTTGAAATAATCACCAAAACCCCATTTGAACTCCAGCTTTTTCTAAAACTTTGTATGTTGATAAGATGGCAGATCACAGCTGAGGTAAAGGATCTGTAGTTGATGTAGGTGATAGTGAGCCATGTTACACAATCAAATCAAGAGTAGGTGCATGGTTAAATGTATATTAAAACATAAACAAGTAAAATATCTCTTCTCTCAAATCATCAATTGTAATAAAATACTGCAGATATCATTTCATTTAAAATGAAGAAATGTTCAAAACCTCCTTGAAATGTTCTGTTTTTTTCTTGAAATCAGTTAGATCCACTCATCCAGGTGTTTTTCTTCTTCTCTGTAGTGCCTTCCAAGAACTGTTTGATGCTTGTTATAGCGTTGAAGTAAAACATCACATTTGAGCGAACACACTTGGCAACTTGTCTTTTCTTTCATGTATCAGCTCCGAGAAAGAGCCTCGTCACACACTCGCGCAGCACAAACATCTGCAACCATTGTTACTGTAGGATTGCGTGCAAACATGATGCACAGAATCTCATATCAGTCTTTCCTCTTTTGGTAATTTTAATGCATCTGGCGTCACTGTGCTGCACGAGCCAGACTGTTCCTCTGCGCTGGGTCTATATGTCCCTTCAGTTTGTCTCTTCTTTTTCACCACGCAGAACAGCCAGGCGAGAACAGCCCCGACTATGGCCAGAATACTCAGGGTGACCGTAGGGGCAACAATAGCTGCGATGTCTGTCTCCTGAAAATGAAATATACAGGATAGCGATTAGATCAGTGACAGTGGAGATGATCAGATTAATAATGCTGGAAAAGTTGTTTACTCACTGTGGTTTTATTGGAGGTTCCACCTGCAGCAGTGGTGAAATTTCCTGTGAAAATAAAGAAGTCACATCAGGAACACTGTGCGAACAACACAAACATTACCGGGACCAAAGCTGCTTAGCCAATCTTGTGAACGCTTTATTTTTGTTTTTACCTCTCGGCAAACCAGTGAGATATTACAAGAAAACATAGACTGTGTAACCCATCGAAGCTATGACTGATCTCTCTGGAGTTCTGTTTCAATTTACTGGTATTGTTTGTCAGTTTGGGGAATAATCTAGTGAGCTGGACAACTTTCCAGGCAACGAGCAAAGAGGGATTTCATGGTCCCGGCCAAGAAGCAGTAAAGCGTGACAAAAACACCCCCTCTAAATTGTTAAAGTTGCAAAACAGTTAAACAATAGAAGCAATGTGTAAATAGAAAATTATAGAGGATGATAACTGGAGCATCATTCTGAACTACTAAGTTGTTTTTTTGCAGCAATTAATATTTTTGTCTTTCCCAATACTCCCCTACAAATGTGGCAAACTTTTTCCTCATCCGTACACTATAATCAATAAATAAGCTTTTTTAGCCTAATTTTATTGATTTTATTTCTTTAAGTGATCTCTGTTGATGTATTTTCTTTCTCCAAGACTTACAACACTGATTTAAAACTGAGGCCTTCGGTTAGTTTCCTGTCAACTTTCTAGCTGTGCATCTCCTGTCTTAGTTTTCTTTTTCCTTTTTGTTGTATATGGTTTCATGACCAATTTAGGCAAAAAAGAGATGCTTTAAAGGTGCTACTAGATTGATTTTTCATACCTTAACAACGCAAAGCAAGCTTGGTTTCTTTATTTCCAGTCATAAGCAGCTGCATATTAACCCATGGTGGTATTTATTGTCTCATCTTAATTACAGACCATTTTGGAGAAAGGGAATAACATACCCCTAAAAGAAGCATTTTTTCTTATATCAGGTGTAAATACAGAAAAAAAAAACTATCCCAATAAAGATGGATGAAAATACATGGGGTATCTTCAAAATCTTGATCTGAGATCATATAACATTTTGCACACTCTTAATTCAGAAGTGACAGCCTACCTTATCCAATAAATACATTTTGGTGAGTAACAATCTGAAACACTTAAACCATATACTTGGGACTTCCATCCAATAAGTGAAAATGCAGTGATCCAAATATCCTGCCAGTGTTATGCTGTTTCCACAGGTTTCATCCATGACTGACCATGTGATCACTCAGGGACATCACAAAACTACATAGTAACTTGACCAGGAGAGTGTAGGAGGAGGAGGAGGATGAGCGCAGGAATGCAAAGTGTACTGCTGTTGTACAGTCAGCTGAGTCAAACTACAAGTTCACGAGCTGTAGCTTGTAAATATGGAAAAACAATAAGAATGTTTGAATAAGGCGTTAAAAATGGATCAAAACTAACTTCAAAGGGCGGGTATTTGGGGAACTTATACCCCTCACTGCCGTTTTCTGAGTCAATCATTCACAGGGGTAAACAGTAAACTTTGAAGGACTTTGTAAGTTCAACTTGATAACAAAAAGTATGGGTTAAGCAGGGGGCAGTCACGCTCAAGAGAGAAGGCTGCTCACTGTGAAACTGCATTGTCTTATTATAGGAATATAGATATTCTTACAACATGCTGACAAGCCTGTGTATGCTTCAGGTTTACTTGGAAGCCCCCCTGTGTTTAATCTTTCTATTAATCATTGCAGAATTTTATGGCATATTTGTGTGTGAGTGGGTTTGTGTGAAGGTGTGGTTAAATGTTTTGCTTATGAAGTAGTGTAGAAGATAAAGGGATGGTTACTGACTCACCCCATACAGGATTATTGCTCAGCACCAGCAGTAAAACACTCCCAACCACGACTCCTCCAGGTACTGCCATCGCCTCTGGACTGGCTGCCATCTCGTCCTGGGACCAGCAGGCCAAGTGAGGGCAGACTGGGACTCAAGGGGGGGGATCAACTTGGGTCCATTTCTTTAGATCCAACGCTCACTGCGTGGATTCATCTGAGCTGGAGGCACAGTGTCACAATGTTAGGACAATTTGAGGTTACTTTGACACTATGAGAGGCTCCTTTAATGGGAGGCTGAGTCAGAAAGTGTCCACCAGAACTACTGAGTCACTTAAAGCCTGATGTTAAATCACTTTAAACTCCCTCAGGACAAGAAAATAATAGGTAAGAAATAACACATGTATTTGAAACTGAGTGCTTTAAAGGGGGAGATGAAAATATGTTGACAAATAACCTACAGTACCTTCTGATGAGGCTGTTCCCAGGTGATCGAAGCGAAACGGGAAACATCGAGCTGGTTAATTCCTCACATATGAACCACAGTGCTTCCGCTGCACCTTGCCAAAAAAATGAAACTACAACAAAACACAGTTCGGCCCAATGAAAAAAGACGAAAAACAGTTCACCTGTAACTTAGAAAGACTACATGAGTGCCATCCTCGTCTGAACTAGCAGTTGGTTTTTCATGTAAAACAGTTTTTTTTTTTCTCGTCTACTCCTCGCATCGCCATTGGTCACATGGTTGAGTTTCGTGTTACATTACCTGAGCGCAGTTATCCACCTGCTGCACAGCACACAGACAGTCCTTTGTAGAAGAGGAAGGCGGTTTACTGAAGCAAAACAGACCCGATTTCTCCTGTTACCCCTCAAAAAGACTTCTTTAAGTAGACTTTATACTGCCTAAACAATGACTCCAACGCCATGTATCTTATGAATCTCCTAAATCTTGACTCAAACTCGACTTTGTTCAACTGCTTCACACACCAGGTTGCACCCACTGGAGTACAGTGTTTGACTGCACTCCCTGCCCAGCACTTACCTAGCAACCTGTCTGATAGTGGTGGTGTCTGTATAAAATAGCGCCTCCCTCAGGTTTCAGGTTGCCCAACATGTGAAAGGATATCAACATTCCTGAGATATTTGAAGGATGAATTCGGCGGCCAGCTGGTCCAATGGGGCTGTAATCCTCACCTAATCTCTCCTTCACAGACTCAGAGGGGCAAAGAAAATGTAGGCTGCTTTGGGCCTAATCTGGGGTGGTCAGATAGTTTTCATTTGGACAGTGTGAGAGGGCAGTGAGGCATTGATAATGCAATGGAAAATTACCCAATATTAAAGCAGTCAATCTGTTTGAGCCTGAGGAGAGGCAATCGGATGTGAATATACATTTCTGACAGTCTCTTTACAAATATGAAGCGTCCACTGTCTGTGCTGCAGAAAAACCAACACAAGCTGCAGTCTTGCTGAATTTTTTTCCCAGCAAAGGCTCATTTGTGTGCAGTGTGGTCATAATCCTTGAATTCAACTGCAGCTGGATCGGATTATAACCCACATGAAAATATTGGATGACAGATTTGCAGCCAGGCCTCCTCAAATTGACAACAGAGTGCATGTTCACTTTAAGGAAAATACTATACATTTTAAAGATGAAATTATCATTCTGGTCCCACAAAATTGCCCCCAATATGTCTATTAAAATCTAGGAATTCATCTTAAAAACTCAATCACTGAAAGTTCTCTCATGGGCTGGGAAGTGTGCATGCTGTGTGTGTGACAACTAGGCCATGTTGATTTCATTTTCCTGTCCCTTGTTTTTTTGTTAAAGGGCTGGCATCATAAGCAGTCTATGGTTGGCATTCAAAAGTACCTCAAAATACCTAAATCATTTACCTTCTCTCATTCTTATTCTGTATGTCATCACTTCACCATTTTTTTAAATGATTTTTGACCAATTTAAGATGTGCTGATTTCTCCGTAGAGCAAAGCAAGCTGGGTTTCTTTCTTTCCAGTCTTTGTCCTAAGATAACCAGCTGCAAATTAAGACCATGGATAATTGTCTCACATTGATTACAGACTGTATTAGAGAAAAGGAATAACATCGCCCCAAAAGAAGCAACTTTTCTTATATTAGACTTAATACAGAAAAAAACAACTATCCCAATAAAGATGGATGAAAATACATGGAGTAGCTATCTTCAAAATCTTGATCATTTTCATGGCCTACGACTGGGAAGTGTGCATAATGTGTGTGACGATTAGGCCATGTTGATTTCATTTTCCTGTCACATGTTTTTTGTTAAAGGGTTTGCATCATAACTAGAATATACAGTCTATGGTTGGCATTCAAAAGTACCTCAAAATACCTAAATCATTTAGGACTGGATTGATTTAGGAGGTGATCAACCCAAGTCTAATCCCCCATTAGTAAAATCTCTGATTTAATTTTGAACTTTAATAAATTTTCAAATGATTTCTTTCGTTTAATGCTCAAAATAACTACGGTCAGTGAGTTTGTTTATGTAGGTTCAGGGCTCCCCAACCGAACCACTAGGAGGCGCCAAGAGCACTTTTGTCCTCCATCATTCGTCGAACAACATTTACGCACCGCACGTACCACTCGCTTGCCGTAATCGCAGTGGCGCCTGGGAAGGACAGCGAAAGCGGCGGGAGAGCAGCTCTTCGATCTGAAATTTAATCTATGCCAATAATGTTGGACATTAACTAGGAGATTAGAGTGTATTTAGTCACATAAATAAGGCGATTGGTTTAATAACGGAAGGCTGTTTCGTACATGCTGTTGTCGTCGGGGTGATTCTTTGAAGCGTTTCCCGGGAAAAAGGTTTTTTTTTGGTGGGCAACAATGGCGAAGGTACAGGTGTTGAATGTGGCTGTCCTGGATAACCCAAGTCCGTTTGGAAACCCTTTTCAGTTTGAGATAACCTTCGAGTGCATGGAGGACCTCCCTGAAGGCAAGTACTGTCTATTTTAAATAAGTCATTGTTGAATATCTGAAGCCAAACTGTGGGCTAGTTTCAAAGAATGCTAACTGCTAATGCTAGGTTTGTTAGCATGTTGTTATGGCAGAGCTGTTGTATTAGATCGCACAAGTATTCACTATACTATTGCTGGTTTGCGTGTGTCACACATTTTGTAGTCCTTATATGGTTGTACGGGTTAGTTGTCCCAGCACAATGTCAACAATTATTCATCTGATCATGAGAAATAATAAAAGTTTGTTTGCTTGTATCCAGATCTTGAATGGAAGATCATCTACGTTGGTTCAGCAGAGAGCGAAGAGTATGATCAAGTTCTCGACTCGGTCTTGGTTGGTCCAGTACCTGCTGGAAGACACATGTTTGTGTTTCAGGTGAGTATCCGTCGAGAGATGAATGTTGTCGACCGCTTGCTTCTGTAGTTATACCAGCTTTAGTAACGATCGCACGATAGCAGTACACAGCTGTCTGAGGAGCCACAAACAAACCTCAACCAAAACGCCACTCTATAGCCACAAATAATGCTCAGAACAGCACCTAACTTCATCAACAGTACATCTAGGGTCCTAGCCACCAAACATCTGCCTGGTTTCTTTAGCAAAGTGACACCTACTCTCTTTGAGCAGCCGTTTATTTGTAGCGAGACCTCAGGCCAGTCCATTACGAAGTGCTGTGGGATGACGCAGCTCAAGGAAGAACATTTATGATCATTTCCCTGAAGTAATCATCACCATATTAATCCTTTTGCACTGCAGACGCGGTAGTTCTTCTGCCTTTGCATCTCGGTCTGATTGCATTTCCATGAAGAAATGATCGAGAGAGTGTCTAACTCAGTGTTACCCTGTGAATTAATTTTATGCCGTAATATCCCTTCAATTAGAGGCTTGGTTTTCTCTCAAAGTGATACACTTACAGGTTAAGAGAGACAAATTATTAGGTAGACAGATTAGTCAAGTGGATGTCTTGTATTTTGACAAGCTCAACATCATAATCGCATTAGCCCCTCACGTGATCAAAACTGTCTTTCCTAAATGAACAAACCAGTATAATAATGCATTTTGGTGTTGACAGCCATGATCTGATATTTATGGCATACATAAATAAACCAGCATTTTTGTCTTTTCAATCAATTTGTTTAAAATCTACCAGAAAAATGCTACCAACTAAATTGACTGTGCATATTCGATTTCAATGTGCATGGAATCATGAATTTATGCATGACTTTATTTTTTATTAACCCTAATACTTAACCTATTTTTTTTTCCTTAATAACCTTGGATAGATAGCAGGACAGAAATACAAAAGTCCCTAGTGGCTAGATTTTACTTCACCAAATATTTTAAAAATTTAAAAGAAGGTTAATTAAAGTTCAGCATTTTTTTCCTCACTTTGGTATTATTGCTTCAGATGGATTATTAGGGCCACATTAAGAAAAAAATGACTTAGAGAAAATGAAGACTTTGAGAATAAAGTCATTAATTCATGAGAATAAGTCATTACTAACGAGAATGAAGTCTTACTAAAATCAATACTTATGAGAATAAATTTGTAATAAAATCATTTCTTAAGAGAATAAAGTCGTAATAAGGTATTTATTTACCCCAATACTCCGTAGTTATTCCTGTATTTTGTCAAATGCAAAAAAAAAAAAAGGAAAAAAAATCTACAAAATAAACATTGTGAAATTTGTCATTATATATTGGTCAACTGCAGACCTGCTCTGTCTTCATCTCAAAAGAAGCTTTGTGCTTTGGGACTTAACATTGTTGTTTGTCTTCACAGGCTGATGCCCCAAACACTGGATTGATCCCTGAGAGTGATGCTGTTGGTGTGACTGTAGTGCTCATCACCTGCACATACCGTAGCCAGGAGTTCATACGCATCGGTTACTATGTCAACAATGAATACACCGACCCAGAACTTCGTGAAAATCCACCAATCAAGCCAGACTACACACAGGTCAGATGATGATGGATAAACTAATGTATTTATTCATAACAAACATGGTCTCAGTGGATTTCTTTGTCAAATGTTAGTGTCTGGTATTCTGTGCTTTGTTGCTGTCTTTTTTAGATTTTAAATTGTACTTTGGGAAATGGCATTTCTTGAACCAAACATATTCTTGACTGTTTACAGAAGGGTAGTGAAGTAATTCTGCAATGAAAACATAACCAAGAGCATCCTGGTGTACCAAGTCCAGTGTGTATCCCACATTCCAGGACTAGTCCTGACTGCACTGTCTGTGGATTTATGTCAAATTTTTGACCTATTGCTTCACATGCAAATCTGTCTTTTCCTGGCATGTCATGACTTTCCAGCACCAATATAGGCAAAATGAATAAACAAAAATCAAATATGTAATATTTACTTTTCACTGGTGCAATACAAAAATACCTTTCACAACCATAACCTCATATGAATGTCAGTCATTTAACTTAACTATGTAACTTTAACTTTTTATGCAGGTAGAGGTGTTAGTGTTTGTTAAGCCAGACACAAAAATTTCCAAGATAAAGAAATATAGTACAGTTTCCTGTGTGATTACAGTTGCTAAATTTAGAGTAGGTTATTTTATACTTGTTTAAGTGATAACTCATGATTGATCAGTACAGTTCAAACCTTTGTACTGCTTTTATCTACAGGGTTCACATTTTCTCACCATGAGTCTCAGTACATAAGTGTGATATATTGCATAATGATAACATAGTCCTTAATGAAACCATTCACTCGTTCAGTGTCGCCAATTTAATTTTTCCAACTTTATTTTTCAGCTTCAGAGAAATATCCTGGCTTCAAATCCTCGTGTTACTAGATTCCACATAAACTGGGAAGGCTGTGCAGAGCGAATGGAAGACTCTGAAAACGTTGACCCCAGTTCAAACTCCATGCTTCCTCCATCCTGTCTCCCCGGCAAGGCCCCGCCCCTGGGGTTACTTCCAGATAACTCAATGGACTGCTTATAAAGAACAACCCTGCCCCAAAGGTGATTTTCTCAAAGCACCAGTCCTTATTTTTGAAGAAATGCCTGTGGACATTCTAGTGTGGAAGTACAGACAGACATCTTTGCCTTACAGCTGCCTTCATTTAATGGAAGCTCGACAAAACAAACCCTCACCTTTGGCTTCAGATGAGTTTGTTCTGAGGAAAATCATGAACATCTAATGGGTATAATCAGCATCTGCAGACAGAATGGTTGCCGCCATGATGTTAAATGCAATATTTAAATACTAAAACTCTTCGAAGGAAAACCGGTTACAACAAAACAGCTGAACACGATGTAAACCTGATGTGTGATACACCGTCTCTCTGTTTGGGCAGAACTCACCCATATAAGGGGATTTCAGCAATGAAGCAATAGGCAAATAAACCTCAATGTGTTGCTGTACAGGAGTTTAAAAATCCACTCTTATATGTGTTCTGATTTCTTTTGCACTTAAGCCTTTTCACACTTAGATTTTGGAGCTTGGTAATGCTTTAAGCTATATTATTTACTCCTGTTTGTTTCTTTTGCATTTTACATTACAATTTTGTGTTTCAATAAAAAAAATGTTTTGTTATGAATCGGTGTATGGATATTTCTTTGAGTGTAATAATTTTCCCTCAACATATTGTCTTCTTTCTTAAAGGGATATTCCGGCGTAAAATTAATTTAGGGTCGAACACACGGCAACACATAGTTAGACACCCCCTCAAGAGATAATTGTTGCCGACAGCTCGCTTCTTTATCTATACCAACTTTAGTGAATACTGCAGCACACAAAACCACACGGGGTGTGTTTGACCCTAAATTAATTTTAAGCCGCAATATCCCTTTAATCAGTTTAAACTACAAAATGTAAACTGTATGTAATGCCCTGTTTGTATTACTTATTCAATTAAATTCTTCATTTAAGACAACAACGAAGTTCTAGCCCAGTTATAGGTTTGAGTATCCCAATATATTTCCACAATTTACTAAAAATAGCCCGTCTTTACGTCACAGCCAATCAGAAATCGGTAGGGTTTATGAAGCCAGTTGGTTTTTAAAGTACTGCTTCAGTCACAGGTTGTTTTCAACCCTGTTTGTCTTCACATATGTCAGTTATATAAGTCTCACAGATATAAAATGCAAATGGTTTATGAACCAAGATAAAAACAGCGGTAATTTCTGGGCATTAGCGAGTCCAGGAGGCCGGGACGAAACAACCGGACCGACGAATCGTATCAATACAGTGTTTGGATGGACTGATTATTGTCCAATCAGCGCTCGAGTTCTAACTTCTGGGACAAAAGTGTCTGCGTATGTAGCCAATAGGAGCCGGTAAGGGGCGGGACCCCCGTCGATGGATGACTGGAGTTTCCCTTGCGGTCTGAAGATTAATGGAAGGGGTCTGTTGATCTTAAGAATCGGCTATCAGATGGTCGGTCCCAGGAAACCGCTGCACTTGAAGCTTTCTTTCGAAGCGAATGGACTTGTTTAGATAAAGCAAGCGCAGCGTAGACGGAAAAACCCGGACAGTACTTTTTTAAAATCCAGGTCTCACTTTGCAAGGCCTGTGAAGATAGCACCTGGTTTGCTCAGGCCAGGATACGACTTCGAGGGACGTTAACAAGCTAACGGCTAGCTTGCTCTTTACCCTGACGGAAAATATCTTCTTTGCGACCCGTTTAATGGTCCCAATTGGATTCTGAATGAACCACATCGTGTCTGGAATTAAAGCACACCCGAGTGACATCTTAATTGATCGACGCTTGCTTGAAATTTGACGCCAACGAAGCTAACATCCTCTGGCCATTCCTGTTTGAGTTAGCTAGCCTATTAGCCTATTAGCTTAGCGTTAGTATTAGCTGCATACTTGGGAGGAAGGCTCTCGCTTTGGGTTTGAGTTTTCCCGAAGACATCGAGGGGGGGAATAAAGTTGCTATTGTCAGTCGATAATGATAGCTGTAAGCTAGTAGGCAGCTGTCAGCTTTCATTGAGCCCGGTGACAGTGTTTTGAGGTGTAGCATCACTCAACGACTTGCAAAGGAAGACTCAGTCCGAGCCCGGGGACCCAACCACCAGCCTGCCATCATGGGCAACACGCCCACCGCAAAGAAGGGCAATGAGATGGAAAGCGGTGAGTACCTTTAAGGCCATCTCTGCTACCCTATAGCCCGTCCTTGGACTTCTTTTATTGCAGTTTTGGTCGAGAGATAAAATAAGTTCAACTTCAAACCAGAGGCCCTGTGAACTTTGACTCGCCAAACCGTATTGTACTGCTTTTAACGCGCCTTCCTGTTATGAAAAAGTGCTTTTGCATAATATATTACATTACATACGTGCAAAATGAAGCTAGGCTGTTGAATTGGGACATCTAACTCGTCTCAGCTGAGCTGCTTAGTATGTTTTTCTTTCTCTCCGCTCAGTCTGTGGAAAAGCTCGTGATAAAAAGCCCCCGGTTATATTCAGAGGTACAAGTTAAGATGACAACAACCAACCTTATACAACAGTCATAGGGTTCTGTTGTGGGTCATGTGTTGAGTTTTTTCCCCCTCTATCTAAAGTAAGGCAATGATAGGCTGCAACACCATTGTAAAACTAGTTTATAATGATATTTTTTTGTGCTTTTTTTGAATAATTGTGTCCCAGCTGATTACTCCTCTGTGCATGCTTCAGGATATCTGTGTTGACACTCAGTGGACTGTGGACTTGACCATTTGAGTCTGTATTTGACATGTAAGTAAGGAGAAGGGAGATGGTGGTTATCAGAGGAGGAAAAAGCCACCAAGAAGGGGGTCATATGATACATGAGGGTGATCCTCTCCAGGCAGAGACTTGCGAGTTTTGTAGTCTCTTGAACATCATGTGATGAGCAGCATTTAGAACAAGGGCACTTGTATGTGTCACTAAATGTGCGCATTTGTGCGTAAAAGAAAGATGCTGTACTCTCCAAAATATCTAAAAAAAATTTTTGTAAGCTTGTTTAAAATAAGACGGGGAAACTTTTTATAGCTGTAATAGTAAAAGAGATAAAGCTCTTAGCTATCTACATTAAGGTCGTGTTCACACCTACAGGTCTGTTTCCTGATTCGAATCCAAGGCAAGACGATACATTTGTTTTGATTGTTTAACTGGTCAGGTTTACGTTCACAAAGGAAAAACTCAATTGCTTCAGAAAACGGAAGCGGAAGTCACGTGACCGCGAATATCGTTCGGTCATTGGTCATTAGTCTATGCAGGAATACAAACCCTGCTCTGCTGTCTTCACCTGTCATGGAACATCGTAGGCTGATTCTGCTTTTGCTACTCATCTGGAGCACGCATCAAAATACGCTAGTCGATCGTGCATACAAACGGCTCGTTAGCATTACATTCTGGAGTAGACGTGCTGCAAACAGCAGACGGATAAAGACGCGTGTGGTGCATTTCCTGTGATTGGTGTGGATGACGTTCACACCAAAAATGAACCGCTCCAGAGATCACTTGACAGCGGTCCGAGACCACCTTTTCAGGCGGACCAGAGTTTGTTTATTTGGTCCGCAGCAGAGTTCGAGGTCAGCGTTCACACCGACCCAAACAAACCGCACCAAGGGGGTAAACGCTCCAGGGTTTGGTTCAACCGGACTAAACGAGGGTGGTGTGAACGCGCCCTAAGTAAACAAGATGTTGCAGTTGTTATGAAATGTTAAGTACACCTTGGGCTGGGCGATAAAACGATATATATTGAATATTAATTTTTCTCGATAATGATATAAAACATGGTCAATATGCTGTTCAATTGTCGGCATTCTGTCACGTTTTGGTAGACTAAACGAATAGCCAATGAAAAGGGGAGTTATTCCAGATCGCACCGTACTGAACCAACTATGTGCTGGATTAGAATTAAGTAGCAAAGAACTGCATAGTAGCAGGCTGCAGCTACACGCAACCATGAACTGGTGGTGAGCGCCTGTGCAGCCGAAACAGCTGACCATCCCGCTTTCTCTAGTGCAACGCCTTACGACAAAAAGGCAAAGAGACACAAAGACCTCACAGATGCAGGAGCTTATTATATTGCAAAAGACATGCTACCAATAAGCACTGTTAAATGAGTAGCAGGGAACATTTAAGATTGACAAGTGATTTTTTAATATCGTGATATAGATATCGACTGATATGAAAACAATGTATCGTGATAAACTTTTTCCCATATCGCCCAACCCTACCCCCATAAAGAATACCTCAAACTCAGCCCAGATGTTGAGCTTTCATTTACCCTCCCAGGCGTTTTCAGTGGCTGAGCTCTGCCCATAAAGAGCGCCCTGGCGGACACATTTTATGATTTTATCCATGACTCTATAAATAACACTTGAGAGTGCAAAGTCTGAACAGGTATCTGCAAAATGAGTGTCAGCTCCTTGTTGCTGGTAGAGAGTATGTGTGAAGAATGGCTCTAGTCCCTCTGTAACATTAACCCATCAGTGTAAACCCTTGTAACAAGACCCACAACTTCTCTCAAGTGTTGTGGCACAGAGCCTCGTGTTCGAGGAGTAATTGAAATGAGGCAATAGGTAGTGAGGATGTAGGGAAATAGGAGGCCTTGTTGATGGGAGGTTTGTCCAAATGTCATGCTTCACATCCTTATCAGCTTCAATCACAGAGGGTCCACCCTGATCCCCAGAGACAGGTGCAGACCAGGGGCTCGGAGCCCACGGGGTGGAGCGTTCTTTTCCATAGAGCACGAAGAGGTTTAGGACAACACTGGAGTCAGTTTTGGTTTCTATGGAAAAGGAAAGAGATTGTTGAGCCCGTTCAGGTACGAGGGGGTCTGGAGAAGACAAACACAGAGCTGCTGCTTTCGTATACAAAGCTGATATCTGGCCTGAAGGAGGAAGCAGGACGGGCAGACAGACGCTGTGAACCACAGCAGGAAGTTATGGAGCGAGGGAGGTCCAGCCCAGGCTCCGCACAGTTGATCATCGCCTCTTCTGCACTAATGTAGCCTGCAAAGATTGCCCGAAGCTTTGACCCATCAGATTCTTTTTTGATATCATAGATTTATTGGATATCACCCTTTGTTAGAAGAACCACTGGATATACTACGGATTGGAGAGTCCGCTCTGGCTATCAGCCTCCTCCTGCTTTGTATAATGTCTGTTATTCACAGACTGGCAGGAAGGCTGTTTCAGCGAGCCGGGCCCTGTCTGGGGGACACAGGCAGTGGAGATGGCCGACATGACCCACCACAGGAGGAGCTAGAGGCTTGCTGCTGGAGTGAGTTTTCACATAGAGCTGGACAGAGGCATTAGTCAGGGATGGAGCCAAGGCCGTGCTGTGCTCCATTAGCCTAGCTAGTCACTGTTAAAGCCCATACTCTCAGGTTGATGGTTAATGAAGCTTAATTTTTCTTACTCAAGTTGTTACTTAGATCCATTGTCACAAGAAGTGAGTTAAGTTTCTGTAGATTAGAGTGGAACAATGGTTTAAATTTGTATTGGTTGGACTGGTATTTATGGCCAACAGCCAAAATCTATGTACATATGTCCTTGTATACAAATACACACTCACACACACACACAGGGCAGCCTGTTGCTCTTGTCTGTCCTCTCGCCTGTTGTTTTGCTTGTAAGAGTATGAAGGTAATCATTGGTGGAAGCCCCCGATATTACCTCTATTCCGTCCCACAGTGCACAGGGCTCGACAGTGCGATCGTTTCACTCGCATTTGCGACTAGAAATAGATGTGTGCAAATTTTAAAATGTATTTAGGGGCACATGTGCATAAAAAAAAAAATCAGCCGAGGCAAAAAAGTGTTTTTCATGTAAATACCGCGGCAAACTTCGTTTTAGGTTGGATATTCATTGGAAATACACAGTCGATCTACCGGTGTCTTCTCACTCTCCATAACCGGGAATAGCAACAGCAGCACGGTTAAATCTACTCAGCACCCTCGCTGTCAAGTCGGGTGTTGAATAAGGGACCATCAATAAATTACCGGTTGATGTTCTCAAAAAAAGGCTGTTTCCCTTCAATAGCTTTCATTTCATGTGACCAATTGACCGAAAATTGATTTCAAATAATAGTACTTATGTCGACCAATGAGACACACATTATTTGATCAATTTTTATTGTGCCCCTGAAGTTTTTTGTGTGCTCCTTACTTTGTCAACTCAGGAGGACATGTGCTTCCTCTAAAATGTTAGTGTCAAGCCCTGGTGCAGTCATGAACCTTTGCCAAATACACATTTTATTTTTGGTATAAACCTCCATTATCCTTTTACTCTGAGACCTCTTGTAAGTCTTCCTGATTGCACGAGTGCTCAAGAATATTATCTTGTACTCCACACACTCTTTGAACATCCCAACAAGATAATGCTCACGGCCAGTTATGACATAAGAGATTGTCGTGTGGAGTATTTTTTTATATCAGACATATAATGCAGTGGCACCCAGTCAAAGTGCAACTCCCTTTATCTATAAATATCCGTGTGGTTCATGTTCATGTCCTGCCCCTGCTCTGCTCTGCCTGCAGCTGGTTTGTGTAACAGGGCCAGGTTTGTGTTTGGATCGTTCATCACTTCCTGACTCCAGTGCGAGGGGGCTTTGTTAAAAGCCTGCACTGATTACCAGTGGACCTTTACTGTTGAAATGCCAATCATTAACCGTAGATAAGCTTACAGCACTGTTGGCAAGCTGACACACTGCCAGGGAGTGATCCCGAGACGCAAGAAAAGCAAAAGTGAAGGTGGACTTAAGCGGTTTGAAAAGACAGGGTAGCTTCCTTTTGAATTTCTTGCAGTAACAACAGGAAGGTGTTGTGCACTTATAAGCAGAGATCATGAAATCATCTGTCCTCTACAACGAGTAAAGCAAACTCTGTAATCTTTTACTGCGTCTTATCATTCTGACACTGAAACTGAAGTCTGGCTGCAAAATGATAACTACTCACTGAATCACCTTGAGTTTTTCGGGTTTGGCATTGAAATGACAAAACATCTTAATAAATCCTGTAGACCAGCTTCGATCTACAGTCCACATCTTTGTTAAAACTTGTCACTTTTGTTTTAAACAAGTGTCAAAACCCACAAGCCGCATCCTTAAAATCACACGATTTGATTTTATACAAGAAAAGAAAGAGAGCGAGGCAGTCAGGGAGTCGTGTTGATACCACACATTTCCAAATCTTGACAGAGGCATGGATAGATACTCTACTCTACCTTTCTTCCACACGCATCATAATAGTAGTGAAGAAATCCAAAGACATGTCGCAACATCCGCCCAAGCTGTCAGGAATACTACACCTGAATTGATCTGCAGTCAAACTAACCAATCAGTTCTTACCGTAGGTTGTTAGGTAACTTCCCATTTTTTTTTTTTTGTTAGTAACTTCATGCTCACCAGTCACAGAGATAAAAATCCTCTGGATTGAGCAGATGACTACATTTGATTTCTCAGTTCTTGGAAGGCCTCCTTTAGTTTACCACAGCTCTTTTTTTGCTCTCTGGCTGATACCACATGTGGATGTCTGCTATCTGAGCGAGGCCTTGTGTAGACTGGGACACGATTTGTCGCGCTTCACAGCTAAATGTTGGTCAGCTCGCCCTAATATAACCCCTTTAGTTTTTGCGTCAGAGTGGACCAGTGAGGCCCAGGGGAGAGATGTATGATTGATTTTTTTGGAGGATTGATTCGGCACTGGCTCTGCATAGACTCTCTGGTGCATTTAGGTGGAGGGAAATATTTCTGCTGTGGTTGGTGAAGTTCCTGCTCGACAATGTCCCTGTAGAGAGGCAATTTTTTTGAACACTAGAATGAACTCTAGCGGTTTTTCTTCACGCAAATGTGACATCGAACTGTTTTTTCTAATTAGGGAAAGTTTGAGTTGTATCTAGATGTGTCTGGCTTATCTCAAGGACTCTCACTCAGGCCTAGTTTTCCGTAAAACTTCCTCTCTGGGTTGGATAAATATACCAGCCGGTGTTTTATGCCCCTCCCCCTGGTGATCATGCCCCTGTTTTGATCAATATATAGCCCCTATGTGTGCACGTGTGTGTGTGTGTGCGTGTGTGTGCGTGTGTGTGTTTGACATGGGAGGGAGCAGCAGAGTACTTTGAGCACAGAATAAATATTGATACAAACCAAAGCAAGGGTCCAATTGATCCGTGAGTGTAACGGGAACATCGCTGCTCTCTCCACGCTAATTTTGACCACACGCTGCGTGTGGAGGCCCCCCTCTCTGACTTTTGTTTCCCAGCAAAACAACAGCGAAGGCAGGAAAGATTGAAGACAGACGCCGTGCGGCAAGGACAGTTTGACTGGGTATCTGCGGATGAGTGGGGGCTCCTGAGCTGACCAGAGCGCTCTCAGAGGGGGGAGGAAAGGTCATGAGTCAGTGACTGCGAGGAAGAGGCTAAGGAAGACGAACAGGGGAGACTTTACAGGGCTAATGTGTGACAGGAAGAGCTCCAGAAAGCATGCAGGGAAGAGGGAGTCATCCTCGCGCTCAAGTGAATCAGGGTCGCGGTCAGCAGATGGTGCAGCACCAGAGGTACCCATTGTCATCCCAGATGGTAAGAAATTTGGGGGGCAGAGGATTGTTTAGGTGTTGACTTTTCGTTTTGTTTTGGCAGCAGTAAATCTTCTGTCTGATGTTGCAGCGAGGCTCTGATAGGACTAACTCTTGGTGGTTAGTTGTGGGAGTTGAGTAACAAACACTGAAATGCGCTCTCCCTGTCGACCAGTCAGATTCCATCGCTCTTTGTGAGCCCAACTCCACTCTTGACATGTTTATGCGAACTTTGGTCCGTGCATTTTCCAGCTCGCTTTCTCCCATCCTATTGTTAGAGCGTCTAGTCTTGGGAGAATTAGCAGGAAATCACGTTATCGGGATCAGGATTTAGCTTCTGTGTGGTTTTCATGTGCATATGTGTGGGAAATGCTCACATGATTTTCAAGTGGGTTTCCTTTTGTGAAGTCGTTTGTTTATGAAAATGTTCATAATATTTGCCTCCGTTTTCCCGGTTTGAACACGTCCGCAAAGACACGACTGTACAAAGTTCATTAACTTTCTATGTACTGTCAGTATTGACCGCTGGCTGGCGTTATTTAAACTGAGCTGAAGGCATCAATAACCCCGGCAGATAGATATTCCACATTATCCTGAAAAGCTTTACATCATTCCAGCTAGTTTTCAGTCCCAGTGAAATGCCTCAATATTCGACATGAATTAAAATCTTCTTTCCAAGACCAGCAGCAGTTAAATCGTGCAGCTATACCAGCTTGCAAATGTGTTTAATTTCCCCTTTTTTAAAAGACTGACAGGCATCCCGGGCTAATGGTTATAAAAATCTGTGCCCCTTTTATTTGCTCGGACAGCTAATGTCCTAAAAACGAGCACACAGTGAGACAGTGTGACAGAATGAGGAAGGACTGGTTATCTCCATGTTCCCACAGAGCGCTGGAATTAGCCCCATAAAGGTGAGAGTGTAAAACGAACAACTGCATTTGACACAGTGTGTGCCAAGCTGTCAAATTCTGTCCACAGGCACGTCTGTTTGTCTTAAACCGTGTGTGTGTGTGTGTGTGTGTGTGTGTGTGTGTGTGTCATAATGTGTTTATGAGACCACGGTGTAGGTTTGCACTAATAGCCATGCTTCCTTGTGTTTAACTCTTGGCAAAGATCTTTTTTTTCCTAGAAGCATATTTTCATGCATTTCTTAAAAGCGCTGACTTAAGGCCAACTTCTGCAAATTGGCTTCTCCCCCGAGAGCGCACAGTGACAAAGTCATTTACTACATTTAGGGACGAAATCAAATCAAAAATGTTGGGTTTTTTTTGTGATTGAAATAAATATGGCGGCTCAGTCTGACAGTCTGACATTGACTACAGCGCTCTCACACGGGGCTGTGTCGAGCTGTCGCGCTGCAGTCATCGATTATTTCAGTCATTGAGTATCCTCTCAGTGATTCTGATGATTATCAAACAATCAGATGAGAAATAAGACATGCTCTGTGATTCATTTTCATTGATTTTTGTGTCTTTACTGCCGTCAAGAGGCTAATGAACATTTATTGGCAAAATCAAAGGGATGCGCTGCACCTGCTGACCCAACACAAATATACCTGCAGCACTGGATTGTTGCATTTTAGGCTTCAAGTGCTGGTGTGTGTGTGAGACTAATGTAATAACATGAATGAAGCAGCTCATGCTTGAATGAATTAGTTTCAGGATTTTATTATCTGTGGGTTGTTATTTCCTTCAACAAAACTTAACTAGTATAGGGACACAGCCTGCAGAAGAGTCTTAATGTCCTTTCACACTGGAAGCGTTTTTTTTCGTGCGATTATTTCGAACGTCAGTATTTTTTGTAAACCCGTATCCTGTCAATACAAGCGTTCACATCAGCGACGTTTTCCCGTCCTGCGATATTGCGGCATTGCATCACACCCAAGTTCCCAGCATTTCAGTTACCAAGTCGGAAGAAAGCGAAATTTGAGGCATAAACAAGATGGCTACTTCTACGAAAGTTATCTTAGCGCTTGCTTTGTCCAAATATAAGCGAACACTAAAATAACTTTCGTAGATGTTGCTATCTTCTTTCAGGCCTCCGATTTTGCTTTCTTCCAACTTGGTAATTGAAACGCTGGTAACTTGGGTATGACGTCATTTTCAGCTCCGATATCTGATTCCTGCGGTAACTCGCATGCAGCATAATAATTAAAAAAAAACTATATCGAACCTTTTTTTTTCCCCCAGTGGCCCTAAACCTCTTCCATAGATAGCCAGCTCACTTGCTCAACCATTAAATCTAACAGAATCAACCGGCAGTCTTTGCGCAGCACCACATGTTAAACATTATCTATCCCAATCCTGAACTCTCCTGATCATAACTTAAGGCAGACAGTTCTCTGACACTTTCTCTAAAAGCTTTATTGCAGCAGAATTTCTTTAATCTTCACAACCACAAAGAAATCATTTCAGTAAATATGTGATGCAAAATTTGAACACGCTTTAGCTTTTCTTACATTACATGTGATGCATTAAACAAACGTAAGGGTAGTTAATTGCTGTTGTCAGTTTTGTAGCTTGTTTGACAGCTTCACGCTGCACCATACACTTGGCACCATCTGCAGCACATGAAGTAATGCATCACAGCAAAGCTCATAAAGGCCTTCATTTGCATATGTTAACAACTTTGAAGTAAGTTACTCTTCCTCACATGAAGCAAATCTTCTTTCAAGTAAATGAGCTGTCTGACAACCTTTGCATGGCCACATCTGTGCAAATCGATACGCTGTTGAAACAAGACTGATCTGTTTTTATTTGTTGGCCACTTTGTCCGATTAGGGGTTTAATTTTACCCATAAAATGAATGAGGTTATTAAATGAGAAGGTTAAATAATGTAGTTGTTTTTGCAGCAATGTAAAATAGATATTAGGCTATGAATAGACATTTGTTTGATTTATTGATTTGTCTAGGGCGTGCCCTCTTGGGCACACATGGTCATTCAAAACACGTGCTTGTTTTCTGGAGCAGGCTGGCTGGCTGGCAGCAGGAAGTGCTTCTCTCTCAGTCCTCTGAAATGCACCCAATCTTTAGATATGCAAAGAGAAGAAAAAAAAAACCACACAGTCTGATAGATAAGCCTCACTGGTACTGCTGCAGGGAACCATCCCCAACAAAATGATGCTGGTGCTATCATTCATCGTATTTGTGATGAGAAGGTGAAAGTCAGTTTTCAACTGACTGAACAGAGCTTCAGTTAGATGGGTAAACGGCTTTTCATTTAGTTAAATTTGTCAGTTTAGGTTTCCTCTGCGCCCTCTGGACTGAGATTTTTGCCTTCTCTGAAAAACAAGTAACTTTAAAGACATCCAGCAAACTGTCTCTTACTCAGCTTTGGTCTCTCTCTTCCAGCTGAAGCTTCTCCGGGGTTTTATTGGGCCTCATGATGGCCTCCATCACAAGCACCTGTCCTGAACCCTGTTATTTACAGCTGTATTAACTCTTCATTCTTTAAAATGATTGACCTCGCTGCACTCTGAGGATTTCTGCTGCTGTCTGAGTTTTTATCGCTCTCCACTGACTGATATGTCCATTTTAGAGCAAACTAGTTATGACTTGTTGTGGGACTTTAATCTTCATTTAGTCGACTTGATACATGGAGAAACTGGTGCATCAGTTCTTTGAGAAGTATTCGGTTAATCAAAGCCTTCTGTAAATTCACAAGTTCTTCCAGTTGTCTCCTCAAACTCTTCGTCACATCAGAGAAAAGGAAGTCAAAGTGGTTCAAACGAACATGGACTGGTATCATCCGACAGCCTTTGTTGTGTCAGTATTCACGTCCTCAAAGACACAGAGTGTGTGACACTGAGGGAATTCAGTCTGACTCTACAACTTATCAGAGAGCGCCAACTTTGTCGTGTTCTCAGGGTCTTGATTATTATGTGAGGCGACCCATTCAAGTCTGGACTTTCTTTGAGATCTGTATTCATCAAGCTCTTTTGTTTCTGATTGCAGTGAAGGAGTTTCTTGCGAAAGCCAAAGAAGATTTCCTAAGAAAATGGGAGAATCCAGCACAGGTGAGAGGCAAGATTGTGAAAATTCTGCATTGCTATTTTTAATTAATCTCCATTTTATCAATATTATTGTTATTATGACACAGTTTTAACTCTCGTGTTTGAATGTGTGTGCTCACCTGCTCAGGCAAGACTATTAGATAAAGTCCAACCCACAACAAATCAGGATTTATTTATTTTAGAGAGCCAGTGCCCCCTCTGCTGGGCTGTTTTGGTACATATCCATCATGTATTTTTACAGTAAATCTTCCGTCAGCTCAATTGAGAAATAAACTTGTCCGTCACTAAAACAACAAGGACTCTCATAAATACTTAATATTAACCAAGTGGGCCCTTTTTTTGTTGAGTTGGTTAGTAGGTTAAATTTTTGCAGCCTTTTCTCTCACTGACTCCCTGTTCTCCCCCCACAGCAAACTGCGGCATTGGATCACTTTGAACGTCTGAAGACCCTAGGCACTGGCTCATTTGGTCGGGTCATGCTGGTTAAACACAAAGAGACGGGCCAGCATTTTGCCATGAAAATACTTGACAAACAGAAGGTACAGTACTGTGAGGCAGGAGATTGAAGAGTACAAGTGGGTGCTTGAATTTTGTGATTCAGCTGTTATTTTCTGGCGTGAATATGAAGTTAAAATGCATTGAGGGATTTCATCGGAGAAAGTACATTCATTAAACATCCTGATCTTCGAATTAGAAAGGTCAAACTCAGTGTAAAGTCACAGTTATCTCCAATCAAAGGCCCATGTGACTGTGGCAGAACTCACTATCTTTCGCTGCAGAACAAGTGGAACCTCTGATGGTGAATCAATCTGAAAGAAGCACAAAGATCACTTTGTTGCAGGAGTTTAAACACCCTCAGATGTCTGACTTTACTGCATGTTGATGTACAGTGCCCAGCAGAAGTCAGTACACCCCCTATTAAAATTAATGTATTAATCAATATCCAGATGAGCAAAAGTACAATTTCCAAAGTTTTGACAAAGCTGAGTTTAACATGACATTTTATCTACCATAAGATAAAAATAAGGGTGATATGGTGACTAAAATTTAGCTTTTCTCCCAGAACTTTGATGACTCATTTTTGCACCCTGATTTTAAATTGAAATAAGTATTTTTTGTATGCAACTTAAAAAAATCTTGTTTACAATCAATAACCTTCATTTGGGAGAGTATTTTGTCGTAAAGTCTGACATAGAAAATGTTGATTTTGAAAGGAAACTAAAGGTTTTCTGACAACTCCGAAGGGGTGTACTCATTTATACTGAGCACTGTATGAGCTGAGTTTTCTACCTTTTTTGTCTCTGTTCTTCGTAGGTTGTAAAGCTGAAGCAGATAGAACACACACTGAACGAGAAACGTATCCTGCAAGCCGTCAGCTTTCCCTTTCTGGTGCGGCTGGAGCACTCTTTTAAGGTATACATTAAGGAGATCACCCGTGCGTGTCTGAAATCGACACAAACTCTCTGCGCGCATGTAAATCTGAGACTCTGCTCATCTCTCCTCAGGACAACAGTAATCTGTATATGATAATGGAATATGTGCCTGGAGGTGAAATGTTCTCACACTTAAGGAGAATCGGTAGATTCAGGTGAGCCGACTTTAAGAAAGTAGCTCCTGAATATTTTTCCGTGCACCAAAGGGGTTGACTGTAAACATGGTGGCTGATTTGTTTTTCAGTGAACCACACGCCCGCTTCTACGCAGCCCAGATTGTACTGACCTTTGAATACCTTCACTCGCTGGATCTCATCTACCGAGATCTTAAGCCAGAGAACCTGCTCATTGACCAGCAGGGTTACATACAGGTAAGGATTTCATTATTATTTTTTTCAACCATCTATAATAACTTCTTTATTTGCCTTGGTGTCCTTGCAGAGCTAACAGCTATACACTTATTGTCCACAGGTAACAGATTTTGGATTCGCAAAAAGGGTGAAGGGGCGAACCTGGACGCTTTGCGGGACCCCTGAATACCTAGCACCAGAGATCATCCTCAGTAAGGTGGGTTTTCACCCCAGAACTACTGTTGATTTCAAAGGGGAGTGGTTTAAAGTCCTTTTTTGGAAATGATTTTATGTTTTTGCCAGAAATCTGTATTAGGACTTTGGCACTACTTGCACAACTCGTGTCATGTATGAGCAGTTTTGTGTGATGAAATATCTTATCTCCCTTTATTTCCTTTGTTTAATCCAGGGTTACAACAAAGCAGTGGACTGGTGGGCTCTGGGAGTGCTGATATATGAGATGGCTGCCGGTTACCCCCCCTTCTTTGCAGACCAGCCTATTCAGATTTATGAGAAGATTGTATCAGGGAAGGTGAGTAAATGTAAAACTACTCAAACCATAGACACATAGAATTTACACTGCTGTTACATCTCATCCACCATATGCGACGGACGATGGTAGGATGAAGTCATTCTGCTTCTGATACTTCCAAGGAGGAAGTAAGAGAGGCAGAATAGGGGAAAGTCTGCAATGTGTGGAGGGGAGCCACAGCCCAGTGTGTGCATGCATGTTTAAATGTGCGTCTGTGTGTTTACAAGCTGAGCCTCTTGTGCATTTGCAGCAACTATAACGCGATCTATAACCGCACACTGGGACACCAATGTTACGCTGTTTCAGGATACAGCGTGCACAAAGGTGTGGTGACGACAGACTCTGTTGCATGTACATGCGTCAAGGATTTGATCGGAATAAAGCGTGGCAATAAAGTTTTGAGTTGGTCCCCCAGTTTAATATATCAAAAACAGAAGAAGAAATAGTTCCCTCCACCAGTCCCTGTTAACAAATAGTGGTGGGAATCACTCGTGGCCCCCGATACACAATATTGTGATTTTTAACATTTTGCAATACAGTGAGTATCGCAATATAATATATTGCGATTTATACAATTTATACAACTGTTTAGCTAATTTAGCATTTGTCTTTCCTTTATGTTTGTCTTATTTACGCAGTATTTTATTTTCATGTAGAATATCTTATGTATTTGTTGCACTAACTTTCCCCTACTCTATGATATCACCTCTGCCAACCTAACTGGACAAACAGTTGATTTTATTTTTCCATTATCATAGATTTGACTTCATATTAACGATTAATTTGAAAAATCGATACTTTGTAAATGAGACGATACGATAAATCACCAGACAAAATATCGCGATACCATGCTGAACCTATTTTTTTCTCCCACCCCTATTAACAAACACTACTTTTTTGCTTCCTGACATTATACATCTCTACATATTGCTCCTCAGGCAAGCATACAGGTCTAACTTTTGTCTGTAGTCACTCATATAGTTAGTTAATATAATCGTTTAAATGGTCAGCAGTCTTGCAGCAAAGGGCATAAATCAGCTCTCTGAATGGGATCAAACCACTGTACCCCAAATGAGGTGTTCACATGAAGCACTTGCGTACTGATCAGGCTGTTGTTTTAATTATAAGTGGTCAGTGTAAACACAGCTCTTAAACGGGGATAAATGTCTACGAAAAGGACTAAAAGCTTTTCAATCTCTGTATCTTAGTTTTGAGAGGCGTAACAGAGAAAGTGGCATAACTGCCAAACATGGGAACTTTTGCTTTCTATATTAAGTGGACTCTCTTTATGAACGCACGGGGTCTTTTTCTCGTTAGGCTCAATTTTATACGCCTTCAGCTTTCAGTCCATTTGTCGGCTAGTGGGCCGAATAATACACTGACCCTGTTTTGCCGATGGCATAACTTCATCATCATGAGAAGAAGGGGGTAAATGTAACTGCTCTTAACTCAATAATTCATCTGTCTGTTTAATAGAAACACATGCTGAATTTACAGAACATGATTTGGTGCTTAATTTGTTTTCTTTTCCTCAAGTAAAAACAATTAATTTCAATTTCACAGTTGGCTTGTTCTTTGTCTTTAGTTGTACTTTTAGAAGATTAAATGCCCAGTGAGGAAACTGTTTTTAGGAGTTGTTTGTCAGTTTAATGCCCTGTCAAATTCTTTACGTTTTTCAAAATCTGTTTGATTGAAAGGTGTCTTAAAGTATAACCCCAAATCCACTGTAAGATGTTGATAAAAACAGAATTTTATGTTTTGCAAATCTTTTAATGCCTCGCCTTAACGAAAATAGTCCAAAAACAACTGAAAAACACAATATTTTCATTGTCCTGTAAAGAAGTGTGCTCCTTTTGATTTTGACAGCATCACATTTCTAAGCAGCTGGGACACAGGCATGTTCACCACCGTGTTGCATCGCCTCTTCTTTTGACAAAACGCTGTAAACGTCTTTGTAATCCAAGACTTTCTGAAAGGTTTGAAAGTTAAACGTCTCATTTTCGCCTGATGAAGGATTCCTGCTGCTCAACAGTTGTGGGTTTCCTTTGTCGTGTCTTTTGTGTCATGATGTGCCAAATGTTTTCAATAGGTTTTAAGTCGAACAGCAGGCAGGCCGGTCCAGCACTTTGACTCGTCTACTACAGAGCCGCGCTTTTGTGATATGTGCCAAATACAGTTTGGCATCTTCCCGTTGTATTTTGCAAGGTTTTCCCTGAAAAACACATTCAAAATCTGCTCATATTATTCAGCATTAATTGTTACCTCCCATTTATCCCCATATCATAAGAAAGGCTGGCTTTTGAACTGAGCCCTCATAACAACCTGGGTGCGTACTTCCCTTCTTTGGAGCAAAAAGGAAGCCAAATTTTAATTTGTCACACCATAGTAAAGTTTTGTACTTCGATTCAGTCCATCTGAAATGTGTTCTAGCCCACAGAAGCTGCCAGCATCTTTGAATCATGTTTAAATGGTTTCCTCTTTGTTACAGTTTCGTCCTGGATTTGCAGATCCAGCACCAGACTTTGTTCAGAGACAGGGCTCGACAGTGTGACCGTTTCACTCGCATTTGCGACTAAAAATAGATGTGTGTGAATTGTAAAATGTATTTAGGGGCACGTGCGCATAAAAAAAAATCAACTAAAGCAACAAAATGTTTTTTCATGTAAAAACCGCTGTGAAGTTAGTTTTAGGTTGGATATTCGACAGATGTTCACTGCGGATCTACCGGTGTCTTCTCACTCTCCATAACTGGGGAATAGCAACAGCAGTGTGATTAAATTCACTCTGCATCCTCACTGTCAACGTTGGGTGTTGAATAAGGGACCGTCAATAAATTACTGGTTGATGTTCTCAAAAAAAGTCTGTTTTCCTTTAGCAGCTTCCATGTCATGTGACCAAAAGACTTAAAATTGATTTCAAATAATAGAACTAAGGTCGGACAATAGACACACCTCTTTATTTCTCTTATTTGTCCTCTAAAAATTGTTGGGTTAAATTTAAAGGCAAATTTTGAACCTTTCCTTCTATAGCTTCCATGTCATGAGACCAAAAGACCTAAAACTGATTTCAAATAAGACACAAAGACACGCATTATTTGATCAGTTTTCATTGTGTGCCTGAAGTTCTTTGTGTGCTCCTTACTTTTTCATCCTAGGAGCACATGTTCTCCTTCTGAAAAAAATTAGTGTCAAGCCCTGCAAAGACAGTAGTTTAGCTCAGGATGCCCTGACTCCTACATGTCATGTCCGTACAAAATGTACAAAACCGATAACTGATCAAATTGTGTTTCTTCTTTTGGAGCTGGAGCTGAACATACAACATGACACTCCAATAACGAATGCCTGCAAGGCTGTGTCTGTTGTTGGACTGCATCTGTTAGCTCTTATCTCTGTTGAAACTTAATCACTGTCATAAGTGACTTGAAACATTGCATCATTGTTAACATCAGGATGCCCATTTTTAGCATCAGCCAAACGGCCGTCATCTCTGGCATTTGTTTACGGTGGTTTGTCAGATTTGGTGAGAGAGCGGACCTAGCAGCAGTTGAATAAGGCTGTGGACTAGACTGTCTTGATGCATCAGAGGGGTTAAGTCAAAGTGGAACAGTGCAAACAAACAGCATGTCACAACCAGGCATATCATATCTAGATTCAAGATTAGAGTCATTTCAGACCATCTCACTTCAAACCTCACACTCACGCTGCTTCACTTCTCCGCAGGTCCGCTTTCCCTCCCACTTCAGCTCAGACCTGAAGGATCTGTTGAGAAATTTGCTGCAGGTGGACCTGACCAAGCGCTTTGGCAACCTCAGGAACGGAGTCAATGATATCAAGGGCCACAAGTGGTTCGCCACCACCGACTGGATTGCGATCTACCAGAGGAAGGTGAGAGGAATGCAGTGAGGCCATGACTTTGTTGGACGACTAAATAATGCTCACCAAACATATTTCCTCTTCTGTCAAGCAAGATTACAGCGCAACTGACAGAAACAGATTACTCTATGTGAAACTCTATTCACAGTTTCCCTCATCACCGGGTTTCTCAACACAAAACAAAAAAAGGGAAAAATGTTACGATGACCCATCCTAAACCTTGTAGTCATCAGGGAAAGCTGGGAAACAAGGCTGCACAGAGAGGGACCCCCAACTGGGCAGTCAGGCACGTAATGAGAGTGGACAGTTTTCAAACAAAGGTTAACTGTTGAGAAAATATACAGTCTAAAAACAGCACACTGGGGAAAAAAAACGGAAAATCTTTAATGTAAATGACAGTTTCATTCTGAATGTTGTTGGCATATTCACACATAATACAAACGAGTTCAGAAAGTAGATATTTTTTTTCATCCAGTTCAAACTTATTCTGGTAATTCTGGGAAAATGATCTCATGAGACGAGTATGCTTCAGGGAAAGAAAGTTATAGTGCTTAATCACCAATTTGGTCTTGCAATGTGGCCTCGAGAGTAATTGCCTTGCATGATCCCTCCATTGTACCTTGAATTTGACCTATATTTAAAAAGTTTGAAGACTTTTGAATGAAGAGAAAAAAGTTTTGATTTCCTCATGTGGAGCTGATTCTTTTGACATGCAGTAGGTAATCGTGCTCGCCGTAACAGCTGTAACGTCCTCCATCTGAGCAAACTAAACTCCATCACCCTGATGATTTGATTATCCTTCTGTGTTCCAGGTTGAAGCCCCCTTTATCCCTAAGTGCAAAGGCCCCGGCGACACGAGCAACTTCGACGACTACGAGGAAGAGGAAATCCGAGTCTCCTTCACAGAGAAGTGTGCGAAGGAGTTTGCCGAGTTCTAGATTACAACCATAAGTAGCGAAGAGACAGAGAGAGACAGGTATTTAGAAAGTCAAAGGGGGTCAAAAGGAAGGAAGCTCTAGGGTGGACTGCTAACGTGCTTATTTGTAACGACGACAACAAATGTAAAATCCCCCAAAAGGAAAGGTAGGCAAAGCGCAGAAAGATCCAACAGAACCAGCAGTGTTGCCTTTTCTGATTGTTTCTCAACTGTTACCTTTTCGTTTTATTTACCCCTCTTGTGTTTTGTGGCAGGGGGCTTGAGGAGAACAGGCATAGTTCTGTGCTGTTCGGCTTTCCTTGTATCTTCTCTGATGGTGTAATGACATGTTTTCAGTCTTTGCAGGTTGAGGCATTGATTCTCTGTTAAGGTACTGAATCTGCTAGGCTCCTTTTCTAACGGACCATCTCTACTAGCTTCTCAAAGAGTGATTGTTGTTTCTTCTTGCCATCCTGGTCCCCCCCTCCCCTCCCTTCCCTCCCTCCCCCTTCCTCTTCATCTCTCTATCCCGAATCTGTCCAAGCAATACCAAGTCCAACAGATGTGCCTATCATAATGCCAACTGGTTGGAAAACTGTGTCGAAAGCATTGGTGCAGAGCTTTGGCCATGGTGGCATCAGCCCTTGTGCCCGTTTGGTTGAAAGCTTGAAAAACACTCTGCGCCTGCCTTTGTCTGCTCAACGTGGCATGATTATTGGGTAGATGATGCACTCGCTGCTCGCAGTTGAGCAGTGGTGACCTCTTAGATCAGAGTGAGTATGATTTATCACAGTACACTTTGTCTAGGCCTTACTCCGTGTGAGGACCGGTGAGAAATGAGAAACATGAGATCTGCATCGAAGTCTGTCTTTCTCTCAGCTGAATTTATTAGAGCATTTTAAGAATCCTATTGGTGATCATTTTGTCCTTTTTATGTCAATCTCTGTGCTTGTGTGTTACTTAGTGCTCAAGGGTGGGTTTAAAAAGCTGTGATTTAGCAGCGACTAACATTGTGGTCACACTCCTGACTATTGTTTATTTAAATCATAGTACATTTATTATAGATTTCTCTATCTTTACTTATATGTGTATCTGTGTATATAAATATATATATAAATAATGATAGAGAATATGAATTAATCCATCTTTATCTCTTTTTCAACTGTGTCTCATAGCTGTGAAACTGAATTAAGATTTCGTAAATAAATATATAAATAAACAAACATGAACTCTGCCAAATTTGCAAACTGAGAGCATTGCAAAGTTTTCTGTACGTGACTATAATGGTGGTGGATTTTAATACGCAAAAAAGTAGCAAAAATGTCTCAACAAAATGTGCATGTTATTTTTGTACAAAATCACTTTCAAGGAAAGCAGCAGCAGCAGGCAGAGCTAAAGGCTTTATTTGTGCTGAGGTACATCACATCATGGATAAAATGCTTCAAACTCTCAAGATGGACTCCGGCTGCTCTGTTTTTGAAGATGGAAGCACACCAAGTTAGATGTGTCTGAAAGTTCTGCTGGGCTGTGTTCACTCATACAGTTGTAAGGTAACAGTTTTCAGATAATTTTCACTGATCTTGTGCTTCTCACATTGATAATTTTGGAACCCTTTCCATTTTCCTTGTATATATTAATATGTAACACCTTCAGATAGATTTAAAAGTCCAACCAAAATTTCTAGGAGTGTAAAGATTGGAGTGGGTTTTATTTTTGTTTGTTTTGTTTTTCAATTTTTGAGCTTTTGTGTAACAAATTAAAGAAAGGAATTTATCCTTAAGCTGTCCCCTTTTGCCAAGTTTTTTTTTCTGTGGATGCAAGACAATCGCAGACCAAATCTTACCGCTGGTTTGTTGACTGAATTCATTATTTTGGTTTTGATGAAGGATGTTCACCCTCCTCCCACCCCCTCCTCCATAAGCCCTAGGTGCTAGTATTTTCTCCATCTCACTGAAAAGCTTCTGTGAATTGTTAAATGTGCATAAATCTCTTTGTCATAGTCTCGTAACATGACATTTTTGAGAATGTTCTTTGACTCCAAGTGATTTCATTTGGCTTGAGTCATCATTTTGGCCGTCTCTTTATGTAACTGAGATCAAATGCAGGATACCCTCTTGAATGTCTTAAACTGTCTGATGGAACTATTTCAAAGCTGTTTGGAAACATGAAGTGTTTTTTTTTTTTTTTTTTTTTTGTATAATACATGTTTCTCTTCGTGCGCCTGGTTTTTCTTGCATGTGGTAGAGCAACACAACAGCAAGACTTCTCCAGGAGCTTTTTGAGAAGTCATAGTTTCCACAGCCGACGCTCTCATCCCTGTGCAGCCTTTCTCTATGTCAGAGCATCACACTGTACCCTGCAGTGGATCAACAAGCAACTTTTCGTGAAGCACACGCCGCCCTTTCAAATCTCTATTATTGATTAAAGTAAATTATTTGAAATTCCTAAGACACAATGTAATGTTTTGAAGAGAGCACATGTGATATCTTTATGTTCTGACACATGAATATGAGTCCTACATGGAGGTAGTAGGTAGAAGGCAACACAACTTGAACCACTTCAGACACCGAGGCCATCGAAGTGATGTTTTCAAATTAAGTTCAAAACTGATTTGTCTCTAATCCTTTTCTATTAGCTTAATCGGTATCAACTGCTTTGTGCTAATATTGAGTTTTTCTCCTGTGTTCGCCTTCTATTTACATCAAGTTTCTGCACTCATTCAAACATAACACTTTTTACATCTAAGATGTTTTGCGTTCATATTTTCTAATTGTATTTTCAAAAAAAGCAAAAATGCAAAAACAGAACATTAATCTTTTTTCCTCATGACCTGGGTACAGTGATTGTGTAGTCTATTGTACCTTCTGGGAAACAATACTGTATATCCTTGCCTTTGACAGTCTTAACTATCTTACCTTCTGGAGAACTTGACAGATACCCTTAGAACACGAGTATGTTAAAAAAAAAATACATAAAGTAATATTTTGCAAAATGTATCATTCCAATAAACTTTTACTTGTTAAGACTAACATGTCTGTGTTAAGCTCTCTATTCACTCTGCACAATGGCACTCTAAAAAGTTTACTTTTTGGAAAACATAATCATCCTAAATTCACTTTTTATGCCTGGGTTGGAGGATCATATTCATTTGTAAGTGAAGGGTGTTGCAGTATTTACTGACCTGTCTGTTATTGTGAGTGTTTTAAAAGGCCAGCAGTTGCATTTGAATAATGAAGTGTTGTGTTCATCCTGCCATTGCACAGGATCGATTACCAGCACACCTCTCCAAACGTAGACTCACATTGCATTGCTGCAGTGGCTGAGAACCGCCACTGCTGCGAATAAAAAAGATTGAAAAAAAGAAACACAATGGAAGTTAATGGCGCTTAAAACAGTGGTGGTGCAAAAAAAAAATAAAATGTATTTTTCGCACTATTAGGCTCACCATCAATAAACGCGTCTATTCGCACCGGATTATAAAGCGCATTAAGCCGAACAAAACAGATAAGTTAAACTTTATATAACTCATTCAATAACTCCTCAAGGCTACGGTAGCTGCAGCGCTCCAACAAGCCAAAAGGATTTTAAATGCGCCATACAGTGCGAAAAATTTGGAACTGCAAAAATTAAAGGATGCAAATAATAAAAAGCCACAACAGAAGTGAACTGCCAAGAACCAAGAGACGGCAAAAAGACGAGCAAAGAAGTTAGTGGAAAGGTTATTGTTTAATTTTGCTTCGTAAACTTTTCGATGTGTCATTTGGTTAGGCCGTGTTGCGCTTGAGTCGATACAAAGTTGATTTGGAGGATGCCGGTGTGGAGTGTAGTGCCGCTTCAGTTCAACTTCATATCGACTTGGGCACGAAATGGCAAACAAACAAACAAATTACACACTGAAATGTTTACGAAGCGAAATTAAACAGTAACCCTTCCACTCACTTCTTTGCTCGTCTTCTTGCTGTCGTGTTCTGTGCCTAGATAGTAAAACACCGGTGCGTCATCATTATTGGTCCCTTACAACTCACTTCCGTTGTGGCTTTTTTATTTGCATCCTTTTATTTTTACAGTAAGCAACTTTTTTTTTCCATCGCCACTTTTTTTTTTGCGTCGTTAACTTCTGTTGTAGCTTTTTTTTTTATCTGTACCATTTCTTTTTTTATTCGCAGCGGGCTTCAGTTTCTTTTTTGCATCAGTAACTTCCATTGTGACTTCTTGTTTTGCATTCTTTTTTTATTTGCAGCAGTGGCGGTTCTCGGCCACCGTACATTGCGTCGAACTGTATCATTTAGGCATGAATAAAAGGATCCTTCGAGTCAGTTTAAGTGAAAGAATGAATGCATCAAAGAATGCAAAGTTATAAGGTGATTGACACGTGATTTGGACAACACTAACGAGACAATGGCTTTGCATAATAAATCACACAGATCTATGGAAGAGTTAGCGGCCTATACAAACACAGAAAATGTGTGAAAATAAAGTATTTCTGGAATTTATTTTTTCCTTTCTCGTGGCCTGTTTTACTAACTCCTGCCTATCATGGTTTGAGTTTGTGGTACAGGAGCTCGAAGAGCCCAAAATGCACAGATACGCCTCTGTGAAACCAACTTGATGGCAGTAAGATTGGGGTAACCGAGCTTTACGATTTACCTCAAAATGATGAACGTCGACAGTTTCTGGTGTCAAACTTAATCTCGTGAAAAGAGGAGCCACCGTCTGCACCCATCATGGCGAACAGTGGACCCGCGTGTGCGCCCTCGTCCCCTCCTCAGGACTCTACATTCCACCTTAAAACCCCTCTCGCGTGAAACTTTTGGACGATAACTCCGTCGCTCCACCTTAAGCGCACACGCAAACGCACTCGCAGGAGGCGTACAGCGAGGTTTCCGCTTCTCAGTTGGGCTCGGACCGCGACTCACGAAAAAACACGGTGTGTAACGCAAAAAAGGTTGACGCACCAAGGTAAGAAAAAAAGAAAGAAGAAACCAAACGGACCGAGCGATAAAGATGTCCGAATCAAAGTACCGCGAGTGGATTCTGGACACTATCGACTCGCTGCGGTCGAGAAAAGCCCGGCCGGACTTGGAGAGGATTTGCCGAATGGTCCGGAGACGACACGGGTCCGAGCCCGACCGAACCTCCGCAGAACTGGAGAAACTGATTCAGGAGCAAACCGTGCTGAAAGTTAACTACAAGGGCTCTATCTCGTACCGAAACGCCGCCAAGGTTCAACGGAGAAGCAGAAAAAAAGACGATGTAACGTTAACCGCGGCTGCGAGACGGAGCACGGTGGAAGAAGCCAGTCATTCCGACTTGAGCAACGGGGACAGCGCTTTCGGTCCTGTAGACCAGGACGAGGAGGATTTGGAGGTATGTTGTTGCGAGGAGGCATGTTTCACGAGCTCACATCCCATTGTCTCACTACATCTCACCAAAAAAATTAACAGGTGGAGGTTAAACCAGAGGAGGGGTTGTAGTTTGCGTTTCGCTAAAACACGTCTTTTCGTGTGTACACGGGGAGTGGTGAGGGGAGTGATTCGCAAGTGCACCCAAAACTGCCGCAGACGGGGAGCGGCGGTTGGACCTCGCTCGAGCGCTGTCGAGGTGGAGACGGAGAAAAAAAAAACGGAAGGTGCGCGTGCAGTCGGGAGTGTGGCATATTTGAGACAGCGCCGGTTGGAAAGCGCTTTTGGAAGGGGTGGCGCAGTACACGCAAGTACGAGACAAGTAAAAGTTGCACCGTCCTGCCCGTCCGCAACAACCCCAGCCACCATTATCAGCGGTGGAAAGCGCTTTTTCAAGCCCCAAACTCGGCGTTCAGCGGAGGGGAGGAGGGGAGGGGGGGACTCCACAAAACCAGCACGATTCGAGTGAAACCAGACAGGAAGCTTCACGAGTACCCTTTCAAAATAAAGCGTCACAATGAGTGCCAACACACCTAGAGATTTATTCTGAAATCTGCAACTGTGAAGACATTTCTTAATTTTCTCGTACTTGTAAATGTGGGAGTGGGTGAAGGGGGAAAAAAGTCTGAAACACCGCGGATGTTGGAGCCTGATGGGGGGACCCTGGGACATTGTTGGTCTGCTGATCGTTCTTTTCCTTGTGGAGGAACGAGGACCAAATAGTAAACATCAGAGTTATAACAGCACAGGTTATCGGCATAACCTGTATGCCGATCGGAAATGTCAATTCTTCTTCTAGACTTTAAGTAATGCCCATACCGATCACTGCTTAAAAAGTACTCCCAATAAACCTCATTTCGTTCACGTCGTGTGAAATGCCCCTGTTTCTCGACTGACGGACCATTGCCGACGCAGTGCATAAAGTCGAACCCCTAGATCCATTATCGGACATGCAGTCAGGCTCGGTCACGTCTAATACTTGGTTTCGTCTGTTGTTGTGGCCTCTCCCGTCCCGCAAAGCAATTACATCGCTTCTTTGTGTCAGGCAACTGTTTGTTGACATTGTGTTCAGAGAAGGCGCATTACTGCTGAGTGAAAAGAAAACGTGTGAGTGCCGACATCACGGTGAGGCACGAACTAACGCAAACTGTTCGTCCAGTGCCGTGGTAGATGCTCCATCCGATTTGGGTTAAGCTGAGATCAAATGCACTTTGTTTTCCGAAAAGCGTGCCTTTCGTTACGGTACCTACTTTGAACGTGCTGTACGTCAGGGCTGTTATCAATGTTTTACCCGAACACAAGGGTTAAAATGCAGACATTGACGTGTCCGATAACGGACTCATATGCGTTACTCTTTATGTTCGGTGGTTTCTACTGTACATCGGTGACCCAGCGCAAAGTCAAAGTAGACTGCTTGATCGAGGTGACCGCAGCTTTCTCTGCTCGGAGTGCTGCGTTGATCTACCCGTCGAGTTCGAGCTGGTTGTATTGTTCGTTCTGCTTTTTTTGCAGTGGCTCGGCCCCGTGAAGCGCTCCGTGGAAGACCACAGACACAATGGCGAGGTCTTGCCGCGGCTCCTAACTCCATGCGCACTTTGGAGGAAATTTGAGTAAAACCAAAAAAAAAAAAACGCCTCCCATCGGCCCTGTCTGTGCTCCCCCCGTGTGTGAGGATTATCAATCATCCAGGCCTTCCAAAGACCGGGACGCACCGAGTATATCCTCTATTTTATGACAGTCGACGTGAAAGCCCCGCTGGATTGAGACTCGTTGCGGGCCATTGTGCTTTTGTGACCGTGTCTTTGTAAAACTTATGTTAAATGCGGAGCGATGGGTGAATGCCGTGCAGGCGTCTCTTCTCAGGAGCGGGGCGGGCTTTAGTGCGCTCTTGTGCTCTCGACTGCTGGGTCTTGGACACGCAGTCGCAAAGAAGGTAATTCTTTACTAGGGCGCCATCGACTAAAACACCAGCGAAAGGAATGCGTGTGTTTGGTAAAACTAGTTACATGCGCAGAGACGCCACTACAGATCCATGTGTTTAATAGCGAGGAAGCCCCTTTTAAGGTAGACGGGCTCACGGTGAGAATGCAGAGTAACACTGCAGCGCGAAAAGGGGGACGAAGGCATTGAAAGGCAATAATTTACCACCACAGCGGTCAAATTGCGACATCTGTATGAGTCGTGTATGTGTGACACGTTCAGGCTGTGATCAGTTCTCGGTCATGACAACAATCCACTGTAACAGGGGGAGGGTTTGAAGTTGATGTCAAATAATGAACTTAAAATGAAAACGATTGCTTTCCTTGAGGAAACACTTGAAGTAGGTTAGTTTAGATCTGCACCTAATTGGGATATTTGTGTGATATTGAGAGTGCAGCAAAAGTACAATTGATGACTCTGTTCGCAGGCTGACACTTCTATGGCAATGGACACAGACAGCAATGCAGATGAGGAGGGGGCCGAAGAAAGCCGGGATGGTCAGGACGGACCCTCTCCTGGCCACACATTTGAAGATGCTGCCATGCACTGCTCCTCTGTGCGAGCCGTCTCTGCCCCCTGCTCCCCCTCTGGCACTCGGCCTGGCCCCGGCCCCGGCTGCAGCCCTGGCTCGGGTCTGGACTGTGTCTCTTTCCAGAAGGTTGGTGAGAGGCCCAGCTCCTTACCCCCCTCCAGCCCCAGGGCCCTTGCACACAATGACTGGGCCTATCATTCTGCTGTCTGCCCAGTGGAGCGCCAGCACCCAGGAATGCAGAGGGACAAAGGTATTTAACCAACGAGACATGGTCCGATATAGAGCCCCCAAATATAGTTGTAATTAGAAAATGTCTGGATATTCTTGTAAAAGATGCAAAGGAGAAACAGAACCTGAGTGGGTAGAGGAAGGGGAATTGTGGGAAAAGAAATTTCAACCCTCTCTTGTGCCAGAGATCTGTTATTTGTATACACTTCTAATCATGGCTGATTAATAAAAACAACACTTTCATTAGTCTGAATAGCACCACAGTTTGCCAAGAAAAGGTTCAGTTTGATCATATCAGTAATAATATCAGTGTGCAGTCGTCTAAGGCTGGAATATTTAAAGGACATGCAGATATTTTAATAAAAGGTGTTGCAAAACCAGCATTTGGATACCGTGGATTATTTGTTTGATATCGACCCCAAAATGTAACATCAAATAAAATCACCTTTTTCTGTGACAATGTGAAATGTGGTACAAAACGCCTGTCCTTACAAATCTTGATTAATGATGTATATAAAATAAATATGTTTCTTTTCTCTTGTTACTAATGTAATGTATCTTGTTCTCTCTGTTTACAGCTGTAAATGCAGTGATCCAGTCTGGGACCAGCAGCCCCGTTGCTTTAAAGAACAACATGAAGAAGGAGGAAGGAGGCAAAGTGGAGGACAGTAGCCTTTCATCCGACCAGTTAGTACCAGACTATGCAGCAGGACAGGTAATTGACCACTTTTTTCTATCATCAAACTCTGTCCATCAGACTGCTGCATCTTTGACCTTGTGCATCACACCTGACATATTCATTTGTTTTGTTTTACCAGCCGGAGGAGATGAAGAATAATGTATCTGACGGACGATCACAGCCCCTGTCTTTGCCCTCTGACAACTGTGAGTAGCAAAGTGCGCCATGTTTGTTTTTAAAGCTGCATCTGTTTTGCAAGGAATTAATTGATCATTAAGCCTCCCTCTCATTAGGGGAAATGGTCCCCTCAAAAAAAAGGACACGTGGTAAAGGAGTTAACTAACAACAACACATGTTTAAAATACCATACTAGCTGTTATTTAGCCATTTTGCCTGGAGGCTTGAAGATTTTTTGAATGCTTTACAAACTTGCCCCGCTGTCTCACATCCAGCTGGGCCTCCTTTTAACTGCTTAAGCTGTCACTCAAATCATGCTACGCTTTTGCAACCCTGCACTGTTAACAGCGCTGCCAGTACAAGAGAAAATTTAGCACCGGTCATTTAAATCAGTCAAAAATTGATGCATTAGGATGTCTCGTCGGGATCGAATCACAGCTTTCCCGTTGAGAAAGTAGCAGCTGCGCGAGGTTTTCCTCGACCTCGGATTGAAAAAATTGGACGCTGATTGCTTGCTGTGTAAAATGTTGATAGAAAACAGATTCTGTTGGTCTCGAAATAATCCGAGCTCCTTATTTGATTGAAAATAGTGCAAAGATAAACATCAAGTATTGAGATTGAGAATGAAATTATGATACAGGATCTGAGCCTGTTTAGATGGACTGATTTAAAGTGAAAAACTTCAAAAGTGCTCTGATAAATCAAACATTGACGTTCGTTTTGGACTCTAGAGAGACGAGGGACCAAGGCCATAATCCAGGATGATGGGTCTTTGTAAGACATCAAATAAAGAGTCTGCTCTTTTGGAAAGCATCTCAAGGTCATGATTGTTGTGATTTGGTGCTACATGAATAAAAATTGATTGATTGATTGATTGATAATACAGGGATGCAAATGTACCCACGACATGGCTGGTTTACTTGTATGGCGCCATCACTGCTGAATGATATACACAGACTTTGGAGCGATATACGCCTCCATCCAGACAATCTTTTTCAGGGTAGACCTTGCATATTTCAGTAAGACAACGCCAGACCTCATTCTGCATATATTACAACAGCATGGCTCTGTAATATGAGTCTGGCTGCCAAACTGGCCTCGTTGCAGCCCTGACTTGTCAACCACTGAAAGTATTTGGCACATCATCAAACAAAAAATACGACTTGAAACGCGCTAAACTGTTGAGCGAGTGAAATCCTGTATGGGGCAGCATTTTGATTTCAGAACTCCAGAAACTGGTCTCTTCAGTTCCTAAATGTTAAGAGTGTAGTTGTAAAGCAAATGTGATGCAACGCAGTTATGAGAGGTTAACGGAAAGTGGTTATTTGTGTCCTTGTTGATCTAAATTAAGACCTCTAGGTTTTTACTGCATGAAAAGAGGCTGAAGGGTCCGTGTATTATCCATCCATTCAATTATTCCATTCAATCTAGTAAACAAAAAACAAAAAAACGAGTCAATATTTTGTTTATTTGTTTTTCTATACAACCAAAAAAAATAAAAAATTAGTGTTTGTTTTCATATTTTCAGCTCAGAACAGAATATATATATAAAAGAGAAGGAAACGGAAATGAAATAATAAATCTTACGAACAATTATTGATTCTGAGTGCGCCTATTTTGAGCATACCTGCATGGAGGCTACATTGGCCTTCCTATGATCCTCAGTGACAGTTACCATGGCGAAAGATGAGACAGAGCGGCTCGAGCGCCAGAATCTTCCGTTGTAGCAGAGCTCTGGTTGTAATTTTTTCCACAGTCATACCTTCCTCCTTCAGCGTGACCTTCTTGTATAATACGTAGGATGTGTCCATCTCCATGACAACAGGTTAGCCTTTCTCTACCGCTCTGGCCTGGAGTTTATGGTCCAAGTTGTTGGCGACTTTGTTGCGCATGTGCGAAAAAGTAGAAAGGCACCGCGGGAAATGGGGACATCAATTACCAAAAACGAAAAGTAGATTTATTATTTTGTTTTCGTTTCCATCTCTATTATATATTCTGTTTTTAACTGAAAATACGAAAATAAACACTAATATTTTATTTTTTGTTATATAGAAAAATAAATAAACAAAATATTGACTCGTTTTTTTGTTTTTCATTTACTAGATTGAATGATCTCTAGTCAATTGTTTTCTGATCCCTTCACAAGTACCCCGTCGTGCGATCATATACTCATGCTGGGTCTGGATACAGTTTTTCTCAAAGAAGCGGTTCACGTCTACAAAGTGGAGCTTCATCCATGTCATGTGTCACATGTATGAAGACAGTCTCGGCAGCGCCCTGGTGATGTGTAGTGAAGAGTGCTGTATCAACACTCATCCACCGAGTCGACACTGTGCTGAACCGTGAACAAACTAATAGAAAAAATACTGTACCGTGACAGCCAGGGCCTCGGGGTCGCACAGCCTACTACTAGTGAGGAAAAGACATCACCCCAGTTTCATCACACATCTGCTGCCTCTGTTCATCACACTACTGAAAGGAAGGGATGCGATTTATAGGTGCAGAGAGAAGTCTTTTTAGTAAAACTGTAATTTTATTTTGCACACTTTTACTGGATTTAAAGGTTACAATAATAGTTCTTATCTGAAACTCTAGTTCTGTTACTGTATATGACTCATATGAGGACAAAAAGTAGAAATCCTATCGCTGTTTGTCACACATTTCTCTGACTAGGACTAAGAGGTTGGATAGGATCTGTTTGGGGATTTAACAAGCATGGATGATTTTGCACTCCGCTGAAATGTAGATGATTTTCGGCACTGCTGTTTTCTCTTTCTCTCAGAAAATGTAGAAAACCAAAGTGCTCTCCTTCATTTAGTCAGAGATGGAAAAATTCAGCAAGGGGTTGAAATTATCATCAGAGACAAATTGTGTTTCTCCTGTAGATTTTTTGGGATTAATACAAACCCATTGTGGTCACAGCTGCAGAACATAAGTAATTTTGCCTCATTTCTCTTCTTTCCCAGGTACACTTAAGAATAAAGTTGACATACCCTCCTTCACAGCAGCCTCAGACAATCTTCTAAACGGCGGTAAAGATGATGAAGTGTGAGTATTCTGTTATTAAACAAGTCATTTCATTTTCCTACTGAGATGCATTTTAGCAGAGCACTAAAACAACGCCCCCTCCCCTCCGACAGAGCTTTAATACGTCTCTCTTGAATTTAATGTTTCAGTGATTGCCTTCCACAATTTATTCACCTCTCTTCAGCACAAAACTGTTTATTTAAAACGATAACTGAGGTCACAGAAGGTCTAAAATAAAAAAGAATAAAGTGAGACATGAAGGGAAGTCGTTCAGTGGTCGTGTCTCTGACTTGTTGTCGTCTTGTCGTCCTGCAGCTCAGTGAAGAAGGAGAAGGTTGGACAGAACTTGTTGCAGTGGACCGTGGCAGATGTGGCCAGTTACTTCTCGGCTGCAGGCTTTCCAGAGCAGGCTGTGGCTTTTCGAACACAGGTCAGTGCACCACCTTAAAGCTACCACAGAGGGCGCCACCTGCATACTGAAACCCATACCTTTCCTGTTACATGTTAGTGGGTAGTGAAATTTAGTGGTCCTCAGTTAAATAAACCTTAATATGAGAAATGCCTGATCAAAACTGTATCAGAGTAGATTCACTGACAGATATTAAACATCTAGAAGCTGATGGTCATTTCTAAGATGAAATTTTCCTTTCCGTTGCAGGAAATTGATGGGAAGTCCCTCCTCTTAATGCAGCGCAGCGACGTCTTGACTGGTCTCTCCATCCGACTCGGCCCTGCCCTCAAAATCTACGAGCGCCACGTAAAGGTGCTGCAGAGGACCCACTTCCTGGAATGTGAGGACCTCTGAAGCGGCGATTTGCAATACAGACAATACTGCAATGACCTGAACGTGCATGCAGTGCCCTCTCCCATCCGGATCCTGCACCCACCTTCATATATAGACTATGTAGAGGGTGAGTGGAGGGGGCGATGGCTGCGGTGGAATAAACGTTCACTGTGAGAATGACCACAAACTTAAAGATACTCATCCTACCTCTCATTACGGTCTTTGGTTTTTTTTCAAATGGTTCTCATTTCACCCTGTTCGGACGCTCCATCGCATCGTCAAATGACAGAGACAGCGCCGTTCGTACGTGTGTTTTTAAAATGGAGGACCAATGACCTTTCTGCAAGTGCAAGCAATCAGCGAGGAAGCTATTGAAAGGGGGGCGGGGGCTGAGCCTTGCACAAACTGGACCACACTCACGGAGATACGATGAGAGCAAAGTGTGGAAAACTTTGGGTCCAGATGAGAAACTGTTGGTTCTGTGTGGCTCTATAATTCCTCCTTGTATACTTGTTTTGTCTATTACGGTACCGTCTTTGTCCGGGGGGAGCTGTTGTGTGTCGTACACATAAACACAGAGCACTTCTGATGTCTCTATCCTTTTTTTTACACTTAAGGAATTGAATTATATCCTGTTGAAACGCTGGTGGAGTCAGAGTGTCTACACAGCTGCATCGAAAAGTCATCAAGAGTCTAATCTGATTTATCGTGTCACCCATATCTGCTGATGTTGGATTACGCCTTCAGTATCTTCGATATATAAGTGATACAATATAATACTTCCTGCTGGCAAGGCAATATATTGCATTTATTCCCTTTTTCTATCTTGTATTGTTTTGATTGTGGGAACAACTGCAGAGATGACCGAGAAACCTGCAGGCTGATAGAATCTACTTTCATACCTTCATGAGCAAAATAGGATAATAAGCTGTTCTTCTGAATATATCCAACCAGATTAAATGCAGCTGCTCAGTGCCTATATACAGAGCAGATACGTTGATCAAATGCAATAGTCGATGTTATCATCCATGTATTATTTGTTCAGTGTTTATTTGTGTTTCAGTGTCACTTGGCCTCATGAATTAGAACATTCCATCTTCGGTGTATCTCCTCTCATTTTTATCTTAAAACGCTGAGATTTCTTCCAGGGTCACAAATAAAGCTTGTTTCTCTCTGTTCACTTTGTGATACTTTATTCAACTCGCAGTCAAAGCAGTAATGATCATCAGAACAGTCACTTTCAATGGGTCAGAGTCATTTAAGGAGGCTGTTGGGACACAGAGATCCTCATATGCTTTAATCAGATCATGTCAAACGGTCTATTTCAGCCCCACGCTTGTGTTTTCTCAACAAGAATATTACAGCAAGATTATTTAGTTCAAAATTTAAACGATTAAAAAAAATGAAGTTCCCAATTTAAACTGCACAGTTGGGAGAATAACTTTTAATCCAGTTATATAAGCACCATTAGTTTCTGTCTGTATCTGCACGGTTCTTCAGAGAAGTACAAAAACAAAAGAATGAGGAGAAAAACTGTACAATACTGACAAAAATTAAACTCAATACACAATACACTGACGATGATTAGATGACTGAAACTTGGTCTTTTTGACAACTTCTTTGGCTTTGTGATTGTGTTGTAATAATACAGCATTTCTAATTTCAGTCTCAGCCTTCTGTCAGCATTATTCTCTGTTTGTAATACCTTTTTTTTTTGTACCAAAAGCGCATTTGATCCATGCATGGGCAAGAAGAGAAGCGGAAAAGGTTAGAATCTGCATAAAATATCCAACTCAGACATCACTTGGACATCAGAGAGATTGATAGAGTCCTGCAGGAGCCACAAATTTGTCAGCCCCAGGCTGCGCGTTATTTCACCGAGGAAGATTAGCCTCTTTGTTTCTGAGCTCTGTGGGAACCATGTGAGCAGTGTGCCAAAAGCTTTAAGAATAATGGGACACTTAAGAAACTAAACACTCCCAACAAACCAGTAATGAAGTACCAAAATACCTTTTCATCTCCTTGCTCTAAAAAACCACACACAACATAAAATTAAGACTTTGCTGCTTTTAACTCTGACGTCTTTGACCGGTAACAGTTCTGCATTCATCAGACTCTCTGAGTAACTCACACCCCTTGTTGTGGAGCATCACTCGGAGTCCAAACCACCAAAATCCATCCATGCAGTGAATCCCAGCACACACTCTCTGACCTCCAGTGAATGGAGGAGAGCATGAAAAGGCCCGGGTCAGCAATGGGGATGGACGAGTGTAGAAACCCATGTTTTCTGTGCCAGGCGCTACAGGATGAAGGGGAGGATGGAGGAGCGCAGGGTTGGATAATCCCTGAACTCCTTTAAGTAGCTGCGGTGTTTGCCTTTGGCCCACACTGTCATCTGGATGAAGGCCACCACAGTGAAAAAAGCCACAGGCACACACTGGGTCATCACTGTGAAGCCGATCCAGGAGCCCAGCTGTGAGCAAGAAGTTTGCAGACGCACACACAAACAGCCACAGATGCACACACAAACACGGGTTATTGAGATCTGTGGTACATGTGCAGCAGAAAACCAGTAGATGGCAGCAATCGTGCTGCTAATAAAGGAGCATGGGTATTTATGCGGACTAAACTTACTTTAATAAAAAATAAAGAACAAAACAGTCATAAAGATGATTTATCTGCATTTAAAAATACCGGTGTGAAACCAAAAAGAGGGGATACTATAAGACTAACTCTGGAAGATCTCTTCTTTGACAGTGTGAACCTGCTGAATCCTCAGCTGAGCTTTAGATCAAAAAGATTTCTGCACAGAATGAGGATTTTAAGAGGAAATTTCTTTGTGTCTTATATAAAAAAAGTGGATTAAAATTTGCTTTATGGTTCAAATATGCATGCAAGTGTTGTTTTAAATCTTACATAACTGACCACACACCTAAATGTGGCCGACTAAACTGACTGTGAAGCCCTGTACCTTAAATGATATAAATATGAGTGTGTTTTTTTCCTGCTTACCTCATATGTGTAGTTTGGACATGAAACCAGCCAAAATATCCAAGTGAAGGGATTTTTTGTTGGATATGGAATCTTCTTAGATTTTGAACCTGTTATGATGAATAAAAACAGATAAAACATATGTCGCATTCACTCAAAAATCCATAAAACAAAATGTGCATTAAAAAAAAAAACAAGCTCACTTAGTAGTTTGAGGTTGCGAAGGGCGACATGGATGGAAAAGTTCCCCACTTGGCAGAACTGCAGAAATACAAACATCCAAATGTGATTCAGCACGTACAAATAGATCATCAGGGAGATGACACGAATAAACCAAACTTACCAAGAAAATATAAAGCCCTGTGTTCACCTGCTGCTGCCCGTAATCTATTTTAGTGTCACAAAAAAAAAAAGGATAAGAAAGGAGGTCAACTTTGAAGAGTTAAAGTGAGAACAGAACTCCCCCGTACTTACAGGGTGTGGTGTAGAGAGGGTGGTTGATGTAGTATGCCATCCACGCTGCAGTGCACCAGTAATAGCCACAATTCTGGAGTACAGGAGGGACTATGTAAGTCAAACTGTCGTGTTAAACAACACAGTCAAAAATAATAACCGGTAGACCACAAACAGAGGTCAAATTCATGCAGCTTAATCACCTTAAATATGTTTCTGAGCGGCATGGTCCCGTGGGAGATACGATGAACAAACAGCGTCTCCAGAATCCTCTTGATGTAGTGAAATGAGTGACACATGCAGGCCAAGCTGCGACAGAAAGACACGCGCTCAGATATTAAGCAATGATTCATAAATTACCCTGCTGCAGTCTGTTACACTTGGCTCTGTACAGTCCTCACACGAGGAATATGGCTCCGGTCTAGAGTGTTTGTTATGTTAAGTCTGCATCTGTCAAATGCTTTGGACTGTTTGATACTCTGCAGCATCACTTCAATTAGGCCTGGAAACTGTGAGCAAGCTGATACTTACTGAACGACCCAGTGTTTGCTGCTGGTGAAGTCATACTTTGAAGAGTAAATGAACGGGAGGCGGAAGTAGAACATTAAGTAGATGATCAGTGGGCCGACACACTCTGATAGAAACACCTGAAATGAACAAAACAAATACCCCCAAGATGACTTTTTTGGGATCATAGACAAAAGCATGAAAGAAATGCATTTAGGTTTAACATCTCTGCGCCTTCTTTACCAAGAAAAGAATAAAAAATAAAACCTGAAATAAAAATAGATAAAAGTTTGTCTTCCTGTCGGATCAGCACTTTGTCTGTCTGCACCTTTAGCCAAAGAAAGAACATGCAGCTGAAACCGGACCTGCTCTCCATGTACACCTCTAAGAACTCCCAAACAATTTAGTGTAGTAATAATAGTATTCAACATGTGCCTGGAGCAAATGAGACACTAATGCAGCTTGTAATACCAGCTTTCCATTAATAACATGATCAGTGAAGTAGCACAGCTGACGGGGAAATGGATCCCTGAATCAGCACCCCAGTACAGCCCTAACTCAGCATGCTTGACCAGTAGCTACTGCCAGTGGTCTCTGCTGGGGCACCTCTTGGCCCCCTCCAGCCTTAGCGACATTGGTCTGAAGCCTGGCACGGTGCTGGGGGTTGTGCCAGAGTTGGTAAGGACAGTGGGGGGGATGTCAAGATTAGGTGGGCAAGGGTGAGTAAAGAGGTGCAGCGAAAGGCAAGTGAGAGGTCAGGGGGATAAACACCTTTGAGAGAAATGAGGTCATGAGATTAGATGTCCTAGGACAGAGGACGGGCGGTGCAGGAGGTGAGAGGAACCAAAGCTAATCACCGCTATCCGTCACTGCGGCTTGATATTTATGTCCAAGAGTTGTTGAGTGGGTGAGAGACGGCCTATTTATATTGAGAGTAAAAGAAATTTGAACCAAAATCAAACAACATTACCGAAAAATGCTATTTTCTGTTGGTTTGGAGCAAATTCTTAGTGATTCACATGGTAAGCCTAATTTCTTTCCCTGGTTTTAAGCAATAACAAACATTTCATTCACAATAATGTTCACAATAATAATCCAATCGTGTCTTCCACTGAAAAAGGTTGATACTCAGTCCGGCAGATCGTACAATCTTAAACAGCTTTGTCGTCTGTCTTTTGATTGGCTCTGCAGGGTTAATGAGGAAACACTCTAACTATTCTGACACACTCAAACCTTGGCTTTCTGCTTATCCACTTGAGAAGTAAGACTAAGAATAGAAGTATGATAAGGAAAATACTTTGGGTACTAGCTCACTCACGGCATGCATGACTTCATCATTTATTGGATTAATCCATGCAAAGCCTCTGTGTGATTCTAAATATTGTGTCTGTGCACATGTTGACTCACTGTTCCCCATGTGAGCTGGGGTCCGAGGTCAGTGAAGTAAAAATGGGCCGTGGTTCCTACAGGAAGCGTCTGCAGCACTTCCTCATCCCTGAGACACTTGGCCTCTGAAAAACAACCCAGTCCACAACAATCAGCTGGTGTAAGGTCAGAAAGAAACAACAAATTCCAGTACAAGACCACCCAGGACACGCACTTGGATCCAAACGTAGGGATTGTCTGGCTGGATACCACTTTGGATCTATCAAGACAGAGAAATTGTTTACTCTCAAGGTGAAAATAAGCGTAAGAAACTGAAAATATCCACATGAATTTACTTACATGATTTTTGAAACAAAGCTTTTATATCCAAAACAGTGGCCGTCGGCTCCACCTGCAATCACAATGAAGCCGTGCTTAAGATCGAAGGCATCAGAGGGCAGGCTTACGATTTCACCTCAGAAATTTTCACATGTTCTCGAATTTGTCCGACAGGCATTTAGTTCATTCATATTCGCTCATACAAGTTGTTAATCATGTGTGTCTGCCTGCCAGTTGGCCTAATGCGGCACTGGCATGTGCTGTAGCTGGGACGGAGAATTCCTGCTGATGAAGAGGCAATTCTCACCTTCTAACTACAACCTTTGTTCAACAGAGACATAACCGATCGGGCCTGCGTTTGAAGTGCATAATTCCTTATGAAAATACCGCTCACAGTGACCCCTGAACTGAAATAAACAGGTTTCTACTGACTTCACTGTAACTAGGTCTCTCGTTGTACAGACAGATACATGTGTGACCCAAATGAAGTGTTTTCACTCCCCCAGAAATAATCATGGTCAATATAAAAGGCGAGTGAAATCAGAGACTGTCCATCATTCTGACACTTACTTTGTCCAATAGCAGCAGTTTCTCTTTAGTCTTTAAGTCCACAATCTCCACCTCAAAGTAAACAATCCTTTTGGCCTTTTTCTGAGGTTTTGGCTTTGGCCTCGGCGCAGACTTTTTCTCAGGCTCTGCTCCATTTACATTCTTTGCCTCCAAGGCGAGTACATCCATGGTGGAGTTTGATCCCAAACCTCGGTAGCTTGGTGAAATAGTCTGTGATATATCCAATGACGTTGGCTGTCCTCTACTGGTGTGGAAAGCACCCCCTGCACACCCTCTGTCCAACTGTCAGTTCAACTCAAGTGTGTCGTCTTTGGTGTCTTTAGGACTCTCCGAATAGCCTTCCACCTCCAGGAGAAGAGTGACTGAAATAAGTTAGATCATAAACACTTTTTACCCCCCTGGTGGAGTGTATGTGTGTGAGGAAAGGAGGAAATAAAGAGAGGAAACATGGAAGTAGAGCTGGTATTAGAAATATGAAATGAACTTGCTTCTTACCTGACTAGAAGCCTCTTCATGATCCACAGCCCCCCTTCATGCAACAAAACGCACTGAAGACGAAACCGGAGAGCCCTAAGACATAATCCACAGCGCGCCATTTGCAAGGCTAAATATAAGTCCCCTGATTTGCTCAGCACTAGCTTGGTAACCTTGGGCAGCCACATGCAGCCATTCCCAGTGACAAATACCAATGTGCTTTCATTGGACCTAAAAGACTGACACTCTTCCCCTGGCTGTTCTGCTTCTCCCCTTGTTTTACAATGACAGGCCCCACTAAATGCAGGAAAGACCTCCACCCCAGACCTCCTCTGTGGCTGATACGCTTCTATCTACCTGACCCCCTGAACATGACAAACATATTAAATCAGGGCCTGTACGCTTCCAGGTTTGAGTTCTCCAGGAACAACGCGATTGCTGCAGCATTTTAACAAGGTTTGTAGAGAGGGGAGGACGGAAAAAAATAAATGCTGATAGGGAGGGGATCAAAGATGCCTTTCGTCACGCTAGGCCAACTAATCATCACACATAGCCAACTGCATATCTATATTCTGTGATCTATTTATATCGAGTAGGAGCTGTCCAAACCAGAAGCACGTAGAGTTTTCACTGTTTGCATTCCAAGATTGTATTTGAGTCTCGAATCAGAGAAAAAAAAAAAACTTTGGCGACTTTAATGTTTTTTGAAATACTGCTGATGAAAGATAAATATGGAAAAATAATCTCAAATATACACTGGACTGATATGAGCGGTGGTAATGTGGTAGATATGACCTCAGAGGAATGCAGTAACACAGCACTCCAGAGGATCACTTATCCCCAGAGTGTCCCGGTTAGAGGAACTGTCACTTATTTCATCTTATAGAAATTGTAGCACAAATGTTTTGGCTTTTAAAGTATCGAAAATACCTATCTATAACAGAAGATTTGACATTTGACCCCTATAGTTCATTAGTTGGTATCAGTTACCCAAGATTGGGTAACTGATGCAGACTCATTACAGGGATGGCAACCTGCCCCCTCTGGAAATCTGAGTTGGCCACTCCAGGTCCAACCCTTAACCCTGATTGGTTATTTGTCTTGTCATATCCGGCTCTTATGTTTTGACTGTGTTGCCACAGGCTGCTTGCGGCTTTCTTTGAAGCCTTTTTTGTAGTCTACCTAAGAAAGAAGACCTAAATGTTTCCACTTTATTGTGCTGCTTATTTAAAGAAAAAAAAACAATAAAGGTTCTTTCAGATATTTAAGAGCTATAAAAAGTGGAAATAGAAAAGGCAAATAAATGCTCGCAAACCATGTGCGTGTGTGCACACATAGACTACTCCATGCAAGAAATCAGAGCCACCAAGGTCAAAAAAGTCTGGATCCGCCCCTGCATGCCTTGCATTTTTGTGTGCTTGCCCTAATTATACTGTTTATGAACTATGCAATCACCTTTGTGTTGTTCATGACTCTACATGGACTGCAAGTACTGTGTGGTTTTGTTCAGTATTCATTTTTCCCCTCATACTTACATGTACAAGTTATTTGTACATGTTTGAACCTTTTTGGTTTAGCTTGGGATGTTGCCATCTAGGGGAGAGTGGGATAAGATGAGCCATTTTTCATATTTCAGATCACTACATCAAGGCAAATTATAGTCTTGTCTCTAAGTAGTGTATCTGCATATATTTCAAGATGTTGTGCATCCCTGCAAAGCAACAGAATGAGTGTAAACATAATTGTCTTGATAATGTAGCATGTCCAAAAAAGTAGTCTCCTATCATCAACTTATGGGGTAAGTTGACCATAGTTGAACATTTCAACAATCTGAACTGAAACTCTGATCCTCTCATCAGACTACTTTACTTTCCCAGTTGAGCCACTAGCCCAATTTACCCCAGAACTACTCTTATGACTTTGTTAGTCCTCTAAGATAAAATGGTGGACTTTTATGCTAGGTTTTTGACCTGATGTTGTAGCTCATAGATACCACAATTGGTGCATAAAACAAATTTAAAATGATCTTTATGGTCTGAACACAATTCTTTAAAACTTATTACAGACTAACTTCACTTTCACTTTTTTTTTTCAAATAAATGTCTAACCCCTTCACCCATGTGCTTTTAACCTTTACAGACGCCATGAATTGATGCCCATCTTCTAAATATTTGGTCACATGATCAATTTCTTTGACCATTTCCAAGCAACAGGGAGTGGCTCAAATTACCCTTTGGCTCAACCTACCCCACTCTCCCCTACTTTAGGAGAACTGGAGTGTGTGTAGCCTATCTGTGCAGGCATGCGCCCCCCCATTTTTAGTTTTGCTCGTGGGGAAGTCATACAGGCTGCTGTCTAGGCTATAGGGGAAACAATAACTTCAAAACCTTACAAAGTGAGAAGTCACTGCAGGCTGCTGCAGCGGGATACATTAAACCAACCGGCCCAGCTACACCCACGACAACTTCAGAAGTGGGTAAACCTGGTGTAGTTACGCGCCACCAATAAAGTAAAATTGTCCAAAAGGTCGCTGTTTAGTACATTTGTTTAATTGTTTCGTTTAAGAGACCGATTCTCCTCCCTTATTTTTAGTTTGTTGTGTCGCGCACAAACCCGGAAGTTGATAAGAGCGACTCCTCTTGGCTTGGCTGTGATGATGACGATGACCCACATCAGCAGCACGAGCGTCTTCCAGAAGTTTCCTCAGCGGGTTGTCAGCACGACGGCGTTATAAAGACGCGCGTAGTAGTATGATCGGTAAAGTTTCGTCGTAGAAGCTTATTAGTCTTATTTTTGAGTCGTCGTCCTGAAGAGTAAACGCTGTCAGTGACCAGTGAGGGCAGCCTACCTTGACTGTTAGCAGGCTAGCTTTTCTTCACCGCAGCGCTGACAGCTGCTGCGGCTGCGGCGGAGGAGGAGGATCCCGTCAACCCGGCCCATACAGCGGGCATGCTGGACGTGTGTCGCTGGGAGTGAAAAAAAACGGAAGCATCTGCACTGAGAATGTTTATATGAAGTTGGTAAAAGATTGACCAGTTATTGTAATGGGTAAAGACTACTACAAAGTGCTCGGGATAGCCAAAGGTGCCACCGAAGATGAGATAAAAAAGGCGTACAGAAAACAGGCCCTGCGTTTCCATCCGGACAAGAACAAGTCCCCCGGAGCTGAGGATAAATTTAAGGAGATTGCTGAAGCTTATGATGTCCTCAGTGATGCCAAGAAAAAGGACATTTATGATCGCTTCGGAGAAGAAGGTATCTGAACCTCTCTGCCTTGCATCTACTGTTTTTTTTTTTTTTACGCTTGTGGGACCTTTTCAGATAAAGTTTGCTTTAATTTAATCAAGCATGCATTCTGCATTTGCAGCCCCTGATTCAGTGAGTTGATGTATTGATGCAGCCCGTGATCACTGCTTCTGGCATCGCTCATTAGACAGACAATGAACCGGGTGTGTGCACAATGTATGGAGAACTTGCTGGAAACAGCGAGTTCTTGCCTGTCCGGTCACTCAGTTGCTGGAATAAAAATTCAGGTTTAACTTGCTCAGAAATGCAGGAATTCATGCCTTTGGGCTGAAATATCACAGTCTACATTCACAGGGTGCACTGAGAGAGAAAACTCTGCCACTAAATGTGTCAAAAAGTTAGATTTGTTGTCTGATTTTTACTGCCAGAAGCATTTCTTCTACAAGTCTAGTAGACAGTTTTGTTTTTACAATAAATTCATCAGAATTGAGGTATAAGAAATTAGGGTCCAACCATATGGATTTGTTTGGGCCGATGCCGATTATAGAGGGGGCGGTCCGATTACCGATTAATCGGCCGATTTTTCTTATGAAGTTATAAAATATATACATACTGTAGATATCTACAGCATACAATATAAAGATATACTATAGGCTACTGCTCTTTACGCCGACAGGAAGACCGACTGATCAAACTCCCACCGATGCCGATCGGTGTGTCGTGACTCACATTATCCGTGTCCGGTCTCATCTGGAGACATGCAGCTGCCTCAGTAAGAGAAGTAGCTCGATCATGTAATATGTACTGTTGTTTATTCTACCGTTACTGGCACTGCTAACAGTGTAGCAAGGCTAATAGCAGGTTCGCTAACTCTAACTTTAGCTTGCATATTACATGGTGCGTCACCGTGACCGAGACCAGCACAGTGGGGAACACTGGGTTGAACTTAAACTTGTTGACTTATTGTGTATTTCACAAACTAGTTTATTTACCGTTGAGGCGGACCACTCTCCTCCGTGCGACCCTGAGCTGCCTGCTTCAGATCCGTCACTCTGCTGTGCTGTGAGGTAGTTAGTGGATGAAGATTGTCATGCGCCATCTACAGGATAAGTCGGGGAACTTTTCAAATGGCAGAACATTTTCAAAGTGAAACCGAATCTTATTCTCCACATTTTATTTCTGAAAATATCGGTGGGAATCAGCGAGTTTTGGCCGAATACCGATTAGTCTCAAACGGGCTAAAATTGGCCGATTTAATCGTCTCACCGAAATATGATTTAAACTAATTTTCTGTCCTTTAATGTGATCTCTTTAGGCTTGAAGGGTTCTCCTGGTGGTGGAGGTGGAGGACACAGCGGTCAAAGCTACAACTACACCTTCCATGGAGACCCTCATGCGATGTTCGCAGAGTTCTTCGGCGGCCGCAACCCCTTCGATCATTTCTTCTCCCAGAATGAAGAGGATGACATGGACATCAATGACCCCTTTGCACCATTTGGCATGGGGAGAATGGGTGGCATGGGTGGCTTTCACCGATCCTTCAAATCCCACCCAGGGGGTCCTCACAGAGCTCATGAGAAGAAGAAGGACCCGCCTGTCGTTCACGAGCTGAAGGTGAGCCTCGAGGAGGTTTTCGCAGGCTGCACCAAAAAGATGAAGATTTCCCGCAAGAGACTGAACCCGGACGGCTGCACCATGCGTAATGAAGACAAGATTTTAACTGTCGACATCAAGCGCGGCTGGAAGGAGGGCACAAAAATCACTTTTCCCAAGGAGGGGGATGAAACTCCAACTAACATTCCTGCAGATGTGGTGTTCGTAGTAAAAGATAAACCTCACCCGCTGTTCAGAAGAGAGGGCTCAGATATCATCTATCCTGCTAAAATATCACTCAGAGATGTAAGTACATGCTGGAGTTACAAAGTGTGGCTCAGTTTACCAAAATATGCATCTGATTAACTTGTTTTCTGTTTTCAGGCTTTGTGTGGATGCACAGTCAGCGCCCCGACACTGGATGGCCGGACCATCACTGTGACCTCCAGAGACGTTGTCAAACCTGGAACCAAAAAGCGAATCACTGGAGAGGGGCTACCTCTGTCCAAGTGCCCTGAGAGGAGAGGTGACATGATCTTGGACTTCACAGTCAAATTTCCTGACAAACTGGGCCAAAACACACGAGAAACTCTCAAGCAGATCCTTCCACCCTGACTTCACGCCCTGAAAGCTCGCACTGAAAAAAGTTTAACAAGTTAACATTACCGGTGATGCTCTCCTGTGCAGTTTAACCTGGACAGTTCCAGCTCAGGAATCTAGTTCCTTCCCACTATCTCGTCTCTTTACCGTATTTGGACAGAAGAGCTGATTTTACGTTTGGTTTGTGCATTCAGTTGAGGTTGACTAACAGTATTAGGAAACAGGCAGTCACAGTGACAGACTGAAGCAGGAATAGTGTAAGAAAAGGAAAATGTATAAGATGTAAATAGATAACCAAGTAAGGAAACAAGTGGTTGGTCTTTGTTTGCCTCCAAAAAGGAGATAACCAAAGGAACCAGAGTGTTTTTTTTTTTAAAGTTTGTTGAGCTGCAAAACTTTATATAGCCACTTTTTTTCAGTTTCTCCACTCAATGCAGCAGCTTCTTATCAGTACCTCAGGTGCAGTGGTGCATGTTTGACCAGAGCTACCATGACGTCACACTGAAGGACATGATGAAGGTTTCTATATGGATTGAAATGAGGCTTATAGGTTCATAATCAGCTTGAGCTGATCAGATCCATGTTAGCGCTGCTTCAATGTGGTAGATTTGACTTTATCGTCAAAGAGAGTCTGAAAAAGTGGATCAGTGTGGTTGAGATGTAACCTCTGTGGGATGTCTGCACAAAATGCAAGAGTCAAGATTGAGAATCGGGGCATTCCTCTTTTCTGCTTCATGATAATGTAATCAAAACAGTATAATCTATCACAGGAGAGCTGGCTTTATTTGGATGTAGAGGTGGAGCGCATGGTTTAAAAAATGCAATGACTTACTGTTTTAGTGTTTACAATAACATGGCAGAAATCTGCTTAAACGTCACAGTTTCAAGCTGTCAACAATGACCGTCACTGTTCAAAAGGACATTTTTGTTTTACACTGCTCTCTGCTCTCAGATAACTGCAGGCTCAGTGTGATAAGAGGCCTCTATCCCATGAACTCTACCAGGACAATAAAACTAAAATATGCACAAACCTCCAAACAAAGATGGTGTTTGGGTTTCAGTTTTGTTTGAAAAGCTGCATGTTTGTGGGGATTTGAATTAAGAAAATAGCTCGGCCCAGTTTCTCCGAGTGTAGGGATGAATTATGTATCAGGAGGGAAAATGATTACGATAGCTCCTCTTTCAAATGTTTACTCCAACAACGCTTCCACTCACTGGGAGCCTGTTACTTGTGAAAAACGTTTTTAAGATAATTTGTGCCAAATAGTTGTCACTATTGTGGGTGTATCCGCAGTGACCTTGAGAGCATGTTTTTTAAATTCCATGCTGTGACTGAAAAACCACATAGATGTCCTTTTATAGGAGAAACATGGTTCAGAAGTTGATGTATGGTTCTTCTGTCTGACTGCCTGTGTGAGTTTATTTTATTTTACCCCACAGCCTCATGCGTCGGTCCGACAAAAGCATCACAAAGACTGAGATATGAATTTAATTTATACCCCTTATTTTAAATTCTGCATTTATTTCAAGATGTACCTCACTAGCAGGTGAGTTTCATACTTGAGGAAAAGATGCGTATTGAGCTCTGTGTCCCTTTTTGACTGTGCCACTGACTTAACTTTGTTTCTTCATTTTCCTTTTTGAAGTTTTTTTGTTTTTGTTTTGCGCGTGTGTGTGTGTCTTCACATGACTGTCAAACTTCAGGGCAGTCCAAACTTCATCCTACTCCTGCTGGAGTTTTTTAGTTTAACCTTACACAAACATGTGATTAACATGAATGTAGAGATGTGTAATCTCTGTTAAATGTAACTTTTATTTTTGTTTTAAAAAAGGTTACCAGATACTTGCGGGCTGTTTTTCCTTCTTAAAGGAAAGAGGCACAAACATGAATTTATTTCAACTTGTGTTTATGTTTAGAAATTCTTCAGTTTGGGATTCAAGAGTTTATGAGTTAAACAGCAGATCTTTGTATCAAATGTGAGGATTTTTTTTTTAATTGATCTTTCCTATGGTGTGTTGATTTGAATTCAACATTAAAAAGACTGGCTATCTAATCAATTACTGTGTGTATGTTCAAGTTATTGTGGGTATTTTTGCAACCAGAGCATCACAAACATATTATCCACATATAATAAAAAGAAAAATACTTCAATTAAAAACAAGACACAATGCATTACCTTCGCCTTTTCTTCGGAATAAATATATAAAAACATAAAAAACAAGTTACAAGAAACTTCAAACTAGCAACATCCTATGATATAAGCACGTCCGAAATTAAGATTTCCTTTTATTTTGAAGTTTGTAACCGGAAATAGTCCTATACCCGTACATCTGACTTGACTCTTATGACTGTGGCCGCGCCGAGAACAGCACCCTCTGGTGATGGGCTACAGTAAAGGTCATAAATCCTGCCTCTGCCAGCAAAGCTTATGGGGCTGTGGATAAACGTGAGAAACTTTTTACACAGAACATAATTTTTCTCCCCCCTGCTTGCAGTGTTGGCATGTAGTTACAGTAAGACTGGTTTGTGCTGGTTTCTTATTAATGTGGCCTAAATGCAGTAAAAATACATGTTTTTTTTTTCTTGTGGTCTTTTTTTGGTGCGATTTGATATTTATTCACTTTTGTCCATGCTGTTGCATGGTCCTCCTCAGGTTCTTCTGAATATGCGCTGAATGCAGAGATGCATATAAGTAAAAATTTTCATTTTGCTGGTCTCCATTTTGTGCAATTTGATATTCTCTGTACATGCAAATTCAGTAGTTGTCATCCTCAGTTTATGTACTCTGAAATGCAATTAACTCGATAAATTGGGTGTATTTATGTTAAAGATTTCAGTCTTCGGAGTTTTTTTAATATAAAAAATAAATTTGCTTGGTTTGAATTTTTTTAAACCATGGGTAAATGTGGGTCCCAGAGTGAGACCAGTGGAGAAACACTGGTCTATGGTGATATACAAGTCAAGCATGGTGACAGCCTGTTAATGTTGGGTTCTTCTGCACTCTGTTGACTACTATGAGTTACTGCAATATAAATAAAATCAAGTTAGAAAATATACAGACATTTCCGGTTTCATATTAAACTCTCTAACGTCTTTAATAGATAGGGTACAGTTGCTGCTACGCACCAAGACAACCGTTTTCAATCGAAAATGTCCGTTAGGTTGTTTTAAATCAGTTAAACCTACAATTTATAAACATGTGTTCAGAAACTGTTGTCGGTTTGCGATGTATATTTGGGCATTTGCCTCACTGTTGTCCCAAAATAAAACTTAACGAATAAAAGTGAATAAAAAAATATAACACTCAATGTCCAACCTCTTTATTGTTCCGCCAGTGTAGAAAAAGCGAACTTTATTGTTCCGCTGGGAAACAAGGAGTTACGAGGGAACGTGAATGCGTCACCGTTACTCCCCTACTGGGCTCGCAGAGAAGCTAAACCGACAGCCACATACCGACACTGACAGATTCAGATTTAACAACAACGACCTGTCTAAACCGAGTCAACCTGAAGGGAGCGGAGGATACGGGACACCAGACTTGTCTGGGCAGGCGTGGCGTTGTTGTTCTGGCGTCTTAACAGCAGCACCGTTAGCTGGCTAAGCTAGCAGGCAGAGCTAACGACAGTTGGCTGAAAGTCCTGCTCCGGTAAGAATGACTGGCCTGCCATGTTTACTCCCTTCTTTTTTCACATTTGGTGATCATATTTAAGTAAAATGACTAACTCTAGCTTAGCAAAGCCACTTAAAACTGTCTTTTTTACCGAAAGGGGTTAACAGTTGTTGTTTTCAGGGAGAGCTGGATCTGTCAGATTTAAGATCAGCCTCTTTAGCTCTGTCTGGTGCATTCAATGTAAAAGCTTAGGAGGAAAGAATAGCTTTGCTGAGACATTTTCTACTGTATTATTAGTTCATAGCCATTCATTAAAGATGTTATAGTGCAGCAGGTTTTCAAAGAGAAGTGCCTAACTAAAAATCTGACTTGTGTTTGTGTTTAACAGCTGAGGGAAATCCACTGCAGGCTGCTGGATTTGTCAGATCCAGTTATGTGAGCTGCTCTGATGTGTGGACTTGCAAAATCTTACAGCTCTTGGTTGAGGCAGCTTTCAAGCTGGTCTGGAGGCCCTTCCTGTTACACCGAGGTGAACATCTGATTTGGCTGAACAGGTGTATGCTGGCCTGGAGCTAAGCCCCAAGTCCCCTTGAGAAGCCTCCCCCCTGCAGCACCACTATGCCTCTAGGTTTGGGAAGAAGGAAGAAGGCCTCCCCCTTAGTGGAGAATGAGGAAGCGGAGCCTATCCGTGCCGGTCTCAATGTGCCGGGCATGGATGGTCTAGATGGAGGAGTGGTCGGTTTGGGAGAGGGCGCCACATCTGAGGGTCTGCCTCCTCCACCCAGCAGCATGCGCCCTCGCCTCATCTTCCACACTCAGCTCGCTCACGGCAGCCCCACAGGTCGTATCGAGGGCTTCAGTAACGTGCGGGAGCTCTACGCCAAGATCGGAGAGGCCTTTGGGATCCCGGCATCTGAGGTGAGTCATCGTGATGAGTGTAAATGCAGGTATGCTTCAGCTCACTATGAGAGAGAACATTGTGTTTACTCTTCTTTGTTTGTGTTCTGTGTGTTTCACAGGTCATGTTTTGCACATTAAACACTCACAAGGTAGACATGGATAAACTGTTGGGGGGTCAAATCGGGCTAGAGGACTTTATTTTTGCCCACATTAAAGGTCAGCGAAAGGAAATCGAGGTTTATAAAGGAGAGGATGCTTTAGGATTGACCATTACCGATAATGGAGCCGGCTACGCTTTCATCAAGGTGAGCAGCTTTAAAACGGCACGCTGGATTGATTTCTTTTGGAAATGCATGGCCATGGACTCTAACGGGAGATGAGCAGACTTGACGCGTGTTGGATTCATTCTTTGATTTTCTGTCTTCCAGAGAATCCGAGAGGGCAGCATCATCCACCAGATCCAGGTCATCAATGTGGGCGATATGATCGAGTCGATAAATGGCCATCGCCTGATTGGGTGTCGACACTACGAGGTCGCCAAGATGCTGAAAGAGCTGCCCAAAGGGAAGGAGTTCACCATCAAGCTTACAGAGCCTCTGAAGGCCTTTGGTAGGAGTGAGAGGAGGAGAAGACGGGCAGATGTGTGATATTTGTTAGTTTATATCAACAATAAGGACTGTAATTGGAGTTTTCTCTTAATCTTTGTGTGCAGATATGATCAGCCAGCGATCCGGAGGCTCTAGATCGGCATCCGGGGTTCAGCTGGGGACCGGCAGAGGAACTCTCCGACTACGCTCTAAAGGTCCTGCGACAGTGGAGGAGCTGGTACGTGCGTTTGCAACACCCGTGGACTAATATTAGGCATCTATACACTTGATTGTGTTTAATTAAACTTATGTGTTGGACTTCTTTTCACTGCAGCCGTCTGCGTTTGAGGAGAAGGCCATAGAGAAGGTGGACGACCTGCTGGAGAGCTACATGGGCATCAGAGACAGTGAGCTGGGTATGTGTGCTGACTGGTTTTTGGCCCGCTTTATGTGCTGTTAAAGATACTATAATCTAAATGAAAAAAGTCCAATAAATACTAGGGCTGGGCAATAAAACGATAATGTTATATATCGAAAATGAATTTCCCCCGATATCGATATAAAACATGGTGAATATACTTCCTTAAAGTTGGCAGATTGTGTGTTGTTGCGCCTTCAGATTCACCGGTATATCCAACATGGCCGACCGGCTGATTGTTTACGTGTCGGAGAACAGAGTGCTTCTTGATAAAAAACACAAATATTACAAAGATAATGACGTGAAGGACAACTTGTGGAGAGTCATAGCGTCGAGTTTCTCATATGGCCGACCGGCTGATTGTTTGTGTGCTTTAATAGTTTGCTAAACATCTTTGTTTTAACTTTCATCTGTGCTAACGTAAGCTAACGGTTGTTACCTTTTGTTTATGGATTATAGTTTAATGTGTTTATCTGGTACTGGCCCCGACTCAGTACATACTATCATGACAGACAGCCATCTCAACACTAGTGTCTAATCAGAACTGTAAAACAGTCAGTCTGCTGTTGTGTCAGTTTTCTCGCTTCCACCGGGGACGTGTCTTTTTTCCCCCTCGGAGAGTCACAAAATCGCATCGGGCTTGATGTGTATAGTCGGGCGCGCCAAAATTTGCCTCTGAATATTTCGTAATTTCGCGTTCTATATTTGCGTCGGCCCCGGTGTGTAAGGACCTTAACAAACATTTAAGATTAACAATTGATTTCTTTTATATTGTGATCGATATCGACTAATGAAAAAAAGATATTGTGATAAACTTTTTCCCATATCGCCCAGCCCTACTAATAAATACTAATAATATTGGCCTGATTCAAGCACAAGTCTCAGAGCTCCTTTTAAACACCAACATGTCTATTTTTGGCCAATTTCAACATCCCCTGTTCTAACTTAAGGATCTCTCACCTTTCTCTCTTCAGCGGCGACCATGGTGGAGCTGGGCAAAGACAAAAAGAACCCCGATGAGTTCGCCGAGGCTTTAGACGAAACCCTGGGAGACTTCGCTTTCCCGGATGAGTTTGTCTTTGACGTCTGGGGTGCCATCGGCGACGCTAAGGTCGGGCGGGTTTAACCACAAACACTAACGGAGTAGAACAACCTGTGTGTGTGTGTGCGTGCGTGCGTGCCACCCACAGCATTCAGCACTACTAAGGAAATACCACACTACCGTCATGAGTTTGTTTTGATTCCAGTGTATACTCCTACAGTTTTTAATTTAGAGTGCACTCTGCTGGGAGACTCTGCCTACACTCGGAGAAGAATGGCAGGGACCGGGAGAAGAATTGACTGTGATGACTTCCCAAGTGCTTTTTTTTTTTTTTGTCTTCCGGCTATTTCCAGAAACTACAAGCACGCTGACGAGCATTTCCCTTTGACCGCATCACATGACCCTGCATGTCATTGTTGTAGTTCGCCGGCAGTGGAACAAAACAAAAACAGCACAAGTCTCCAGTACAGGAGGAGCAGAAGACGACAGCTAACACAAAGTAGATCTTTGACACTTAGCGAAAAAGAAAATGTGATTTTATTCCTCAAACGTTGCACTGTGTCGCACTGCGCTGTAGACCAAGGACAGGATCGAGCACTGTGCCTCACCCTGGTGAGCGACACGGCTACCGCAAAGCTTCCTGAGTGACGGTTTCATCCTGAACCACTCGATGTTGCTGTTCTTGATGCGTTTTACAAGCATGTGCTGTTCTATCTTTATCTTCTCAATGGACTCTGTTTTATCTTCTTTTTATTCGTTTAAGGAGAAAAGTGAAAGGCTCATAGTGAAGTGTAGCTCGCTGACTAAAAAGACCAATGGTGTTCGCTCACCGTTAACACACTCCATGCTGTAATGAAATTAACTGCAGCACATTTTTGTCTTACTTTCGTATGTTTGATGTTACAGGAAATCAGTGTTAATGTACTTTTTTTTATTATTATTATTAAGGGTCATTATGTGAGAACAAGAAGCAGACTGGTCTCAAAGTTCATGGAGTGTCTTGACTTATTTTTTTTTATAGCTAGTGTTTTTATATCAAGTGATGTGACGTCTATTTGAAAACAGTGTTTGTGTAACTGATGAGGAACCTGATCTTCAGAGTTTTGGCGCATTACAGGAGGCAGTATTAAAGAGGACAGAGCCATGAGACCAGGGGGGAGAAAGCAGAAACAGGGAGAGAGTTTGGGACAAGATGCCTTCGTTTTTTTCTCATTTTATGCATTTTTACGGTTTTTGTTGGGAGTCTATGTTCTGGGAATCACTTCTCCTGCCAGTGGGAGCAGAAAAAGTTCCAAACGTCTCTCAAACTCGTCGCAGTGACTTGTGGAAGCGATGTTGCACCGACCGCTCAATGTAGGCAAACACATTCTCAGAAACCTTTTAGTGTTAATAACCTTTTAAGTATATCCAAATGTATGAAGCTATTTTGTAGTTTTGTTTCTTTTTCTTCAGAGTTGATGAATATCTCTTTGGGTCATGTAAAGAAGCTGATGCTAGATCACTGTAACACTGAGAAGATCATGTTCTTTTGATGGCTTTGTATTACACTGTTATCATTGTCCAATTATAATGCAATAGTAACACTGACACCGCAGTTTGCATTCTGTTTGCTCTTTTTTTCTTAAACATACAACAACATACCTCACTTTCAGGAGGGCTGTAACCATATACTATATATAGAATGGACAGCGTCTGCCTCCTCACTGGGTGAAGCCACTCCGAGAACAGCACCCTCTGGTGACAGGCTGCAGTATAGGTCATAAATCCTGCCTCTGCCAGCAAAGCTTATGGAGCTGTGGACAAACTTTAAAAAATTTATTCCACAGAACAAAATGGTTTGTGCTCAAGTCCTCTTTTTTCTGTGCAGCTCCGTTTTTAAAGTTCATGTTTTCAATGATTGACACTTGATACAGCCTATGGGCGTACAAAGATCGCGTAGCTCACCCTGGGGATACGCTGTTTGAGTCGAGCGTCATCACAGCGACTCCCGGCGACTCTCCCGCCAAATGCGTACAACACTACTGCGCAATGTTGGTTTTAGGAAATGAAGAAAAAACCCGGAATTACCGAGAGCTTTTTGTCTTCAAATCCGTATACTGACGGAGGGCGGAACCAAGTTGTCCATAGTATATACGGTCTATGGCTAAAAAAGTTCACTTTTTAACTAATATGTCACTTTTTAATGATTAAAAAGTTCAGTTTTGTCCAGAGAATTTCAAGTAATGGGGAAGAAAAATAGGAAGTTTATTGATCCCAAAAGGAAAATTCAATAAATTCAATATTCAATTAAAAAAAAGGCAACACTTTAAGGTCACGAGGTAATTTTCAAGCCTAGTGAAGCAGAGGTGACTGGTGTTTCCAAAAATATAAGAACAACTTAATTTTTTTCTCATTTTATTTTACTAATAATAACAAAAATAATAATACTTTTATTCAAAAGTGCCTTTCTCGACACTTAAGACAGTACAAAACAGTACAACGGTCCATGATGAATCATTTTACTTCTGCTGATCTGTGTTTTCAAAGGAAATTTATTCCAGCAAGATGCACTTAGATCTACTCTTTTGTACGGAAGCGTGTTGCATTCACTCGAGAGAAAGAAAGTTGCTCCGTTTAAGAAATTACATTCGGAAAGTTCTTCTCAAACACGGAAAACCTGCTCGGTCTTTATGAGGAGTACTGCTGCCTGAAATTCCCCATGGAAGCTTTTATTTAGGCCACTTCAGATAACAAACATGTCCTGACTGTTTGATCCAGTGTTATCACACACAGAGAGATACTCATGTCTGCAAAATACAGATGCTATTGTTCTAAGTTTGTTTGTGTGGCGTGCTCCATGCATCTGAAACCCATCAGGCTTGAGTTGTGGAGACTACAGTGACAGTTCGGCTGAGGTTATCTCAAAACAGGTAAATGCAACCTGCTTCTGAACTTCCTTTAACTCAGATTATTGACTCTGATTCTGCAGCAGAAAGAAAATCGAGACTCAAACTAAAGGTGTGCTTGTGTTTCTCCTCGTGAAATATACATAACATTTAACTCGAAATCACTTTGAGTGTCAGAGGGTTAGATGTAATAAGATCCGCTTCAGTAAACCTGATCCTGCTGGTGCAGCTCAGCGGGGTCACCTACAGGCCTCAATCAGGGAGCATTTCTCCGAGTTAAACTTTGAATATCTTTGCAGCATGTTTTGAAATCTAGAGTTGTTTTTTTCCTTTTAAAATCAGACCTTCTTGAGCACTTTGTTGTTTTTTCAAAGGAGAAAAAACATGACCCCAAGCTAAGGAGTCTGCTGCTGTGGGAGGGAGGCAGATGAGGGGTGATGACATGTCCTTTATTTACTGGAAGTGAAGTAAACCTGTTCTTCAAGTCCCTGTTGATCTATAACCCTGGTTGTTCATAAACTGAGATTACTCAGTGGACTCAGCCACAGACCACACGTCTTCTTCCTACCAGCGCGCTCTCTGCTGCAACAAACCCAGATTAAACCCAGGAACCTGCCATGGCGCTGCGTCCGCGAGCTTCCTCTCAGCCTGGAAAACTCTCTTTCCTCCAGAGTCCCAAGGTTGCCTCGGCTCTCCGACCGCGGGCTGTGTCCTCACGATCCAGCTCCATGCTGGAAGAGGAGCTGTCTTGTCCTGTCTGCTGCGAGATTTTCAGAGACCCCGTGGTGCTCAAGTGCAGCCACAGCTTCTGCCGAGCATGTCTGCAGCAGTTCTGGAACAAGAAGAAAGCCCGGCGTGAGTGTCCCATCTGCAGGAGGAAGTGCTCCCTGACTGAACCGACGGTCAGCCTGGCGCTGAAGAACGTGGCCGACACCTTTCTGAGGGAGCAGGAGCGCAGGGCGGGCGCAGGCGGGGCAGGAGCAGGGGCCGACGGAACCGTGGAGCAAGCAGAGGAGGTGACGTGCATCACACATGGGGAAGTTCTCAAGCTTTTCTGTCTGGATGACTTTGAAGCTCTCTGCTGTGTGTGTCACACCTCAAAGAAACACCAGGGACACCGAGTGTGTCCTTTGGACGAGGGGGCTCAGGACCTCAAGGTAATGCACATGTCTAAACCGTAGAGCTTCTTCGCTGCATAATTTCATCTCCACCTGCAAAGGGATTAATCCTGATCTCTTCTAGCCGTGCAGTTCAGTAATATTTCCAATCTTAGACTCTTGATCAGAATAATAATACAAAGATTAGATGACATGTTTTTCACAATTGTCATAACTCTGCCCTTTAGGCGGAGATGAAGACAGAGCTGATCCCTCTTAAGAAGCACCTGCGATGCCTCTATGAAGCCAAGCAAGAGTGTGATGACACAACTGTGCACATCAAGGTATCAATAAACAAGAGATCCACGAAACCCTAGAAGGCCAGCATGACCTCTGACTGACTGACTGAAGCTGATCCGCTGACTGTTAGTGTGTAAACATGTCAGCCAAGGTGTTAGAAAAACCTCCTAGTTGATCTCTAGAGTGCAGGATTCAAACCTGGGTCTCTTGTTTTATTTAAGAGGACAGTTTTCAATGATTGCGCCCAAAGCTGTGAGGAATCCATTCTCACTCCCAGGTGAATTTTAGGATCATTTGTATGAATTTTACACTTTCTACGGATTATATTTTTTACCTTGCCGACAATAGGCTCGCAGCAGCTTTGTAATCCTCCTCTTTTTTTACAGAAAGTAAAATGTGACCCAAATAAAGTCTCATGAGGCTCTGAGGTATTTGAGGCTCAAATACCTTCACTGAGTGTTTCACGAATTCCACAGAAACAAAATGCAGGGAAATGATCCGGCTCCGTCGGGACACATTGTTTCCAACATAACTGAATCATTTCCCTTTTTTTATTTCCTGATATGTTAAAGTCAAATAATCCAAACTGTAGTGCGCTGTCATGTGCCTTTATACGTCCTCTTTTTGGGGCCTTGTCCGGCCTGTCCTGGGGAGTTTATGAAATCATAAAAATGTGCGGGGTTTTGTTTAAACCCTCAAAATTTTGTGCGCGACTCCACCCCGCGTAGTAGTGACCTCTTTTTGGGGATTCAGAGTATGGTCACCCTACTTTATTGGGCGACAGTTTGGTAGAAATGGCAGGACACTTTTTAAAGCTTGATGGTTAATAATTCTGTTTATTTTCCCTCTATCCTATTTCTGTCTGTGTCATAAACTTTGAATCACTATGTGCCATCAGAGCCTGTAAAACAGTCTTTTCTGGGAGTCCCCGATCTCCATGATACTGTAGGTTCTTCTGGATCACTGCTGCAGATGTTTAGCTGCTGTGGTTCCCCCTCTACTCTAGGGCTGTGCGATTGTCGAAAATTTACTGATACCGAAAGTTACGACAATAACTGACGTCATCTTGCCTACGTCAATATATTAGATGTCAAATAAATAAAAGTTGGTTTTGGATGTGTGTAGGTAGGCTATGGTCTCATGTCCCTTTAAGACGCTGTCCTACGTCAGAGACGTGAGTCCACCCCATTCAGTCCGTAACAAAGAGGGAAAGACAGGTGAGAAGATGGAGGACAGTTCAAAAGTAGCGGCTGAAGTAGACGAAGTTAATGTGGGAGGGGGTGAGCAGCTTGTGGAGTAGTTATCGTCCATTTATCGTTATTGAGGTGAACTGCTCAATATATCGTGAAATTCATTTGAGGCCATATCGCCCAGCCATACTCTATCCTCATTCTAAACCAAATGCGGCAGAGGCAGATGAGTGTCTTCCATGAGTCTGGTTCTGTTCAAGGTTTCTGCCTGTTAAAGGAAGTTTTTCCTCCCTACTGTAACTTGCTTAGTGCTGCGTTCATGGACAAAGACGGGAGTGGGTCTGATTTTACAAGATAGGGCTCAATCTAATCCCATCTTTACATTGGGTCCATACAGTATGGTCTGTGTTTTGTTAGGCATCTAGGGATAACACTTGCTGTGAATTGGCTGAGGTTTGGTTATTCTATTGTTTACGAGTTGATTGATTGATTGCAGAATGCCCTCCTGCCCTCTCCAAACAACTCACTGTTTAAAAGACAATCAGATTAATTAGATTAGCATAAAGTGATCACATCATTCTTTAACATGGAGATTTACAGGATGAATTAAGTGAGACAAGCCCGCTCCTTTAACTACGAAAGAGGATGAGGGCCACAAGAACAGTGAAAATAAATAATTACAAGAGGGCGATTTTTTAAACTTCCATTTCGAGATTAAAGTCAAAATTTTAAAAAAGTCGATTTTATTCATGTTGACTTTAATCTCAAAATTATTTTTCTTTAATCTTGAAATTTCGAAGTTATCGATGACATTTCGACGTTTTGTAATCTCGTAATTTCGACTTTAATTTCAAAATTTGAATTTTTTTAATCTTGAAATTTTGAAGTTATTGATATAATTTCAACATTTTGTAATCTTGAAATTTATTTTTTCCCCCCAATTTTTAACACGAATAAATGTCGACATGAGTAAAGTCGACTTTAATCACGAAATTTTGACTTTAACCTCAAAATTTTAATTTTTTTATCTGGAAATTTATAAATTATTGACCACATATCAACATTTTGTAATTTTGAAATTTCAACTTTGATCTCAAAATTTCAGCTTTAATCTCCTTCCTGTAATTATTTTTCTTCTCTTCATGTGACTCTAATTCTTTTTCGTATTTCACAGATTTAATCTCTGACACTTTTATTTCCACGTCTGCTAGAATCAGACTCAGGCCACAGAGAAGCAGATCAAAGAGGAGTTCCAGCAGCTGCGAGAGTTTCTGCAGCAGGAAGAGGCCGCTCGGCTGGACGCGCTGAAGCAGGAGGACGAGGAGAAGAAAGATCTGGTCAAGAGGAAGTCGGATAGCATCACCAGCTGCATCCTCACCTTCTCTCATGCTATCATCGCCATTGAGAACGAGATTGCCTCCTGTGATGCTCTCTTTCTAAAGGTAGGTGTTTTAAATGGTTTTTTAATTCTCTAAATGATCCTGGACCGTCTGAACAGCTTGTAATATTGTCTGTTTTGATTTCAGAACTATGCCAACACAAAGAAAAGGTTCGTTTCCTCACCTTCTGTCAGATTCAGCTCAGTTGTAGTTGAACATAAGTGGACATACAGTATTTGTGTGTTTTTTCCAGAGCGCAGATCCCACAGAAGGATCCAGAAAAGGTGTCAGGTGCTCTTATAGACGTGGCCAAGCATGTGAGCTCCCTCAAATACAACGTGTGGGAGAAGATGGTGGACCTGGTTAATTATAGTAAGCACTCACTGGACCCTGAGTCATCAATTTTAAATGGGGTGATAAATGATAAAACCAACTCTGCCTGATGTTTTCTTCCTCAGCACCCATCACACTGGACCCAAACACCGCCTACTCCTGGTTGTCGCTCTCTTCAGACCTGACCAGCGTGGCCAACGGTGGATCCATTAAGAAGCTTCCAGACAATCCTGAGCGTTTCGGCCACTTCGTATTCGTGCTTGGCTCTGAGGGCTTCGCGTCAGGTCGACACGCCTGGGAGGTCGAGGTGGGTGATAAGGCGGACTGGATGCTTGGAGTGGTCAAAGAGTCAATCGACAGGAAGGGACGCATCTCAGGCTGCCCTGAAGGCGGCTTTTGGATGATCTCACACTACGAGGGTGAATACTCGGCCATGACGAGGCCCAGCACTCCACTGGAGCTGTCGGCTGAGCTGACCCGAGTCAGGGTGCAGCTGGACTACGACTCCGGAGAGGTGATTTTCTCCAACCCTGTCAGCATGACCCCTATCTACACCTTTAATGACTTCTTCACTGAGAGGATGTACCCTTTCTTCTGTCCTGGTGCCAACATCAACGGAAACAACCCCAACCCACTTAAGATCTGCCCTGCCAAGGTTGCTGTGTGGAATAGCACCACATGGTGATGTGAAACAATCGCACAAGATTTCTCATGTTTAATGTTTGCAAACATGGACTGTATATAGAATGGACAGAGTCTGCCTCCTCGCTGGGTGAAGCCACTTCGAAGAACAGCACCCTCTGGTGACAGGCTGCAGTATAGGTCATAAATCCTGCCTCCACCAGCAAAGCTTATAGGGCTAAACTTTAGATATTATTACACAGAATATAATTTTTTCTCCCCCCTGTTTGCGATAGTTTGTGCTCAGGTCCTCTTTTTCTGAACAGCTTCGTCGAATGCGCACAATGCTACTGCGCAAAGTGGAAGAAAAAAAAAGGAAATTCTGAGAGCTATTTGGCTTGAAATCCTTATACTGGCGGAAACAAGTTGTCCATAGTATATACAGTCTATGGTTTGCAAACGTAAATGGAAAGATAAAAGCAGATCAGAAAATGAGTACAATCCAGACAAAGTGAGAATTTGTTTTATTTCTGGGTTTCTGAAGTGATTCACGGTAGCTTTGGAGCACAATGTGATATCTTTGGGGTTACCAGGGGACTACTTCGCCTTTGTAATCGAAGAAATCTCCGCTCTGCTTCTCAGTCAGGGTGGCCATCACGCTCAGCATCCCCGCCACGCTCTCCGAGGCATCAATCTCCCCCTGGTGGTCAGAACAACATTCAGTGAACATGAGGGCACAGCATAGGAGATTCTTTTAAAACCTGAATGAGGAAAAACCAGATCTAGATTCTGCTGCTGCGTACATATTTTAAGACCTTTGTATGAGAGCTCTCACTGGGTATTGGATTTGCAACCTTGTGGAAAGATTAATATTATTTAACAGCTCTCCTTAGAATTTGATAATCCTTCTTTGTGTAAAATCCTTCTTATAATTAAAATCTGGATACTGAAACCTCAAAATTAGCTTTTGGACCATGAACCTGCTATAGAAAAAGTTTTGTCCCCCAATAAGAAGATCTTAGTTTGCTGCTTGATTACTAAAGAGGCACATTATGTGATGTAAAATTAAACAATTTGATCCTCTCAATAAAGTTGTTTATCATTCAGAACTGTTTCTATTTATTTCGAATTGGGACCAGAGCAGCAAAAAAACTGGATTGTCTCACCTCCTCTCCGCCCATGTCAGTCCGCACCCAGCCAGGGTGCAGCAACGAAAACAGGATCTCATTGCTCTTCAGTTCTGCTGCTGCACACAGCGCCAGCATGTTCAGACCTGCCTAAGAAGAAAAAAAGAGTTTTTATACAAACGACTTCATTGCTTCACTTGCTGCATTGATGCATTAAACACAACTGATTTTCTTGTCTTGCTGCAAAGAGATTTCTGTTTCTCAGGTAGTCAGGGAGTTCCTCAAGGTTCAGTGCCCAGACCCTATCTTTTCATCCTTTATGCTCCCTTGGGGGAAATTAAATCTAAAAAAATCTCCAAAAAATGTTCAGAATTATTTAGATGATACTCAACTGCACATATCAGCAAAGCTTAAGGACAAAAAGACAAAAAACAGTGATTTTAAGTTCCCTAAATCTGATGAAACGGAGATTATCGGGGCAGCTGTGGCTCAGAGGTTGAGATTTTTCATCTCCTAATTGGAAGATTTGTGTTTCAGTCCCAGTTCTTGCAGTTCACAAGACAAGGGTCAGACAGCTCGGGTCAGACTCTGAGTTGAAAATTAATCCCAGTGGCATAACTAACATAGTGGATATGAACGGAGTTAGTTACTGGTGCTGATGGTGCGATCACTGTATGAATGTGGTGAATATATAATAAAAACACTCAAAGACGTCAAAAAGAGTGGAAAAGCTCTGTATAAATACAAATCTATGTATCACCGGGTTTAGGCTTTGACGCTTCAGAGACACGCAAATCTTAGCGATTAGCAATACAAACAGGTGAATTCATAGTTTGGATGTTTTCAACCCTTAACTCTATAAACATTAAAGAAAGCCTTTAAAGGCAAGTTGTAGTGATAGCAGGTTGTTGCTTACCTTGCTGACACGGTAAGAGACGGCAGGAAAGACGCCGTATGTGTCTTTCACCAGTCCCATTGAACCCAGACCTGAAGAGATGTTCACAACAGCTGCTTTTTTGCAGGACATCCCTGACATCTTGCTGGCTTTTGCAGCACTATGAAGAAGAGGCAGGAACTCCTGCAAATGTACACCAACACCAGAGACAGTATATAAAAACCATGAATGCTCACTTCACTGTTAGAAAGCACCACCCAGTGCCAAAATCATTCATTTCAAGCTTACCTTAATGATGTTCATGGGGCCAATAACATTGGTGTTGAAAACATTCTGCATATCTTCTGGAGTGCAGTCACACAGGGTGCTTTTGCTCAGTATTCCTGCATTGTTTATCAGCAGGTTGAGACCCTTCTTTTCAACCACAGAGGCCACATGCTGGACGCCTGCTTTTATGCTATTAAGGTCACTGACGTCTGACAGAGAGAGAGAGGACAGAAGAGCAGTCGATAGCAGACAGTCAGATTCATTTCAACAGCTCTTGCTTACTCATAAAGTCGACACTTTTAACATCTGAACAAGTAGAAAGGAGCTTGTACCCATACGAACGATGCGGATGATGTTGGGATACTTTACTGCCAATGTTTGCAAGTCCTGTAAAACACAAAGATTGTTACTCAGAATATGCTCAAGAACATGCATATGAATTTAGGAGAGGTTATTTATTTTGGAGACTCTTACTTTGGCCTTCGGTCCATCCGGGTCTCTGCAACAGGCAAACAGTTTTGCCACTGTGCCGGGGCCCTTCACCATTTGTCTCACCATCTCCAGGCCCAAACCTCGGTTGGCCCCCGTGATGAGCACACTGACTGCTTCAGCTGCCATGTCTTCTGCAGTGATCCGCACACAGCTCTGCCGGAGCTTGTTTATCAGATCTATGTTTAATACAGGATTTGCAAACTGACCGAGTCATGATGACAAGTCAGGCATTAGAAAAAGAGGGTGTGTTATTGTGTCAAAAGGACCGGATCAAGAAATGAAGTTATACCGGTCTTTTAAAGCTCTAGGAATAACAGTAAAACAATGCAACAGAAGAGAGCATCCTGTCTGCTCAGCAGGACTCTACCCAAGACCTGATTCTGCCTTTTCCATTTACACACAACCTACTCAACAGCATTAAAATCATCATATGGATGTCCAAAATCGTGTAACCCCATTCTGTCTGTTTTTTTTTTTGGGGGGGGGGTTCTTGGCAGGCTTGTGAACATTACAGTCGAAAAACTGGGGCGAGCGATCCACATTGTTGACACAACGAAGCAGAAATAGCCGAGGAATGTGAGTCTGTTGATCCACACAAAAGACAGATTGTGCGAGTCAATTAAATGATTCATCATGAGGTACGATGTGACTACATCCATGACAAGCAGTTTTACAAATGGTCAAAATGATGAATCTTTGAAAGAACCTGCAACAACTTGACAACAAGCAATAAAAGCAATGACAAACTATAATGACTTACTTTAATATATACATATTTTCATCTGTTATAATGGCACTAAAGCTACAGCAGTTGTGTTGGCAGGGATGCTGGTTAGTACACTGCCACAGGGTTGCCCCATTTCTGTATGAAATGGCACAATCAAATTATCGGACATAAAATGTACAAATTTTCAAATCCTTGGTAATCAAACAGCAAAAAATTTCTACCCCCGCCGAACGATTTACACTAACAAAGCAGGATAAAATATCATGTCAGACGTCATTAAATAACTAGAATATTAGGAAAAAAGACAAGAAGATTACGAAAGAAGATTAGGGCCACAAAAGGAGAGATTTTTTTCAATTTCCATTTTGAGAGTAAAGTCGAAATTTGAAAAAAGGTGAAATTTCGAGATTAAAGTTGGAATTTTGAGATTAAAAAAATCAAAATTTCGTGACTAAGTAGAAATTTAGAGATTAAAAAGTCATAATTGAGTAATAATAAAGTCAGAATAAAGTCAGAATAAAGTCCCAATATTCTAACCTGTTGTTTATGATGACAGTTGTTGAAATAAGAGCCATGGAGCATTTCGTGAAAACGTACTTCAATATAGGTTTCTAAAACAGGGAGATACTTCATCTTTTGGCACATCAGCACCACATTATCATAAGTATCATAATAATTTTATACGACTTTATTCTTGTAAGTAATGTCTTTATTCTCATAAATTAGCGACTTTAATCTCGAAGTCTTAATTTATCTTAATGTGGCCTTAATACTCCGTTGTAAGAAGATTGATCATAAACCACCGGATGAATTAATCAGGTTTGATTTCTTAAATAAAAACAATAAAATTATGTCATTGATTTTCATTCTTAACCAGTAAATTAATGACTTAATATGTCAAAGTAAAGATTTAGTGCAGTAAGCAATAAATACAGATTATGTTTGATTGTGAAGTTTATAAGTCAAAAGCTCCAAAACTGAGACGACTTGAAAAATCTGACATTATAAGCTTTACAAAGGTAGTGTTCGTCGCAGGGGTATTGTACTGGGTATCACAATATAAAGAGAAACTCTCCTGCTGTTTTCTTCATCCCTTCATGCATGTCAGCAAAGTGAGCTGGTGACAGGACTGACAGACAGAAGCAGAGAGAGCCGGGCTTTCAGAGGAATAAAGAAAAGAAAAGAAAAAAACACAGATGCAGTGTTGAAGTAGTTCAGACTGTAAAATGACTGAATGCCCTGAAATGATGGTGTGTCCAGGCTGTCTACTCATGACCATTACTGTGGGGCCGGAGCTCTTTGGATCCCTCCACTGCTGGTGAGCGTGATATGTGTGAGAAAGAAAACGTGAAAGGTGTGTTAAACCAGCAAAAAGAAAAACCTGAAAAGGCTTTATGAAGACCAAAAAAAAGAAAGAAGAAAAAGAACCTTTTGTAGGATACGAAAAACTGCAGAGTCCCTTTCAAATATACCGAACAACATAGAGTGTGACAAAACACTCCAACAACACAGAAAGGGACACAAAAAAATAACATCAGTCAGCCTTCATTTTGGCAGCAGGTTTCTTTGGCTGTCCGGATTAAATTGGCAGTGTCTTGCTTCATGATCCATAAGCACACATACACATCCATTCACACACACGCACACACACACAACCATACACACTGACTGCACATACATGATGCAGTAGATAACATGCACATACACAGATATAAATACATACAGTTCTTCATTAAATGCACTTCTGTGTCCGCAGCTCTCCACTTTTGTAAATAGGAAGGTGCATAAATAAACATTCCCAGCGTTATAGAAAAAAGGTCCATGCATGTCCGGCTCCTCTGAAAGTTCACAGAGACTGAATGTTGAGAAAATTCGAGGCCCGTGTGCCAAAAGGCCGCACCCCCCCTCCATTTCACTGTTTCTTGATCTCTGTGTCATAGGTGCGATATTGTAGTTTGTCTTTTTGTTTCGACATTATTTTTGTCTTTTTCTCACAGATGGGTGCTGTCCTGTGTATCGAACCTGTGGCTCTCTGACAGTCCCGCACCGCACTTCCTGCCGCTGCCTTGATTTGGTACCAAAGAGAGGGGGTCTGGTCTGATCAGGTACCTGCAGATCAAATAAAAGGAAGAAGAAAATCCTCCTTTAATCACTTCATCTGAGAATCGCTCGTTTGCGGTGCTTTTGGGGTTTTATTTGCGGGCTGTGTACTCACACAACATCATGCAGCTCCAGTCTGGTGTCTGGAGAAGGGTTGATCAGGATATAAGACAGTCTGTTCCCTTGGTCTGTCATCCCATCTGACACAGGAAGAAAAGAGGTGAGTGAAGCAGGAAATAAAATAGAAGCAGGATATACAGCAGGCTGTGCAACATCCGTGTACGCAGAAGGAACAGGGCCAGCAGTACAGTGAGTCACAAGACAGGAGGACATCTATAGTTAAAAATAACAGACCAGCTGACCTAGAGGTAATGCCTTTATCACACTGACAACTCTGTCAGGTTTGTCATTTGGCATGTTGTCTTACATGCTTATTAATGTTGGTATTTTTAAGAGTCTCATTTTGATCGCTTATATTGCCCATAAATCTTCCTCTTTGGAAAGCAGGTTCAAACATCAGGACAGGGTCAAAGTAATTTTACCTGATTTAAAAAGTAAAAGAAACTAAAGTACAGGAAACTTTTCAGTAACACTTTACAATAAACATAACTTATAAATGGCAAATACACCATTTAAAAATGGTAAGCAGATAGTTTATTAATGTTTAATCATCATTTATAAATTGAATATAGACCATTAATAAATTGTAAATTTTACAATTTTAACCCTAACTTTACAATAACCATCTAAGTAATGTTTATAGATGGGTTATAAACCACTTATTAATCATTCACAAAGTATTACAAACATTAGTTTTCAAACCATCTATAAACATTACTTACAATAATCATCTAAGTAATTTTTTTAGGTGGTTCAAAAACTGAATATTAACCATTTACAAAATGCTACTGACACACATTTTACTCTAGATGTTTTACAACTAATATTTAAACCCTATATAAACTTTTAATAAATAGTCCATTAATAATTAATGAAAATTATTAATCATAATTTCATTGCTTGTTAATGGTAAAGTCACTATTAACTGATATTAATAAATTATCTATTTGGCATTTATGATTGGTCTATATGCTGTTTTTAAATGATGGTTAAACATTAATAAATCTATTTACCGTTTATAAATCATGGTTATTGTAAAGTGTTACCAACTTTATTATTTGAGATGCTCCAACTTATTCAAGTCAGTTCATTTACAGACTTTACAGACTTTGCTCCGTGACCCACTTGCAAGACTGAAACGGTACTTAAGGTAAGATGCTCCAGCTGGAGGATTTTTGTCTAAGGGAGCTGTGTTACTTTTTATTGTTTTAGAATTATATTAAAGGCGTTGAAGGGATATGAACCACCAGGCTGTAGGTGCTTTGACTGAACTTTCTGTTATGCAACTCGGGATATTTTAGTTTTTCACTTCAGCAACTTTGTTAAACTATATTCTGCTGCTGATTTTGAGCAGGACACTATTACAGAAGAGATTTCCAACTTGTTTGTGAGTCTTTCCCGGTTAGATAAATTGAAATAATAAAACATTTGGTGTCTCAACCACCTCCACCATGTCCTGGAGTTTGATAAGCTGCAAAGTAATAAGACGCGTTTCTGGTCTATACCAGCAGAGGGTGCTGTTGATTTTTGTGAACTTTTCAATTTGTGCTTCTTTGAAAAATCGTGAAGTTGAGAGGAGCTCAATCTCCATCTGAGTGATCTAATTTTTTCACAGTACGGCATTAAGGCCAAAGCAGCATTGTCTTTATCAGAGGAAATACAGAACAGGAAATAAATGATTATGTTTGAGTTGTATATTGAGATTATTTCATTTAAATGTGAGAATTTCATAAGCTTTGAGTCTAGTGAAGATAAATGAAGCTTTTCTGTTTCAATTGTTTGCTCCATTTTGCACCCATGTGGCGATCAATATGTAATCTCAAACACAAATCAGCCACATGGAGTAGCCTCAAACAAACAAAAGATGCCCAACACTCTGCATAATAATGATGAGAAAATTACAAAATAAACTCAAAATAGAGTGGAGAAAATCCACTCCAGAGTAGACAGATGGACAGCTGACATGTTGTTCATAAATGGAGTACCATAGACTTACTGAACCCAGTTGGTGAGAGGCCCAAGTGTTTCATCCTCGTTCGCACCAGAGCGTTGAGTTCTTGCCTCTCGGAGCGTCTGAACAAGGTCAGTCTCTGTTGGCTGATCCTCTCCGCCGCGCTGCCGGGACCCCCCTTAGCCGCGTTAGAGCCTCGGCCTCCCTTCCTGCTCAGCCGCCGTGCCCACTGCATGCTCTTCCTCCTGAGCAGCGGGTGGTCTGAGGAGTGGGAAGAAGTGGAGATGGGCTCAGAGGAGGTGGAGTTACGGTGGGCACCGGACCGGGACAACAGGGGCTCCCTGGGTTCCCTCGTGTCCTCGTAGTCTTCCACTGTGATGGATACCTGGGACTGCAACACACAAACAAAATAAATCAATATTAGCTCTTAAAAGTGCAAAATAGTGGCATTTCATAATTGATTTCTTTATTTTAATCATATTTCTGTTTCATACACGTACATATGTAGATGTAGATGTTTTTTCTTTAACACCACCTAAATTTTACATCAACATTTGCTGTGAGGCCCCTGTCCACGGGACGCTGATGAGTTTGATCTGCTGGTTTTCATGTTTCTTTTTCATTCAATCAGAGACAGGAACATTATGTGATAATCGCCCGCATTTGTTGCTGATTTCCTCTGCATCTCTGAGGCGCAGCTTCAAATTTCGCCGTTCTCCCCACATCAGTGCTGTCATTTAACATCATCAGTGACCCTTAAGATCCACCGGCTTTTTTCAGCATGGATGTCTGCCGTCTCTTGTGTTGCAAACTGGCTCCAAAACACACCGGTTCTTTTCATATCAAAAATTGGCATCCTCAAAATTTGGGAGCAGAGGATGTTGTGAAGAGGATTTGGGGCATTTTTGGCTGCCTTATTCAGGTAGCAGCCTTTATTTGAGATTCAGAATACAACCAAAGAAATCTAGCGGAGGCTGCACAGCTCGGCTTTCTCAGTCAGGTAATTACTGTTTCAGTAAAATTTATTCATTTAGCGCCGAAACTGATCTGATATCTTCAAAAAGCATGGCAAAAAATCTTATTAAGGGGGGAAGATTTATTTTTCTGTTTTTATTTTTAGAGAGGAATAGTGAGATTTTGCTTTTAATGTCTTTACAAAATAGGAAGCTTGACAGTTCTCTTAGTTGAGAGAGTGTCCAATAATCTATGTAATGGTCCTAATAATCCTGTTTTTATATTTCCAGCTCACTTCAGGGTAGTGTTTGGCTCAATTAGTGGTATTTTTTTCCCTGTAAATTACTTCAGTAACAAACACAAAGCCTCTCAGGGCACCGAGCAAGGTTTGAGCTGAGCTGGAGCTTATTCGTTTGAAAACCTTGACGTGTTTTTGCAGCTTTTCCAGCGACTCTAACCAGGGGCGAGTAACAGCAGCAGCGACTGACCTCGGAGACTGGGAGCTTGTGCGCCTCTGTCCTGTAGATGCCAATGGGGATGTCTCCACTGGAGGAGCACAGTTTCTGGTAGAGTCTGCCGTAGGTACGAATCCACAGGTCATCCTCTGTGATCTTCATCTAAAAAAAAACAGATAACAGGATCATCACCACCCCTCACAGTTTAGGCAGAAGGATTTTTAGTAGGGCTGGGCGATAAACCGAAAATTTACAGATACTGAAATTTACGACAAAAACTAACGTCATTCTGCCCAAGTCAATGTATTCGGTGTCAAAGAAATTAATAAATAAAAGTTGTTTTTGGCTGTGTTTAGGTAGGTTATGGTCTCATGTCCCTTTAAGACGCTGTCCTACATCAGAGACATGACTCCACCCTAGGCCTGGGCGATTTGGCAAAAAATATGATCACGAAAAATTTTGTCATATCGTCCGATCTCGATTACTATCACTATTTTTTTCCTTTTTAAACTGCAAGTTTTAATGCATCTGTACTAAAAACTTAAGAAACTAGAGATTATAAGTAAATAGCAATAAAATAAATAAAATAAGTAAATAACAAAGAAAATTTAATAAGATAAACAGAAACAAAAAATAAACATAGAAAAATATAAAAAACATTTTTACTCAACAATACAACAAATTTAGATAAATATTAAATAAACAAATCGCCCCCTCAGGGATAATGAAGACGCCTTAAATGTAAACATTAGATGATGTAAATGTAGATGATACCATTGATCGCTGCTTTGGTCCGATGGCTGCACTGCTAGTTGTGGCTAAACTGCTAATGCTACTCGTGCCATCAGCAGTGACAGGCTGTACATTTTCATGCTTTCCACATAATCACTCGGGAAGTACTTCTTCAAATAACTAAACAGATTTGTTGTTTTGCCCGCTTTTGAGGGCATCGACTGCCGACATACCTTGCCCATCGACTTAATTACTCAACGTCACTTTGGAGATACCTGATCCACCGCCACACAACCGACGTTGAATAACTTTTCGTTTCAACAACGGCATCTTTGTAGGATGACTCAAAGTCATGGCTGACATCTATTTTGCTGCCCTCAGCTCCGTATTTAGCTCCACGTTCGGTCATTCTGTTTACTTCTCCGACATCTTACAGAAATGAGCAGGTAAAGCTTGACTCCGATTGGCTGTTGTGACGCACATTTCCACCATGTTCGATCGAGTAAATAAGCTCACAGCTGATCTCCGTGATCAAACTGAAATTTATTGAGATCATGTAATCATCCGGTCCTACTCCATCCCATCCAGTCCGTAACAAAGAGGGAAAGACAGGTGAGGAGATGGAGGATGGCTCAAAAGTTGTAGCGGCTGAAGTAGACGAAGTTAATTTGGGAGGGGGTGAGCAGCTTGTGGAGTAGTTATTGTCCATTTATCGTTATCAAGGTGAACTGCTCAAAATATCGTGACATTGATTTGAGGCCATATCACCCAGCCCTAAATTTTAGTATTAGTTTGTTGACTTACCGCACAGAGGAACCCGGAGCCCGGCATGGAGTCTAAACCTAATAGCAGCCTGGTAATGGAGATCATGTAGTCCTTCACGAATGACTTTCAGGAGAGCATAGCAAAAAGTCAAAAGAAATAGATCATAGCAGATGGTTTTAGCAGAAGATCGTTGTTTCTGATGAAGATCTTAAGATACCTGATAGAGGAGGGTGTCCAGCATGCTGACACTGAACACTTTCCCTGCTGCGAACGGCAGGCGGAACATAAACACCAAGTTGGATCCTTTCTCCCTTTCTTTCTGCAGACCAAATACACGCACACAGACATACACATACATTTTAACCAGGTTCACTTGCCTTTGTATACATTCAATATATATGGAAAAGCCTGTGATTACAACCAATCTACAGAACAAATCAGTGCTCACACAACAAAGCCTTGAAATCTACCTAAAGTCCCTCCAGCTGTGAGGCAAAATTTCACAAAACGCTCTTTCATAATCACGCCCATCCCTTTACTAATTTGTTATTAAATGTTATTGATGCCCAAAGGGGAAATTCATCAGCAGCCACACAGGGGGCAACATTTACAAAATCAGCTTTTAAAAATGACAAGCAGCAAATGGGAGCAAGGAACAAAAAAACATTTGACTTTAATGATTCATAATAGCTCACTTACAGGAGCTGTGGCAGAGAAGACATTAACAGAGATTCAATGAGCACGATTCTGCTATCACGAGAATACCGAGTAAGAGAAAAAAAACAACACCGTTTTTTTTCTGATTGTTTTTGTCATTATTGTTTTTGTTTTGATGTGATGCTTTTACCTTTTCCAGTTTGGACAGAGCCAAAGAGTAGTGGTCTTTGACTTTAAACTGCATGAAGCGCATGTTGGCCGGGTGGGTGAGCTCTGTGATGATACTAAGAGCTGGAAACAGTCTAGAGGGGAGAAAAGCAATAGAGAGAAAAAAAAACATAAAATATAAAAAAGACAAAAAAAAAATCACTTTAGGGTAGAGTGTGGAGCAAATTTAAGCAGAGCAAACCTGAAGAGAGTCTGGACATTGACAATGGTCTTTGCATCGGCCATGTAATCCTCCTCCGCAATCATGGAGCTCTCCTTGTCAACAACCACCATGGTGTCAGCGAAAGTGACTCCACATCGCAGTAAACTGTCCAGACTGAGGAGAGAGCGAGAGAGAGGCTGAGTGGGAGGGAAAATAAGATCAGTGTTGAAGGGCAGTAAGAATAAATCAGAGGGAAAATTAAGTCATCTGAGAGACACAAAGCACATAAATGAAAAAAAGATTAAGGAAATAGTAAAGGATACAGCGGGAATATAAACAATGGAAGCGGCCGGGAGCTTTGGTCTGTCTTACTTGTCGATGGAGCCCACTGTGTAGAAAACCATGGGGAACCAACAGATTGCCTCCAGGAAGTCCGCCTCAGGTCTGAACCAATCCAAACACAAATAGACATGAGATTCTCACCAGTCGAGATTTATATGTGACATGATGAAGCGCAAACATCCCTACGGAGACAGAGCCCCTCTCACTCAACCTGGGATATACAACCGAGGCAAACTGCCTGCAGAAAAGAGCTGAAAATAACCGCACAACAGGAGTGACTCAGCATTTTATGGCCTTTTTATTGGATTCAACTCTCATTTGGCTGACTGCTTTTGTGTACGGACTACAAAACACGACACAGGTTTGTGGACTACATTGTCCCAAAAGCATTTATCATTTCACAAATCGTGTCCTTAAATAGCTTATTTTTTTTCTCCTCTGCTGGCCATGTCAGGAGGGACCAATTTTACCGTCCAGTGCGACCCAGATTTTTGGCCTGGCTTCAGCACTTTAGAGCCACACTACCGTGTAACACAGCCCAGGTGGAGGCCAGCATCACACCTATTAACATTAATATGTTCTTACATGCTCTCCAGCAGCAGCACGATGGGGTTGAGCTCCTTCCTCGGCCGGTAGTAGGCCCTTAAGGGGACAATAAAGTTATATAGACCATTTCCTGCGCTCTCCGCGGACACAATGATCAATTTGTTTTTGAAGCCATAGGAGCGGGCGTCCTCAAAAAGGGTGTGGTGACAAGCCTGGGAGGGAAGAAATGTGCCTTTAACAAGAGGTTTACAGTAATGTGAAATTATGCAAGGATGGAAAACCGCTTAAATCCCATACCTTATCCATGCGCAGACAGCAGAAAGGCATTTTTTCTTGGAGAAGGTGGCAAAGCGTAGGCGAGCTGCCAATGTACGGGGAGTTCAGCGGGTATCCCTTCACCCACCTGTAGCAAAAACCCCACAGTTATGTCTGAACACGTTTAGCTCATCCATGAATAAACATTCAAACAGCACCTTCATTGCTTACTCGCAGTGTCGACCCCACCAGTGGGCGCTCTCATCCTTGTCGCTGTCCTCCTTTCCCTCCTCCCCTCCCTCGTCCTCTGACTGGTCTCCCAGCAGGTCAAAGGCAGGGTTGCTGACGCCGTCCACCAGCTCCAGGACTGGGGCGATGCTGTGCCGCCTCTCCTCTGCCGTCTCTCCCATCACGGGCAGCGCCAAAGTGTTTGACCCCGCCATCTCTGTCCTTGAGCTGCTCCTGCTTCCTCTTGCGCTGTTAAGTCCTGTGCTTCCTGGGTCCTGGCCCTCTGGGCTGCTGTCACTGGAGTCCTGAAGATCGATGGCCACTGTGCCTAAAACATACATGTGCATATTAGCCACATTGACCGGCAGGGATCAAGCTTAAGGTTTGAACACTACAAGCTGTGTTTACTCTGATTCTGTGTAAATCATATTGTACTTAAAGGTGTGGAAGGTAGGATTCTGTTAAAGAAGCATCTTTTTTATGTGGTGTTTATACGAAAAGGCTTTTAATATCAGTCAATAGCTATTAGTTATTGATTGTAACTACATGTCAACATTGGAAGCAGGGCGTAGAAAAATTATGTTTTGTGTTATAAATTTCTAAAGTTTGTCCACAGCCCCATAAGCTTTGCTGGCAGAGGCGGGATTTATGACCTATACTGCAGCCCGTCAACAGAGGGTGCTGTTCTCGGAGTGGCGTCACCCAGCGAGGAGGCAGACGGCGTCCATTCTACATACAGTCTATGGTTGTGAGGCAGAAGCCTCTGATTGGCTAGAAGTGCTGGGCTCCAATTGGTTATTCTTTATGGCTGTAAAACGTCATTGTCTGTCGGGTTAGTGTTAGGAGATTCAGAAGTGCGATAATGTTCTGTAATGTTCTGTTCGATGTACAGAGCCGACAGCTCGCATTTGGCCTGAGTGTGCGATGACATTTCCAGCTTTTCTAGCCAATCAGAGGCAAAGGAGGCGGGACTTTCCCCTACCATCCCACAAAAAAATTATCGCCCCATGTGTCGTTCACAAGCCCAAACAAAGTTAGCGTGCTACAATATCGGACGGTAGAGACCAATCAGAAAGTACAGAAAATTGTCTGAATCCTCCTTTGGCCACGACTGCCGACACAAGCAAGAAAGTGAAGTAAATACCGGAGACTCTAGCTGAATAACGGGTGCTCAAAGCAGAGGTAGACCGGACAAGAGCTGTGTCGACATCAGCGTGAACGATGGGGGACGCTTCAGGATCTTACGTACCCTGCAACCTTTCTGCTGGACAGGTAAACCACTTTAACAAAGTAAACCAATTGTATGTAACAGAAGTGTTTCTTGTCAAATGGGACCTGCTGCTTGCTGTAGCGCTGGTAGAGATGGAGCAGAGATGGAGGGGAGAGGAGGAGCTGAGGGGAAAACAGGTTGGGAGGGGTAGTGTTTACATTCAAGATTTCTCCCAAAAACTGGCTCTTCCTCAGATCCTGCCTCCCCCACCTTTAAAGGATTGAAAACCTGTACGTCGGACAGTTCCCTTCTTGTCCACCAGGTGGTGTGTTTGGTGAAACCACACTATCTGACATTTCAGTTGCTCTTATCAAATGTGTGACTTGTAATCAGATACCTGATAACTCAACGGAAAAGCTATGAATATTTTCATCACACAGATATGCTCGAATTGTAAGAATTGAATGATCCCGACAGCTGTGATTGTGCTGCTGGCTTTGACAGTGTAATAACAGATTTGCATGTTTGACCAACATAAAATCTGTGAACAGAAGGTCAGTGTGTAAATGTTACACAGTCTTTGTGCTGCGCCCATGTGACTGACCCATGCTGGCGATGATACTGTGGACCGGGAGGCGGGTGAGTCCGTGGTAAATGGTTTGCTGTACTCCTCTGGCATTTCCTCCCGTGCCGCCCCATGATGGCTCCCTTTGGCCCCTGACAAACGCTGAGTTCTCCTCTTTGGAGATGTTGATGTAAAAGCATGTGTCAGAAGCTCCCATGATGTGGCAGGGACCCGGGTTCAGCAGAATGTTGGTGGTGTCCAATCTGCGCACTCCAATCAAACATACTCCATACCTGCGGGCGTAGAAACGAGGTCAGCTCTGCAGGTCAGTATTTCTCTGGCTATACGTGTATTTATTCGACTTACTTCTTATGAGCATGAAAGGAGGCAAAGGTGAAACTCTTGCCCTGGTATTCCCCGAAGAATTTACTTTCCTCCAGGCGGATGTGATGCACCTCGTTGGCAGAGCAGCGTCGGTAGGTCCTGTGCCATATGTCAGCTGAGCATGCACCGCCCTCCCTGAGACAAAAAGAGATTGGTTGACCATTGAAGTTCCATTGATCCTTAAATCATTTAATGCAAAACATCAAACTTGTCCAGAGCCAGGACAACATCTGAGGATTTCAAGGTGGTGGAGGTGACATCATACATCTCTGTCAAAGCTGCTGGTCAATACCTCAATCAGCACATGAATGTATGCAAGGACACCAAGCCTGTCAGGACAATAGGTCTCAGATGTACACATCCACACAGCTAAGTGGATAACATTTCTCTCAGGGGGATACGGCTTAAGACTCGGAGGCTAAAAAGGTGACAACAAAAGCAAGGGTGTGGGGGCAGTGTGAATGTGGGTGGCCTGCGACAAAGACTGCATTATATAAGCAAGTGTTATAGCAAATTTGCAGTTCACTGTGACTGAGTGCAAGACATAAGAGGAGGAGGACCAATCTAGCCATGGATCCTCATCACAGACGGTAGACCAAATGGCATCACCTCCAGATATAGAAGTGTACTTTTGAAACCCACCTGCGGTTTATACGTCCATCTTGACAAGCTGCAGAACAAAACAAACGAAAACAAACTCCTCCACTTTTTTACATACACCAAATGAGCTCAACAATCTGTGCCTTTGAGTGTTAAAAATAAGTCTACTGGACTCCTCTACTCTTCTGTTCATTTCAAATATGCAAGAGAAAGTAAATAAAAACAAAACAATGAAAATAACATATAGTAATAATGCATCAGATTTCATATAGCGCTTTATCAGAGACCCTCAAACTGACGGAAACGTGGCTGCCAGTTTGCGCCTATGGCCTCTCCGACCACAACATGACACTCACAATCATACACCTTTGGAGGACACACACTGGGATCAAGGTGGGTTAAGTGTTTTGCCCAAGGACACAACGGACAGACTCTGGATAGGGGGGAATCGAACCGCCAACCCTCCTGTTATCTATATATATAAGTATAGAAGTAATACTTATAAGCTTCCACCCCATCTCCTTAAATAACTTGCAACAATCTTTGGCTTTATTGACCTGTCTAGACACTCATGCTGCAGTCACCACAAGATTAATTATACACTTAGGGAGACTCTCTATCTATACACATACATACATGCATCCAGCCATCCATACATACATACATAAATACATACATTTACACACAACACAGTAAACCCCTCAACACATAGTGCTGCCAACAACTCCCTCATCCCTGTAGCTCTTGAAAATATTGTCTTCATACCTTCAGTTTATATCTATTTGAGCTTTTTCAAAGTCCACAATGTCTGTAAATTTTACCAGTTTGGATTGTAGGAATAATAAATTTGTGTGTTTTTGGACGATGGTTGCACTTTTTTGCACTTTAATGAAATACAGGTGAATCTCAATATATTAGATCATCATAGAAATGTTTATTTTGTTCATTGTTTCATTAAAAAAGTCGATTTCTTCAGATATCCTCATTTAATTGTTATGTAAATTGAAATATTTCAAGTCTATTTTAGTTTTAGTTTTGAAGCTTTTGGCTCATGAAAATTAGAAATTCAGTATCTCATGATCAAACACTTTCCTGTAACTTATCATTTTAGGATTTAAAATAGTCAGGTTTAATTGAACGAATGAGAATATTGAGTAAAAGCAATCTTGAATAAATAATGACATTCAAGGCACTGTGGAACTTGGCAGGAAATTTGGGTGAACAGAACTCAGAGATGTGCCGTATAATGCCTGGGTGTGAATACAGGTGGGATGCATCCTACCTGTTTAGGGCTTGAAAAGCTCCTACACGTTGCTTGAAGGCCTCCTGAGGTGCTGTTCTGAAAAAATAAAATAAAATGTAAGTAATAACGAGGATCCAAAGAGCCTCTCACTGTAAAATCTGTATACGTGAATCTTGGAAGAGTAAAAACTTGGGGAGAGGAGTCAAAGAGAGATGACAAGAGAACTCACTGTCCTCTGGAGGAGTGGATCAATAGAGTGATGAGTGTTGAGGTACCGGGACACACACAGTTTAAAGCCAGCATGGCGTACTTAAACTCCTCTTCACACACCACATGATCTGTAGAGAAACGGAAAAAGAGGGACACAGTGACCAAGGTCAGAGCGAAACACATTCGCACTTTGCTCCATAAAATCTCCTCCACCTGCGGGGAGTTTGAATATGCTGTGGTGTCAAAAGACTCCTGGCCTTGCTGTGTGTGTATGTGTGTGTGTGTGTGTGTGTGTGTGTGTGTGTGTGTGTGTGTGTTGTGGGGGAGGTTGTATTAAGTGACAGATAAGGTTGAAGGTGTCATCCCATGGATCTAAGTGCCACTGCCAGAAAAGGTTCAGGATTTAATATCAATAAATCCTTGAAAAGATTCTCCAATAAGTCACAAAAGAAACTTCAAGCATTTCCTTCTCCTTCTTCCATATTACAGAGTTCATACACTTTATTACAAAAAGGACTCCTCTATTATTTTTTTGATCAATCATTTGGTTTATTAAATTTCACACACTGATGAGTTTTTTCCTGTTTCGAAGGCCAGAGAAAAAACACCTGAATTCGTTCTTTTCTTAACAAATAATCAAAAGCCTCAGTGTTTTAATTGAAACTGACACTTATCAAGCAAAAGGACAGGTATCTGTTGTTTTAATATTATTTTCTGTTGAGCAAATATCACCGGATTGACTAGAAGAAAAACAGTAGTCCCTGCAATCATTCTTCTTGATAGAAACCCAAACAAAAACAAAGACCATTTCCTCATGCTGTTATCTTTTCGAGCTCCCTCAAAAAGAAGGATGATATGTTGAAACGGAGGGTTAATTTGTCAAAGAAGCAGTACATCAGTTTTCACCAGACTTCTTCACACACAAAAAAAAGGTTTCCAAATGAATACTCGATCCATGAAGACACTCCTAATTGAAGCCTGAAAGATTGCTATCAAGATTTTTTTATTAAACAGTGATTGAAATAAAGTCTGATGCACCGATGCATGCAGCTACACCCCTGATCTCTGATAAATGCTAAAGGTGAGAGGAGGAAATAACTTTTTGTTTTCTGCTGATAATGGATTGATAATCTGAGCAGGTTCTCTCAGATATACACAGACAAAAAGATTGTCATCTGTGGACAGCAGCAGAAACACAAAGCAGTGTCCAGGACTCTTTAACAAGTCAACTTGAGTCCAAATATTCAGGATTCAGGACCTGGACTCAAACTGTGACTGCTGTCAGACGTGACAGATAGAGAGAAGGGCTAATGTTTACTGATAAACTATTTTATTGCTTCGTGAGGGTTTCTTTGTACGAGGCCCTGATGATATATTCAATTTCGAACAAGGGCTGGCGCCTGTTCACCTGCATGAGCATTCACATGGCGTCTTTTTTGGCAACAGCTCCTGCCAGGATGCTTCAGGACGACGTGCCAGGAATCATGTGTTTTGCTTTAAGCATATAGCAAATGCAAGAAAGAGCAGAGCAGCATTGAAATTATGCAAAAGAACCAGCAAAGGGCGAGCTTAACACGCCACTGCGATTGTATTTTAAAGTAATAAATTTAAAGTGAGAACACTTTAAATTAAGTGTTCTCAGTGGTCGTTAAATTTTGATTATGAAGTTTTTTTTTTGCCAAAATCATGTAACCTGTGTCATCTTCAAGGGCTTTTCTTCTGCAGAGCTCTAGTAGCTCATTAGTGATTTGCGTCTGAGTAGTAGGCGGAGACAGCGCTGCTCTGCATACCCCTCTTCACGTTAGCTTGCTGCCTAACATTGCCGGTGCAGCAGAAGTGACAGGTAATATAGCAGCTATTCAGCTCTTGAAAGCTAAAATCATAATTAGCCTTCTTACTAGCATTGCAATCCGCTATTGTCCTCTCTACTTCTCTGAGTCTGACCTGCAGAGCGGGGCAAAAGGGGAGGAGCTTGGAGTTATGACATACGAAATCTCACTGTGTCTGAACCTGTGGATTGGGTCTGCCAGATGTTCACAGCAATTTGAATGCAGAATTACTCAGAAATGCAATTTTGCTCTTAGTTTTCTCTGGGTATGTCCTGTAGCATCTAAAAAATGCCACATGAACATGAAGACAACAAGAAAGGCATGATTTTCATCAGAGCGGGTCTTTAAATTTAACAGACGATCATTCATTTATCATTTCCTTGAAGTATTAATCACCATATTAATCATTTTGCACTGCAGATGCAGTGGTTCTTCTGCCTTAGCATCTCGGCCTGATTGCATTTCCATGAAGAAATTATCATAAATGTTCTTTCTTGAGCTGCGAAACTCCGCTGCAGTCCGTAATGGACTCATCTGAGGTCTCCTACAAACAAGCTGCCCCAGGAGGAGAGTAGGTGAGTTGTGTTTAGTCTTTTTGTTTAAGAAATTAGGCAAAGTTAAAAAGATGTTTGGTGGCTAGTACTATACCAAGGACCCTATATATACTGTTGATGAAGTTAGGTGCTAATCTGATCATTATTTGTGGCTATAGAATGGCGTTTTGTTTGAGGTTTGTCAATGGCTCCTTAGACGTTACTAAAGTTGGTATCACTACAGAAGCAAACGGTCGGCAACATTCATCTCTCGAGAGGGTGTTTTACTCTGTGTTACAGTGTGTTTGACCCTATATTAATTTTACGCCGGAATATTCTTCTAAAATGATTTGGACTGTTACTATTATTGATTTCTAGCTGCTAGAGTCAAATTAGCTCTTCAAGATGTTTGGTTAGAGGTATTTTTAAGTTGATCAGACACCTGCAGTGATCCCACTACAGCAGAATCAATAAGAGCATGTCCTCATTAACAGAGGCATGATGTGCATTCACACAGTGCTGCTAGTTCACTGAATCCTCCGGTTATGCCATCAGGATCAAAATCTGATTCTGATGAATGAAATGCGTTTTATATCATCCAAAAGTCCCTGACAGTTAACTGAGGTTCAGTTTGGAGTCTTCCAGTCGACTCAGAATCAGGTTGCAGACTCAGACTTGATTATAGTGGCACAGCATATTCTGATCTGATAATGAATCCTGTTGTTGTAGATTGCTCCAAGATTGCTTTGTGCACACGTATCACATACTAATACATGTCACATATAGGTATATGCCACATTTGTCTTTTATACTGTTTATATCACACAAGCTTACCAATAAAAGACACAGGCACTCAATCCAAAATGTCTCTGTTTTGGGTGGGAAAACAAGTAAATGTCACTTGATGTTTGTCTAACACAAATGAGTCAAACAAAACAGCAAACAGCCGTGTCAGAAATCCTCCATCATCCTCTCACTCCCGCTTCTACACATTCCCTGTTTACTCCCCTGGGGTCAATTTGAAGTCGCTGTTGTTGCCCACCGCTCAATTTTTGGGGATGGTAGACAGACCTGGCAACAAGCCAGTGCAACATGTCTTATTAAACAACCTTTCACTCTCAGGATCAAACACTTAAGCAGCCCTGCTGTTTGTGAGCCAAACACACCAAAGTGAACAAACACAGATGACAGTCGTCTCTCAGTCTTGTTGCCACACAACCTCCTCTCTAAAAGGAAAAACCAATACAGAGATTCATGTTTGTACTAAGCTAATCAATGAATCAGACCCAGTGAGCGTCCCTTCCTCCTGCTGTGTAATCGTGATTGCATTATCTTCGGTGATGAGCGCACAGGCTTATAGGAGCCGCCTTGTTTACCTAAAATGTTCAGGCTTGAAAGCCTAACACAGCCCTGCATTAGGCAATTATTGGTGACAAATGTCAACGACTGGCATGATGTATGAGACTCAATCAGCTGCCAGACTGACTAACAGGATGTCAGCTTGAAGGTAAATACAGTTTTTGATGAATAGGTCTGGTATGTTTGTGCCCGGAGATGAGCAGGTAAGAAGCATGACAATTAAAACTGCTGATTGTGGATCTTGTGTTGAAGTAGCAATGTTCCTTTGGCTCCGTCCGCCACATCATTATGCAGCTCACACATAAACACAGAGGATAGTCTCTTGCTTTTCAGCCTGTGAATTTCTTTGAAGCGGAAGCATTTATAGAGCAATGGGCATCGAAAGCCTGCGGAGGAGATGAGAAACACTGTTGATGTGTTTACAAAGCAGCAGCGTTCATTACTGTTACACATATATCGCGCTTTCTCTGTCTTTCTCTTGTATTACTTACACAGTACAGTCACACACATAATTGAGTCTTTTTTTTCTCTCAATGTCCAATTTTCAACGGCTGTCTTGAACCTTTCTGTACCACTGTGACCTCTCTATTTTCCATCCTCTTCTTCACCACAGCGCTCCATCCTGCCCTCTGTTCTTCAGGTGCCTGGACCCAGATCAGGAGACAAACCAATTATTAACCCAGAAACTCTCAGCACACCGGCGCAAAAAACACTCACTGTGTGTCTCTTTCTGCCACCGTCACTCAAATTGGTGTTTTGTAACCGTCTTCTCAGCCTTCATGTTGCTTTCAATCACAGACTGGCACATATTACAGGTGAAATCCGGTGTCTGCTGATATGTTTGTGCACGCATGGTTATATGCACCCTCGCTAGGAGCGCAATTACAACCTGACCACAGGTCCACCAGATGAGTTAATTAAATCAGTAGGCCATTATTGTTGGAATAAGTGAGCTGCTATCAACACGGTGCAGTTACAATGAGTGGAGATCAGCGGGGGCGACTATTGTTGTTTAAAACATAAACTGGGAAGATAATGAATTGACGCAGGGTTCCCAATTCTGTTCGGTTACTTGGACAACCCAAGGTTTCCTGCCCCGCTGTAGCATCACACTGACAGATCTGTCCTAATGAACGCTTGGCTGTGATTAAGCTATTCCCCCGGATCAAATTAGGTCTTATTTCTCTCACTTATCAATGCCTCCCACACTGGTACTTAGTAAGGATATTCCAAGTTGTGTCAAAACATGGTGTATGCACTTACAGTAATGCTCATGTGCCTGCACACTGGTTTCTCTCTGAGTGTACCCATGGTGACTCCAGAGTCAGCTGATTCAGAAGTCTGTTTTTAGCAACAACTTGAAGACATGGAAATGGCCATAGAGGCAATTTTGTTAACACTTTATTTGACACCTATCTCTATAAAGCATTATAAATATATGTATAATGTGTTATAATCATGTTATAGCACTGTATAATTATAGTTATAAACACTCATAAATGATCATAATGCTTTATAGCAATAATCATGACACATTATAAAGTATTTTATCATGACTTACAAGGTCAGGTATTATAATGTGTTATAACTGTTAACAAATCACTGACAATGCCCACATAGATAATGCATTATACATATATTCATGATGTGTTACAATTTGCTTATAAACTTGTATAACTATCATTTTAAACACTCATTAAATATCATAAGGCTTTATAACAATAAGCATAACACATTATAATACCTGACCTTGTAAGTCATGATAAAATGCTTTAAAATGTGTTATGATTATTGCTATAGAGCATAATGATTATTTATGAGTGTTTATAACTATAGTTATACAAGTTAATAAGCAAATTATAACACATCATAAATACATGTGTTATGCATTATCTATGTGCACTTTATCAGTGAGTTGTTAACAGTTATGGTAACACTTTACAATAACCATAATTTATAAATGGTAAAAAGAAAGTTTACTAATGTAAGTTAATGGTTACTTTACCATTAACAAGCAATGAAATTATGATTAATGATCCTCATTATGGACTATTTATTAAAGGTTTATATAGGGTTTAAATATTAGTTGTAAAACATCTAGATTTAAATGTGTGTCAGTAGCACTTTCTATATGGTTAATATTTGGTTTATAAACCATCTATAAACATTAATTAGATGGTTATTGTAAAGTTTGGGTTAGGTTTTTAAAATTGTAAAATTTGCAATTTATTAATGGTCTATATGCTATTTATAAATAATGATTAAACAATTACAAACAATCTGCTTACCATTTATAAATGGTCTATTTATCATGTATAAGTCATGGTCATTGTAAAGTGTTACCAAATGCTTTAAAATGTGTTATTATTATTGCTATAAAGCATTATGATCATCTATGAGTGTTAATAACTATAGTTATACAGTGCTATAGCGTGATTTTAACGCACTACACATATATTTATAACGAGATAGGAATCCAGTAAAGTGCTACTAAAATTTTAAACTGTCTTACGCTGTATCAGTAAAATAAAACACTTAAACATCTCTCATGTATATTACAGCTCTTTGGACAGATCTGATATTCGTCCCACTGAGAGATAATCATATATAACAGAACAGATGTCGCTCTGGATGAGCATAAATTCACGTCAGTCCTTGCCCCATTAATAACAGGGCTCAGTCTGGCTGTGGCGAGGTGTTTAAACAGCACTACCGGGGCTAAAGGAGGATTGCCTGCGGGGAGAGCTCGTCTGCCAAGTTAGCGTAAGAGCAGAACTCATCAAAAGAAAGGGATTTTCTCTGCCAAGGTAGCAAAGTAAAACATTAATCATTGATAGAGACAGCTGGGATGAGGGCGGCAAGCTAGAATTGAGTTTGACGTTCTCAAGGGCTGTAGGCAGAGAGATGTGTGAGAGAGAGATTGAGAGAGGAAAGGGCGAAAGAGAGAGTTTGGTTCTTCTTCTTTCACTCAGGATGATTGACTGGCATTGAGCAAGAGAAGAAGGGACTTTCTCCAAAAGGCGATGTAAAAAAAGAACTCACTGAAAACCCTCTGCAGGCTTATATCCAAGCCAAGCCAATCTGTCCAGCACTTCCCCTCAGAGCTGGGAGGACTCTGAGGGAGCTGTGCTGCTGCGAAGGCATGCTGGTAGAAGAGACAATTTTCAGACTCGCAAATCAAGCTGACAAACTCAGGTGCAGTGCAGACAGGACAGCTTGGCTTTCCATGCCATCCCACGGTGGCACTTTAATAGCATAACAAAATAGCTTACCAAATCATTCATCTTTTACACTGGCTGCTGCAAACACAATTCCAGTCCTGAGCTGCACAAAACCACCTGTCAAATTATGACGTAAAGATGTATCTCCATCACAAGGCGCTATTTCATTAGTTCTCCATCCCGGGGTGATCAAACAACAGCAGTTGCATTCAAATGAGACGGACGCATACTCTTTTTAGCTGACAGTTCATATCACAGCCGGTGCATTTAATTACCCACTTCCTGCCCACCTGCAAATTTGACGTGAAACTTGTTCTCTGGCTTCAGAATCTGGACATAGAGCGGGCAATTTGGAGCGAAGTCTTTCACCGCCCAGGCACGCAGGATGGTCTGATGATCCTGAGAGAATTGGAGACAGAGTGGAGTGAGATGGATGAAGTGAAAACGGAGTAGAGAGGTGCAACAGCAGACACCCATCATTAGCAGCATCAGATTGTAGCACCTGTCTCATAATCCCTTTAACAGCTGACTGCACAGAGAGATTGGATGGGCCTTTGCAATGTTTTGGAGTAATCCAATCCTGACAAACTGGGAGGTATTCAAGGCCGCACTGAATACATGAGGGGAAGATGGATAAAACTGTACCTAACACATCATGAAGAGGTATATGTCTAAGAGAAAACATGCTCAAAACTGTTGTGTCATGCATGAAAATGTTGCTTTCTCTTGTTTTGCACTTTCGCCTGTCTAAAGTTTTCCCTCTCGTCAAGACTTTGTTTCATTTTTCCAACAGCTTCGCTTGTTTTGACAGCAATTAATGTTTCAGTCTTCATTTACGAAAATCCCCGACCATAACAAAACAAGCAGAAAATTCAGCTAATGTACTGAGCCAAATCCAACTGTTTCCAAAGAAATGCAGCTTCAATTACTTTTTATGACACGATTTTTCAATAAAAGCTCCAGAAAATGTCCTTTTGTTTTTTTTTAACAAAGTAAATCTGTAAAGCGCTTTATCTGAGAGTTTTAATTAGGATGTTTTGTCGTGCAAGGAGTCATGGGGATACGGGGAAGCAGGGAGGAACGTACAGCAGCAATGCGGTCCACTTCAAACCGGTTGCTGAGGATAAAGCAGGCCTCAGCATCGTCCATCCTGCAGGTGGTTAGTAGAGCATGTGGCCATGGGAGTGAGAGAGAGAGAGAGATTAAGAAAGAGAGAGAGAGAGAGAGAGAGGATTCAGCCGTGAGGAAAGAAGACATAAGAGGGAGGGTGTTGTCATGTTATTGAGGGAGAGGACAGAAGAGAAAAAAGCAGGACAATAGAACAACAAACCAATGTGTCTTTCAAGCCCACGCCATTTATGGACGAGATAGTAGGAGGCAAGGAGACAGGGAGATTAAACATACAGCTGTTTGTTCTTTTTATATTTCTGCTGGTGACAAAACAAGCCCAAGGTGCTGCAGCTGCATGATCGGCAGCCATGGTGGTGGTGGTGGGGGGGATAAGCAATAAGGATCAAATGTTAATTACAGCAGTCGATCATGGCTGTAGGTGCTTCAGCTGTCAAGTTTTAAACTCCTCTGTTGAGCTCAGGTCGGATTTTCTCTATTTTTAAGGCTCGAATTTGCAGAATTACTGCGTGATAACCAATGATGGATCGATATGTAGATGGGTGGACGAATTGTCTTAATAAATGGTTTATTAATGGATCAAAAGATTTAATTATGGGATTGATGAACTGATGGTGGATCAATAGACTGACACATTGGTGGATGATTTATGAAATGCAATACTGACTGGTGTTTAATTAGATTATTGAGCTGTTTTTGTTCTTGGATTTATCAATTTATGGATTGATAAAAACATGGATGAGTGGATCAATCAACCGACGGAGGAGTAGATGGATAGTTTGATGCACGGATCAATACATTGATTAATTGTGAGGTCATTGATGAAATTGGTGCAAAGACGGATGGATGGATGGATGGATTAATTGGTCAATTGGTGGCAATAAAATGGATCAGTCGATTTATTGATAATACTGGGATGATAGGTTAATTGATAGTTGGATGAATGAATGGATGGGGGTGGATGGATGGATGGATGTTGGCTGGATTAATGAATTTATTGATTAATTGGTTGATTGGTGGCTCAAAAATGGATCAGTAGATTCATTTATGGACTCTGAACTTAAAGTTTGATTGATAGTTGGATGAATGGATGTTGGCTTGATTCATGAATTTATTGATTAATTGGTTGATTGGTGGCTGATTCGGTTGATTCATTCATGGACATTGGACTGATAGGTTGATTGATAGTTGGATGAATGAATGAATGAATATGTGCTGATTACTCGCGGGACAGATGTGAACAGATGGATTGATGGATTTATTGACTAAATGAGGGACTGATTGATTAAGCACTAGATATCTGACTCCTAGATAAAAGGACTGATTGATGGATGCTTGTATGAACAAATGGATGGATTAATGGATAAACCGATCATGTGAATAGATGAATCAGTGATGGACGACACTATTCCAGTGATAGTCTAATGAGATGATAAAACAAATAGACTGATAGGTAGTGTCTAGTAAGGTTGAAGTTTATGAATTAACTCTTAGACGATGATTTTTGGTCGGATTGACTCACTTGGCCCTCATCAGGTCTTGGTCTTTGAGGGCAGATCCCTGCAGATAGATGACTCTCTGGGCCCACAGAGGCACATGGAGAACCCTTCTCACCTGAACATCCATCTCTGCAGGGCAAAGGATCACCACATAGTAGTCCTACACAGAGACAGAGAGAGAGACACACACACACACACACAGGCATAGACACACAATTCATATAAAGCCTTAAAAGGTTTTGACCATAAAAAAAGACACTGGCAAGACCTCGGCTGGATCAGGTGTAACATTCATACTTTATATCGACCCTGTAAATACTCCGAGGACTTCATTCAGCGCAGTACCAGATATTCCTAATGTTGGTCTTCTCGGTGGCACATCTTTATTTGCAGACAGAACGTTTTCTCAGAGTTTGCTGTTTATTTTTCATTGACTGCCAGTTTTAAAATGGGACGGGAGAGAGTGAATAATACAAGCCTGTCAGAGGGCAGCTGTTGGAAAAGAGATGTGGATACTTAATGGTGGTGTACTAGCAGACAACAGCAAGGAGCTACTTGTCAAATGTAATGGACAATAAATAATAATACCCATCCCTGTGATGTGAAAGACGGCTTTAAAACAGAGCAGCACTCAACCACACTGGATGGTTACTAAGTACCGATTCATTAAACTAATAATAACCTAATAACTTTCTACCATTTTTTTTAGCTAGATTTCCTTCAAACTTACTATTCCTGTAGACTAAATCGTGCCACTTATCTCTTTGCCGACTCTGATCTGTGCATGCATGAGTAGCGTTTTCCTGAAAAAAAGAAAAACCTTCTGCTGCTTTTTAAGCGTTTAACAATAAAGATTAATGAACGAATCTCTTACTGTGAATCTTCATAATGGAAATATAAACAAAAGCTGTTTCTAGAGCTGTTTCATGTTACTCATCTCATCTTACACCTGTGCAGAGAAGAGGCATAGAAATAACATAATTAATCAGTCTTGTTTCTGATTGATGGTTTTGTTTGCTTCTGAGTATCGTGCCGAGGCAATTCAGTCTGGAAACTCCTCACTGGAGCCAGAGCTCGCTGAGAAAATAACACCTTAAACCAGATGTACTTCTCAATATGTGATAATGCCAGAATTATACATATCACTGAAATACACACACAAGTTATTACTAAACAAAGAGATATGTAAACCTGGATGCACCCTCAAACAAACACACACATCTGCTCTCACATGAGTAAGACAGCAGTTTGATCCCCGGTATTGCTCAATAAATCCTCTTCTTTAACCTCAACTGCTCTGGCTTCTGAAGAGGATTACGGACGACAAACGTGCACAAACACAAGAGCCCCTCACAAACATCGAATTAAACCATTTAGAGGAGACCTGCAGTCGGGGATGCGCGAAGAACTCATTGAGGAAGTCCATGAGGAGGTCGATCTTTAGGCAGCTGACACACAGGACCACGTGTTTCTCCGTCTGCGCCCTGTAGCGACTGTAGTTCCCCCCAGACTTCTGCCGCTCCATCCACAGAAAGGCCAGCTGCTCAAACTGCATTCAAGATGACATCCATCACACTCAACAGATGGAAACTAGATTAGGTTAGCTGGAGTACAGGGAGGAGCCAGGTGGTATATGAAAAGAATCGATGCCTTGTCCTGTCTAGTGTTTACGTTTGATTAGGGGAAGTGTTCAGGGGAACTGAGGATGGTAGAGATTTGGTTCATGACAGTGGATCTACGAAACATGATAGCCAAGACCTAAGCTAAGTTTCATTGTTAGTTAATGTGCTGGGAAGAGCAGTGAAAGACAGATGATGGAGTTTACAGATTAAAATCCAATGTAATCCACTTTATTTATACAGCACATTTAAAAAAACAATCCAGTTTAGCAAAGTGCTGCACAGTGTGGTAAAAAATAAGTTAAAACACACAGAACATGAAATGTTGTCGGAGAATAAAGTGGAATAAGATAAAAGAATCATAATAAAACCACATAAAAATAAAATAAAACATATAAACACTATAAGAGCGAATAAAAATCCATAAAAGAACAGACAGAGACAGGGACCACACAACTCTCATGCTAGGTTAAAAGTAAAGGAGTAAAAATAAGTTTTCAGGCGGGATTTAAAAGCCATTAATGTTGGGGACAATCTAACAATCTAATCTAGTTTTCAGTCTGGTCTTAGAGACCATAAGCTGCCCACTGAGCAACAGATGGCTGTTAGATGTCTAGTTTTTTTTTTTTTACTTATTTCAACCATCTAGATACTGATTTTTAGATGAAATTTAGATGCTACACTTTTACCCATTATTTGATAACTATTTATCTCAAAAAGTAACTGTGAGTTGCATAACTGATCTCCAAGTACTGAACCAAAATAATTTTGATAGCCGTTGAGCAATATACAGTGTAGTATAGATATAACCCAGATTTAGACTTGGTCTAAACTTGGTCTAAATTTAGACATTTAAAAAACCTTCATTTTTAGACCTGTGGTAGCCTGATTTTAGACCAGTCGTCTAGGCTGCATTTGGACGTCTATTAGACCTCTTTTAGACCAAAAAATGCTCAGTGGGTGTTGTCCTGTAGACCCTAAAGACTAAAAGGTTCAAGATGACTTGTAATATTTAGCAAACAAATTTTGTTTCACTGTTGAACACTACTTGGAAATTCATCAGTCAGAAAATTGGTCTAATTGAAATGATAGTTAAGTTACTTCTGCAAGAAGAGATTGGTCAAGTCTAAAATTATCCCTGAGCAAAACACGCAGAGAAAATAATGTGTGCAATGAAGTCATGTTAATACTACTCTCATGTTTTAATGGTTCATGTGATAGAGACTTACATAAGTAGCAATTTAAACTGCAAGTGCTGGTTTTGGCTTAAAATGAACCATATTTCTAGCTTTTTTTTATTTTAAAAAAATGTGCTGATTTTTTTTCTTTGCATGGGTAAGACTGTAACTACCACTGAAAGATTTTCTTGGAGAAATACCCATCTAGTCGTCATCCCCCTCAAATAAACACATACATTGATGCCTTCACTGCATTTTAGCCGGTCAAAGCACGCTAAAATTCAATCAATCAATCAATCAATCAATCAATCAATCAAATTTTATTTAAATAGCCCCAATTCACAACAGTCGTCATCCCAAGACGCTTTTCAAAGAACAAGAGCAGGTCTAGATCACGCTCATGGTTTGATGAATTATCAAAAACCAACCTAAGATGGGTTTTGGCCCATCTCATCTTATAGGTCTTTGTAGTCCAATTCTAATTTCACCATCTTTTAAATCAAATTTCAATGTCGAAATTCTGATTTGTGCTGTTGCTTTAAAGACCCACTTGATGAAAATCATGTTTTTCTTGTTGTCTACATGTTCATATGGCATTTTTCTGATGCTCCGGGAAATGTCATGAGAAAAATAAGTGCAAAATTGAATTTCTGAGTATTCCTACATTAAAATTGCTGTAAATCTCTGGCAGACCCAAATGGCAGGCTCAGATAGAGTGATATTTCCTACGTAGCAACTCCAAGCTCCGCCTCAGAGCCATGTTACCTGCCACTTCTACTACACCGGCAGTGTTAGGTTGCAAGCTAACGCGAAGAGAAGTGTGCGGAGCAGCGCTGTCTGTGCCCAGAACTCAGAGGTGAATTGCTAATGAGCTACTGGAGAAGAAAAAGCCCTCGTAAATAACACAGATAACGTGATTTTGACTAAAAACTTCCTAATTACAGTCTAAAGACCACTGAGAACACTTTAGTAGTAAAAAAATAAACTATCGGAGAGAGACTGTAAAGACAGAAACAGGAAAACCTGCGAATGAAGCTGTAAAAAAAAAAAAAAAAAGGGCAGTAATTGAATCGTGATATTTTTCTGCTGCCCAAAGACTGCTCATGGCAGGACACACACACATACACACACACATGTGCAGACAAAGTGGAGGTGGTGTTTGGGGTAAAGGAGGGCCAGTTTCTAAATGTCAAGGGGTATTTAGGGATGAGAGATGGAGAGAGAGGGGGTCGGATGACATGACACCATGTTGTTGATGCAGAAGGTCATCTTTGTTTTTAGGAGACCGCCGGTGTAAGTCCAGAAAAGGAAGCTTGTGGTGCGTGTCTTTTAAATGGTTTTGGATGTTCGAGTGACGATATTTACTTGTTGATTAGAGGTGTGTAGGATACAGCCTTACACATACTGCTTATTCGACACCTTTAAAAAAAGAAAATCTCTCAAAGGTGTGTGGCATCAGCACAAAAAAATCCAATTTACAAGTAAACAGGAATTTCAGTGAGTTAAATGGTTTGTGAATTGTTCTACAGTAATGTGTGAGTGTGAGTTCCTGCTGAGAGAGCCTGCTTTTTTTTTACAGGTACATCACACACTAAGCAAAAATCCTGCTATTTCCACTTTCACATCTTCAGGGAGAAACATGCATTTTTATCTACCTTAGGGATAGAGATCTGCACAAATCTGAGTGTCAACAGCCAGGATGTGATGCTTTCAAGGTATTTATGACTCTGCACAATTAGTATGTGCATGTATGAGAGTGTATGTGATGGAGCGGCTAAATGACAGGAGAAGGAGCAGGGGACATTAATGAGTAAGAAACTCTAAAGACACTCTCTGCGTTCTCGGAGTAAAAATAGTGTTGTAAATCTCAGTAGGACGCAATGAGTCATCACATTAGTGTGCAAAAGGGGAAATTATCAGTTTGAGTGGAGAAATACAGTAATGAGATTCTCAGAGGGAAAAAAAAAACACTTCTTTAGTTGTGTGGCAATCCTCCATCTGTTTACTTAGGAACAAAATCAAAAATTCTTGTCATGTTTGACACGCCTGCTTGTCTGAGTTTTCACAGCATCTTTATAAAATGAAGGACAGCTAAATAAAGTAGAGCCCTGCTGGTGGCCCCCAAATCAGAAAATGAAATATAAAACTCAGCTCTTCTCTATATATACCTCATTAAAGTCCCACTCATCTTTTTTTTTTTTACAACCTAAAGTGTTCTCAGTGGTCTTTAAACTGTGATTATAAAGTTTTTAGCCAAAATCACATTACCTGTGTTATTTTCGAGGGCTTTTCTACTGCAGAGCTCTAGAAGCTCATTTGCAATTCACCTCTGAGTCGTGGGCAGAGACAGCGCTGCTCTGCACACTTGTCTTCACGCTAGCTATTCAGCTCTCGGACACTAATGTCTTTGGGGACATGATAAAAGCTAATTTCATAATTAGCTTTCTTAAGAGCATTACAATCCGCAAGCACACACTTGTTCCACGATCGTCCGCTCTACTTCTCCGAGTCTGGCTTGCATTGCGGGGCTCCGGGGGCGGAGCTTGGATTAGTTACATATGAAATCTCACTGTATCTGAACCTGACCTTTGGGTCTGCTAGAGATTCACGGTGATTTGAATGCAGAGATACTCAGAAATGCAATTTTGCGCTTATTTTTCCACGATATTTCCTGTAACATCATATAAAAAAAACAAGAAAAACATGATTTTCATCAGAGTGGGTCTTAAATAGCGTGACCATATGTCCTCATTTACTCAGACATGTCCTCCTTTGACTGGCCGGCCTGTCTGGGGGGAGTTTATAAAATCCTTCCAATGTCCGGGGTTCCCTATGGAAGCCCGTTTCCACCAGTGAAATTTTAAAAAACCGATGCGATGAAATGTCGTCTATTTTTTTTTTTTTTTTAAGATAAAAAAAAAAAAGACAACATTTAATCTCACCTTTTTTTTTTCATTGGCGGAAACAGGCTTCCGTAGTTTTGAGTTTGTGTAGCGTGTACTCTATCTTAACACACACCAGAGTATCTACCATACATGTCAAATGGTTCATTTGGAATATGTGTTTAACTGAGTTAGCAGCACGTAAAAAACACTTGACTCGACCCGAAAAAAAAAAAAAAAGAATGAAAAATTAGAATATGGTCACCCTATCTTTAAGGAATTTTGGATCTCACTGTTGCGATCTTTATTCCTTTTATTTCATCTGTTGATTGTGTTTTTTTCAGAGGTTATCACCATTGCTTCTCACCTGGATTGGAAGAACAATGAGCGCCACAAAGATCATGATGACGACCAAGAGCTGCGAAGGCCAGATCTGGGGGGTGACGTCTCCAAAGCCCACGGTGGAGAAAGTGACCACGCAGAAGTAGAGCGAGTCAAACAGGGTCAGGTTATTCCCCGCTCGCTCCAGGTGTTGGATACCGCAGATGCTGATGGAGGTCGGCAGGGTGGGAAAAATGGAGAAAGTAAGAAGAGCAAGTTGACGTCATTTAGGAAGAGACTGGTGTAAAAGCCTGTGGGGGGCTGTTAAACATAGAGAGCAGTATTTCAAGCCTGCACATAGCTGTGACTTTGGTATGCAGAGATATAGAGGGTGGATGCCTGCTTGAGTTGAGCACTTTTATGAGACACAGTGAGTGTATTTTTGTACATAGGTAAGCTGGGCATTTATCGTGTCCGTTAAAGGGCGGATGAGTCAACAGGCCAATGTCAATCCTGGAGCGGTCAGAGAGCTCATTTCATGCTGTGTGGAGGAACTTCTTGATTAGCTCAGGATTTCACACCAGATATGCAGCAAGCTGACACATCCTCCACTGCACTGAAGCAATCTCCAGTTGTCATTTCGGAGCACTTTCTCACTCACACAGTTACCAATTACCTCTCTGCTCTCTGTCTTTTCCTCTCTTAGCCCCAGGGTTTCTTTTTTTTTTTTTGGCACTTCTGCATGGCTGTGACTGCTTTCACTTCCTCCCCAATCTCCATTTAATATCTGTTTACGCCCTCTTGAACCCTTCTCAATTTAGTGTCACCAGCGTGAGTGTACCCACCAGGTAAACATGAGACAGACCAGCGTGCTGATGAGTATCACCACCTGGTTAAACATGGCTGAGTGTGTCCGCTGGATTGCCCTGTGGAGATCATTCTGCAAAGAGACAGACAGGTATGGAAACAACAACAACAAACCTAGAACTGCATTGCGGAGAGTAAAATGAGGTTGCAGGCAGTTTACGGAGGGAAAAAGGAAAAAAGTTGGATAGATGGAGAATAATGGGGACAGTTTTAAAGAAAAGAAAGGTGGGTCAAGCCTCATTAGATGGATGTCAGAGGACAGATGGAGGCAGGAGATATAAAAGCTTAGATTTCAATCCTGGGGAGCAGGTTTAAATGGTTTGTTACTGGTTTACCTTCATGGCAGATAAAGCTGGTGAGCTGAAATGGCAGAGACAGAGAGGGGCAATTGCATGCCAACAAAATAACATAACAGAGAAGCTGAAATGGAAGTAATGAAATAATTGGGCGAGGAGATAGCGCTTCACTTACTATCATGTTCTCCAGAGCGTGTTTGGCCAGCCAGCAGTTGAGAAAAACAGGGATGAAGAGATTTCTGAAGGAGGGCAGAATCACCTGTCAAAGAGAGTAAGCTTCAGTCTGCTGGGCTCTCTTGTCATCATATTTCTCTTTTCATATGTCACAGGATCTGGCACCGATATCTTCTCTGGAGCGGCCATTAAATGTGTGGTGTGCGTTCAAGTGGAGAGGGTGGGATGGCGACGCTTGAGTGCTATCGGCGTTTCGCAATGCATACTTACAGTGATCATGAAGGGGATGGCGCTGATCATCTCCAGAATGAAGGGGACGCGTAATACTTGCTCCCAAACGTTGCCCTGGAAACAAAAACCACATGCAGGGGTCAGGAAACTCCACTGTTACGGTGGCCTTTTGGCATTATCACTTAATAGGCGCGATTGCAGGAAGTAGACGGGTACAAATTGACCAGCTTTTGCAACAAGGATAGAGTTGATCATATTTTCAAGGTTTTTATAACTCCCTAGAAGAGGAAACACTGCTCATTTTTCTCTGAGCTTTGCTGTGAAAGGGCGTACAATGAATTTAGGGTCAAACACACTGTAACACTGAGTTAGACACCCCCTTGAGAGATGAATGTTGCAGACCACTTGCTCCTCTAGTTATACCAAATTTAGTAACGACCGCACAATAGCAATACACAGCGGTCTAAGGAGCCATAAACAAATCTCAACCAAAATGCCACTCTATAGCCACAAATAATGCTCAGAACCGCACCTAACTTCATCAACAGTACCTAAAGGGTCCCAGCCAAAACATTGGCACCAAGCATCTTTTTAGCTTTGCCTTGTTTCTCTCACCAAGAGACTAAACACAACTCACCAACTCTCTTCCGGCAGCCACTTGTTTGTAGCAAGATCTCAACCAGTCCATTACGGACTACAGCGGGGTGACGCAGCTCAAGGAAGAACATTTGTGATCATTAGTTTATTATTTCCTTGAAGTAATAATCGCCATATTAATCACAAATCACAATCATCACAAATGCTCTTTCTTGAGCTGCGAAACTCCACTGCACTCTGTGATCAACTCGTCAGGGCTAGCCCACATATGAGCAGCTGCTGGAGGAGAAAGGATGAGTTGTGTTTAGTATTTTTGCTAAAGAAATTAGGCAAAGTCAAAAAGATGTTTGGTGGCTAGTACTATGGCTAGGACCCTATATGTACTGTTGATGAAGTTAGTTGCTGTTCTGAGCATTATTTGTGGCTATAGAGTGGCGTTTTTGGTTGAGGTGTGCATGTTGGCTCCTTAGACCGTTGTGTATTGCTATCCTGCGGTCGTTACTAAAGTTGGTATAACTAGAGAAGCAAGCGGTCTGCAACATTCATCTCTCAAGGGGGTGTCTAACTCAGTGTTACGGTGTGTTTGACCCTAAATTAATTCTACACCTGAATATCCCTTTAATTGAAGACGTCAGCCACGGTCATTTTAACACCTGGGCCACCTGCATATGGCTGACCTCACTGGTGTAGGTGGACAGGCAGACGGTATGTCCACAGGAATCAGTCAACTCTAAATGCTAAGTCCTCCAGCCTCCTGAGTAATCTGCAGAGGGAGCCTTTATAGGCTTACAGTGTCAGGTGCATCAAAGGCAAAGCAGCCCATTCATGGATTGGACCCCCACAACAGGAACAGAGGGGCCTCCCCGAAAATCTTTGTGATGTGTCAATAATACAACAGAGCTGAGGGAGTCTCAAGCCCTACTGAGGTGCTTTCCAAATAAGAGAACAAAGGAGCTGTATCAGGGGAGAAGAGAAACTTCAGTTTTTGTAGGATGAACTCAAGGAGGAGAGCAAAGTGGACAAGCACCACCCTCGAGCATATCACAAGCACGTCACACGCACGCACATGCCACATGCGTCTTCATCACAGGGTCACTGGGGGCCATGATGAGTGACTCACCTTGTAGCTGAGATACACAAGCAACATAGTTTCGGAAAAGCTGATGAAAGCCACAAGCACCTGCAAAAAACAGAGAGAGAGAGAGAGAGAAAGGGTAATGGAGAAAATGAGAGATGCAGACAAAGAGGGAGAGCAGACACACAGAGGAGGAGTGAAGATAGTCAGAGAGCTTGGAGAAATTAGGAGTCACAGGGATGGGAGAGCAGAGCGTGGGTGGAATCAGAAGGCGTGCTGTTGATTGAGCTTGAAAGGGAACAGGTTTAACTGAAGCAAGAGACGGTCTGGTGTCTGACGGTGGACTTATATATATGAGTGTGTGTGTAATCTCACTGTGAGTGTAGATAGTTGTGCCAGAAAATAGATCTAATATCCATAAATGATGGGACATAAATTGAACGCTGATGAACTGAATGAAAGGAATGAAGGTGTACAGAGTGCGTTCATGTGAGCAGATGTATGTGCGTGTGTAAACAAACTTTGTTTATACAAAGGTATCGATTGATCTGACCTGGAGCGCCCACAGCGGGAGAGGTCTTTCCACCCAGATGATCAGCTTCCTATAGAGTGGAGAAAACGAAAGAACAGGGAGTGGACGTTAGAGATGTGGCACAAAAATTAGATAGAGGACATTTAAATGGAGAAAATATCAAAATAATTTTTAGCCCACTCAACATGGACCATTATCCACTCCATGTCACTGCATTAAATTTAATCACGCTGTTTGCATCGGTATAACAGAGCAGCTAATAGCTGTCAAAGTGTTCATAATGCTGGGGAACAGTTATGTTAACACCGTCTAAATCAGAATTTACAGGCTTTTTCGAGAGAAAAAAGGCTTTCATTTTTTTTCACAAACTCCCTGGGGCCAATCATGGCCGCTTGCCTGCCTGTGCTCTGCTTTGCTCCTCGCAGTCTGATGCCTGAAACAGGAGGCAGCCCATCCCCTTCCTGAGCTCTCTCTGTCAGGCTACTTATTCATGTGGAGCCAGAGCTTAGCCAGTGTCACCAGCCACCATTAGATCAATAGGTCCCTGAGCAGGAGCCACAGCATCGCCTCAGGTCCGTGTATACTTCCTGCTTTTTCTCCATCTCTTTGCTGCTGTATATTATGTGCTTTATCTCCACTAGATCGCTGTTGATTAGGCTGCACAGGCACTACATACATATTACGCTGACAGGTAATCTATGAAGTTTGATTGTGACGAATGCATGTGGATCTAAAATGCTCAATACCAGCATGGAGTATTGCACTAGTTAAATGAAGTTACATTGATCGGGTTACAAAACATTTCCGAGCGGTGGGCGCATGTTGGGGGTGCAAGACCTTCAGGTGGTGCAGTTTCTTGTTTTTTTTCTGCAGGGTGAAGTTGTCATTTTCCAACGGGAACAAACATACTTACCAATCGAACTCACTCCAGGGACGTGACGATGTGTTTTGTCTGGTACAATTCACTCCATTCGTACTGCCAGGGGAAAAAAACAAACAAACAAACAAACAATAAAAGAAACTTTCTGACCAGCCTCTCTATCTTTGAAACCTCACCGACCTGCAGCTCAGTCCAAATATCAGTTGACTTTCCTGATTGCATCTCCACCCTCTTCTGTTCTCCCACCATCATTTCCAACCCAATCCTTTTAGTGGTTACTCTACACACACACTCCATTATCTCATCTATTGACCTGTTGCACTTGTTTCAGCTATCAGGCCTCCACAGTCCCACAGACTTTGGTTCATCTCATTAAGTTCATGTTATCACAGTGTCTCTCACCAGTCCTGTCTTCCCTCTTGCGGGTTGTCTAACAAGACTCTCACGATGTAGAGGAGGCAGCTCAGCACCTTCAGCGCAAAGTTGAACATTCGCACTCGCAGACCTGCAAGGTGTAAAAACACATTTTCTCTCACTTTAATGTGATTCAACTTTATTCTCCAATATTTCGCATATGATTTGAATGCACAGAAAATATCACATGTAACTTGTTAGTAGGGCTGTAAAAGCCTAGTCAACTGGTCGACTCATTGGTCGATACGTCCGGACTCGATTTTTTTCCGCGTCAATTTACAGTCTATGGTTATTTTCATCAGGAGGAACGTAGAAAGTGCTAATGGGGGCGTTTTATTTTGGATTCGCCCAACCCACTGGAGACCGGCTGTGGACAGGGAGATTGAAGAGCGCCCATAAACCAATGTCCAGTGGTTTGCTGAATATAATATTTGTGTTTAATTGCCTACTTGTGCCGATAGCCGCGTCGTCCCCCGCCGCAGAAGGGTTTGCCGTCAGTATGCCCCCTCCCCCAAGTTGAATTTTGATTGAAAATCTATAGGTGACCATATTCTGACTTCTCAAAAAGAGGACACAACTACACCGGGGCGGGGCCACTGAGTTGCACGAAGTAAATTTTGAGAGTTTCTCAGGTCGAATCGAGTGTCTTTTACGCGCTTCTAACTCAGTAACTCCACGTGACACAAAATTAAAACTTGCGTACAAAACTGCTGATATTTAAAGGATTTTATAAACTTCCCCGGACAAAACTGGACAAACCTGGACAGCCCCCCAAAACAGAGGACATGTCCGGGTAAAAGAGGACGTATGGTCACCCTAGTTTTAGTCAACTAAGACTTTCTTTGGTTGATTTACAGCCCTACTTGTTAGAGAAGCGTGAAAAATATAACCCACAAGTATTCATCACAGCAGCAATTTCCCCCTCGCAAATGCATGGTAGCAATAAAAAGCCTGGCCTCTGAACAAGGACACTATCTCTCCACCCTTTCAATTGACCCTCAACAACAGGCATCTGACATGCAAATTTTTCTAAGACGCACTTTATGGCTCATGCATTGGTATTGGACTCAATGGTCAATGTTGATTGTAAAAGGTTTTTGAATGGCCTCGACAAGAAAATAACATCTCTCACATAGAGAACCAAGGTTACAATCCTTACATTTCTTCAATTATATCAATACTATCTCTAGATTTAGATAGATATTGCATATACTCACAGTGACCCTGGAAGACCCACTATGAGGAAACCAATGTGATCCCTCACAGTGCCCCACAGGGACTGCAGAGCCTTGGTACTTGCATGAGACATGATTCCCACTAGAGTGAGCATCAGCTCGTTATGCCTTGCTTAGACACAGCCTTAGTATGGCCCACCCTGCCAGATGCTACCAAGTGGAAATCAATAAATGAGTGAGTCCATGCACACCTGGTAATTAAATACCTCTGCATGGGCCTTGTAGTAATGGGGTCCTTTTGAAGATATATCCACATCCTCTGCTCTGTGGGGGTTAGTCTGTACATTTGCATTGTCTAACTGGATGGAGAGATAGTCTCAACTCAACAAAAGGAGGAATTTAGGCTTTTTAAATTTGTCTTTACCTGGTTTAAAGGGGTATTCCGGTGTAAATAAAAGTTATGGTCAAACACACCATAACACCGAGTTAGACACCCCCTCGAGAGATGAATGTTGCCGACTGCTTGCTTCTCTAGTTATACCAACTTAAGTAACGACCGCACAATAGCAATACAAAGCGGTCTGAGGAGCCATAAGCAAACCTCAACCAAAACGCCACTCTATAGCCACAAATAATGCTCAGAACAGCACCTAACTTCATCAACAGTACATATAGGGTCCTAGTCACAGTGCTAGCCAACAAACATCTTTTTAGCTTTGCCTGATTTCTTTAGCAAAGAGACTAAACACAACTCACCTACTCTCTTCCAGCAGCCGCTTGTTTGTTGGGTAGCCCTGACAAGTCAATCACCAAGTGCAGCGGAGTTTCGCAGCTCAAGGAAGAACGTTTATGATCATTTCTTAATGGAAATACAATCAGACCGAGATGCTAAGGCAGAAGAACTACCGCGTCTGCAGTGCTAAATGATAAATATGATGATTATTACTTTATGGAAATGATCTGTTGCACTCAGTGATCGACTTGTCAGGGCTACCCCACAAACAAGCAGCTGCTGGAAGAGAGTAGGTGAGTTGTGTTCGGTCTCTTTGCTAAAAAAAACAGGCAAAGCTAAAAAGATGTTTGATGGCTAGTGCTATGGCTGGGACCCTATATGTACTGTTGATGAAGTTAGGTGCTGTTCTGAGCATTATTTATGGCTATAGAGTGGCGTTTTGGTTGAGGTTTGTGTATTAAGACATAGACCGTTGTGTATTGCTATTGTGTGGTTGTAACTAAAGTTGGTCTACCTAGAGAAGCAAGTAGTCGGCAACATTAATCTCTCAAAGGGGTGTCTAACTCAGTGTTTCAGTGTGTTTGACCATAACTTCAATTTGCGCTGGAATATCCCTTTACCCTTTGCACCAACTTGAGTTTAACTTTTGATCATATTTTTCTTCTTTTTCTTCTACACATGCACTAAAAATAAAGATATGACATCCATGAGTCTGCATATTATTTAAACACAGACATCTCAGTCGCAAATCTTGGACAGGAAGACAAAAGGTGATGAAATACAAGGTAAGAATGGCAGCACATCACAGGCTCAAACAAAACAAGACTCTTCTATCAGAAAATAAAAAAGAACTACGGTGGAAAGAAAGCAGGCAGCCGACAGGAAATTTCCCCAACTCATTACAAACAGAGAAAATGAGATCCCAAAGATAGGCAACTCACTGGATCTTTGGTTTTTGATGAAGAACAGCTTGAGGCGCTCCTTGAAAGTGTTCTCATTCACATAGAACTCTACCTGCACCCTAAGAGAAGAACGGAGACACAAGCATAGACAAAAAGAGATCAAGAAGTAAGGAGGGTGCGAGAGAAAAAGGAAGAAGAGGAGGTGCTGCCGGTGATTGAGGAGATGAAATGCTACTTTGTGGAGTCAGAGGACAGAAATGAGGGAACAAGTGAGGGCCTGATGGATTAAAGGGGAATGATCAAAGGTGTGTGGAAAAAAAGGTGCACAACTGGACAAATTAGGGATATAAAGAGTGATAATGATTACCTGGACACTGGAAAGTATGGAAATAGGATACTGAATCAGGCTGTATTAAAGACTAATGGGTTTTTTGAGGAAATGGTGATCCTGGTTGTCCGCCTGCCCATAGGCAGACAGCTGCAGTCAGTCTCGTTATCTCCACTGATTAAATATAGAGCAACAAATTACTTCCCTGTGATGTTTCTGCTGAACATGGGAGGCCATAATTACTGCTCTTTCTGCCTTTCTATTCTGGCACCCTCCTGTTAGAGGGACACACACGCTAACACATACGCGGTTACTGTACACACACAGGCCTCAAATACAGGACTGCAGCGTGGTCATTAGGATTATTAGACCATTCAAACACCCATCTGACACGGATGCACATGGCGAGGCATGATGAAAATGACAAAGAGACCCTCTCCAGACACCTCTTACATGTGTAAAGACAGCCAGACAAACTGAGGGTGACTGTATTTCCTGTCTGAGCACCTCAGGGGAGAATTCTCAGTAGCTGTCCTTTCATCCTATGGAGGGAAAGTGGATGACTCAGGTCGTGCATGAAAAACGCTGGGTCTTGCTCGCTGGTGGTCTCTTCACAACACACAGACAGATGAAAGAGAGGCAGAACACTGCAATCTATTCTCCCGTCTGCAGGAAGAGGAAGAGATGTTGTGTGCATGCATGTGTGTGTGTGCGTGTGTGTGTGCATGTGTGTGTTGATGAGGGGGGCATCTTCCCAGGGTTCCAGAGTGACGCCACACCAGCGACCACATGGTCAGACACACACAGACACACATCAAAAACCTACGCCACGCTTTCCCAGCAACATTTCGGGGGGGAGGGTAGTGGAGGGGATGGGGGGGGTAAGTTTCCTCTTTGTTGCTATGGCAACATGGGATTCGTTGTCTTTCCCCTCCCACCCTTACGAGCAGATGTGAGCAAACACATACTTGTGAAGTGTGTTCAGCCATCGAAGCCGATGGCTCGCTCCAGTTTGTTGACGGCTCCCTTTGCTCAGAACAGCCTGCTCACAATACGGCGTTCACAAGCATGATGGAAAACAGAAGAACATGTGAACACACACACACACACACACACACACACACACACACACACACACACACACACACACACACACACACACACAGCTCCCTGGTGTCACAAAAACACAGGGTTGGATAACTTGATTCGAAATGATTGAGCGCTGGACTGAGTCAATAGACTGTATGACTGCATGAGTTACTTCATGCACAAAGGTAAACAGTCAATATCTCGGCCGCTGTAAATAAAGGGAACCATTGGTATTTGTTTAAATTATCTCAAGTCCAACACAATAACCCAAAATTAAAGAAACTGTATTTTTTTTTCTTTACAGTTTTGAAGGATCGATATTTTCAGATGCTTTGAAGAGGACTTATCAGGAGCGGTTTGAGATTATGTTATGGAGAGTTCCTTTAATCCGAACACTAAATCACTCATTTGCTAAACAAAACATAAAGAGATTTCTGTTCACAGCAATAACACTAAATAACCCAAACTGACACCAAACGAGTGAAAGGACTCATTTGCTGTTTTTGCAAAAGTACTGGATGTGTGTAGTAACTATTATCATCAAGGTCATGATTGATAGATTAATTAATGCCTCATGCTTCTATTATTTGATCGTAATATAGCAATAATCTGATACTGTGATATGATAATTTAGTATAGTGTATTCACTGTTAATTAAATGTACTTTTTTTCCCCTCCTTTATATTCTCTCTCTCTTTTCCCTCCACTGAAACAGCATTTCAACCAATTTTCACGCATTTTTAACTTCAGTGTTTTTCTGCTTTCTTACATGTTATTTAGAATTTTGTGTCTAGCTACTTGTCAGCCCTCTACCCGATTTAAGGTTTACACAGCCCTAACAGTAAACAAATCATAACTAACATTAGCTGGCAAGCCACAGGACATAACTACCTGAATTAAGAAAAGATAATATCATTAATAATCCGATGAGGGACTTTTGGTTTGTGTCAGTTTTGTCACCTCCTTCCAGATAAATCAGTCTCTGTGCTTATTGTGTATTTTAAATGCTACAACAGTGTCCCACAGAGCGAAAACTCATCCTGCTGGCTTTTGACAGTCAAATGTATTATTTAATGTGAATATTTTATGTGCAAACTGTAAAAACAGGGCTGTTTCTGCAGCTGACACCAACTGTTCACACCAGTTTGAGGCATAAAAAAGTACAGTATAAAAACTGTCAGCCTTAGAGCTAATGATATTGTTTGTTTTTATCATCATAGAAAGGCATGAATATGAATTTCAGTCTGTTTCACAATTCCTCATCAGAGCTTTACTCAGCGCAGATATAAGAAGTATATTTATCTTATAATATTTAATATCTGTATGTTTTAGTCACTTCTGCAACTGACTGCTCTTTGTTGCTTCCATGGCCAAAACTATGTCACTCAAATATATGAATAAGATATACAAAGTACATCTAAAATACAGCTGTAATGTATTTTCCAGGGATGCTGAGATCAAATTTAGACCCCAACTAAAAGAAAAATGCCTTATGTCCTGCTTAGATTACTGAAAAATTCAGTTGCATTTACAATATTTGCACAAAACTCCACAAATATTATATTGTAGTTTTGCCAACTCTAAAAGTTGGAAAAAAAAAACAGGCAGATAGACAAAAAATCTTCATGTCTAACAGCAGCTTAATAAGTAAAACTCAGTCAGCGTTTCAGTTTGTCACAACTCTCTCAATCCCATCTTCAAAGATTGTGTTACAATTATATCTCTCCTCTAGTATTACAGACGTTTGTTTATACCTCTCTTGTGCACATTAAATTAGAAAACAAGAATCATATAACAAATTCATAACTCCACTTTTGTAATCAAGATGATTCAATTTCTCTAACTAACCTTTCTCGAAGAACAATATCCAAGTGATGTTATAAAAGATGTAGAAGATGGCAGCAGTACTCCTTCTGTTGAATTCATTTTACATGTGTTGAATGAAAGTGGCAGCCCGACTCAGAAAGGGCTCAAAACTGCAGTTTCTTGACTCGCAGTATGCAAATCAACACCCCACTGTACAGCAGAAATCGCTACCTTTGCACGTTAGTAAAATAAAGGTTGTAGTGTCTCAATCAGTTCGTTTCAATTGTAAAGTTTTGCATAATTAAAGACATCCAATGCTGTTTTTGACTGTCAACAAACAAGAGTAGACACGCTCTCTTAAGTCTAGCTATTGATGTGTGTTTTCATTTATCGAGGTGCTTAAAGCCTCTCCAAACTAGGTGAAGGGGAACCACGACTCAAGAGAAGGGTAATTTCAGAGGTCATTTTGCCCCTGATGTGTTTCTCTAAATGAGGACTTTTCCACTTGAGTGTACGACCGAGAGTGAAAAGTAAAGTGGATATATAGCCCAATAAAGCGCTGAGCTGTTGGACAGATTGAGAGTCTGGATCTTAAATCTAAGGGGAGGATGGGGGAGAAAACACATTAAAAACTCATAAAATGCATTATATAAAAACAGAGGACACACAAGCACATCGCAATGGCACCTTTGGGCGATAGCCACACACCAGCACCCCTAAGGCTCACCAACAATCACAGGGAAAACAAATCATGGGATTATTTTTGACAGAGGGACACTGAGCACAGAAAAAAAATGTACATATATTAGTAAAGAAACAACCATGTCGTTGTATGGAGAGAAAAAAAAAAGGTTTACTAAAATGTTAACTTTGAGTCAGGCATAGCCTTCCACTCATGGGCTCTAATAAAGCAAATAGAGCAGCGTTAACAGCTGGAGATAATAGCACATGAATGGAGAGGGGCATGGCATAACATTTCAAACCTCAGCCTGGGGACACACTTTGCATTTTCACATTTGCATGTACACTCTGAGAGTTGAAGTGTGACAGAGAGAGCAGACAAAAATACAGACAGTTACATAGACCCAGACAAACTGACAGAAAGACAGAGGGGGACATGCGGAGGAGGAGGATCTCGGAGAGAGAGAGAGAGAGAGAGAGAGATAGAGAGATGAACCTCGCTCTCCTGCTGCTTCCACCCATGCCGATGCTTCATAATGACACAGCACTGGCCATCTAATGACACAGTGGAAGAGACTAAAGAAACCCAAATCTATATGCTCACAATAGTATGGCATCGCTTCATCACAGCCTCCGCACAGAGCTCAGAAATAGTAGGCTTACCAGTGAAGAAGAAAAAATAAGGTAAACCAAAAAAATCCAACCCACAATGCATTGCTGAAACTTCCACAACATCTATTTTGATTTGTTGTAACCTGAGCTGTCCATCTATTCATCTATGAGTCCAAATGGTTAAATTATATTACATTAAATCTCTACTCTAGTTTGCCTTTCAGATCTGTTTTTAAGTTGTTATCATAGACTGCCTTCCATCATTTTCCGTATTTGAAGCTGAATTGCTCTCAGTATTTCCGGGATTTTCTCCACTACCTGGAACCGCCACTTGTGCGCATTCGGTGGGAGAGTCGCCGAGAGTCGCTGTGATGATGCTTGGCTCAAACAGCGTATCCCCCGGGTGAGCTACGCAAGCTTAATATGCACATAGGCTGTATCAAGTGTCAATCATAGAAAACATGAACCCCCTAATAACTTTTTAGAAATGGAGCTGCACAGAAAAAAAAAGAGGAGTTGAGCACAAACAGTCTTACAATAACTACATGTCAACATCGCAAGCAGGGGGGAGAAACATTTATATTCCTTGTAATAGATTTCTAAAGTTTCTCCACAGCTCCATAGGGATTGCTGGAGGAGGTGGGATTCATGACCTTGTGGTGGCTTCACCCAGTGAGGAGGCAGATGGCGTCCATTCTATATACAGTCTATGGTTGATATTAACAATGTAAAGCAATTCTTACCAGCGTACTAATTCAGGAGTTAAATCAATGTGGTGAAATGCACTGCTACCATTGTCCGATGACATGAGCAGACAGCTTCACTGTTTATTTTTCTTTTCTTTTCAAGCATCTGTTCAGTGTGAATCTGTCGTGCAGTTATTCTGAGATAATTTCGATCACTCACTGACATCCAGTGATCTCTGATTAATGCAACAGTGTTAGCACTTTTCAGAAGATCCAGATTAGCTGTTGTTGTTGTTCCCGTTGTTCCTCAGGAAAGTAAGGCACATAGCTGGTCTTAACATGCCAACCTGAATATGTCTCAAGGATCCCAATCTGAGGTTGGCCCTACAAGATGATTTTAGGCCCCATTTAAGACCTAGTTTACCTCCTCTAATGTTTGGGGAGGTATGGCCTGGCTAAAAGCTTCTCATAATCACTTATCAATAGTCCAGATAATCCTCAAATGGGGTGTTTATGTGACTATTTTACTCCTTATGATTTAGTTGAATCTCCCCGACCTGGGATTGCAGTCATCAAACATGTGACATCTGTGATTTAAGATGAGACCAACACTGACTGACTTCCTGCAAAAATCAATCAGAGGAGCAGACTGAGAAGCATCACAAACTTGATTTAGCATAATTTAGCACGCTAACACGCTGCAAAGCCTTTAAGTTGCATCTGTACCATTTTCTCAGCCAGGTTTTCATCCATATTCAATTTCTCTCTTTTATTATTCCCTAAAAGCAGAACAGACTGCCAACTGACGATGACTTAAATTGTCTTATTTGTTTGTTTAGAAGGTTGTAAAGTGAAAACCTTCTCAGTTATGAAGCTGTGTATTTTTCCACGGCTGCAAAGCACATATGACTTTTGACTGGAGCAGTGGTGTTGTTATTTTTCATGGTGGCAGCACCAGGAAGATGCTGTGGCGGTTTAACGATGGTCTGCTGAGAGGGACTAAAGTGCAAGAGATTTTTTTTAAAAGTGCTACTCTTGGACCTTAATTGCATTTCAAACGCCCTGACAGCCCTCATTATAATCAAAAACAGGAAACAAGTCGGAGTTCAGAAAATTTCGACTTACATTTGGAAATGAACAAACATACTGGAGACAGACTAATTGTCGGCCCTCGCCAATTACCGGGGTCAGTATTCTGCATTTAGGTGATTATCTGTGGCAGCCTTTTATTTCACGGAAAATGAGCAACTTTGGTGTCTCTTCTACTCTGGGTCTGCTGTCTTACACTAATATGTCACCTCATGTCCAGCCCATAACACCATCTGACTGGTCTATCGCATCACAAGTCGATGCGATAGACTTGTAATAAATGCAACTAGTTACCTTGTAATTTTGTATGTTGAATTTTTAGTTTTGATTAAAAAATTGCTAAATATTCCAAATTTTTAATTTTGATGGAAAGTTTTCAGTTTTACTATCAGTTTCAAATATTGGTTATTGGTCTGATGAATGACTACTTCTTCTTTTCAACTAGATTATAACCTGTACTGGTACTAACATTGATTGAGCCTAAAATGGTAACACTTTACAATAACCATAATTCATCGATGGTAAATAGATAGTTTATTAATGTTTAATCATCATTTAAAAACAGCATATAGACCAATTATAAATGGCAAATAGATAGTTTATTAATGTAAGTTAATGGGTTTTTTTTACCATTAACAAACAATTAAATTATGATTAATAATTTTTATTAATTATTAATGGACTTTTTATTAAAGGTTTATATAGGGTTTAAATATTGTTTATAAAACATCTAGACTAAAATGTGTGTCAGTAGCACTTTGTAAATGGTTAATATTTGGTTTTGAAAACATCTATAATTTCTTAGATGGTTATTGTAAAGTTGCAACTGATGTTTGTAATACTTTGTAAATGATTAATAAGTGGTTTATAAACCATCTATAAACATTACTTATGTGGTTATTGTAAATTTAGGGTTAGGGTTAGGTTTTTAAAATTGTAAAATTTACAATTTATTAATGGTGTATATGCTATTTATAAATGATGATTAAACATTGATAAACTATCTGCTTAACATTTATAAATGGTCTATTTACCATTTATAAGTTATGGTTATTGAAAAGTGTTACCCCTTAAATATACAACTGATACTGAGACATTCTGTGAGAAAAGAAGAGGGATAAAACTCAAGTAAAAAAGGAAAATCAATCATACTATGGGTATAAATTCAGACAGAAGATGTCTGAATCTTATTATGTGGACTGTCATTGCTATTGTTTCGTTTGAGGATGCAAGGACAAGACAGTCCAAGATGAATGAAAATTTAACAGCCAGACAGACAGCACTGGAAATTTTACTTAAAAAGAATCTTGTCCTAGTCGCTGAAATAAAAGACATGAACACCTATCCTTGGAAGATATAATGATGTTCATAAACCGAGGACGTTCAATGAGAAAAGAGGACACAGCTAAAAAGAGTGACCTAAAGCCAGAGAGGGCAGAAAAAGAAACACAGCAATGATATACACTGACTGCAAATGAAGCTGGAGAAATTCAATAGTATAACAAAAGGCAAATAAATCACACATCACTGCAGGGTTGCCATAACAGCTTAAGGAGGCAAGGTGTACCGTTTTTCATCCAACCAATGGTGGCCAGGACAGCTCGTCCCTGACCCAGATTCACAACCATCACACACATCAGGCTGTGCTAATGGCAGGTGGAGAAGAAGTAAGAAAAAAATGAGAATATGTGAACACATCCCTGCTATGAAGTTTTATCTCTCTTGTCAAAAGGCAGAATTTCCCTTTTGAGAGCTGACAGTGAAGAGGTTCATGCTGACTGAAGAGTCAGATGAAAAGATTGTCTGTTTTTTTAAAAAGCCACTCACCGCTGCCATGAAATTGACCGCAACACTTCAACGAATCAGGCAGATGCTTCCCTAATAACTTAACGATGACAAAGACTTTCAAAGAGTCTATTCTGTACTGTTCATTTCATCTCTGTCCAGGTACGCCAACCCATTACAGGACCAATTTACTCTGAAGTGTATATGCAAGTATATATGTCTGTGGCCTCCGGTAATCTGTCTACACCACGAGCCGACACCAGCGGGGAAATGACAGCCATCATGTGCAAGAGATTTGTAATGTACCCCACAGAATAATGACGGTAAGTAAGTGTGCAGCCTGTTCTCAGAGCCATTTCCTGGACTATCCTTGGGTTCCCATGGATTCAAACTTTCCGTACAGCATCAACGGAAGTGCTCAAATCATTTCTCTCTCTCCTTGCTCCCTGACGTAAGCCAGCTTTGCCTCATCCTTTCCTGAACACATCATTCACGTTTATTGCTTCTGGGAGGATCCTTTGACACATTCACGCAGTCTCCTTTGTTAAGATGATAGAAAAACAGAAAGCAACAGCTTTTCAGCTCTTCATAGCAAGTGGATTCACATAAATACAATAATTGGGTCCATGATTTGCTTAAGATGCCCCCCTCCCACTCCATCCGTCCCTCAAAGCCTGAAATAAAATACGGTTTTGGCACACCACTCTATCCAAATCCAAGCAATGACATTCAATCTCTCTGTTCCTTTAGATTTCATTAGCCTCAGATCTGAGCAGACATTTAACATATGATCAAATCTGGAGATATCAATCTGTTCCAGAGCCATCTTCAATGACATGCATTGCTGAAGGAGTGAAACATGAGAGAAATCATCTCATCGTTCCCTCCCGGTGTCTCCAAGGCAGCATGGATTTGAAAATCCTGCGGCGCACTAAGCTAACACAGTTTGGGAAAAGAGGTTTGTGATCCTTAACAACAGCGTGACACAGGAGCCCCCCTGCCCCCACCCTGATAACACAAAGCCTTTCAGGAACATTGCACACTGCTAGAGCCCAGAAGTGCTCCGACACATGCTAGTCAGCCCCACGGCTGTGTTAGTACCACAGCAGGAAGGCTTTTAAAGTGTTGGCAGTGCGCATGTTACCGAAAGGGGGCGGGGGTTAGGGAATTCAATGTATAGTTTTGTAGTGGCTCAAAAAATTCAAGAGATCTGGGGCTTGAACACACGGAAAACTTGTACAAATAAATATTATGACTCTACAACTTTTTACAGGACACACGAGTTGCTGAGGTTCATGTTCACCGAACTATATACAGAATGAATCCTCTATCCCACTATAATGCATGTCAAGTTGTAGTTTATAGCTCCTGCGAGAAATCTGTAGCAGGTTATAAAACAGGCTGAAATTCACCGTAATGCCCCTTTATGTCCTACAAAAGCATACAAGACTATCAGCTACAACTCTGGCTGATTCTATATAATTATTCTAATATCTGTAACCACCGTGAGGGGGTAGGTTTCAGATGAGACAATTCAAAGGATGCTGAAGAAACAGCCGGTCCTTACTGTCATTTTCAAAGCAAAGATTCTGAGTTAGAAGAAGTTTATGGTGTGTTCGAGTTACCTTGGGAGTCAGATGTCGGAGCTGAAAATGACGTCACACCCGAGTGTGCCTTTAGCGCTTGCCTTGTCTGAATATAAGCGCTAAAATAACTTGCGTAGATGTAGCCATCTTGTTTCAGGCCTCTGATTTTGCTTTTGTCCGACTTGGTAACTGAAACGCTGGTAACGCTCTGACATCTGACCTCTGCGGTAACTCAAAAGCAGCATTACTTGTTTCTCAAAAGATGGATTTGTTAGGTTTATCAGACTCAAACTGGACTATTAAGAAACATATAAAAATGAAATCATGCTAAATTGACTTTTTCATAGCCGGTCTAACATACACAGTAGATACACAGTTGAGGTTTGAGTTCGAAAAGCATAATGGTGAGATCGGCTTTGTGAGGGTTGATGCCGATAGGATGCAGATTATTAAGAAACGCTATTTATCAGCCCTGTCAACGAGTAAACTGATCCATCACTAATTTACACTTCAATCGTTCTGAAACCTGCCTGAACATTCAACACATGCTCCACAGTTTGCCCTTCAGGCTTTGATGTGGAAGTTAACAGCATTGATAGTTAGGTAAGTAAAACCTCAGCTGAAGAAGAAGGGATGAGAGGGGCTCAACTTAAAGCTACTGTGAGGAACTCTTGGTTTTTGTCCATCGTGGCGCCCCCACAATGGACACAATAGTCTTTGCTTGTCTTATCCTGTAAATACTCGAGTAGTGATCTCATGCTGTTGACTTTTGACACTAAAATATGTAATTAAAATGTTGTGAACTGTTGATGTGGATGGTTTAAAAAACGGACACCTGCTCCCTCACACCCATTTCAGACATAAAAAAATAAGGGTATCAAAATCTACAATCTTGTAACTTCATATCAGGAAAACACATCAATGTGAATTTCAATGTATTCAATAAACATCATTAAACTCCTCACAGGAGCTTTAACTGTGAATGTGAATATACTGGGTATAATACATTAAAAGGGATAGCAGTGTGAGATTTTTGTGAGCGCTGCGTACACATGTACAGAATTTAACAGCAAAAATGTGACTGCTTTGAGCTTATAGGTCTACTGGTAACCTTTCCTTTAATTAGCACGTTGAATATAAAGCCTTTCCTAATTAAAATAAAAGGACATTTACCAGGCCTAATGCTTCAGTCTATTAAGTCGACATACCACAGACACTCAGCTTCCTCATCCACTCAGCAGAATCAGGGTAATTCCCATTAGCTACCCTGAGTTTTGAATGGCAACTTCCATTTACCTGTTTATAAGCAGCACTAAACTGCTATGACGACATGTTAACACTTTCTTTCATGAAAGAAGCCACAGGGTTGACATGCTTCCTCATTATCCCTCTTATCTCACCCAGCCTTGAAGCTGATAAAAACACCTTTCACAGAGTTACTCCTCTCATCATACAAGCCATCTGTATTTCTAATAACCCTCTTTTATGCCGGCTTGGGCTCTGCATAATACATGCACACATCCTACAATTCCTGTGAGTTCGCTGTCAGAGTTTCTAAACTATCTCATTATTGATAAGACCGGACGTTCCGCAAGTTCTAAAAGGCTCCTTTAAGGACTCGGGCATGCACCTTATCATGAAGTTACAGCAAGTCTGGTATGAATATTGACGATATTGATGGATCATGCTCTACATTGGCCCTTAGAGATTAAGGCCTGACAAGAGGAATTAAGGGGGGAGTCTGAGGGAGTCAGAGCGTCTAGGGAAAGGATGGTAAAGAGTAGACTTCGACAAAGATTGAGTGAGAGAAAATGTGGAGGCGACAGCCAATAAAAGATTGTTCTAAGGACAAAAGGCTGTCATTTGTATGATAATCCTGGACTCGGAGGGAAGCTCCCGCTGAGGCTTTCTATTGTGGAGCAATGGAGACTTTGTTGTATTTTCATTTCTCTTCTAACACATTAGACATCCAAACGGAGCTGTGCTGTGAGTTGTGGGTCTTTACGGGCCTCTCTGAGAATACTCTAAATAGAGGGGAATATTGCTCTACAGTGCTTCAACATAATAAATGCTCGCATGAAACACAACATTGCAGGAAGTAGAAAAAGGCAGAAAGTGTATTTGTCAAAGAAAGGGCAGGGACAAACAAAGCCGGTTTACTTCACAGGTTGAACCAGGCTAAACAAAGTCAGATTGCCGCGCTTAACAAACCAAAAAAGAGGGATCTATCAGAGCTCATCATAACCTTTTCTAAACAGCAACCCAATTATATCATGATTATTTTGTATTTCATTGTTTCATTGTATGGCATTCCCTCAAAACAGAAGCCTCTGACTCACTTAAAATATAAATAGAGTAGGTGTCAACAAAACAGTATTGTCATTGCTGACATAAATCTATTAAATTATTAGACACAATTCAAATGCAGCGATGAAGCTATATGGTGTGTGCAAAATCAAAGAAAATTGACCATTACGACCCAAATTTTTGTGTCTGGGACAGAGAGCTACTCAGTTTTTTTTTGCAGTACTGTAAAAGCTGAGCCAAACCTATTCTTTATTTGTTCCAGTTTCACAAAAAAATTGAGGTTGGTTGTCACAGAAACAATCTTATCTGTTGCTGATCTGTGTTGTATTAGCTTAATCCTGAGACAAAGACCCGCTCAGTTGAAGTATTTATTAAAAGCATACTTTAACAACTTCACACTCCAGCGATAGCACCCGAGAACACAGGTAAACAAAATACAAACACTTAAGTCGTCGAGAGGCTTAACAGATAATCAAAGCACAATCAAAAGGACAGAGGATCTCTCTCTGGGTGAAATACGTTTTTAAATCAATTCCCATCTTTAAACATCTGTGCTGAAAATTGCCTCACCTGAGAACCTTTTCAAAAGCAACAGCAAAACATATTTCTCTGAGTTACAGGAGGGCTCTTAGAACGGGGGAAAGCATGGTATTGGAGGCACTTCAATCAGAGGTAAGATGTCAAGGAGCGGAGGATGTTAAAAGAGGGCCACATATGGACAGACAGACACACACACATGTGCACACACCAAGAGGGACGCAAGCAGAGAGGAGAGGAGGAGATGAGGGAGGCCTACAGAGGGTGACAGAAGAGGTATTATAGGACTCAGTGATGTCCTCCCAGAGCGGAGTGCAACCATATGTGTCAGAGTGATACGTTATGCATGCACGTATTGACATTTGGATTAGTTTGTGCCCTTTTTTCTTGATTGGAAAAACACACCGTACACATCCACATCCATGCGCCTGCTTCTATGGGGATGCTGCACAAAAGCCCTTCCTCCTTAAATTATGGATTACGACAGACACACTGTTTGATGCAGCAGGTGTAATTAGGATTTCTGTCTCTATTAATTTAATCACCTGCTTGCTTCCTAATCAGGCTATATAATACCCTCTGGATATAGAGATCAACAACTTGGCCCCCTTTTCCTCAACAGTGTCTTGGCAGAAAGCATGCACACAAACTTGAGATACAACAAACTCAATATCTACTTTGCTAAGATATGAATAATCATACTTAGAAGGGTAGACTGATAGTGTGTGCACATTTCCGGATGGTGCTATGACAAGTAAATGTAACACACAAACAGCCCCCGCAAGCTGTATTTAAATCTCAGAACTTGCCAGAGCTTTTGAAGTGATTGACATCAGGATATCCCTGAAAACACTCATCAAATCTTGTGTTTAGAGAGGGTGTCATAGCAGATCTGTGGCACCAACAAAGATGTGCAACTCTTTTGAAAAGTCTGAGCTGCCTCTAAACCAGCAGATTTAGTTAAAACCATACAAAATGTACACATATACACAAACATTTAGTGATCTGGTTTATGTTTTTGCTTTTTGGTTGATGAGGTGGTGATCTTTCGTTCGAAGAAAAATTCGCCCACCCTCCTTGTCACTGAACACCCATAACCAGGTGGCTGAGATCCACCTGCACTTGGGTTCAGATACATTAGTCCTTGGGCAATAACTGACAAATTACAGAAGGTCAGGGGAGCATGATCAGAGTGTACGGACCCATTCTGGACTCAGCTGTGTAGAATAGCTGCTCTGACAGTTCAGATATACAGTAGAGCGACACGTTTTTTTCACACTAAAGTGAGACACTGGATGTTTTGCATAGTTTCAACAACCGATATTGACATGTCGATATTAGGGGCACGCAGCAACGTCTCAGCAGCATTTCCTGCCAATGACTTGACTGACATTGATCTCTTTATGCTAATTGAAAGTTTCTCCAATAATCAGACTGGAAATGGCTGCAGGGGTCAACCAATAATTTTGGTTCTGATTTATACCTATGGCGAAAAAAGACCCCATGCGTGAAATAGGGGTTAAGGATTTCCATTAGACAGCTTAATGAAATGACCAAATTAAGCAATGCATATCATATAGCAGGCTGAACCCTCTGCCCTGCAAATGGAGTGTAGTCAAAGGTTAATAGCCAGTTACTGAGAACACCCATTTTAAATCTCCTGTTCAGGTTGCAGAGGGTCTTTGAAATTCCAAGGAATGAAGGTATGAGGAGTGACATAAATCGAGAAATGTAATCATCTTTCCTTCTCTCTTATGCTTCATATCCTTCCTGATTGACACCACCAAGAGGATTTTATTTGGCACGCCATACTTACCCAAAATCTGTGCCTAGAAATTAGATTAACATTTCTAAAAGACTACCTTGAGTAATCTCTCTCTGATTTGTTTGAAGAAGTCTATTGCTTGTGCTCTTACTACTGTATTAGCACACAAGACAACGAGTAAACCTGTTGCAGCACCCATGGCAACGAGTGCAAAGCTGGCAGTGAAATACTCCAACACATTCATGCACTTGAATCAACAGGATCACAGAGAGAAAATGCGAGAACAGAACAAATAAGTTCTTTGGAGACAGGGGAGAATGATGCTCTCATGGCGCACAGTTGCGCAACAGATTCAGTGCGCCGTGCGTAAACGACATTGCATCCTTACCTGTCGTCGGCTTGCCAGTCCCCGAGCAACAGGTCTCGGAACCGGTACCGAGGGGGCAGCGGGAGAACCTCCTTTTCCAGTTCGACCATGGTCTACCTCCTTAGAGCCCAGAGACAGAGAAAGATTTCACCGACAAACGCACCTCCACAAAGAGGAGGTAGACCCCCCACAACCAACTCCGCTCCTCTTCCTTCTGCTATTCAAAACGTAGATAAAAAACGAAAACATCGATACACCTCATGGCAACGTCTTCGACCTCTCACTAATAGAAAAATCAACTTCTTTCTTTCCTTGGCACTCGTCGAAAACGCAGGTCTAGATGTCTTCTCGCAGAGGCAACAGGTCGGGGATGTTCATCCGTCGGTGCGCTGGGGAGGCTCCACTTTTACTGTGACAGCTGGGGAGCAACTGGTTGTCTCTCTAAACACCAGCATCCTCCCTGCCTGAGCTACGCATGGACGCACTGGCTGCCAATGTGTCACCAACCGGTAGAGACTACTGTAGCTACTGCTCATACCAGGAATAGTAACCACAAATCTACAACCCCAAAAGCAACACAGACACAATAAACAACAGTTTTTCACAGTTAAAATTGCGCTCATCTAAAACTGATAGAAACACGAGTTACACATTACACATGACCCTCATATATGTCCATCTTTCTCCCAAGGAAACCTGCGCGCAACTCAGCCCCGAGTCCAAACCACCTGGATTTTTTTGAATGGAGAGGCAGTTTGGTTCTTATCTATATCCTGTGCAAACAAATCTTTTTAGAGCCAGCAGAAGGAGGCGCAAAAGACAAACTGGGAATGGTTTTGCTGCAAAAGACATGTGAAGACGTCTAGTTTATTTAGTGCAAGCCTGCCAACTGTGCTCTGAGAGCTGTTCTCTCACCGAGCACATTAAATATAACCAAACTACAGTCAGATCCGCCAGTTATAACAACCTTCTTCAAGTGAATGTAAGAAGTAGCTTATGAAATTCTTAAAAGGAAACAGTCATCATCTAAGGAGAGATAAGAAGTTCCTCTGCATGAAAGGAACCATGAGCGCACAATAATCAGAGCATATTCCCCTCAATAAAAGAGATAATTCAGTTACTCCAACTAATAAACCTTATAATTCAGGGTCAAAGCACTTATTAACAGGTTTTACTGCACCCAGAAAAGTCTTCGTCTGCTTCCACTCATTTTAATATGTCACAGTTTATATCATGTAGTGCCTCTGGTCAGAACAAAAGCTCTAATGAAATTCAAATTTGGTGCTTAAGAGGACTCTTGACTCAAAGCCACACACAACAGGTGTTATGTTAATTAACTTAGAATTATTAATATTTATAACCCACAAGTGAGCCTTGATGGAGCCGCAGCACCTCTGCCAGCTCTGAACAAAAACCTCCTTGGGAGGGTCAAAGAGGATTATTGACCACTGAACAAAGAGAAAATGAATAACAAGGTTAAGAATGATTTGGTTTTATGTAGATGAATGCTGACTTTATTTGTGAATTATATTGATATGGACATTTGAAATCCAATGTTTAGTCTGAATGTAACCAATTTTAAAGAGAGAGAGCTGAGCCATGGTTTAAACTTACGCAGCATAATGTATTATCCAGTTTTACAGTCTGACTCTGGTTTTGACTATTTTGCCCTCTTGTGGTCACAATCAAACAAGCACTCAACCGGTAGAGAGCTGGTGTCATTTATACTGTGTCTTCAAACAGTTAGCAGGGATTTTCGAGTCTGTTTTTTACAAAAGTTCGAGCAACAGCATACAAAACAGTATCAATTGAGCGCCTTTAAAAGGGAAACAAATCCCTGAAGAGCTCTCAGGCACAAAATGTTACAAAGAGGTTGTCAGGAAGGCAAACATTTCAAACGGGTGGGCCTTGTTGGGTAGTCATGGTAACAACAAAAAGTCTCTGAGCATATCAGAGGAGACAGTTCATGTGTTTCAAACCTCATTTGAACCCCATTCAGACTCACATTATCATAATGTTTTCTCTGAGGACAATCCGCCGAGGGTGGGAAAAGCAGGTTGATGCGAAAGACAATCTTGCTTAAACCTCCGGGTCCGAAGCTGTTTCTCTCAATACGAATAAAAGTGTAGAAAACCGTCGTACATTAAACAAAAAAAATAAACTGGATATTTAAAAGCTATAAAATCTTTCAGTCTCTGACATTGTCTCCGTTTAGAGCAGGCAGATGCCTTCCAAGCTCTATTCCAAAGTGATGTTGACAGAGGCAAGAGCGTCCACAGCCCAGCTGGGGTACTGTTCACGAGAGGAAAACAGCCGCTTCATGAATGTCCGTATAAACTCAGGAAAACGGCCTTCCACAATGCTCTGTCTAACAGAGCGCATCAGGGTGAGCTGTAAAGAGAAATGTTTGGTGATCAAGGAAAAATAGAGTTATAGTAATGATAGATTTATTCGTCTTGTCCCATCTTTAGAGTGTACGTAAGTCGTTGACCAACAGGCAAAAAATCCTCGCTCTTCCCTCAGCATGTGCAGCTAAATGGAAAGACATAATTAAACCAACATGTTGCATAATAGGATATTATCTGTCATGCTCCGTTAGCGTGAGCATAATGTTTCAGACAAATCTGTCACAAGAGAAGTTCCTTTATTGTTCTGATAATGCCAGAGCAGCAAAGCAAGTTTTCTTTCCGCTTTAAGGCACAGAGTGAGCAGAAGAATTTAATAAATGTGGCAAGCTTATAGACCGGATCATGTGACATAAATGTGATAACTGCAACAACATTCATACAATTTATTTTACGGCAGGACAGTCAGTGAAACAGAATCTATCATGAGGCTGGAATTGTTATCTTTATGTGGCATTTCTGTAGAGAGGACTAATTTAATTCTAACATTCAATCTGAAGGTTTCTTTCATGAATATCTGCTCCTCTTGATTAGAGAAGCAGGAAAAATAATGTTTGGGGGAATTAAATCTTTGGATTAAAATTCAAATGAACCCAATTTCATCTCCATTCAGCGTCAACTTTTTGCAAGTCAAATATGTCTGTGGTGTACCTCATATTAAAGATATTGAAAGGACCTTTAGTTTCTCTTAGTGAGGCACCTCCTGAGGTCAAAGGGGTACCTTTTATCTCTTTGCTGTTTGTACAGTATATGTGCGCTTTCTTACTTGTGCAAAATTTCACCTCTCTTTAGTCTAACTCTCAAATGTATCATTCACCAGAGGTCTTTGCATTGAAAAGTGTTTAGAAAAGGCAGTCCTGCAGCATCCATTCAGTTCACCTACCCCATATCTGCAGTCTTTAACATTATAAACAACTGTTTACAAAAAGAAATATTGATGGTTTGGTTAACCTTCTCACAGGAGCTGCATTTGTGAAAGAGCAAGTAAGGATACACCTTTTTAACTGTACAAGGGGTTATTCAGGATATAGTCCATTTTTTATCAAATAAGGGAGTTTATCAGGGGTGCAACTAAAAACTCTTAATGAAAACCTGAAATTTGCTGCGATTACTTCTGATATTTCCAATACTCACCTGGTAGGCAATGTTGTGGATGGTGACGTGATGCATGGCTGCAGTGTCACTCTTAAAAAGAGCATGGAGGTAAGCCCGACTATGTCTGAAACAAAACACAGTCATGACACTTACAACCTTGTTTGCAGGATTTGGTTTCGCAATATAATGTTTAGTCAGCAGGCACAGACACATGTGCATCATCACGAAAAATTTTACTGACTGTCATATTTGAGGATGTGACAGTGCAGTATTCACAACACTTATTTCCTTTAGGACACAAAGTGATTGCTAGCTGGATATAAATTTAAATATGAGGTCCTCTTGGACATATTTTCAGCTTTCTAATCCTCAACATCTGTCCTGAAAAATTGAAAATCCATCCCCTCATAAATGGTAAACGTAGAGCACCCAGCAGTATCAACAAAACCCATTCACACGCCTCTGGCCTTTAGGGGCATTAGGGGCTTAAGTGACTTGCTTGAGGACACTTCAGCATATGAACAGAAGGACCTTGGGTCAAACCTAGCATGAACAGTACAACTCTACTATTGCGCTGCAGTCACTTTTTATCACATATCATGTTAGCAAAACCTACAGACCCCCTTTCTACTTCTTCCTGGCTTACCTCTTGCAAGTGGGACACTGGCAGTCTGGGTCTATGGGCTGGAAATCCTTTGCATACTGCTTATGTTTTACCTGGAGAGATCCCCAGGGCACCAAAGCGGAACCGAATCGCTGAGGGGGAAGGAATATAGTTACAGTGGTAGAGTGGTGTCAGATTTCTGAGAGAAATGATAACTTCTGTAAAAGTAAATGAGGTTATGGAAGCTTACAGCTGTGCGAGTAGGAAATACGCAGTCAAACATATCACATCCCAGAGCTACACACACCACCAAGTCCACAGCATACCTGCAGCACAAACAGATTACACCAACATTAATCTGCGGTTGTAAAACTCTTTAGTTCCAATTTAATATTTCCAGTATGTAGGAAAACATACCCCACACCCATGAGGTAACGGGGCTTGTCCCGTGGAAGGTGGTCAGTACTCAGTGTAACCATCCGCCAGAAGTCATCTTTCTCTTCTCCTCCACTCAGGCCGCCGATGGCAAAACCAGGAACATCACGCTGAGTCATTTCTGCAGAAAGAGGGTAGGATATTTTAAAAAAAAAACAAAAGTTTGAGCTTTTATTAGTGTTAAAAGTTAGCTAATGGACTCGGTATGAGCTTGTTTTCTTGTCCTTGTAACTGTGCACAGTATTTACAACCTCTGAGGATAGATTTGCTGTGTTTCTCCTTTCCTTGTCCCCTTTTGACACTTCGCACACTACCTGTCTGTCTGCAAAGATTCTCACTCATTAAAGTGATGAGAGTTTAAAGCAGCTGCATGGTGGTTGGTAACTGGCAAGCCCTGTGATAGTCCTTTTAACAAGATGTACAAAGACGCCATAAGGCCAGGTATGTAGAGACAGGAAAAGGAGAAAGACAGAGCTGAGGTTGTCCTTTTACCATCTAAGCAGGTCTTGCGCAGCTCTGCATTCAGCCCTCCCTGGATGATGGCGAAAAGGTTCTGTTTGTCTGGATTTTTATTGGCTGCTATACAGCGGTCAAGCCAGCGAATCGATCTGTGCATTGCCTCCTCCACACGGGGTCCTGTCACAGTACTACTGACCACGTCATCCAGCTGCATCATGATGTCAGACCCTGAAAATTCACAGAAAAAAGCAAAGAGACAGTCAGAGTCTTTGTGTCTTACTCCTGATTTTTAGTATTTTACTCCATGCTGACCAAGACTGTTCTGTATGCTGATGGATTTCTCAGGGCTAAGGAGGATCTCTTTGCCATCGTAGGGGGACTTGAACTTGACCCCCTCTTCAGTGACCTCCGACAGCTCCACGAGAGACACCATCTGAAACCCCCCACTGTCCTAAAAACAGAGGTCACACAAAATTTAAACAGCATATAGTCTCTCATCTCTTGGGACTTTTTTGAATACAGATTACAATCCCATGAATTCATAGATTTTAAACAGATAAACTCACAGTCAAAAGGTTTCTCTTCCAGTTCATAAACCCATGCAAACCTTTGGCTTCCTCGATTAGATCAGGTCCCTGTGAGCAGTGGAGATTGGATGGTAAAGATAGAAAGTTATTGTACATTCATAGATATGGTGGCCGAGAACTGCCACTGCAAATAAAAAAATGAATGGAAAAAAAAAAGAAAAAGTCACAACAGAGGTTACTGATGAAAAAAAAAAAAGGAACCAACCCCCGGTGCAAATAATAATAATAAAAAAAAGTTACTTACTGCGAAAATAAAAGGATGTAAATAAAAACAGTCACACAAGAGTGAGCTGCCGGGGACCAACAATAATCATACACCGGTTAAATATTTGCAGCAGTGGCAGTTCTCGGCCACCGTACATATAGTTATACAGGTCAAATAACACATAAGAACAACAGAATCGGTCAAGTATTGCCTACCGGTCTCATTCCCAGATGATATGTGTTTCCAAGACAGATCTGACATCCAAGACCCTCCAGCTGATCCACAGTGATCCCTTTCAGAGTACCCTGGGTACCGACAGGCATGAAAACTGGAGTGCTGACCACACAATGTGGCAGCGTAAGATCACACGCTCTCGCTTTTGTTACCGGACATTCAGCAATTATCCGCAGAGCGAGGGGAGACGCTTCACAAACAGCTTTCTTTAGGGACATGTTGTTTTCTGAATCAGCCCCACACTCTATGGCGGCAGCCATGTTGCAGTGAACACGTGACGTAAAGTTGGAAAAATGAGCGCCTTCTTGACCAATCAGGAACTAGAGATTCGTCAAGAGTTACGAACACGCCTTTAAGATATCCAATCAGAGTGAAAGTTATTTTGATTGACAGCAGGAGTAGCGATTGACAACCTTGATCTGCAGACAAGAGGCGGGTCAAATTCACCGGTTTGATCGGATGTCGTCTGGTCGGACCGGATGGCGTTCGAGTAGAGGAAGTTTTGTTTTGCGAGTTTTCCGTCTGATTCGACGGGCTGGTTATTTAGTTAAAGCGCTTTGAAATAGTACGAAATGGTTGTATGGGAGATTGCATAAACGTTAAAAGCACAAGTGTAAAAGGCGAGAGTAGAAGCCGAAGCTGTTGAAGCGGCGGAACTCTACACTTTAACAGTAACCCGAGAGCACCTTGCTGCTAAGCTAACGTTAGCGCGGCTAGCGTTAGCTTCAAGTCTGTGTTTTATTGAAGGGGGCTCTCCGAGCTAACGAAGCCATGGGGAACCGGGGCATGGAAGACCTGATTCCCCTCATTAACAAGCTTCAAGACGCTTTCAGCTCCATTGGCCAAAGTTGCAATTTAGACCTTCCTCAGATCGCTGTGGTTGGAGGACAGAGCGCCGGGAAAAGCTCGGTACTGGAAAATTTCGTCGGCAGGTAGGTACTTGTTTCTGACTTGGCTTACGATGACAATTAGCTCTAAGTTCACAGTTTTTCCTTCAATCTGTGTTAAAACTAATCACACCCCTATGTTGACTCACCTTTATACGGTGAATGGTAGGGGTGGGACGATATGTTGTTCTCCTGATTCGATTCTTCTACGATATTTTGGATGCCGATCCGATTTAAATCGCGATTATATTATATTGTAGATTTTGTGAATATTCAGTCTGCATTTTTAACATCAGTGAAACAGCTGAAGGATTTTTATTGTCTACTGACTACTACGGAAACCATATTTCGGTTTAAAAATTGTAAAACAATAGATCGTGATACTTATGTGAATCGATATTTTTTCTCTGGGATGCCCTTTCCGTGGTGCACAGTGTCCCTCTTCTGAGCACCAATACCTCGTGTTATACTTGACAATCATAAAACACTTATGGGTTCAAATTTAAGCAATAGCCGTGGATCAATGTTGGTAAATGCACAGTATTGATTTCGTCTGAATCTATCAGGAAAGATATACTGCACCGTGTTTTCAGCCGTACATTTTTCTATATAAATTGCATTTCAAGTGCAAACCGTAATACTTGTCTTCAATAAATCACCATGCAGATTGATTAAATTTGCTTCCATTTGTTTGACCTATGTGCCAAAAACTTGTTCTGTGGTTTTATTTATATTTACATGACGCTCCCAGGAGTTCCTCTTGGATTTGCATGTTGTCATCATCTAGATTGTTGCTGAAAGATGTTCATTTGATTTTTCTTGTGTGACATTGAAGTGTGTTGTAAGGTAAATATGCTTAGTCTATTAGGTTTGAGAGACTGCAAACATGTTCTTGCAAAGACAAGTGCAGGTAAACACTAGAGGAAGTGACTTCTTGTCTTTGGGACTTTGATGTTTCCCAAGAGCTTTTTATAGTCTTTACTGCAAGTCATTTGTCAAACATCATAAGTTCGTTCTTACTATTGCGGGCACTACTTCCTTGACCATCTTCCCTTTTTGTTACTGGTTTTTTTTTTTCTTAATCAGGGAAATAGGATTGAAGTCTCTCATTTCTCCCTGAGGTGTTAAGGTCAATCTGAAGTGCTTCTGAACAGGCTGATCCTGTCATCTTCAACAAACAGGCTGGGTCTCTCTTGTCCTCTCCCACATCAGCAGAGAGGGAGATCGCCCTGCAGATATAGAAACAAAACAAGCCTGCTCCAAAGCAGCTTGTCGAGCAGGTTTCCAAACCCATAGAGTGACAATCTGTGTGTGTAACCCAACCCACACAGGGATCGTACACATGCACGCAGGCCAGCCTGCAGAGAAGTGGAAGTACATCTGTTATTAAGATGGCATTCAGACAGGCCTTGGTTACAAACAGACTAGACAGAGCATGTCATAACTGCTCTTAGACAAGAACATGCATGCAGATTAGGCTACTATTCAGTGCATATTAGTTCAGATTACAGGCACTTAAGGCACATTATCTGAACTCACTGTTAAGACTATTCAAGGCGACCTAATTTCACAGCATTTGAAGGCCTCCTCCTTTCTGCCTGTTGAACCAATCGTTGAAAAGTTGCACAAATGCTGACCTGTTAACAACTGTACAGACTCATTCTACTATAAAGTAAGGGAGGGTGTGCTTTCGTGTCTTTTTATCCAAACAATAAAAGCATCAGCCGCCCTGTTGCAGGCCACCTTGAAACTCCTGGTCAAACCCAGCACTTTGGAGGTGCTGCACGTTGCCATAACAACATGTGTGTTAATGTTAATATGACTCATGGTCCAGATAAGGGCTTGTTTAAGTGCAGGAGCAGATCAATATGTAACAGGGTTTGACACTAACTTTTTCACAAGGAACACACGTGCTCCAAAGTTGAAAAAGTAAGGAGCACACAAAGAACTTTAGGGGAACAATGAAAATTGATCGAAAACATTTGCCTTATTGGTTGACATAAGTACTATTATTTGAAATCAATTTGAGGTTTTTTGGTCACATGACATGGAAGCTATTGAAGGAAAACTACCTTTTTTTTTGGAACATTAACCGGTAATTTATTGATGGTCCCTTATTTAACACCTGACGTTAACTGTGAGGGTGCCGAGTAAATTTGACTGCTGCTGTTGCTATTCCCAGTTATGGAGCGTGGGAAGACACCGGTAGATCCGCAGTGAATGTCCGTCGAATATCAAACCTAAAACTAACTTCACAAGTAAAATGTTCACACTGTGGAGTCCTGTGTAAAATAGAAATCTTGCTTTTATGATGATTTCATACACAAAACTTGAGTGTTTAATGTTGCGTTAGATCAAACCAAAAGCACCAGCTGAGCTTCTGCTGCCTCGAGACCTTGAGGTTAACCTGCTCCCGCCTGATCTCACAACTGATGTCTTCATCTGATACCAAATGAACTAACCTCGAGTGACTCGAACGTTCAGCTGTGTCAACTTGTTTGTCTCTCGTTGTTCAGTTTCTGCTTTACATTTCCTGGTTCTAAAAAAGGAAAGTAGGACTAGACCAGTGTAGTTTGTGTTTCTTGTTTTTCTTTTTGTCCTGATCTTTAGCCCAGACAGTTGGGCGGGATCGAAAATGTCTTCCCCTTGAGTGTTCAGTCCATCTTGTGTGAATTTGATATGGGCTTTTTTTCCCTCACAAGTTTGTCACTAGAGACCAGATCACATCGGCCACCCAGTCTGCATTTTCAGCTGAACAGAGGCTAATCAGATCACTCTGGCTCATCAGCCTGATGCTTCTCTGAGAATGTTTCTGTCTTCTGTCTGTTGTCTGCTCGGTGGGGAGGGTGTGTGAATGTGCTGACGGCTTGTTTAACTTCATCTCAAAGCAACTAAACGCCGGGCCTTAGTGAATGCGGGTCTCCATTATTGGCCGTGCTATGATGTCATTGTCCAAGGGAGTGAAGACATCGTATCTTTTACTGCAAGCTGGTCTGGGTGGAGGCCGTTATCAGATTTGTGGCGAGTACTTTAGGAGGAAAGCAGGAGCTCTTCAAGTGCAGCGGAGGCGAAAATACAATCATGTTAGCAATTGAAATCTATTGGATGGCTTTCAACTTCAAACTAATTGTTATTATCTTTATTTGTATCTGTGGATTTACTGTGAGATGGAGATGAAGATATAGAAACACATTAGCAGAAGTGGCCACCAGTTTGGATGCTGGATTGTGTCTCACAGCAGACATCACTGCCAGGGATTTTCCACTAAGCAGTTGGATTTTGATAGTTCTTGAAAAGGATTTTCTGCCCAGTGATGCCTCTCGGTACCCGCAGTGACAGACTGCAGTGGGGGAATGCGGGTAGCCATAATTGTATGTTCAGTGCCGCACCATAGACCCTTGGGAGGAGTCCCGTCAAACCACAAACAAATTTTGTGTCCTGTTTAGCTCCCTCGAGAGCATTCTTTGACCTCAGAGTTTCAGACGCCAGTTTCCCGTGTGCGGTCGAGGAATAGGAGGATCAGCTGTGGGGCTCTGGCTCCTCATAAGTTGTTCTGCCTGTTTGAAAGAGACAGAGGCTGCGGGGGCAAGCAGACAGGGGGAGGGGAGTTGGCTCTCCTGTTCTCTGCCCTACTCTCGCTTGCTTTTGCTTTCTCTTGTGTTGGAGGGAGGGAGGGAGGCTCACAGACTGATGCTCTTTGCTTGGCCATCCATAATGCATGAAATGATACACAATCTGCTCAGCCTCGTCTATCATTTACAGCGCATCAATAATACATCTTAGCCTCTTTCCTTTTTTTCCCCTCGATATGCCACTGCGGTTAATCTGATTCTGGCGATTAAGACTAAAAAGTTCAACCCTGCCCAGGACGGCACTTTATAAGACATTGATTACCAACCAAATACGATTGATGCTTTTATTTAAATCCACTTTTACACTGAAGTTGAGTCGTCATAATTCTCCTTTTTTCTCTTACCACTTTGTATTTTCATCTTAAACCCCCAAAACCAGCTCCTGTTCCTCATCCGGACCTCTCTTTACTGTCCGCCATGTGGACAAATGCCTGCATGCTTCACATTATGTGCATGACACAGCAACAGTGCTGACCCACGGACCTGTGGGTTTTTGCTGATGTGGGAAACGTCCTGAACATTCTCCACTGTTCCACCACACAGCTGCAGTCTAGGAAAAAGCAGGCATGATGTCGTATCACCAATATGATATCGTCCTCTCAGGCCTGTGGGTCTAAAAGAAAAGAGGAAAATGTTGGTCAGTGACACGCTCAGTTCTGCTTTGACTGGGGCCGGTGATTGCCACCAGATGTAGTATGTGTGCAGATCAGCAGAGAGGCTTTCAGAAATGGGAGGGGTGTGAAGAAGACTGGGTGGGGGAGCCTCATCTAAGAGAGGGCTGACTAAGCAACTTTGACCGTGTGGTTAAAAATTCCTCAGGTGCACTGTCACTTTAAGAGAAACACACGAGCGGACTGTGTGAAAAGGGTTTCATTGATTCATGCAGGCCTGTGTGTTAATAATGCACTGGGGCAACATTTGATGTCGCTTGCTTACTGTCTACGTTGCGCTTGTGTAACACATAACATTGTGCAGTTAAGTAGCACATTGCACGTTTGTGTTTGAGGTGAAGACAGCAAGACTCTGGTAAGCTGTTATGGGAAATGGTGTTGACACAGTTAAGACTCGCTCAAACACTGCAGGTCTGCTGAAACCCTGGGCCGGGCCCGTCCTGGAGATAGGCATTAATCTGTGTTGTGTGCTAGTTCTTTAATGAACCGGTTTTCTGTAGAAACTAAAACGTAATGGTTCAGAAAAAGGTTGGTTGGGTTCAGGTTCCTGGTTTGGAAATCTTTTAGGGAAACAAACGAAACGCGTGAATGCTAAACACTCGTCCTTTTTAGGGAACTAGAAGAACTTTAACACGTCGTCCAAAGTGCAGCATCAACAGTTAAAGCTTGTTGACTCGCTCATTTCTTTTTATAACATTTTGAATTAAACAAAACCAAAAAAGCCTCTGCCAAATGTGTGCGGGTAAAATCCATGATGGCGGTACTAGTCTAACTAATCAAAAAAAGTCATTTAATTAAAAAATAAGTTAAGTCAGACAAAATTTACCTGAGTGTACAAATAAAGTAACCTTTTACCTTTTGACCATTGACCTAAGTCTGCTCAAGTTTTACTGCATTTTTCTTGCAGTTTCAGCCTCTCCCTTTCTTGCTCCTCTGCCGTCTGTCGAGTGTCTACAAATATGTCTATGCACACAAAAAAACTGCTCAAACAAGGTATTTAGGATCACGACTTTATGACAAGGCGGTGAGCTAAAGGTCGGTTTTAGTTGCTGTGTGGATAGCTGTGTTACTCTGACAGTGATACGTATGCTATTAGGTCTGCTATTGGAAAAAGTGCCACTGATATTTGCCCTCTCTGTTACATAAACTAGGATAAAGAAAAAGCACAAGAATTCAAACTATTTGGAGGGGTGTGTTTTTAAATATAGTTCATTCATAGTTTTACATTATTTAGCTCTAATGTCTATTTTTTGCTTTCAAATCAAAATCTTTCTTCACTTTTTTATTACACTGGGTCCAGACCTGTCACAACAGTAGCCGTCACATACTGTCGGAGCGTCACGTTTCTCAATAGACTTTACAAATCAATGCGTCTGAGTGACTCTGAAGTTGTCAATGACTTCTGGTCAAGTTTCAAGTTTTGTTTGATTTGTGTCAGGTTGTAACTTTTGAATAAAACAGAAACTCAGTGACTTTTTCCTCTAATGTTTTTGCACTTCAGGCGTGATCACTCTTAAGTTGACACTCCGTGGTCACGTTAGCAGTATGTTTATGTCCCCTTAACTGTCGAAACACACAGACGAGTGAGAAGTGAGAAAGTTTTTTCAGTGGGTGTTTGGGGCCCTCTCAGTTTACTGTCATGTGATGTGCAGATATACTGTGCATGCAAAGTGGACAGTCCTCTGTTCCCAGTTCTCTGTCAGTTATTCAGTATTTGACAGAAATAAGAAAAGTTGGAGAAGTTTTCTTTGCCTCAAACTGTCCCAAATGTTGGCCTCTCTGTTTCTGTTAGGGCTGGACGATAAACCGAAAATTTACTAGTACCGAAATTTACAACAATAACCAAGGTCATTCTGCCCATGTCAATATAATAGGTGTCAAATAAATGAATAAATAAGAAAAAGGTTTTGGACGTGTGTAGGTAGGCTACCCACTGAGCAATAGACGGCTATTCGACGTCTAGTATTTTTTTTAAGACCTAATTTCAACCGTCTAGATTCTGTTTATTTTTAGACAGAATTTAGACGTTGCAGTTTAACACATTATTCGATAACTATTTATTTAAAAAAGCAACTGTGAGTTGCATAACTGATCTCCAAGTACTTAACAAAAATAATTATGATAGCCAATGAGCAATTATCAGTGTAGTGATATAGCCCAGATTTAAAACTTTCATTTTTAGACCTGTGGTAGCCTGATTTAAGACCACTCGTCTAGGCTACATTTAGACGTCTATTAGACCTCTTTAAGACCAAAAAATGCTCAGTGGGTATGTTCTCATGTCCCTTTAAGACGCTGTCCTACTTAGTAGATGTGACTCCACCCCATCCAGTCCGTAACAAAGAGGGAAAGACAGGTGAGGAGATGGAGGACGGTTCAAAAGTTGTAGCGGCTGAAGTAGACGAAGTTAATGAGGGAGGGGTTGAGCAGCTTGTGGAGTAGTTATCATCCGCCTATTGTTATCGAGGTGAACTTCTCAATATATCATAATATTGATTTAAGGCCATATCACCCAGCCCTAGTCTCTGTGATGGCCATCTGACATACACCCATATTCCTGGTTTCCTAGGTGACAGTCTAGTTCATGATTAGCTGGCTGGAGCAGCAACACAAGCACCTTGTCAAACAGTACAGGCTGGAGCAGCCTTTGAAGCACTGAATAAACACTCCAGTACACTGAGAAAGACCAACAACACTTTAGTCCCCGGGCACTACATCAGCCTAACATTAAATCAATAGCAAAGAGTTCATTCATCAGTAGCAGCACCTCATGGTTTTGTCTGCTACCTGCACATTCATTAACTCTTCCCTGACAACAGCTCTCCTGTGAATTCCTCGGAGTATTTCAAATGATTGAAAGCCAAAGAAGACCGAAGACTGTCCTCCTCATGTTTATTGCACTGTGGCAGCGAGCCAGCCTGCGTCATTGTTGTGGAAAGCCCCGGGCTAAAGCAGGGGGGAAATGTGTGTTTACAGATGAAACCTGGTAAATGTGTACATACTCTCAGCTGTGCTTTTGTAGGTTTCATTTGAGAGATCAGATCAGAATAAATGTCACTTAAACCGAGGACTTTAGGTGAGGAATCAGGTCGAATAAAGATCCCAGTAAAACCATCACCACTGTGTTGTAGGAGCGGATCCATTATCAAGTGTTTGTGGAGCATCTCTAAAGTCAAATTAAAAGCAGAAGTGTGTTTGAAATGCTCAATAATTTTTAATCTAAATTGAGCAGTAATAAAGACCTGGATTAAGTTTTGTTTCAGTGCAGCTCTCTTCTGTAACAGCAGAGTGGGTGTTTATGAATTGATCCTTAGAGCTCTAATTATGAGAGAAAATGACTTTGTCACGTTTGATTAGTTGGGAGTCTAGTTGGAGGCGTGAAATCCCCCCGTGTCTATCAATTTAACGGATGCCACGCTGCAAGAAAATGGACCTTCAGTGTAATGAATCATTGAGCATCCTCACTTTCTCCCCCTCTTTCTGCCTTTATATCTCTGTTGAACCCTTTTTTGGACTTCCTGTCTTTTCATCTCTTTATGCCCGTGATTCTGGCGCTGATGTTTCTCTTCCTGTTGTGCGTCTGTCTCTCTGTAGGGACTTTCTTCCACGTGGGAACGGCATTGTTACCCGCAGACCTCTCATTTTGCAGCTGGTCAACAATAAAGCAGGTGAGTGTCCTCATTCGGTGCACAGCCACCTCACTGTCCCCTTTCATTGCTGCTCTGCAAATGGCCTCCATGTCCCGGTGCCTCCAGCTAAGTTCACCGCCTGTAACCTTCATCTTTTATAATTCGATTTCCCTTTCATGTCATTCCTCCCTGATCTTTCGGTTTCTTTGTCCTCACGTCTCCCTCCACCCTTCCCCCGGTGTTTGTGACTTTGTCCCTTTTGTACAGAGTATGCTGAATTTCTGCACTGCAAAGGGAAGAAGTTTGTGGACTTCGATGAGGTGCGAGCAGAAATTGAAGCAGAGACCGACAGGATAACGGGCTCCAACAAAGGCATCTCCCCCATCCCCATTAATCTGAGGGTCTACTCCCCACACGGTAAAGGACACAAGTCTTGTAATGAGTCAAACATCATGTGAATATTAGGGCTGTCCCGATACAATATTGATATCGGATATCGGTCCGATATCAAACAAAAAACAAAGATCGGATTATATCGGCCTGCATCTAAATATCAAAAAGACACTCCGATACAAGCAGTCTATTCCAGACTCCGCTCCAGCACTTCTATCTAGCAGCGCCCAGATCCAGCATGCAGAGCCCACATGACCACAACAACAGTGTGTACTAAGGTACAAACAAAGCAGCAAGGAGTAGGAGTGATGTCGGCCGTGTAGCAGTATTTTTCATTAAAGTCCAGAAAAGACATCGCAGCTGCGTGCAAAACTTGTCATGCACAAGTTTGTGCCAATATCAGATCAATATCGGTATTGGCCGATACTGAAGGCTACAATACTAGTATTGTATTGAAAGTAAAAAAGTTGTATTGGGACACCCCTAAAGAATATGCTTTGTGATGTAAATATGCATGTTGAATAAGACATTTTCAACCATCAAGTGTTTTCTGATACTCTTTGTGATTTTGTGTTTTTCCTTCTAATATACCGGATTGTTTTTAGCCACCACATAAAGTTTGAACCATTATGGTAAAATATTTCAATGTGTCTGGAATTTACTTGACTTTAAAAGTTATGAAAAATATAATAAATATATTGTAAATGTTTCCTCTGACATGAGGAAAGATTTTATCAGTTTGTTTTCCAGACCTTGAGAGACAGTGTTGCTGTTTCAGCCAGTGTGGTTTTGTAAAACATTAAAACGTTGTGAGGCGCCTGATGCTCCAGTAAAGAGCTTTTTGGTGGTTATGAAACAGACACAAATCAATACAAAAGCCTTTATATGAGCTTCAAAAGTAAACAAGATTATAAGCACCATGTTTGGCGATTTCTCTAAAGGAATATTTTGCCTTTTTTAAAAAATATATCTCAAAGATTGCCCATGAGTTGCATGTTCGACATCTCATGAAAAGACAGATTAGATTTTTTTATCACAAAACAGCATGGAGACAAATTGCTTGCTTTGTCCTCCAGGGGTGCATAAACTCAACACATACAAAAAGCCCCTCACAGGAGCTTTAAAAATAAACAGTTTTTGCAGCACCATGGATTGGCTGTCACAAACATATATTCACCCCTCATGAGATCGGCCTCACAAGGTTCCCAGAATGCAGCAAATTTTTCACTCTCGTGTTTATTTCCTCTGAGTAAATGTCACATTTTCAATCAATAAAACAAAGTGGTTTTGTTTCTGTGAAGTAAACAACAATTATGACTCGGTTTCCCAACAGAGAAGTCAAACTACCCAAGTGTCTCATACACAAGACGAAAGCTTTTTCTGACATACAGGCATAGATTAGTAAACTCAGAGAGATTTTTCTTTTAGGATCCGATACTGCCTCTAAGACCAGAAAGGAAAAGAAATTGAAAGGGTGCATTAAGGTCACAATGCTATATTTATCTTTAACTTTCATTTCAGTATTTCCCACATAATGACACCTGAGATATTGGAGCTTACATCACACACCATAATAACAATTTTCCTCTCTCACACACGGCAGTGGGCCCTTTCCCCTGGGAATTTTACAAAGACGCCCAAACAGCAAATCTTTCATTTTGACATGTTATGTCACAGCAAAGATCCGGAAGTGAGTTGATGCGCAACCAGGTGCACATCACTTTTAAAACTGCGGTTTATTTTTAATATGAGATGTGGACTCGATCCCTGCTGTAACAAGAGGGACCTGTTCCTCTTTGATCACCTGCAGAGCATGTGTCAGGGTTACCGCAGGTTACCAGACATAAAAGGCAGAAGTCAATGAGCGATCATCTAATTAATTTAGATGACAGTCTTATACAGATAAAAAGCAACATAGAAATTGTGGTGATGAAATAGAAGCCACTCTTATACACTTTACATCTGTTTCTAATCACTATGATTTCTATCTATGTTACTTAGTACTGAACCTGACCCTGATCGACCTCCCGGGGATGACCAAGGTCGCTGTCGGGGACCAGCCTGTAGACATTGAGCACCAGATCAGGGACATGCTCATGCAGTTCATCACCAAGGAAAGCTGCCTGATCCTGGCCGTCACCCCTGCAAACACTGACCTGGCCAACTCAGACGCTCTGAAGATTGCCAAGGAGGTGGACCCACAGGGTGAGCATGAAGCTGTCTAATAACACAGGACTCCTCCACTAATATTTTGATAGTGTCATTTTGTTTGGGAGGGAGTGTTGGACTGATCTGGTCATACTTTCTAACTCTTGTACAGGTTTGCGCACCATTGGTGTTATAACAAAACTGGACTTGATGGATGAGGGGACTGATGCGAAGGATATCCTGGAGAATAAACTGTTGCCACTGCGTAGAGGTGAGGATTTTTACACTAACACTTCCGGCTTTATGACTGACTTGAGAAGAGTGACTGATTTCGTTGGTGTTCTCAGGCTACATCGGTGTGGTGAACCGAAGTCAGAAAGACATCGACGGGAGGAAGGACATTCGCGCTGCTCTGGCTGCAGAGAGGAAGTTCTTTCTGTCCCATCCTGCCTATAGACATATAGCAGAGCGAATGGGCACACCGCATCTACAAAAGACACTCAACCAGGTCTGCTATCAACTTCTGTTTTATATTAGGAAACGTCATTCTCTTCCTACTATGCCATGATTGAAATAACTCAACTTTCTCCGCGTTTGTCTTCAGCAATTGACCAACCACATCAGGGACACCCTTCCCGGTCTGCGCAGTAAGCTGCAGAGTCAGCTCCTCTCTCTGGAGAAGGAGGTGGAGGAGTACAAGAACTTCCGTCCAGATGATCCAACACGCAAGACCAAGGCCCTGCTGCAGTGAGTGTCAAGGGATATTTAAGTTCAGAACAACTCGGCTTGAGGGGATGTAAATGTGAGGACATGTCGGATACCTGCTGCATTAAGAGGACTGCGTCTGAGAGTAGATGATTGCAAGTTCTAGTTTAATAGTACTCTGAGTAAAGATAGATAATAGTTCTGATACTACCACATTTAATGATGAGTAGGTAGCCGTTAAAGAGGCTAATGTATATAATTGTTTAAGGTGAAGAGGTCAGACTCGTCTCACTTTCGCTGTGGTTGAGTGCAGAGAGGAGGCTGCAGCCCATCAGCTGTTCTAGGATGATCAGAGCACAGCTGAGATAATTTGATCTGACGTCCGTCATTGTCCGCTGCGATCAGCGTTTACTGTCTGCCCACAGTGATAAATAATGTAACCACCTTTGGTCCACCACTCTGAAGCTGTATCTCGCATCCTCTTTCTCTCTCCTGCATAGTGCAAAAAGGTGTTGCCATGGTTACAGGCACGTCTCCGCGTCCAATACCTCAACCCTCTTGTGACCACCCAATTCATGGAAATCAAGCTTTGTTTAAAAGAAAGAGTAGATATCCTCTCCATTGTGCTGGATGTCATTTCGGGTCACAGGAATTAATCACAGTCCGAACTTTAATTAAGTTTTGAAGTTTTGCTCTTTCTTGTAAATGCACAAAATGAAATGAGTAATTTTAGTCATATTTAACAAAGTTAGACTAACTACACTGCAAATTGGCTCCTTGTTCGCAGCCTCCAGGTACAGAAACAGAGCTTTGGTTTGTGGGTCTATATTTTAACAAAATTGCAGATATCAAAACAATCCATCATAAACTGCCGCCGTCAGTGACATCATGTTTACTTTGTGCACGTCAGGATGGTGCAGCAGTTCGGCGTGGACTTTGAGAAGTGCATCGAGGGCTCAGGGGACCAGGTGGACACTAATGAGCTGTCAGGCGGCGCCAAAATCAACCGCATCTTCCACGAACGGTTCCCTTTTGAACTCGTCAAGGTAAGTGGGCCATGAGGAGGCTTAATTTCCTCTACGCTGAAAGGTTGCGTTTAAAAGTTTGGCAACCGGATTCATCTGCATCTGTTTGAAAGTGTTATTGATTTTTATTTTGTTGTTGTTGAGAATGACTTTTGTCTCCTTCTGTACCACAGATTGTGTTTGATGAGAAGGACCTGAGGCGAGAAATCAGTCATGCTATCAAGAACGTCCACGGTGTCAGGCAAGTGGAGCTGAAACGAAAAGCTCACCTTACTTTCTTACCAGACACCCTCCTCCCGCAATTAGACTCACGCTGCACTTTTCTTTAAGTCAGATATGAGCCGACTCACACATTTGTCCTTTCTGACTTTTACCAAAACTGTCACTCTTCTCAAACTTGTATTTTACAACAGACTTAGAGCGATTCTCCACAGAGGGATATTCAGAAAAGTGTTTGTAATTGTGCTGTTTTTCTTCCATTCTATGTTCCCTGCTGTCCAAAGAGAATCCCCCTATCTCGTCCATGCAACACCATCTCTGTGTCCTTCAGCTCAAACATTCAAGAATTACAAAGTTTAGAGTCAAATGCATCTTTGTCTTTCGTCTTCTTTCCTGATTCTCTTCCGTGTGTAACTCTGTGCTCTTACCTGGCCTTCCTTGTAGGGCTGGGTGATGCGGCCTCAAATCAATATCGCGATATATTGAGCAATTCACCTCGATGACGATAAATGGACAATAACTACTCCACAAGCTGCTCACTCCCTCCCACATTAACTTCATCAACTTTAGCTACTACAACTTTTGAACTGTCCTCCATCTCCTCATCTGTCTTTCCCTTTTTGTTATGGACTGGATGGGGTGGAGTCACGTCTCTGACGTAGAACAGCATCTTAAAGGGACATGAGACCATAGCCTACCTACACACATCCAAAACCAACCTTTATTTATTTATTTTTTTGACACAGAATATACTGATATGGGCAAAATGATATCGGTTATTGTCGTAAATTTCAGTATCAGTAAATTTTGGGTTTATCTCCCAGCCCTACAAGACAATTAAGGTAAAGTTTAATGTTGACTGTGTCTGTTTAAACTAGCATACAACCACTTTACAGTCTTGTTGAAACCGTAGAGACAAGATCAGACATCAAAAAGACATTGTTATTGTCGTAAATTTCGATATCAGTACTTTTTCGGTTTATCGCCCAGCCCTACTTCCTCGGCACTATCTTTCCTCTGTCTTTCTCCTTGTCTCAGATCATTTCAGTCAGCTGTTTGTCTCTTGTGTACCTCCTTACCTGTCTTTCCATCCGTTATTACCCTACATGTGTGTGTTAACCGTCCCATCTGTCTGCCGCTGTGCCTCTTGTCTCTCTGTGCATCCTCAGAACGGGGCTGTTCACTCCAGACCTGGCGTTTGAGGCCATCGTGAAAAAGCAGATCGTTAAGCTGAAAACGCCCTGTCTCAAATGTATCGATCTGGTCATTCAGGAGCTCATCAACACAGTCAGGCAGTGCTCCAACAAGGTACTGCAGGTGTCCAGCATCTCCCGACCCAGCCGAGACACGGGGCAGGGGCGAGAATGGGTATGGCAGAGGGTACGCTGGCACGGAGAACTAGCCTGGAACATTTAGAGAAGTCTCAACCGGTCAGTTTAGATCTTTTATGGTTAAAAAAAAGGGATGTTCCGTGCAGTTTGCCCTCAGCCCAGCCCAGCCCTCTTAGCCCTGTGTGCAGGCGGTGCTGTCGTATTGTGGAGTTGTGATGGGTGACGTGTCGCCGCAGATTTCTGAGATGTTTCACGGACTGTCTGAGCATCTCTGGTTTCTCACAGGCAAGCTGCAGGTCTCACAGCTAAGTATTCAGACAATCGAAATTGGGTTGCTGTAATTTGGCTTAAAGGGGAGGGGGGGACTTCCACATTGAGGCTGTGAAAAACCTGAGGCTTGTCGTTCTTACTGCTTGATTTGTCTGTCAACAGCTAGAAATGACTAACTGAAAAAAGGCTTTTCTTTTCTCTCTTTTCATTTCTTCTTCTCTCTCTTTCCCGGCTGTCTGCTTTTGTTCCTCTATCCTAATTTTCTATCTATCCCTTTTCTCTCTTTTGTTTCTCTCTTCTCTGTCACCAACACAAAATGCAAACTGACCCCCATGACCTTTTAGGACGGGGCTCTTCACCCCTGACCTGGCTTTCGAGGCAATAGTCAAAAAGCAGATCCTCAAACTCAAAGAACCCAGCCTCAAATGTGTGGACCTTGTGGTGTCTGAGCTCACCGCACTCGTCATGAAGTGTGCCGTAAAGGTAACCAGGGACACAACTGCTGGGGCGATGGCATGAAAAGAGAAAGGGGTTCCTCTTTCTTTTTTTTTTTTTTAAATGTCTATCTCTGACATCTCAGTTAAAAGTGTCACACAGTGAAACCTCTCACCCACTTTGCCCACCCCCATCCTTGCCCCCACATAACCATCCCCGGTAAGAATACTGTCCCATCCCATTCATATCATTCAGATTGAGCACTGACTTGCAACCAACAGATGAAATTGCAAGCGCAGTTTAAGATGTCCACCACCCGGCTCTCACCAGCTGTTTGACCTCAGCACCAGCTCGTTTAAATATTGAAATTTCACCTTCTCTCCCCCCTGCCCCAAAACCGGGTCTGGATTTGTCAGTCCGTGCAGAGCAGAGTCCAAATCCCCTCCTTTGCTGCCCCACATGGCAAACTGATAACCTGCTGAGCTGGATGGACTCCAGATGACGTCATGGGGAGAGATGGTAGTAATAACCCCCGCGGGTGTTGTGGGTGCAAAGACAGCTTGAGTCGAGTGTTCCCATAGCAACGTTGCTCCAGTGCCATCTTGTGGAAAGGGGAAGGCCCTGCACACCGTGAAATCATTCGACATGCCCGCTGAAACCCCCCCGGCCATCACTCCTCTTGGTCTCTCAGGCCTCCCTCTGCCTCTCCTCATTCTGTCACTCTCCCTAACCCTCATCAAGCCTTCCCTATTATTAAAAGCCAGAGATGACTCTTTCAAATGTCTGACATGCCCTGAAATTTGGAAGTCGCTCACCAGAGTAAAACATTTGTTCGTCGATACTCCATAAATGCTTTGCATGACGAAGGCTATCACAAGCTTTCAGCGTCGCCTCATTGGTGTTTCACTCATGCAGCCATCTCTGGCTCGTAGTAATAATCTCTTTAGTATTCTAAGTTTGTTTGTATGAATGTGTTCTTCTCTGATTGTTTGGACACGTGTGGCACTAAAATGTCCCTTGACTTTCTCTTTCCGTTTTCTTTGTTCTTGACTTACTCTCACTTTTCACTCCTGTTACTCTCTGATACTTGTTGGTAAGTCTGACCAAGCTCAAGCTCACATGTCAGTGTGTGACCGTGTGTCGCCGTTCAGTGCTGCAGTATTCTTTTGTGTTGCCTTTCAGCTCAGTTCTTACCCCAGACTGCGAGAGGAGACGGAGAGGATCGTCACCACCTACGTCAGAGAGAGAGAAGGGAAGACCAAGGACCAGGTGAGATGTTGAGATTTTAATTAAGACGACTACTGACGCTCTCTTGGCGTTGCTTGATCTACCATCCGGGACCACAAAACTTTCTCAGTGATTAGCTGGAGTCAATATGTGCCGGTGGATAATTCTGACTGTAAAGATGAGCAATAAAGGCTGATTTATGCTCAATGTTAGATTCTTTTGTCCGTATTTCTGCATGTATCCTTGAAGTTTATGGATACGGGCCAGATGGAGCAGAACCAGTGGAAACCGTGGTGGCAGTGTTGCTCTCTAGAGAGAAACAAAAAAGACAATGGCGTCAATTTCTCTCATCAGTACTAGTAGAGAGAAGAATTCGAATTCAATGCAAGGCATGTAGTGGCCTGACCGACCACCGCCTCCTCCATTGCTGCCTCCGTTTCTGTCTCCTATGCAAAATACACATTATCACTAGCTCCTCCACAGTCGCCGTGTTTCTTTTTGTTTGTTGTCGTCAGAAACTTTTGACTCTTACCTGCCCCCTGGTGGATGTAATGGTTAACATCCACGCCAACGTAAAGGACACATGGAAGTATCTGGGCGGCGACGGAACCATCGTTTGCAAAGGACGCGTACATTTTCATGAGCATGGCGAGCATAAATGAGCTTTTAGGTGGAAATAACGACCAAAACAGAAGTCTCATTGCAAGATTTTACAGTTCATCGTACACTTAATGAAATGAAACAAACTGAAACAGCAGTACAGCTTTATAGACCTTCATATTTGCACAGCATTCTTACTACCATATTTTTACAGGTATATATGAATCTAGTTTTAGGTGTCAGTATCTCTGTAAGGGTTGTTTTTGTCCACACACTTCCTTTTTCCGACCTCTCCAACCTCATCACGCTTTTCTGCCTCTCATTAAGGTTCTGCTGCTGATTGACATTGAACTGTCCTACATCAACACCAACCACGAGGACTTCATAGGCTTCGCTAAGTACGTACTCCTCCTCCTCCTCCTCTCTCCAGCCTTTTTCTAACCAAATGCAAGCTTTAGCTCTCGAGCCCTGTCTCACCACGGGCAGTACCATCGTGACTTCCTCCATGTTGCTTGTTGTCTGAGGGAAAACACCTGTTTCCATTCGACAAAAGACCTGCACTCCTGTAGTACAAGTGGAACCAATCTGCCATTAGAGAAATCTGACAGAATCAGCGCCACCTTAATGCTACTGTGTTAGAGTGTTGCTTCTAATGAGCCACATGTTGTGGGCTGTGGTGCATCAGTGTGATGTGGCATGCCAATTAGTGATCCAGCCACATCAGAGCATGTGTGTCCCTGTAGGCGAGGTGGATCGCACAATGATCAAGGTTGCACTTGTTACCCACCCCCCACTACTCCCCGCTTGCAACATTACCCCCCCCCCTCCCCCAAACCAAACCAATCAAGCGTGCTTGATTGGCTGACGGATGAACTTGTTGACTTTGGGATGTCACTAGAGAATGCTCAGTGTACCAACAGATGAAGAGATGTTAATGTTTTCCTGCAAACTGTGGCGCACCGAAAACTCATTTCCGCACTGACAGGCATTATATTTCTGGGTGTGTGTTTCGAAGCACTTTAGAGGTTATGGTTTGAATCACATGCCTCTTAGTGTAGCGCTCACTGTAACATGTAGTCAAGGGGAGTTCCCCTCCTCTGCGTGGGTTGTTGTGCTACTGATTAACAAAGCAAGCCTACCCCCCCTCCACATGTGTTTGTGTCTCTCAGTGCGTGTGAGGGTTTACTGCCTAGCCTCTGCATGGCGAGTAGATTGGTGTAATGTGTCAGAGGGGTAAGCGAGGGCTGTTTAATGGTTCTCATGACGTCATTTTCAGTCTTGACTACAGAAGGCTGGATGATGGTAGCTCCCCAGGGTACAGCAACAACAGGTGGGCTAAAAGAAAGGATGTAGGATTGTGTGCGTGTGTGTGTGTGTGTGTATGGTGTGTGTTTGAGTAAGAGTTAAACCCACCATGTCATCCAAAATCCTCAAAAAAACTCCCATCCAGCGTCATGTGTGTGTAGTAGTCTAGTTTCAGAGATGACATCAGAAATTGTGTTTGTTATTATAAAGTTGTTGTGTTCTATCAAATCTAATAAAAGAGAAAAATCAACAACAGCAGCAGCAGCAGCAGCATTACACTGACCAGAGAACAGGCCATCGATTTGCTCTCTAATTCTCTGACTTGCAATAGGCCAGTACACATAAAACGATATTGGTAGAGCGCCACAAACGACCATAATACTCCATAATTTCTAAGTTTGTGCAAAGAAAACATCCATACTCAACCCTTCAAAGCAATTTTCTTTCACCAGTCAAAACTTTTCTTCTACTTCTTCTCTTTAAAAAAAAAAATCAAAATAGATATCTTAGAAATGAGACTGTGGAAGACAGAAACCTTTTCTAGTCTGTTCTTGATGTTCCTGCGAGCTAGTTATGAATCACACCAAAATGAGTACTGACGTCTCGGTTTGACACACTAAAAGCAAACAAGCCCATCAGCATAAATCCTGTAAATGATGCCGCTCGGTTTGCGACACGCGAGGCCGTCTCAACATCCTGCCGATATAACTATTTCTTCCATTTCCTGAGTTACAGACTCATGATCATTTATCTTTTTGTGTAATGAGATCGTCATGTCAGAAATCTTCACGTACACACAGTTGTGTGCATGAAGGGGGTTGCATGTCTTCACCTCTTCACCCTTGTTAGTCAGTTAAAAATGTATTCTTGTTTTTGTATTTTGGGCCTAAAATGCTGATCAGTTTTCATGTTAGCTCTCCACTGTTTGCTGTGTTTTATTTATTACTGCCACAACCCTGTAAAGCTGCACTCAGACGTAAACAAGCATAGACAATAGTTGCGTCTGGTAGCATGGCGTAGTTGAGCAGCATTTTGATCGAGACAGTAGGGCTGGGCGATATGGCATCAAATCAATATCACGATATATTTAGCAGTTCACCTTAACGACGATAAATGAAAACAACTTTTGAACCGTCCTCCATCTCCTCACCTGTCTTCAGATTCAGACAACTTTATTAATCCCTGAAGGGCAATTCACTTCACCGTAACCCGCCTTGTTATTAAACGATCAAGGAACAGACAAACGCCAGACATTCACAGCAGCATATGGCCCAAACAGTCCCCTGTCAGCACCACAAATCAGCAATAAATAGATAACTATAATAAATACTATGATAATAATTAAATGTGCAATATGTTAAAAAGTGGAATGACTAAAATGCAATAAGAATAATGAGATAAAAGGAGTAAAATAAGAACGAAAACAATCCTGAGACCCCAATTCTCAGCATTGTACTACTACTTCTCAGCATTTTGCAGCCTGATCGCTGAGGGGGTAAATAAGTTGGAATACCTATTTGTGTTTCTTAGGGGAGCATAGTAGCGCCTCCTGGAGGGCATAAGAGAAAAATCAGAGAAAAGGATCCATCCAGGCTGATCCATGAGTCTTTTCCTCTTTGTTACGGACTGGATGGGGTGGAGTCACGTCTCTAACAGGGTCTTAAAGGGACATGAGATCATAGCCTACCTACACACATCCAAAACCAACCTTTATTTATTTACTGTTCGACACCGAATATACCAACATGGGCAAAATGACGTTGGTTATTGTCGTAAATTTCGGTAACGGTAAATTTTCGGTTTATCACCCAGCTCTACAAGACAAATAAGGTCAAGTTTCATGTTGACTGTGTCTCGTTAAAATAGCATACAACCACTTTACAGTCTCGTTGAAACCATAGAGGCAAGATCACACACAGAAAAGATATACGATTAGAATTAAATAGTATATAATTAGACACTTTTTTTGTATATTTTTGATTTAATCTTAAATAAATTGAATAAGTTGACATCAGTATTTATTGTCTTCTCTGTCCATTTTTGTTCAATGACAGCGCCCAGCAGAGGAACACGGCTGCAAACAAGAAGAGGGCCATACCCAACCAGGTATGTTCCACTTTCAGCTCCATTAGTATTAGAATTCCTACCACCCTGACTGTTAACCTCCATTACTAGTCTAATAATCAACATGTGAAAACACCTCCCCATGATTTATCCCATAGCCATTAATCTGTATCTACATATGTAACTGTTAACAATACCACCACTGTGCATCATTTTCAACTACCCACTGTTCTTATTGTGAACTTGGTGGTCTGTGTCCATAATGCTATAAAGTCGGTCCTCCTTCAACTGCTGATCAGGTTTAGAGATCGCAGTCCCAGTGAAGTGAGTTTTGTCCCAGTGAACCCCTAAATAATCCCTGCTTCCCCTGCTTTCCTCAAACATGGCTTTTATTAATAGCTGTTTGCATGTGACCCAGGCATGCCGTTCACCACGAAAGCAACAATAAATCACAGGACTTTGTTGGTTGTTTTGTTGCGTTCCCATTAACTCACATGCATTTTTTTTTTTTGTATTGTAATTCAGATTGTGCATGGATCTCGCACCTGTCAACCGAGCTACAAATATGACATAACCAGATTTTGAGATTCTTGATGTAATTCTAATTGCATGTAACTCTCTTGCTCTGTCTCTCTCTCTCTCTCTCTCTCTCTCTCTCTCTCTCTGTGTGTGTCTCTCTCTCTTTTTCTTTGTATTCTCCTCTCTCTTTCTCTGGTTGTCTCATGGATTCTCGCTCTCTGTTTCTTCCTGTTTTTGCTTCCTTGGAAACTTCTCACCTCCTCAACCCTTTCCATCTTTTTCTCCAACTGTCCATCTCTCCTCTTCCTTTATTCTGCAATCCTTTTCTCCCCCCCTTTGACTCTCCCCTTAATACCCTCCCCTACACCCCTCCTCTTACCTCTGGTTTGTTCCTCATCTCCGCTGGCTTGCTTTCTCATTCTGGCTTTGATTTTAAACTGTCCCCCCCTTTTGCTTTAATTTCCCCCTCCCCATCCTAATACTGCAGGGTGAGATTCTGGTAAGTACCGCACAGATTTAAACCGCGCCCTGCCAGAGGGGCAGCAGGGGTAGACCATGCAGAAGAACTGAGGCCAGCCCACACAGGTCAGCTTTTAAGATCAGGGTGGAAAAGACGAACTGCCGCGTGATAACCGGATAAACAGTTTCCTGCGCATACAGGAGTTGATGTTTATCACAGTATTAAGTTGTTTTACCCCTCTGCAGCTCGGCGCACTTGGAGAGGTCCTCGAGGAAAAGGTAGAGTCTCAAAACTGATGAAAGGATTATTAAAGCATTAGCAAACAGTTACCAGTAATTTGGAACTGCTGCTAAAATAACAAACAGCCGGTTTGCTCTTGTAATTTGGTCTCATTGAATAAGACTGTAATTGTCTTTAACCGTGCACATTTGGGGCGCTACTAACATTCAACTCTACATCCTCTGAATATTTTAAATGTTCAAAAAGAAACTCTTTTTCCCCCTGCAAAAGACGGTGGCTCTTTGTTACACCGTATGTCGTAGAGCGCCGCACAGAAAGAAAAGGAAACTCTCCCTCCGCTGACTGTGGACGCCGTCAGTTCTCATGTCTCCAGGTTTATACCTCTGCTGCTGCCTCGCGCACGGTGACTCAAAAGTTTGCCTTGTGAGAATCATCCAGAAAGTCATCGGGGGACAAAAACAGGGAGAGAGGGGTGGGAGCGAGAAAATCAGTGACACGCATTCAAGTGTTTTTTTAAGGATTCTTCTGTAATTTTCTCTACATTCATTCTAGTGAAAATATCTCCTGCATGTCGGATACTTCTCTGTTTAAATTCTTTTTAGTAAACCCAGATTTACTTCTTTGCAAAAACACATGAATCTATCTCCAAATGATTTTTCCTCTCCAGAGCCAATCAAAATGTTCATGTTTCCGATGGTGGCTGGTCATGGCTTTGGGATGTACTTCAATGATTAAATCCAAATTTATCATTTTTGTCTATTTAAACTGTTTATTTTTACAATTATTTTTTCAAATTGGCATGTTTCAATCATTTAATTTAGTTTCTGTAAATCAAAAAAGAAAATTACAAAATTAAAGACCGTTCACTTTTACTCTGAAAAGGTGTAGAAACAAAAGCATCTTACCTGTAACACTAATGACTAATTTTTGACTCTTTCTTGATATAAACATGTCGGTGTTTTCCAGCTGACTCTAATATAGATTAAATCGGGGGTTTCCTTTGTTCCGAAGAGTTACAGCTATCTCCTCGCCAAGGCAAACTACCACTTTAGCTCCTATGTAATTGCCTCCTCTTCCATGTTTATGTTGGCGCTTTTGAGCTAATAAAGTTTTTTTTTAATTTTGTTTTTCATAACTCACTCCAGTCTCTTACTGGATGGAGAGAGAGTGCAGGAGAGAGTTTTTTTCTTCCCCCCTCAGGCTTAGTTAATACAGCAGCTCACTTTTCATTAGTCCTATGTGGAAACTGTGGGGTGACCTTGCAACAAAGAAGCCTCCTTAAAAAATGCATGGTGCAAACTCCACTGAGTGATTTACTCGACTCAGCCTCTCAGTCTGACGTGCTTTCTCCCTCTCCATCTTTAGGTAGATTTTCCCCTTTTGTTGTTTAGATGTAGCTCTAACAATCTCACTAACTTCCCTCGGCGCCAAGCTTCTCCATCGCAGCTCTTCTCTCCTCTTTTGTCTTTTGCATTTACTTCTCCCCTTCTTCTCCCTAACCAGGTTTTAACCCTCGACTTGTGTATTTTATTCTAGTTAATTCAACTAACTGCTTTTTTAATCAGCGAATATGTAGGCTAGATTGTACTGACCCACTGACACTAACATACCACCGCCGACCTGGTCTTTGACCCCTTAGAGCGATGGTCTGGACGCCATCTGGACCTGTTTGTTGGTTTAAGAGTGTCTTTTTTTGTCGAGTGAAAAAAGGACTTTATCACAATTTCAGTATTTTCAACTAAACTCTCTGATGCTTTTGTGTACACTTTAAGCACACAGTGTGCTGAACTGATTGTGTATATTTTTCAGTCATTTTCAAATTTAGTCTATGCTGCTGTGTTTTTAGTGCATATTTAAAAACTGTAAGAGCCAAGGACACAAATAAATTAAGGTAAAAGACAAGCAAAGTTACAGTAACCTAGCAGGTAAGCACTTCAGATTTTATTAGTGTCTTGTACATCCCAGTATTAATCGGCGTATCTCTTTGTGGGGTCCTCGTGTCGACGGTACGAAGCCTGATTGATAAAGCTGTTTTCCTTCATCCTCCCGGTACCCCTCTCTCCCCTACCACCCTTCTCTTTCTACCGCATTTCTACCTGCGTAGGTGATCAGGAAAGGCTGGTTAACCATCAACATCAGCATCATGAAGGGAGGCTCCAAGGAGTACTGGTTTGTCCTGACTGCTGAGACCCTGTCCTGGTACAAGGATGAGGAGGTACGTTTCTGGAACGTGAAAGCATGGTTTGCTCTGCAGGGTGAGACAGGTTTCCGTCACTCTCTGCGTTCGGAGGTGTGTGTGTGTGTGTCCCAGCCCAGCCTAACCAATGTGCAGACTACTGTTCAGCTGTAGCCTGATGAACAGGTAGTCTGAACACTGGGCAGGCGGGGGGGTGAGGAGGACTCTGATGGGAGGAAAGACCATGAGGTCACTTCTGCTGCAGGTCGCTACCCTAGGACAGAAGGACAAAGGGCACAGAGAGCAAACATTACCCCAGTGGAACAATTACACGTATTAAACACGGAAACAGTTGAAATATCAGGTCAGACTAATGAGACTTAATAGATAAAATGATACTTTGGACTCCAATAAACACAGACGTGGTCGGACTGCATTCCTACAGTATGTGCACACCCAGCAAACTTTGCTCCACAGTCTATTTATTTATAAATCTTTACAAAAGCTTCAGCACAAAGGAGCTGCCAGCACACCGTTAGTTAAAGTTTAAATAATACAGCTTTAAGTTAATGATCTACGATGACTATGAGTGCGTTAACTTCATAAATAGCGTTGTAATTACTCACCGCCTGGTCGTCTTCCCAAGGCCTCTGTTGTATATGTTCTCCAAGACCCCCGAAAGATACCAACGCAATCGCAGCTTAAGACAAAGTCTCGTCCAGCAGCCTCAGTCTGACCAAACACCAGTTAGAAGCGGTGCGTGTCCGTGTCGGTCGTCTTTTTGCGCACAAGCAAGAAGAGACAGAAAGAGAGCGAGCGAGAGAGGATGGTGGAGGCAAAACTGACGTGGCAGGCGGGCTGAAATGTTCCAGCCGGGATCTGACTTTGGAATTTGCAGGAAATCGTACTGGGTTACGGGGGCCGGAGGGGGGGTGTGATTGTGTGTGTACAAGTGTGCATGTGTTTAGGCGCTTGTCCACGAGTTCTCCACTAAGTTCAAGCATTGAGGTAAATGATCATAACTGCACCAGCGAACATTCGTACAGACACCCAGATCCTGTGCGCTCTCTTCGTCTATAATGTTTGTGCTTTAATGTGTTCGTTTCTGTCTCTGCACGTGCAGTTAAGCATTGCAACCTGTGCGTGTTTGTGTGTGTGTGTGTGTGTGTGCGCTTGTCTGTTTGCATATGTGTGTATGTGAGTGTGCGGTGGGGGCGGGGGGGGATTGTGAGTGATGTAACGGTTGGGCCTGAGCCACTCTCTGTGTTAGCGCAGACGTAAATGCTTCCAGATGTCTCTGCTCAGCAGTGAAAGCTGGCACCCCATCCCCCCTAGAACTCCCTCACGCTCCTCCTTCCCTGCCTCCTCCTCCTCGTCATCATGCATTTCTTCATCTCACCAGCCGGCTGGTGGTCCACAACGAGGAAATTCATCCCACCGTGACTGCTAATTATGAAAGAAGTGTTAGCGCTGCTGTTGTCTTGTTTGTACCTCGCAGTGAGTAAAAAACACTGCTGTAAAAACTCATTTCCGTCTCATAACAGGAGAAAGAGAAGAAGTACATGCTTCCTCTGGATAACCTGAAGATCAGAGATGTGGAGAAAGGATTCATGTCCACGAAGCACATCTTTGCAATCTTCAACACAGAACAGAGGTCAGGGTTAAAATCCTCAGCCAAGAAGTGCTCTTCATTGATTTGTTTTGCACCACATCTTTGTGTTTCATGAGCACACATGTCCTCGTCTACTGAAAACACTCGTGTTCGCCTTTATATCATTTGCGCAGGAACGTCTATAAGGACCTTCGTCAAATAGAACTGGCCTGCGATTCACAAGAAGATGTGGACAGCTGGAAAGCGTCCTTCCTGAGGGCGGGAGTTTATCCAGAGAAGGACCAGGTATGTGGGTTTCTATAAAGCTCTTTAGCACTTATCATTAAAATCATCGTGAGGACACTTCACCGCTGCTCCTGCTGCTTCTACAGATGAGCTATAAAAATCTGTTAGTTGATTATTCGCACGCCATCTTGTTTGTTTGTTTGTTTGAAAAACAACAGGTGGAGAACGACGAGGCGGCCCCTGCAGACACATTCTCCATGGACCCGATGCTGGAGCGGCAGGTGGAAACCATCCGCAACCTGGTGGATTCATACATCGGCATCATCAACAAATCCGCTAGAGATCTCGTGCCCAAGACCATCATGCATCTCATGATCAACAGCGTGAGTCTAAACAGTCCCCAGCAGCAGCAGCAGACACAAATCATAAACAGAGTGAAAACAAAGTCCGACACAGAGCTAATATCAAAGAGATCATTTCCGTCTCTGACCTTAAAGCTCCTGTGAGAAGTTTTTGGCAGGTTGGGAAACAGACTGAAATCAATACTGGTGCCTTTATTTGACCCACCAAATCAATAAAACCAATCAGAAACTAGACTGTTTATTTATGTACCGTCAGTTTTTAATACCAGTTAACCCAACAGCCGGGTAAGTGTCAGACGAGGTCTTTTCGCAAACCGCAGAAACAGCCTTTGTTTATATTCTCCTCGGCAAAGATTCACAGTGAGTGACCTCTGACTGTTCAGATTAGAACAAAGATAAGATGAGATTTTTCATCATCAGACAGCGATTCTTCAGCAGGAGCAGGAGGAGATCAGATGAGATGTACCGCTTTGTTCGAGACGAGCTGAAAATTCTTCTTAGTGGTTTGAACATTTGGCGTTCAGTAATGAGGAATTTAGAGTTTGAAAAAGTAGCCGAGATCACCTTTCTGAAGTGGAAAAGTGGTGAAATAAAGCACTTGTAGGCGATGCACAATTGCCCAGTCAAACTTCAGGGCACCTCTGGTCTTTCTCAATACTGCATCAATTTCAGAAAATGCTTTTCTGTCTGTCAAACTCGCACAAACACACGAGAAAATAAGACCCTGGTTGAAAAATCCCAAAGTTCTCCTTTAAGAGGTTTCTAAAAGTCAACTTTGCAGATGTCTTCATTCAAAGTACGTTTATCTCCTCAAACTTATATATTGATCGCTTCTCTCCAGTGCATGAACCCATCTTCCATTTCTGGGTCACTATAAGCACTTTCACTGTCAATCGATGTATATTTCCAACATCTGTGTTTTGAAATATTTCAACCGACTTTCAGGCGAAGGATTTCATCCACTCGGAGCTGCTGGCTTACCTCTACTCGTCCGGAGACCAGAACAGCCTCATGGAGGAGTCGGCCGACCAGGCTCAGCGGAGAGATGAAATGTTGCGCATGTATCACGCGCTCAAGGAGGCCCTGATTATAATCGGAGACATTAGCGCAAACACTATCACCACCCCTGTCCCCCCACCTGTGAACGACACCTGGATCCAGGAAGCCAGGTGAGAAAGGTTTTAGATAAACCGCAGCTGGAGCAGAGAGAAATGATAGTATAGAGCGGCATATATTATATTGCTATCTATCTATACATCTATCTATCTATACATCTATACTTTCTATCTATCTATCTAACTATCTATCTATCTATCTATACATCTATCTATACATCTATCTATCTATACATACATCTATACATCTATCTATCTATCTATCTATCTATCTATCTATCTATACATACATCTATCTATCTATCTATCTATACATACATACATCTATACATCTATCTATCTATCCTTTCAATACTTTTTATGTATCTATCTATCTATCTATCTATCTATCTATCTATACATCTTTCTATCTATCCTTTCATTTTCTTTTCCTCACAGTCTCCCTTTTATAGATATTTAAGATCAGAGATGTTGAGAAAAACAAAAATCTTGATACTTTTGCTTTAGATTGAAAATGTGTGTCACACCTGACAGCTTATGTGTCTGTTTTCAAAAAGAACATCAAACAGATTTATTGAATTCCCTGAGACCCCCTGAGATGAAGCTTAGATTAATCTCCCCCTCCTCGCGTGATCTTTATGTGAAGATGTCAGCTTTAATGGGATCATATCCTCCTCTCAGCCCGACCCCTCAACGCAGGCCGGCTCCCGCCACAGCCCCGCCCCCCAGCCGTCCACCCGCTGTCCGGGGCCCGACACCAGGACCACCTTTAAACCCTTCTCCTGCCTTCGGAGCTCCTCTCAACCCCTCTCCCGCTTTCGGCGCACCGCCAATCCCCTCCCGCCCGGGCCCATCCATCAATGCCTTTAACAGCAGCCAGGATCCCTTCAGTGCGCCCCCACAGATCCCCTCCCGGCCAGCCCGCGTCCCACCCGGTGTGCCCAGGTATGACCTCTCTCACTCAATATATGAACTCATTTGTGTGCACTAACATCCCATCATCCTCTTTCTTTAAGCGTCACAGGTCTGGTTGACTCTTTCTCACCTGTCACCTCGTCTCTCTCACTCTCACTTTTCCTCTCTCCCTCTCTCACCCTTTCTTTTCCTTTCGGGTTGTGTTGGTTTCCTCGCTGTCTCACTCCTTGTCCTGTATTCTCTCTCCCCGTTTGCAGCCGAAGACCCCCCGGCGCTCCTTCTCATCGGCCCACCATTATCCGCCCTGCTGAGCCCTCCCTGCTAGACTAGACCTGTGTCCAGGCCCACTTTAAGTGTGTGTTTGTGTTCGGGCGTGTGTGTAACCTACACACTAAAGGCCAGGGGGGGCGGGGCGCTCGTGGGGAGGGGGCCAACTTTTTAGTGGTGCATAATGTGCATTGTCCAGCATATGTCTTTTCAAGCAATGTAATAAGCTGCTAATACCGTCTTTATCAGTGCACATGAGCGGGAGGAAGCCCTTAACCACTCGAATTTAACGTTTGATTGCTGTGGGAATTGTTCGATGCAGATAAAACCCAGGTGATGTTTGAGACGTATTCAGAGAGGATGTATCAAACTCAGTTCAAGCACTCTTTTAACTCAAAACAACTGGTTTATTTCCTTTTGACAAGTCAGGATCTCAGTCGATAACTTATGCACAGTCACAGTCACAGTCTTTGTTTCCTCTCCCCTCTCTCCAGACCTCCGTGTTCTACACACCCTTAACTCGTGGTACATGTTTCACTGGGTTTTCATTTGCTAACTGGTTTCATACTGAGAAATACAGCTTATTATTATCACTGTTGTTATTTTTCCCCCTCTATGTGTTATTTTATTGAGTGACTTTGTCCTTTTAAATAATAAATGTAGCTTTAAAGAATCAATTTCAGAAAGAAAGAAAGAAAGAAAGAAACGGCACTCAGAGAGCAAACCCTTGTAAGTTATTCTACCACGACGATAAGGATTGACTGTTAGATTTTAAGCACTTGTCAACACATCACGAAGAAAAAAGACGTCTCAAAGCAGGGATGTTGTAGTCCGTCACTAAAACACTATGCATGTTTCAAACTAGGGAGAGGGAGAGGGACTGAAGGCTCTCTCTGCACTTTGTGAGACGCTTTCTCTCTCGGCTAATTCTGAGTTGATAAAGCTTTGAATCGTAAATCCCTTTTTGTCTCATTTGAACTCAGATGGTCCTTTTATCTTTCAGGTAGACTTTATTCCTGTACCCTCCCGGATTAGCTGAATCCTACAGAGCAGAGCACACAGTACAGATTCCTGTCAGAGAGGATCAAACTCAGCGAAATAGCGGGGTGTGTAGATTAGACTTATCTGCGGTTTAGGGTACAAAGATGGTATTAAGCAGTTAGACGTCGGCACATCTCTCTCTGGGCTTAGGTGAAAAGACGTGTATTATTTCTATTATCTCCGCTTCCATGCATTAAAATAACATTGTATATAGCTGGCCTATTCTGGGGAGTTAGCACTTGTATCTCATTTTAATTGCAGGGTTGGTGGCAAAAACATGAATATAATCAAAGCCCAACATATTGACGAGTGTAGTCCACCCATAAAAAGAAAAACTAACACTGTCATGCATTGATTATGTCGGGAAAGGATATCAGTCATCTCCGTTTGCATTATTTATAACCCGGGCATTTGTCATTTCTTTGATGTATCACTTCTGCACAACTCAGCGTCTCCTAAATTGTGATTTTGGGGGTTCTACTACAGGGTTTAGCTGTCTGAAGATTGGATGTTGGAAGGGCACCAGGGGCTGGACATTTTGTCCTCGAATCTGTGATTTTTGTGATTATAATGACGAAGATTTTATGATTGCTTTTTGACCAATTCAAAACGTTTATTTTTTAAAAAGCAGGGAGTGATGTTGAGCTACAGATGCTACAAATGTTTTCTGTTTTTTTTTTTGGTTTGATCAGTAGCGGTGGTGAACAGGTGGTGGGAATTGTGGTGTATGAAAGCACCCCCTGTCTGAGAGGCTGCCCAGACTTTTTCTGTCCTCTGACTACAGAGGACGGAGACTTAATCAGCCAACCCAAAAAGATAAGATAAGACACTTTGGGAAAAAAAATTAAAAGATCCCAAACCAGACTCGAGAGACAGTGTGTGCTTTCTCTACCTTAGTATTTTTCCTCAGGTCTGGCTATCAGTGACAGTGCTGGAAGGAGTAAAGTATGCTCATGGGAACACTTTAAATTAAAAACCCTTCATTGCAGATCATCCTCCAAGACCTAAAAGACAAAAATTAATAGTTAATGTGGGAAAAAAATAAAATAAAATCCTTGTGCCTGTCACGTCAGCCTGCCCCTGAGAACCCCTGACTGTAAATACCCTGTGATACATTAGGCTGTGGCAACACTGCCTCCCTTCCTAATGGATGTACCCTGCCTCCTTCCTCTTTCCCTCCCCTGCCTGAATCTGGTGCAAGGGGTGGGAAACAAACCTGCAAAAATCTCCCTTTTTTCTTTTTGTTTTGCAAACCCTTGTCAAGTGCCTCTGTAGCAGTTAATGATTTGAATAAACAACATGAACTGATTTAGTATGGCGAGTAAATAAAGAGGTGTTGTGTACAATAAAGGGACTGGCTCTGGTGGTTGGTGTCTCCTTGTGTCCTGTGTGATCCACTTTTTCTCCTCTCTTTCTCTCTTTTTATTAGGTGTAATAGACCTCCTCCTTGTTTGCCTCTTTTTGCTTTCCTTCCCTCCCTTCGTTTACACCGATGTAGACTGGCATAAGCCCGCTAATGTTCCTATGGCAACCCTGTACTGTCAGGCTGCTTTCTCTAGAGAGACCGTTTCAAAAAGGTGGTTTTAACCGTCAAAACAAAGCTTTAGTTTTTTTTTTCTACCAAATGTTGAGTGAAAAAAAAAAACACTGCCTTGCAATCAGTGTTTTATCTTTTCATAAAAGAATCCAACCCTGCAGTCGTAGGTTTGGTAACACTTTATTTGACGCCAATCTCTCTAACGCATTATAAATATGTCTATAATGTGTTATATCACTGTATAACTATGGTTCTAAACACTTATAAATGATTATAATGCTTTATAACAATAAAAACACATTATAAAGCATTTTATCATGACTTACAAGGTCAGGAATTATAATGTGTTATAACTGTTAACAACTCACTGACAATGCCCACATAGATAATGCATTATACATATATTTATGTGTTATAATCTGTTTATAATCTTGTATAACTATCATTATAAACTCTCATTAATAATTGCAAGGCTTTATAACAATAAGCATAACACATTATAATACCTGACCTTGTAAGTCATGATAAAATGCTTTATAATGTGTTATGATTATTGCTATAAAGCATTATGATAATTCATGAGTGTTTATACTGATAGTTATACAGTGCTGTAATGTGATTATAACACATAAACATATTTATAATGAGTTTGAGAGATAGGTGTCAAATAAAGCGTTACTGTAGGTTTTAATTTTGGTCTGAAAAGTAGATTGAAACCAATAAACAGGAAAACACATTTTAATGTATAAGAAGAACATAACAGATTTTGTAGATCTTACAGCGAATTTGCACAATGATAAAACCTGAAATCTGTTGGTGGGAAATATTTTTATACATTGGCATCATAAAGATAGTCGGTGCTAAATTAGTGGAAACCTTCAGCAGTACAATCCCATTAAAGTTGTCTTTTTACACATAGCTGCAACAATAAAAGACTCAAGCTTGTGTCTAATTATATCCTCCTCTGAGAATGGATAATGAACTCCTTTAAACACCAAACCCAGCCTTATTACAGATGACCTTTGCCGTTCCCCCTGACTGGATCCTGACGTGTTATCACCTGTCAAAGAGCATGTCACAAGGTTAAGATATTAACGCTGGTTGATTCTTCTTGAACAGGCGCCCGCCCCCACGTCCAAACAAATGGTGACCTCGACGCAGTCCGGAGTGAACACGACCCGCCTTCAATCCATGCAGGACCGCAGGAGAACGACATACTTTATTTTTTACTTCATCCAAAGAGAAAAAGCTGCAAAACTTCTGTTACAGACCTGCATGATACTGACAGTAAAACCTGTAATCTGCCGTTTAAAATGTTAGAAACCTCAGACCCTGTAAGCTATTCCCTCTCTCACCAAAGCACTAAGATATTTAACTTTATTACAAATACTAAGATGTAATAGTGGGAGATCAGATTAAACAGTTCCTTGTCACATAAACAGGTCAGTTTGTTTTGTACTATAGTGCCTTCTTAGTGGTCAAACATGAACACAAATTATGACCAAGTTGTCAAAAATGTTCCTTAAAACAGTCTTAGAAAAATATAGATGTACTTCACAGAAATGCACTACAGGCTCCTGCCGAATGTTTTTTTTTTTTTTCTCCTCATGAAGAATAATGACAATGAAATAAATGGCTCCAAGGAACTGAATGACTCAGCCAAAGCTCAGCGGCCGTGTGCTTCACTACAACTGTTTCTGCCTATTTAACCTCCAGATGGAGACATTGATCAGGGAGCTGTTATACCATGCGAATTTGATTTTAGGTGTGTTTTGTACTGTTCATTCAGTAAAAAAACAGAGTTACAGTGCATTCTCAGGAGGTGAGGATTTTTAATATGTGGTGTGTGTATTATTGTTTGCTCTTGGTTTTGTGAAAACTGAGTAAAGGGGTATCGATGTTGATGTAAAATGTAGTTTTTGAACCTCAATAAAATAACATCCCAGTGAGAGTGGATTTGATTTTCTAGCTTTCACAGAGACATAACTTCTGAGTATCAGTGCTACAGGTGTTTTCTGCTTATATTTACATTATGTACAGTTCACTGTAAATCCAAGTGTTAAGTATAAATGAAACTTTAATCACAATTTGCTAAAAAAAAAAAGGAGATTTCTATAAAAGAATGTCATCAATGCATGATGAGACAGTTTTAAAAAAGTGTGAACTACCCCTTTAAATTCATTTCAATATCACGAATCTGTCACGTGTTTAAAGGTCAAACTTAAAAGTGTGAAAATATGCAAATGAAGCAGGAGTTTTGTTTTGACTATGTGCGCACATGCTGTTTGTCTTCAAAGAGGCGACGCAGGGTGTAGATTTGGGTGACAGCCACGGTGAGCATGACAAGCAGAGTGAGGCAGGACCAGAAGGACACTCGCCACAGGTTGTCCTCCAGAAGGTAGCGGTCCCTGGCTTCAAAGGCCCTCAGCACAGTCTGGACCTGACGAGTCCGCTCCAGGTTTCGGTGCACTGAGTCCATAGTCGCCTGGAAAGGGAAAAGCAAAGATGGAGATGAAAGTCACAGCTTTGGACGTGTTACATGAAAAAGAGTAACACTAAGTGACTGAAGTGTTGTCTGAACACGTTTCATGGCTGCAGCGGAGAAACGGTCTCTTTGTTTTTACATCTTACCCTAATGTCCTCCAGTTTGTACTCCAGCAGGCTGTCTGTTCTGTCCATGTCCACCCACTGAACCTGAGCCCCTTCCTCTATGTCCGGATTATTCGTGGTCAGCTCAAAGAACACCATCTTCTCTGACAGTTTACTGAAGCTGTTGTCAAAACAAAACCTGTAGTCTCCCTCCTCTGTGGGATTCACCCTGCAGGATAAGAAATACATGACAGTATTTGTGACCTTTGCTCTTATTCAAACCATGGCTGAAAGTACCTGCTGTAGCAATGACTAAACAAAGGATAACATCTCTCTGGAGGAAGAGGAAGTGCTAAGAACATGATTTTTTTTTTTTGGCCTGATATAGGTTTTTAAGCGATCATTAATTATAGACCTCCTTTTTTGACTTAGCGACTGTTATGGTATGCACAGAATAAGGTTTGATACTGTCTTGATGAAATGTGCAAGGCCTTCCTTTTAAAAACAGGCATGTTTGGATGTCAGCATGGGGTGTTTAAATACATATAAACCTGGTTTTCACAAGGAATCTCTTATTTTGAGTCCTCAGAGCACAGGACTGTTTTCCACTTTGCCTCAGTCCATCTTGATTGAACGTAGCCCTTTAATGCCTGAAACCACAAATTATGGCTGGAAATTTCAATTTCTTCTGGTGCTGTAAATATTTAGTTCACTAACTACTGTAACCAAAAAAATCAAAATGTCCTTAAAATTTATCAAATATATATATTTATCTTGTTTGAAACATTAGATGTTTTTGGAAACTAACAAACTACAAAAGGACATTTTTTTGGCATAGACTGTATATAGAATAGTATTTAGTATAGTATAGTAATACTAGAATATATATACAGTATATATATATAATTCCTATACTATATATAATATAATATTTTTATATTTAAATATATTATATTATATTATATTATATTATATTATATTATATTATATTATATAGTATATACAGTCTATGGTTTTTGGCCTTGTACTTTTTGCACAGAAATTCCACCATCTCTATCACCTTTTGATGATATTCAAGCCAACTGTAGATACTGAAATCCTCATATTTTTAGTGTAATTTTACACCAAGGAACATTACTCTGAAATTTGAGTCATTTGCACACAGCCTCTCATTGAATGGTGAGCTTTTTCCCCTGATGTGAGATATGTAAACCTTGAACTATTATCTTTTCAGATCATTTTTAAAAATCATCTAAATCTACATTTTACAAAGTGTCTCGACAGGAGAGAAGACTACATCAAACACAAGTGGGAGTTTCAAAGCATTTCGACTCACGTATGAAGGCCATCAGATTTCCTGAAGTCGGAGGCCAGACGGTGCCCGCTGGGTGAGATGAGGCTGAAGCCGACGTCCAGACCTGACCCGGCTATCACCTGCAAGAAAACACAAAAGACTGAGGTCACTAATGCAGCACATACTACAGCTTCCAGCTCCTACTTCCACTGATATCTGTATGTTCTCACATCAGACACGCCACTCATGCTTTCATTAGTCTATCTAAGCAGCTACAGAGTGAAATTCAAATATAAGCTTTGATAGCACACTGAGTAACCAGCCAGCTCACATCGCCTGCCACATTATCTACTAATAAGCATAAAACTGACACTGATAAGTATTCATTAACTCTTTCGCCCATCACAGCGGGCCACCTGTAAGGTTTAGTCTCTTTATGTTTTTCACTGGCCTGCTGATGAATATAAATGTTAAGCATTAGCTGCAGCTGTGACTGTCAGTGGAGTGAGGGGAGAAGACTCATGCTCATGCAAACAGCAGCCGAGTTGATGACCAAATACTTATACTTGCAGCTGCCAGGTGGTGCAGTTGTGGTTAGATGACAGCAGTGCAGCAGACGGAAGTGAAACAAGACAGAGATCACGGTCATGATGACTAAGGTCAATCAGATGTCATAAATAGAAGCTTATTAGAGAACAAGTGTGCTATGACTGTAATATTACAAAACTGAAATATGAAATATTGATGTGCAATCTCTGCATCATGTTCTCATGTAGCTCTGAACTTCTGTATGTCTCAGGCTCTCTTTACCCTATCTAAGGTCAAGTGACTTTCAACAATAGCAGCAGTGGTTGTCTTATCTTACAACCTACAAGACCAAAGTCCAAAGCCGGTTAATTTGCCGCTTTTTGTAAGAATTTAATCTTTTTCTTGAATAAATCTATCAAAATCTTGCAACCTAACACTCACTCTATTACACTGTCTTTGTTTCTGATCTAGAAAGGAAATGAGAGGGAGATTTTCTTACCTGATATATTACTTCAATGCTGCCATTATTCTCTGCGGTTTGGAAAAAACACTCAGTGGTGCCAGCTGGTAATAGAAATGTAAATACCATGCCTTTGTTTGGTCCCATACCCAAAGTCAGGCCAACATTTAGAGTCAAACATGCCAGCAAACAAAGCTCTGCCGGTACAGCCCTCATTCTCCGCTTGTAGTTCATAGTCCACTTAAATCCACTTTGAGAAAATTTCTTCTACGTTACACATGAACAATAAGTCAGGGTTAAGATAAAGTCACTCGCTCTCATAATCCGCCAGTCAGTAACAAGTGCCTTCAGCAAACCTTCTTGAGAGGAGCCTCATCTGAGTCGGACTGGAGCGCTCTGAAGTCTGGACCGAGGCCGCATGCAAATCTAAGGAGAGGTGACAAGGTTCAGTTTGACCATGTGGTGTTTACTCTACCATAATGAGCCTGAGAGTTGTGGGAGTATCAAACTGGGAGTACACCAAGTAAAGGTAGATTTCTTATTTTTTTTCTACTGTTGCAGCTTGTAGCTCTTAAGGTAACGCTTTACTTGACACCTATCGCTATAAATATATGTATAATGAGTTACTGTATAGTGACATTAAAGCACTGTATAGCTATAGTTATTAACACTCATAAATGATCATAATGCTTCATAGCAATAATCATAACACATTATAAAGCATTTTATCAAGATTTACAAGGTCAGGTATTATAATGTGTTATAACTGTTCAGTGTGACAATGCCCACATAGATTATGCACTGTACATATATTTATGATGAATTATAATTTGCTTATAAACTTGTATAACTATCATTATAAACACTCATTAATTATCATAAGGCTTTATAACAATAAGCATAACACATTATAATACCTGACCTTGTAAGTCGTGATAAAATGCTTTATAATGTGTTATGATTATTGCTATAAAGCATTATGATCATTTATGAGTGTTTATTACTATAGTTTTACAGTGCTATAACATGATAATAACACATTATACATATATTTATAATGCGTTATAGAGATAGGTGTCAAGTAAAGTGTTACCGCTCTTTATTTTAATAATGTGAAAATCATCTGTTTTTATTTTCTGTCCTGTCTGCATTGCTCTTCTCTTTCTGCTAAAAATGTTGAACTGCTATACCTTCTTCTATTCACCAGAGGGAGCTGTGGAGGACAGCAGTCGAAATGCAGAACAAAGGGCCTCTTTATCACAGATGGATCAGGAAGGATTTGATATAAGAGAATAAGAACTTTCTTTTAATGGACAGAAACTTTGGAGAGAGATGCAGAAAGAGAGGGATAGATAAACAACAGCAACACTAACAACAAAGGTCATGTGATTTATGGCTACCTTGCAATAATAATGGTATAAGTATGTGTATTTTTTTTTAAATTATTTTAGCATTTATGATCTGTATCTGTGTGAAAATTTGGGGGGTTCAGTGTCATAGGATTTGTCATATGGACTACCTGATGTACAGGACAGCCAGCTTTTCAAATGAGAGAAGACCAACTAGTAGGGGAGACTGGGGCTTGTTGTCACATAGGAAAGTTGTCACATTGCAATTAGAAAACATGGTCAGGAATTACAAAAGAAAAACAGAACATGGCAGTGCAATACCTGACGTGATGCTAAGGGCAGTCAGGCAGGTGACCCTAGCTAATAAATCAATCTGGACTACAATAAAGGACTTTAATGTCAACTACAATACCTGGGCTCGGTACTGCAAACCATCAACCTCAGCCGAAATACAGAGTCAGACAGCTCTCCAAACTCCAGAGTATGGTGCATATTATTTTATATCAACGTTTGTTGGATGACTTTTTCGAGCTCAATGATAATCTTTTTCTGTGCCTGACTTTAATGTCCACTTTCATGTAAAAAAATGAGAACAACAATAATTTTGTCTTTGTTTTAATAGCTGCAAAATCCACTGTGACATCTTACCCAATGGTGGGGCAACATGTCACATGTTCACACTCTCTATTTGATTGCTTATAACTCTGCACTGACACAAGATATGAAAATGACATGAATATGAAATATATACCTGAGACTTTTGTCTTTCATGTGGTACACGTTTTGTTTATATAGGATGTATTAATTTCAAGATATATATAAGAGTGTAAAAAGTGTGACAACAAGCCCCGGTCTCCCCTACTGAGCAACAGCCGCCTCAAGCTTACAGCAGTTAATGTGATGTAAGTAATAGTCATTTGCTGATCATTCATGTAGAGGCAGTCTCTCCATGACTTTGCAGTTTCTTTGTGAATTCAATCCTTTTTATGCCACGCCAATCATCTGAATCATGGATTATACGCAAAACCACAGCCAGGTTTTTTTTTTCTTCTTTTTTTCCCTGTAATTACAAAGAAGAATGAATGCCTGACTCAGCAGTTCCTCATTCTGATACTGAGAAGTCAAGGTTTTTTTGCTCTTTATGAGGGTGTTTCAGACAATATCACTGTGAAAATCGTATTATATACAGGTACACATTGTGTTAGGAATGATTTACACCAAGCAGGTCAGTTTATATGAAATAATCCAGTCAGGGGTGACTATACCCTTCACCTCATGTTAGTCTTGTCTCATCCTACTATTCCCTTACTATACATAACCTCGCTCATTACCCAGTAATAACCAACTAAAAGCACCAACTAATGCAAGCTGATAAGATGATTTTGCTCGTTTGAATTTGATTTGTCGATAAAAATGACAAAGTCAGTTGGTTGAGGTTTGTGGCTGCTTCATATCTGTTTTCTTCAGTTTGGTGGACGTCTCCCTTGAGAAATGAGGGTGGTGCAGAAGCGCTAAAAACTGCAGTCCCCCCAAGTGCCCACTTGAGGCTGGCTGCAACAGCACGGTAAACCACGTACACGCTGAGCCAAAAAAGCTCACATCTGTGTTTGAAAACTTTGTTTGAAAAGTATTATCTCTGTTGGACTTGTTGGGTTAATATCAGACAGGATTTAACAGTGTCGCAACAATCTGGGACATTTTTTTTTACATGTCCCTGCCTCGTGACTCTACTGTTCACCCCACAACAAAGCACATTGTCAATGAAAAAGCGACAAGTTGATGAGATCTGGATCTGGAACTCCATTTTGGTCAACGGTTACCAGTGTCAGACGATGTGTCAAGCCACAGAGAGATTAAATGTGAGGGAGGAAGTGTGAAAAGACATGTTTCAACATTTCTATCACCGAGAAGTAGGAGGGTGTGGGGGGGTTAAAAAGCACTGTGCCTGGTCTCCCACTGAGTGAAAGTCGACATCTACCCTCATCCTTTTCTGATCAGTCTGGTTCTGCAGCTGAATTGGAAAGTTCACATGACCTGCTGTAATGCTGTTGCATTTCAGAGTTTGCAGTGACTCTGGTGGTGCTAGAGTTCTATATCTGAGACAGCTCTTCTTCTTCTGAATGCTCATGAGCTTTTCACTTAAACCAACCACAAGTGAGCCCACCCATTTTGCTACTCTGCCTTTTGTCTCCGTCTCTCGTGTCTCTATTGCCTCCTCCGTCCCTCTTGAGCAACACCAGCTGACAACTTCAGCAGGATATTTTAACACTTTTTTGGGGGGCTATCATAGAAAGTGCTTGAGATATGACAGAGTGTGGATATCCATCTGTGTATGTGGTGGACACCCATACCACCAGGCCTCCTCCGCTGCCACCCAGACTGAAACAGAAACAAGACCGTTCCGGGACAGTTCAGACCCTGTTGTTTCTGCTGGTGAGCTTGGCACTGTGCGGCATGGTCATTGAAGCCGTTTTGATCTTCCGCCTCCACAAAACCGAATCTGTGAGTATCAGCTTCATCTTCTTTGAGTCTGTGCACCTGTTAAACACACCTCCTTAAATGTTATCCTCTAACTTCTTATCGTCTCGGATTGTGCCTCTTTTATTTCTCACTTTATTCTGAAATCTAAGCTCATTCATCATCATCTTGTTCTCATTTTCAATGTCCTCTTCCCTTTTTTCTTTACTGTCACCGAAACCTCCAAAACTCCTGTTAAGATTGAAGTTGAAACTTAAATTTTCTGTTTTTTCTTTGGACTTTTTTTTAGATGTTTATTTTCTTGAAAATAAAACAAGACTAAACTATTTGATCTTTGATCTTAAATGAAACTATTTGAATTGAGTTAGACACATGTTGATAGAATTAAAGAAAAATGCCATTTTGGGATATTTTAAAGTATTATTAAAGCACATGGCAGACATTGCTCACGAGAAAGTAGAGAGGACTTTTTATTATTATTATTTTATTTGATTTTATTTTTTTAAATATTTTTTTCTTCAAAAAAGGACTAAACTATTTGATCTTTAATCTCAAAATTACTACTTGAATTGAGTTGGAAACATGTTAATAAAATTAAAGCAAAATGCCATTTTGGGATATTATATAGTATTATTAAGGCACACAGCAGACATCGCTCATGAGAAAGTCGCCAAGACATTTTAAACTTTGAAAGTTTTGAGTATAAAATAAATACATGGTGGACGTATACGGGCTGTCACCGTGTTGAAACATTGAAATATCTACACACTTCACAGGTGTACATGACACCTGCCTGAAACCATTCGCATTAATATCTTCAGTCAACCACCTCGTGATATCAACAAGTGTTATGACATCTGATCATATGAGCGATTGTTTTTTTTTTTTCGTTTTCTATCTCAAAACTGCTGACGATTAAATTATTTTACTATTAAGAGGAAGAACCTACGCACATTTGGAGAAGTACATGATAGCCCGGCCCATTTACAGGGAAATTCATTCAAGTCCAGATAGAGCAAGGGTTGCAGACTGGATTTTCCATGATGGCAAATGGACATTGCTTTATTTCAGTGTGACTCAGTTTCCTTTTTTTTTCTCTGGATGCTTTGAGGGCAGCAGACACTGGTCAGATAAACGGAGGGAGGGGTGGGCATGGCTCTCTTGGTTTGACATCATTTAGCATACGGGGTTTATATTGAACAATAAGTACTCTTCTGTGAAAGGACAATGGAAAAAAGGAAGTGGTGTATATCCTGTTGCATGAGAATCGGCGGACTTAGAAGCCTTTCCGACTTTGCACTATAAGATAACCTCAAAGTCAAACTTAAAAAAAATTTGATCTTTTTAAAGATCTTTTATACTCACTCTTCTGAGTTGTTTACAAATATTAAACTTCCCCTCGGGGATAAATAAAATTCTTCTTATCCTCACTTTACTTAACTTAATTTAACTTAACTTAATGTAACATAACTTATCTTATCTCAACTTAACATAATTTAACGTAACTTAACTTATCTTATCTTAACTTAACAAAACATAACTTAACTTATCTTATCTTAACACAACTGAACAAAACATAACATAACTTAACTTATCTTAACTTAACAAAACATAACTTAACTTATCTTATCTTAACACAACTGAACAAAACAACATAACTTATCTTAACTTATCTGAACTTAAGTTAACATAACTTAACTCAATTTAACTTAACTGAACTTATCTTAACTTATCTTAACTGAACTGAACTTGACTTATCTTAACTTAACTTATCTTATCTTATCTTATATTATCTTATGTTAAACTTCTATTGACATGGATTGCCATTGATTCCTTTTTAAATTATTTTTGCAGTCGGACTCCTCAGGATCACACTCCAAGATCATTGGCGGTAATTTTCAACAATTTTTTGCTTGAATAAAAAGTGCTTTACAGTCTTTGTCAGAGTTATCATGCCTGTTTTTTTTTTTCCACACAGACGTCATTCCCGCTGAGCGTCGACGTGACATTCTTCCTTCCAAACCACTTGCACACCTGACTGGTGAGATCATTGTTTATTATTCATCTATTTCTGCAGCAGGTGATTATGATTGCTGTATCAATTGAAGATTTTGTGGTGGGATGATAAATCTCAGTGGTGAAATGACCACACAGTGGCCTGAGCAAATATACAGTCCACTGTTTCAAATGACTCAGGCCTCATTTTGCTCTTGTTTGCTTCCCAGATGGACAAGATGCTGTCTATAAAAACCAGTACCTGGCATGGAGCAATGGAGACCCACTCATCCATGAGATGATCTACAAAGACAGAAGTCTCATCATTCAGAAGGAGGGGTATTACTATGTCTACTCCAAGGTTACCTTCACAGACATCAGTCCATTTAACCACTCTGTTCATGTAAAAACTAAACGGTACAAAGGGAAAAGTATTCCCCTCCTGGCCTCCAGGAAAAACCCAGGCATCCACACCTACAGCAGGGAAGAGTTGGGCAATCAGAAATCCAACAGTTTCCTTGGTGGGGTGTTTCACTTCTACGAAGATGATGCCATTTTTGTGAAAGTTAGCAATTCCTCTCAAGTTGTGAGACACAAACCCGAGGAGAACGTCTTTGGAGCTTTTATGCTATGAATATTACTCTGATACTCTCAAATTCATCTGCGAATGTAAGAGTAAAAAAAGAGGATAAAATGTCTCAGGGACTGATGAATCTCTCTGCAATGAAAAGAGGTCAGTTACAGGAAGGAGAGGGAGGTGTGAAACAGCTTTGTAGCTTTGAGGTTTAAGACCATCAGGCTGAGGACTGTACTTGTGGCTTTCTTAAGGGGTGAAGCTTTTTCATTTTGAATCAGGGTTGACGGTGTGACATTGTTTCACACTGTTCTTTCAGATCAGGAGCCCTTTATAAGCTCTCTTGTATATACAGAACTATCCAATGTGTATTTTATGAATTGCTTGTTCTTATTGATTTACATTAATCACAGATTATAAACACAAATGTTAGAATTTACACCTAATTTCTATCATGTCTTTTCATACCTGTCATAACATGTAATCTGTATGTTTATTTATTCCCTTTGTGTCAAAGTAAATTATGTAACTGCTTTGCAATTTTAAGTGTATATGTTTAATAATGTATATAGGAACAATTCAATAAATAAGTATTTGTTAAAAAGTCACGCCTGCTGGTTTTCTTTCTCATGCTCTAACATTGTTTTAGCTGCTTCTGTGTACACTTCCTGCTTAGTCAGGTGTGGACTCTGCAGAGTGGTCTCAGCTCTGGTCTCAAGTTTTCCTCCCACACAGTGCAACCACAAAGTGCACACTGTGTTCACATTGCACATTATTATCACACAATGAGATAAATACCCTGGCTGCATGTTGAGGTGTAAACCTCACTTAATACTAGAAACTCAAGGGGGTTATTTTTACCCCCTGCCGTTTTCAAATGCTTGTATTTCTATTATAACAAAACCCCACATCTTAAAGTCCATGACTTTTACTAAAATGGATTTATTAATTATTCAGTGAATTTCAGTGAGTGTGTGATAAAAATTAAAATAAAATCATTTTTACACCCTCATATAAAACATTGTATACAGCTGTCAATTAATACACAGTGCCACTCATGGTTGCTTAGCAGCGCTCATAGTTTTTTCTTATAGCTCATACTTATTATAGAGAAATATCTTATGTTGTTATTGTAAATATAATATTATTTGATCATTTCATTGTTTGTTGAACAGTTCCTACAGCTTGGTGATAAATGTAAAAATGTATAAATTTATGTGGGCAAGAGAGATTATTATTATTATTATTATTATTATTATTATTATTATAAGGGCCCGAACTGATGCTGCAAGCAGTGGGCAAGAGCCCTATTAAAATTGCAGGAATTATTTATCAGTATTATTGGCAAAAGTTTTTCAACTTAAAAACAACCCAGAGCGGCTCAAAAACTCACGAAATTTGGCAGGCAAGTAAGGCCCGTCTTAAATTATTATTATTATTATTATTAAACTATGATAAAAAAAAATCATTGTATAGTATGATATAAATGTCATAGTATACTGTGAAAAAAATGACATTTAAGTATGAAAAAAATATATCAAAGAATAGCATGTTAAAAATTTTCAAAGTATAGTATGATAAAATTTTCAAATTTGGTATGAAAAAAAGTCATAGTATAGTATGAAAAAAAAGGCCAAATTTTTGTAGAAAGTAATAAAATTTTCAATTTTGGTGTAAAAAAAATTATAGAAAAGTGTAATCAAATTTAAATTTTTAGTTTGAAAAAATGTCATAGGAAAGCATGTTAAAAATGTCATAGTTTAGTATGATAAAAATCTTGGTAAAGTATGATAAAAAAAATCATGGTTTAGTATGTTAAAAATGTCATTGTATACTATGAGAAAAATTTGACATTTTAGTTTGACTGATAACAATTTAATAGTGTAGTACAATAAAATATTATTATTATTTTTTTTTAAATGCCATAGTATAGTATGTTGAAAAAATGTCATAGTCATAGAGGATGACAAAAATTTCAAATTTTGAAAAGAAAAAAGGCAATGTATAGAATGACAAAAATTTTTTTTAACTTTATTTTACAAAAATGTCATAGTATAGTAAGTCAAAAAATAAATTATCATATTATAGTATAATAAAAATCGTGGTAAAGTATGATAAAAAATAAGAGTATAGTATGTTAAAATTTTTTGGTATAGTATGATAAAAATTTAAAAATTTGAAATGAAAAAAGTCAAAGTATAGATAAATAAAATTTCAAATTGTAGGTATGAAAAAAATTAAAAGTAAAGGATGATAAAATTTCAAATTTTATTTTGAAAAAATATCATAGTATAATATGTTATAAATTTCATAGTATAGTATGATAAAAATTTGTATTTGTCATTGTATAGTATGATAAAATTGTCAGAGTACAGTATGATAAAAGTATCATTTTTTATAAGAAAAATGTCATGGTATAGCATGTTAAATAATGTCATAATATACTATGATATAATTCATTGTAACGTATGATAAAAAAATCTAAGTAGAGTATTATAAAAATGTCATTGTATACTATGATAAAGATTTGACATTTCAGTATGAAAAAAATGTCATTGTAAAGAATTTAAAAAAAAGATCATTGTATGGTATGATAAAAAGATTAGGTGTGACATGGGCAACAGGCTGGTGTAATGGTTAGCTCTGTCACCTCACGGCAAGAAGTTCTTGGGTTCGAATCCTGGTCAGGCATACCATCATAAAAATGTAATAGTAACATATGTATAAAAAGTCATAGTATGATTAGAATCTCATTATATACTATGATAAAAGTTTTAATACTTTGTATGAAAATATCAGTACTTGAATACACCTTGTGGTGCTACCTGGACACATCGTCAGTGATGTTCCCGGGGTCATAGGGTGTTTCGGGTCTTACATCAGACACCCTCACCCGGGCGACCCAGCCGGGGTTGATCAGGCCCCGACTTGTGTCCAGGTAGCGCACTACGCCACGTGTCCCCCCTCCTTAACCAGAGCCACCGTGAAGCCTTTTCAGCCGCCTCCAGGATGTTCTTGGTGCCTCTTCGTCTGTGCAGCCCGCAAATCCCTAAGAGCCCCAGGACCCGGTGTAGAGACTGTCCTGCGAAGCCCCTGCAGCCCACTTCAATTGGCTCACAGCGGGCCTTCCACCCGTTCCGCCGACACTCCGCTACCAGGTCTGCATACCTGGCCCTCTTCCTCTCCTGGGCTTCCTCTACACGATCTTCCCAGGGTACAGTCAGTTCGAGCAGCACCACCTGCTTGCTTGACGCGGACACCAAGACCATGTCCGGTCGGAGCGATGTGACTGCGATGGTGTCCGGGAATCTCAACTGTCTCCCTAGGTCAACCAGGAGCTGCCAGTCTCTTGCTGTCGCGAGCAGGCCCCCTTGGGTCTTCCTAGGTGGTTGTGGCGTCTCACCTGCTCGGACAAAGGCGATGGAAGTCTTGGACGGGTGTTGCTGCTTGCTGCTGGTGATGCCAGAGCAGATGGTGTCTGCTACTGCCTTCAGGACCTGGTCATGACGCCAACGATAACGCCCGTCTCCCAAGGCCTTCGGGCAGCAGCTGAGGATGTGCTCTAAAGATCCCCTTCTCTGGCAGAGTTGGCAAGCAGGTGCTTCTACTAGGCCCCAGGTGAACAGGTTGGCAGGGCTGGGGAGGACGTCATATACTGACTGGACCAAGAACTTGAAATGGTGTGGCTCCGCCTTCCAGAGTTCTGCCCATGTGATCTTGCGGCCAGCTATATGTTCCCACCTAGTCCAGGCCCCCTGCTTGGACATGCCAACTGCTCTGCTGAAGCGAGCTTCCTCCACCTCGGCTCGCACCTCATCCTGGATGAGTCTCCGCCTCTCCTTGCCTCTGGCCTTGATGTAGCATGGCTTAGGATTGCTGCCAAGCCCGGCCCGACCAGTAGCCACTGTGCCCACAAGGGTGCTATGCTGCAACCTTGCCTCCGCCCGTTCCACTGCATCCTTGGCACGCCACTTCCTCCCTGTCCTAACCTCCACCCCTGCTGAGGAGACCTTGGTGTCAGCTGAGTCTCTGTAGAGCAGGACTTCTCTGGCTCTGGTGACCTTGAACTCCTCTGATGGACTGCTGAAAGGAAGTTGCAGCTTGGTGTTATGGCCAAAAAGAGCAATGCTGCTGAGGCTCCGTGGCAGGCCCAGCCATCTGCGCAGGAATCGGCTGACCTTCCGCTCGAAGCCCTCCACGGTGGTAATAGGGACTTCGTAAATTAGCATTGGCCAGAGGAGACGAGGGAGGATGCCATGCTGGTAGATCCAGGCCTTGAACTTTCCCGGGAGTCCCGACTTGTCCACTGCTGAGAGCCATGTGTCAAGGTCATCGCTGGTACCCTGCCGTGCAGCGGTGTCCTTCAGGTCGCCAGTAAAGAGCTTGCCCAAGCTCTTCACAGGCTTTTCTGACACTGATGGGATTCTTATGTCTCCCAGCATGAAGCGGAACTGGTCTGAAACTTTCCCTTTCCTCAAGACTAAGGATCTGGATTTCGCAGGCTTGAAGCTCATTCTTGCCCAACTGATGAGCTGTTCGAGGCCTTGGAGAAGCCACCTACATCCAGGCACTGAGGTTGTGGTAACAGTGAGATCGTCCATGAATGCTCTTATCGGTGGTTGCCGTGTGCCAGATCTGGACAGTGGACCTCTGCACTCAACTTCAGCAGACTTCACGAGCATGTTCATAGCTAGGGCAAACAGAGATACCGAGATTGTACAGCCGGTAATAATGCCCTTCTCAAGACGATGCCACTCCGATGTTGATGTTCCAGAGGACACCCTTAGACTAAAGTTGTTGTAGTAGTCCAGGATGAGATTGCGAATCTTCTCTGGAACATGGTAACTACTCAGGGCCACTTCCACCAGCTTGTGTGGTAATGATCCATAAGCATTGGCAAGGTCCAGCCACAGCACTGCCAAATCTCCTTTGTTCTCTCGTGCCTCTCTGATCAGCTGTGTCACCACCCCTGTGTGTTCGATGCACCCTGGGACCCCTGGGACTCCTCCCTTCTGCACCGAGGTGTCTATGTAGGTGTTTTTGAGAAGGAATCCCATCAGGCGATTGGAAACAATCTTGAAGAAGATTTTGCACTCAACACTGAGGAGGGAGATTGTCCTGAACTGCTCGATGTTACTTGCATTCTCCTCTTTAGGAATCCAAACGCCTTCTGCGTATCTCCATTGCTGGGGTACTCTCCCTCTCCTCCAGATGGTTCTCAGAATCTTCCAGAGACGCTCCAAAAGCCTGGGGCAATGTTTGAAGACCTTATAAGGAACTCCGCTCGGGCCCGGTGCTGATGAAGTTCTGGCAGATTTGATGACCTCTTTCACTTCCTTAAGTGTGGGTTCATTGATGTTGAAGAGGGTGCTGGGTTCTGGTGGACATATGAGGGCTGCACAGTGGCCAAGATCTTGCTCCCTCATCCCATCGCTGTAGGTGTTGCTGATGTAGCGGTTGATGACATCCTCAGGACATGAGAGTTGGCCACTGCGTTTCTCTCCCAGCAGCTTCTTTGTGAACTCAAAAGGGTTTGCGATGAAAGCACTACGCTTGCGGGTCCTCTCCTTTCCCCTCTTCCTATGCCACTCCGCACGCCGAAGGGTGGTTAGCCTCTCCCTCACCACATCCCTAAGTTCTGCCAGGGCTACTTTCTCCTCCTCATTTGCCTTCCTGTACCGACACCTAAGTGACCTCAGCTCTTGGCGGAGTTGGGTGATCTTGACCTCTCGTCGGTTAGGAATTGGTGTTGCAGTAGATGTCTTGGAGGTGCGATGTTCCTTGGTGCCAAACCTGTCTGAAGCGATGCTGATTATGAACGTGCTCATGGTTCGGAGCCTCTGGTCCACATCGCCCTTGGCTGTTGCTTCAAGGGCTGTGTCAACATCCTCATCAAACTGTTGCCAAACCGACTCTTTGTTGGCAGCAGGCCACAAAATCCGGCGAAGCTCTGATGGTCTGCTTTGGGGTGTAGCTTGTGGTGCTTGGAGGCACTGGGCACTGTGGTGTGTGTCCGGGCCTGGCTCCTCCTCCGTCTCACCAGGTACTGTACTGGGTACAGGCACTGTGCGTTGCATCAACAGCTTCCTTAGGCAACCCATCTTGGTCTGGTGTATTTTTAGACCAGTCGCGTTTTTGCAGACCTTGCCACATCTGCAGACTGCACTCGTAGTCGATTGTCCATTTGCATTGGTCATAACCGGAAAATCAGTCCGTTCGGGGCGCTCATTCTCCCCCCCTCTCGGGCGCCCCTGGGGGTATTTCTCCTTAGGGTTCTTCGTAGCGTAATTTTGGGTGCTCCCTCCCAGGAGCTGCAGTTTGGGGTGCTAACCCTCCCTGCCCCGGTTGCCGTCTCTCCGAGCTGCCCACTGACTCTCCAGTTGTCACCACCCTTTCGTGGTTGTCATCCAGCCTTTTCCTGGAAGCCAATGGCGATGCCATTTTGGATAAGTACTTGAATACACCTTGTGGTGCTACCTGGACACATCGTCAGTGATGTTCCCGGGGTCATAGGGTGTTTCGGGTCTTACATCAGACACCCTCACCCGGGCGACCCAGCCGGGGTTGATCAGGCCCCGACTTGTGTCCAGGTAGCGCACTACGCCACGTGTCCCCCCTCCTTAACCAGAGCCACCGTGAAGCCTTTTCAGCCGCCTCCAGGATGTTCTTGGTGCCTCTTCGTCTGTGCAGCCCGCAAATCCCTAAGAGCCCCAGGACCCGGTGTAGAGACTGTCCTGCGAAGCCCCTGCAGCCCACTTCAATTGGCTCACAGCGGGCCTTCCACCCGTTCCGCCGACACTCCGCTACCAGGTCTGCATACCTGGCCCTCTTCCTCTCCTGGGCTTCCTCTACACGATCTTCCCAGGGTACAGTCAGTTCGAGCAGCACCACCTGCTTGCTTGACGCGGACACCAAGACCATGTCCGGTCGGAGCGATGTGACTGCGATGGTGTCCGGGAATCTCAACTGTCTCCCTAGGTCAACCAGGAGCTGCCAGTCTCTTGCTGTCGCGAGCAGGCCCCCTTGGGTCTTCCTAGGTGGTTGTGGCGTCTCACCTGCTCGGACAAAGGCGATGGAAGTCTTGGACGGGTGTTGCTGCTTGCTGCTGGTGATGCCAGAGCAGATGGTGTCTGCTACTGCCTTCAGGACCTGGTCATGACGCCAACGATAACGCCCGTCTCCCAAGGCCTTCGGGCAGCAGCTGAGGATGTGCTCTAAAGATCCCCTTCTCTGGCAGAGTTGGCAAGCAGGTGCTTCTACTAGGCCCCAGGTGAACAGGTTGGCAGGGCTGGGGAGGACGTCATATACTGACTGGACCAAGAACTTGAAATGGTGTGGCTCCGCCTTCCAGAGTTCTGCCCATGTGATCTTGCGGCCAGCTATATGTTCCCACCTAGTCCAGGCCCCCTGCTTGGACATGCCAACTGCTCTGCTGAAGCGAGCTTCCTCCACCTCGGCTCGCACCTCATCCTGGATGAGTCTCCGCCTCTCCTTGCCTCTGGCCTTGATGTAGCATGGCTTAGGATTGCTGCCAAGCCCGGCCCGACCAGTAGCCACTGTGCCCACAAGGGTGCTATGCTGCAACCTTGCCTCCGCCCGTTCCACTGCATCCTTGGCACGCCACTTCCTCCCTGTCCTAACCTCCACCCCTGCTGAGGAGACCTTGGTGTCAGCTGAGTCTCTGTAGAGCAGGACTTCTCTGGCTCTGGTGACCTTGAACTCCTCTGATGGACTGCTGAAAGGAAGTTGCAGCTTGGTGTTATGGCCAAAAAGAGCAATGCTGCTGAGGCTCCGTGGCAGGCCCAGCCATCTGCGCAGGAATCGGCTGACCTTCCGCTCGAAGCCCTCCACGGTGGTAATAGGGACTTCGTAAATTAGCATTGGCCAGAGGAGACGAGGGAGGATGCCATGCTGGTAGATCCAGGCCTTGAACTTTCCCGGGAGTCCCGACTTGTCCACTGCTGAGAGCCATGTGTCAAGGTCATCGCTGGTACCCTGCCGTGCAGCGGTGTCCTTCAGGTCGCCAGTAAAGAGCTTGCCCAAGCTCTTCACAGGCTTTTCTGACACTGATGGGATTCTTATGTCTCCCAGCATGAAGCGGAACTGGTCTGAAACTTTCCCTTTCCTCAAGACTAAGGATCTGGATTTCGCAGGCTTGAAGCTCATTCTTGCCCAACTGATGAGCTGTTCGAGGCCTTGGAGAAGCCACCTACATCCAGGCACTGAGGTTGTGGTAACAGTGAGATCGTCCATGAATGCTCTTATCGGTGGTTGCCGTGTGCCAGATCTGGACAGTGGACCTCTGCACTCAACTTCAGCAGACTTCACGAGCATGTTCATAGCTAGGGCAAACAGAGATACCGAGATTGTACAGCCGGTAATAATGCCCTTCTCAAGACGATGCCACTCCGATGTTGATGTTCCAGAGGACACCCTTAGACTAAAGTTGTTGTAGTAGTCCAGGATGAGATTGCGAATCTTCTCTGGAACATGGTAACTACTCAGGGCCACTTCCACCAGCTTGTGTGGTAATGATCCATAAGCATTGGCAAGGTCCAGCCACAGCACTGCCAAATCTCCTTTGTTCTCTCGTGCCTCTCTGATCAGCTGTGTCACCACCCCTGTGTGTTCGATGCACCCTGGGACCCCTGGGACTCCTCCCTTCTGCACCGAGGTGTCTATGTAGGTGTTTTTGAGAAGGAATCCCATCAGGCGATTGGAAACAATCTTGAAGAAGATTTTGCACTCAACACTGAGGAGGGAGATTGTCCTGAACTGCTCGATGTTACTTGCATTCTCCTCTTTAGGAATCCAAACGCCTTCTGCGTATCTCCATTGCTGGGGTACTCTCCCTCTCCTCCAGATGGTTCTCAGAATCTTCCAGAGACGCTCCAAAAGCCTGGGGCAATGTTTGAAGACCTTATAAGGAACTCCGCTCGGGCCCGGTGCTGATGAAGTTCTGGCAGATTTGATGACCTCTTTCACTTCCTTAAGTGTGGGTTCATTGATGTTGAAGAGGGTGCTGGGTTCTGGTGGACATATGAGGGCTGCACAGTGGCCAAGATCTTGCTCCCTCATCCCATCGCTGTAGGTGTTGCTGATGTAGCGGTTGATGACATCCTCAGGACATGAGAGTTGGCCACTGCGTTTCTCTCCCAGCAGCTTCTTTGTGAACTCAAAAGGGTTTGCGATGAAAGCACTACGCTTGCGGGTCCTCTCCTTTCCCCTCTTCCTATGCCACTCCGCACGCCGAAGGGTGGTTAGCCTCTCCCTCACCACATCCCTAAGTTCTGCCAGGGCTACTTTCTCCTCCTCATTTGCCTTCCTGTACCGACACCTAAGTGACCTCAGCTCTTGGCGGAGTTGGGTGATCTTGACCTCTCGTCGGTTAGGAATTGGTGTTGCAGTAGATGTCTTGGAGGTGCGATGTTCCTTGGTGCCAAACCTGTCTGAAGCGATGCTGATTATGAACGTGCTCATGGTTCGGAGCCTCTGGTCCACATCGCCCTTGGCTGTTGCTTCAAGGGCTGTGTCAACATCCTCATCAAACTGTTGCCAAACCGACTCTTTGTTGGCAGCAGGCCACAAAATCCGGCGAAGCTCTGATGGTCTGCTTTGGGGTGTAGCTTGTGGTGCTTGGAGGCACTGGGCACTATCATAGAATTGTGTGATAAAAATATCATAGAATGGTATGATAAGAATGTCCTAGTATAGTATGATAAAAATTTCACATTTTAGTATGAAGAAATGTCATACTATACTATGATGAGAATTTTACATTTTTGGTATAAAAAATGTCATAGTATAGTATGTTAAAAATGTCATAGTATAGTATGATAAAAAATGTCATAGTATGGAATGTAATAAAGAATCATAGTACTGTATGATAAAAATTATAGTTTAGAATGTTATAAAAAATCATTGTACAGTTTGATAAATAGATCTTCTGTGACATGTGCAGCACAATGGTGTAATGGTTAACACCATTGCCTCACAGCAAGAAGTTCCTGGGTTCGATTCCTGGGTCAAAATGACCCCCCTCTGCAGTTCTCGAGGAATTTGAATGTTGGTGGTTCTAGTGTAAACTACAGTGTGTCCATGCTGATATGAAGTGTCACTTTATTAACTCATGTATTTGTCATTGTTCAGAGGGACAATGAAACTTACTCTGCACACTCATATAGGTGCGCTTATTGACCTAAGAGTTAATCCGTTGCCATAGTAACAAGTTTGCCATAGTACAAGCAACAGGTTTGAAGCTTTTTTTTCCCCCCTGTAACTGTCATTCAGTCACTGTTACGTTTCTTTTCAGCTGAGTCTATTCGAAGAAGCCGTTCACATCAACACCTACACGCTTGTATATTTGTAAACTGAAAAGGAAGTGGTGGTGGGGGCTGCTGGTGGAAGGGAGGGGAGGGGGAGAGGAGGGGAGGGGGGGTGTGAGCGGCAGGTTGACTGACTCACTTTCCAACCCCAGGCCTGGAGACCACGACTGATGAGAAAGTACTGTTACAAAATGATGTGTGTGTGTGTGTGTGTGTGTGCGTGTGTGTGTGTGTGTGTGTGTGTGTGTGTGTGTGTGTGTGTGTGTGTGTGTGTGTGTGTGTGTGTTCAGATGGATTTGAAGAAAGCCTGAAGTTTTTTTTTCCCTTTGAGTAACTGGTATCAGTATTCAAATCTGTAACCACTCTGAGGTACAACTCATTTAATAACTAGCTAACCATGTTATGTATCTGCCAAACATTAGGCGACCTTGGCTTCGAAGTTTCTCACAGTATCCGTATGTTCGAAACCTCTCAGTGGAGGCGTGAGTCACTCTCTTTCCAGCGCTGGCCGACCTGTGAGGTGTGGTAGCAAAGGAAGAGGAGACTTGGAGTTCATGTCTCTGGACTTGACTTTGACGGTGACTCTGTGTGGGTGAGAGCACTCTCCAGTTGACAAGGATCACGCACAAATTACTCATACCTCACACATTTGAAGAGGAAAATGTTCCATTGATGAAGAGGAGCTGCTGTTTTAGGTCATTTTGCTACCATGAGGTAAAACGTGTGAAGCCCGTGCTTCTGCAAATCAGAAGTGAAAGGTGGTCATGACTCAAAATCCACAGCTTTATACTGTCACCTTGTGTTTGTCTGAAGCAGGTGGAGGAAACTAGAGTGCTGGTATAGATAGACAGTGCATCTATTTAGAGGGTTAGTTTTATTTCTTAGATAAAATGATAAACACAGAAGCTTCTCTCCTCACTCTTTTGGTCTTTATATCCAGTCTTGCTTGCCCCTTCCGTTCTCCAGTCCTACAGACCCATGCTATACAGGTTCTCGAGGTGGCTTTTCAACAATGGGACTGAACTGGGGTCTCCTGTGGGCAGTGTGATAGTTGAGTAACCCAAGTCAACTATAAAGACCTTAAAGCTGCTGCCAGATCTTTGTGAATGTTGGCGCCTCCTAGGGACATAGTTGGTTAGATAGATAGATAGATAGATAGATAGATAGATAGATAGATAGATAGATAGATAGATAGATAGATAGATAGATAGATAGATAGATAGATAGATAGATAGATAGATAGATAGATAGAAATGATGGAAAGTCATCATCAGGGTTGTCACAAAATCTACCCTGTAACTTTACTCTGAAACACAACTATCACAAATTTTGTGGTGGAAAACAAGGGCAAGAAAAAAGCCACCCACTCAGATACCGGAGACAGAGTGGGCAGAGTGGATCTCGTCTGTGATCTCTATTAGAGTTTGACATCTTGGATATCTGTTCAGTGTAACTGGAACTTGTGGTCAAAGTAGCTAATACAAGGGGGTGGTATTGCTCTGGGTTTTTGCAGATTGAGGTTTGGAAATAAAGTGTTTGTTCTCAGACAAACTTTGATAGTATGGAAAATGCATGTCTTGATTCTGATGACTCATAAGAAGTTCCTTTGACCTTTTGTGAGCCGTATCACTATCGCTGCCCTGAATTTGAGTAGATTTTATGTCAGATGTCTGTATGTCTTTTCTGTTGTTTTGTCAGAGTCTGGTGGGATTGTTCTTCGAAAGCGTACGGCAGGGAGGGTCCCGCTGTTTCTGTCTATTAGTGATTCATAAACTTCAAGGTTTCGCTGTTAACTTATGACCTCTCACTTTCACTTTTTCAGCAGGGTCTCTCAAATGACTCATTGTCGTAAGCACTTATCAGTAAGTCTGATTTTATTTTAGAGACATCAAACAAAACAGGAGTTTAAATACAGATTTTAATGACACAGTTATATTTTCATTCGGAAGGAAAGAGTTGTGTTGATATCATCAGATTTAGAGACATGTGTCTAAAAACTTTTGACACTAATGCAACATGTTTTTCAATGTGTGACTAATGTACACTCATCAACAGGGGAGAGAGAAGTTCGGTTTAAAAACAACTGAAAATCATTCATAAAACCAAACATCTCCCACAACTTTATTTCACAAACGAAACCTTTGGCTTGAACCACCACAAACTGTGATTTCATGTCTCATAACATTTCACAAACGTGGTAAAAGAGGCTCTTTTCACTTTCCGTTCAAAATTCCAAAAATGAAAAATGAAAACCATCATACGTGATGTGGTTGTTTTGGCTAAGCTGACAAATATGTTTATTCAGCTTCTTTCCAAAGATTGCGAAACATCCTGCATAGACACGTCTACATTTATATATGAAAAAAACGACATCGACATTTTCAAACATTCACTAAAAAAACATTTTCCAACAAAGTTTGGAGTTTCCGAAACTCTATATTATTGCAACAATTAATCAAAGAAATACATTCATTTTGGTGAGCTCTGAAATAAATATACGTATCTCACACAATGACATACATTGTCACACAGTGACGTACATTCATGAGTTGTTTGCTGATACGTTCAATAAATGTTGTCTCTAAAATAAATATGCAGGCATATTTTACAACTTCAGAGGTACAGTGTGTGGTATTTGGTGGAATTTAGCATAACAGACTTGGTACGAATGGAATACAGTATTGATAAGTATGTTTTAAATAGTGTATGACCACATTAATGATAAATTGTGGAGTTACATTCAGCCTTTTTTATATCAACCAGCATCATTTGTCTTTTTGTATTGAGTGAGGGGCCACACAAAATGCATTGGTTGAAAGATGAAGAATAAAAAGGTTGTTATTGTGGGCAAAAGCATTTTTTCTGACTCATATTTATGGTAAAAACTTCGAGAAATGATCGAGAATCTGACCTCTAGTTACTGCTAAACATTCCCAATTCTACACACTGTACCTTCAGTATTCTAGAGCCAAACAATAAATTAATATAGAATTAAAAATATATATGATATAATAAAAAAATATATAAAAAAGTTCTAAAATTTAAAAAAAATTAAAGAAATACATCAGCACCTGTCAAATTGGAGGAGTACAAATCACACAGAGATGAGGTTTCTCATTAAAATACATTCTTGCTCTGAACTTTGGATTTCAGTAGCTTTAAAAAATAATAAAGAAAAATCAAACAAGTAAAATCTGTCCACTGTGAAAAAAAGACTTCATCGACGAAATGTTAAAATCATCTCTGTGAATAATCCATTCTGCTACACGGGTAAATCCCCCAACTGAACATGCTGGTTGTTGTTTTTTTTTTGTTGGTAAGCACACAAAACAGAAGTTCACTCAGCGTGAGCTGCAATGCAGATTACCTACTGTGCCTACCAACACATTTGGAAGCTGATATTCATGTAAATTCTGATTGAATGGGGATTTATTTCTTCAGTCAGGTGTTATCTTTATTTAGTTTTGTTCTATAAAGCACAGCATTATTGAATTCAGCCCTTTAGATGCTCTCTGTGACTCAAACACAAATGCTGATTTACTGATTTAATGAAGACAGAGGTCTGTTTGGTGACAAGAGAACCAAAAGTGCACTTACTTGGCATCTGGACATGATTTAATATGAAGTCATGAAGATGACATCCAGGTGGGTGGAAGACTCTGTTGTATCTACATTATGAGCAGACGAGTTGAAGGTGACCTCCAGAGTGCCGCTAGTCAGTTCTACAACCTTGGCGAAACTTGTGCTGCATGTGTTTCTGTTGATCCAACCCTGCATGATTTCTCTGCTTTCCTGAGAATCATTTGTCCATTTTAAACTCACTTTGATGTCCTGAGGTGAAGTATCATTACATGTCTCCAGCTTCAGCTGAAGGTTTATGAAGAAGTATCCATCGTTGTCAATGGTCAGGGCGTCTCCTTTTTCTGAAAACAGGCCTGTAACGGGATTTAGTGGGACCCATTTGAGCGTGCGGTTTTCTGTGGGTGACAGGGTAGCTGTGATTAGCTGGTTACTTGTTTATTCAAAATATATGTTGAGTGATATAAAGCTATCAAACTGTTTCAGTTAAACAGAAAGGAGTGTGTTTGCCGGATTTACACATTACCTGACTTTGATAATATGTGCAGGGGTGGAAAGTAACTCATTACATTTACTTAATTTAAAGTAAATTTTCACCTTTTGGTGCTTTTGTACTTTTAAACCAGTTTTTAAACTAACTTTTTTTCCTTTTACTTTGTATTTTCTTTGAAAAGTATTGTATAAACTACATTTTACACAGCACCAGTTACTGAGTGAAGAAAACACCTATGAACAAACAAGCTTTTCATCGACTGCTTGCCAGCCAGCTGATTGGATAACATCTACACTACAAATACTCAAATCTTACCAGGTTTATTTCTCTCTTTTCCTCTTAAAAATCTCATTATACTTAGTTGAAGCTGTGCTGATGTGACAGAGACAAATATAAACCTTGTTTTAAGATATGTCAAGGCAATATTTTCTTGTTCCTATAAGTTTCTTGTTCTTCTCTGACAACAAAAACACTCAATACCGTCACCCTGGATATGTGAAACCAACAGTGAAGTGCGGAGTCACTCACTTATACTGTTGTTGGTCAATCTTTCTCCCCACATCCTCACTTGGATGTGTTGAGAGTAAGAAAAGTCCTTTCGCTTTTCAGAGCAGATTCTGTCAGTTTCACTCCCTCAAAACAAACTTTCAGCTGGGTACATTATTTTAGTCTCCTTTCCACCCCTGAGTGTATTTATTTTCGACAGCTTTTGATAAATAAAGTCCTGAGTCACATGCTGACAGCCTTTGTCATACATGCTGAGAAAGCAAATTCTCCAAGGAGGATCTCTTTACCTTTTTCAGCCTTAAAGGTAAGCATTTTGCCTTTTCCCAACTTGACCTGATTCTTTGGACAAAAACAGAAAGAAGAAAAGATTCAGTTATCTCAAAGTTTAAATCAGAATGAAACATTTGACTTGACGTAGTTGCGTGTCTTTCTCGACTCACAAACACCTCCATCTATTGGATGAGAACCAAATACACAGTACTATCTTTAGACGAAAACGAAGGAACCAAAGTTTAGTGTAGTTGCATTTCCCCGAATGTGGTAATGACGTCAATGTGCTTCCTCCAAGACATGAGGAGAGCGGTTAGACTGTCTCAGACTTGAAGTTACATCTGCCTCGTCTGCAATATCTGAACTATGTAAACATTATATAACCTTTACGATACCATGACCTTTTCCTTACTAACATACATATTGACTCAAAAAGAATTTTTGTACAAACTCTATAGCAGTAGTTTTTTCTTACCAAGGGTTCGTTCCCCATGTGAGGCATGGGGATCCTTGTATCTACAGCACTGCAGTTCTGCGGCTGGAGGACAGAAAGAGAGGCAGAAGATAGTCTCAGTAACTATTACAACCGATAAATAGTTCAATTAAATGTAAGTTGACTGAACTGTTGGTGCAAAAGTCATTCAAGTCCTCACTGTGAACACTTTCTGAGCTTTAATGTCAAACATTTCATATCATTGGTATCATCAGGTAAAGATTAGTCTTAAAGATTTCTATCTGATATTGTTCTCAATTTTCACTGTCTGGAAGTCCCAGTAGGGGAGAACAGACCACAGGCAGGGGCGTCTTTCTCACCAGCTGTGCTACTGCCAAAACCACATGAAAGAACCGATGTCTTGTGCAGGTGTTTTAACACAATACATGTGCCAACACTCATTTTGTACTCAGATAAATTCTCGAAAGGTGATCACACAGCTGCCTACAGTTGTAAATAGAAGTTTTTTTCTTGTTATTACTGATTGAAAATACTCTAGACTCAGTATGAAGGTGTGAAACATGAATCCTCACCTTGTCATGATGTCCGAATGTGAAGAAGTAGGTGAAGAACACAATCTGGATGATGGAGAGGACGGTGATCCACAGCAGGAGGAGAACTTGGACGAGAGAGCGCTGTGCAGGCTGTGGCATCGTCAGTCTGAAAAGGCAGAGCTCAGAGTCGCCGGAGCCTGGGGAGTGCAGGAAGACAGAACTGGTGACTGTACACGTCCTGAGTTTTGTCTGCTGTGCACCAAAGGCACCCTGTTTCTGTCTGTGTGTGCCTGCGAGTCTGCTTCCTGAGCTCTATGTGTGCATGTGATAAAGGAAGTTTTGATATCTGACTGCGATCAGCCGTACCCTGAGTATCTATAGAGCAGAAGCACTCACAGGAATCCAGATGGTACTTTCCCCTGTCTTTGTTACAGAAGGCAAAAACAGCGGGCCAAAGTTATATCTGCATCGTGGGGCTGGCCCCTCTCTCCTACTCACTATAAATCTCACAAATAGAGGAACAGATCTCACTAGGAAGGAAGGAGTGCAGAAATTTGACTGAAAGTCATTCCAAGCTGAATCACTCACTTCCTCTTTTATAATTAGCCTTTATGAAGAGTGTGTAAGAGGTGATGTACTGTCCTTTTTTACACGTTTTTTTTTTATTATAGCCTTTCCCTTGCTATTTTTGCACCTCCATGACAAATTTGTTCATTACTCAAAAGCTTCTGCAAGCAAACTTTATGTTTGTGACAGCTTTTGTGTAGGCAAAGTGATATCTATTATATCTTTGCTAAACATGTATATGAAGTGTCCAGACTGAAAAATCATCATGCTTTCTTCCACAAATCAAATATACATATTATATCATATATTATTCATATCTATTACCCAGTGTGAATATTTGCCATGGAAAGCCTGTCAAACGTCTAGTCTTACTCCCACCTTTGTGTTGGTTACAGACATGAAAAAAATACTGTATAGAAACTCTTAATCTCATTGCTGTTACTTAGTCATAAGAAGGCAGAGTTTTCATTTTCTGTGGGTTTTATAACCAGTGAAACTTCCTTTACAGACACTTTAAACTACTCTGAGGGTTAGGGTTAGATACTGTGAATGATAAACTACACATTTAAATGTCTACTTTTGTCACACAAAGAAAAGAAAGATAAAGACCAAAGATAATGTTGTTATGGCAACATACTGTATGTCAAGGTGTCGCTTTTACACAGCTGAAGTTCATGAATGAAAAATGAAGCCCTCTGAAGTGCATCATTTGACATTCTTTAAAAAAGCTTAGACATGCATAGTCAGGAGCAGAAAAACAACAGACATAAACCCTCAGATTTCTTTGGATTGCTGCTGCTGCTGACGTCTTGCTCCTTTGGACCCGAATCAGTCTCACCTCTTTCAACACTGTTGTTTAATATTATTTCTTATTATCATTAACAAAGCTAAAAGTTCACTTTTTTATACCTTCTGCTTTCATTGTTTTTAATTCCAACCACCATGACTGACCTGTTAATCTTTGTTAATCTTTGTTAATGCAAATGCTTTCTTTGCTGCGCTATTACTATGCACCTGTTGACGTCAAGTTTCCATTAATCACATCAAGATGAGTCCATTATCATCATCGGAGCGTTTCTGCAAATAGTGCATAAACTAGTTCCATTGTCTCTGGTATCGTCATTATACATCTTTACGTACTAATGTTGTTTGTCTCAATTCATTTCTCTCTCTTCCTCACTGTATCTAACTGTATTCCCGTATGTAGGGAATACAGCCTAACCAGTAAAGGTGAGCTTTAGCCCTGACAGGCCTGGCCCTGCCTTCCCTACCTTCAATAGACCTCTATGCTAATTGGGGGATCATGTGATAGCAGTTACTATCAGTGGGGAAAGTGGCAAAGCTGTATGGGTTTTGTTGTGGTATAAAGAGGTTCTGCTTTTGGTTATGATGGGCTGTCATAGGAGCCGTCATAGAGAAGGTGGCTCTAGGATGTCAAAACTAATTGGTAAATCCCCGTTAAAAATTGTCTACATAATTCTACCAATCAAACTAAAATGGGTTTGTCCTAACTTTAAAGAGTAAGCGCTTAAGAAATCACATGTATCTGAGATCTAATCTAGCAAAGCAAGATAGTGGAAGAAATGCATCAAAACCAAAATGTGTTTGTTGAATCAAAGTAGAACTCACAAAATGTCATTGTGTCTTGTTTACTATTTGCACTTCTTGAAAACTTCCACCTGCACACAAATTCTGGTTGAGGTCAGTGGATGTGGTTTCACTTTCTTTCTTCGTAGGCTACTTGTACCGTCTCGGGGAAAGTTTTTGACAGAAAAACAGGACGGTCTTTGGTTCAGGTATGTGTCATCAGGCATAAATCGAAAAAATGATACCTCTTGGTTCCTTGTATGACTGGCAGTGGTCACAACAATAAAAAAACGTGCCCAGGCATGTTTGTGACACTTACCTCAGAGTGTGTGAAACTTAATTCATACAGCAGAAGAGTAAAATTTGACTCTGGCTGGATAATAACAGGGAGAACTGATCATTTGAACTGGACTGGAAAAGCAGAAGTGCAGTTATCGTTACTAAGCAGTCATGTGTACACTCCCCTTACTGTGAGAAATCCCTTTGAGTTGCGTACGTGTGATGACAAACTTTATTAAAGGCCGAGGGGAAAGAAACTGCTTCATCAGGGTTGTAATGTATTTCTGTATTTTCAGGTGATGCAATGTTTCCAAACACCAGCTAAGCGACTGTAGTTTCAAAGACTGAATCATCGTTTCACAAGATATACAAAAAAAGGTGTTTATGCAGGAAATCATCCAGACTGACTTTTATCTGAGTGGAAGTGAAGGGGAAGTGTGACATTAGGCTCCATTAGTAATGGTTTCAGTGATATGAGATGTTTAAAGAGGGATAGAACTCAGACCAACATTACCTGGAGGCGACAAAATCAAATATTTCACACCCTGATAGTAAGTGTGAAACAAATAGTAAGTGTGAAACAAAAAAATACAACATCGGGAGATTTATTAAGAACCGCATCAATGATTGAATGTCTGGATTTGATTTCCTTTGTTATGTGTCGACCCCACTAAAGGGAGGATAAATCATTATTACTCTCTCCAGCCACTCCAGTTAAATGTGAGCCTGTTAGAAAGCAATAAATCCTGTGGTCCAAAATAATGAGATGGCCGGTGTCCCATCTTTCACACTGGCGCTGTGTAAGAGGGATTGTAACTCACAACACATGCAGCTTGGGATGTTGCCAGGTGTAACGCAATGAAGGAGGCCAAACAGCCTCATCAATCGCTTTGACAATTACAGCAAACTCTCTACCGTCAGGTGTGCACAGACTGTTAGAGCTGTGCCACACCATCCTGATTTTGATTGCTTCTAATCTCATCTCTCATCTCTTTCTTACTGTTGACCTATCTGAGGTCAACGGTGACACAGAAAATGAGCCTCTTGCAGCAGTAGGTGTGTGAAGATTGCAGCGGACTTCACTCAGCTCAACCACAGACAGTTGTTAGTCTGTTTGAAACTTTAAAGATTATAGAAGGAGATTAAACTGGTTCATTAGCGTCTCAGTCGTGAGTATTATGTTATTAAACAAAAACAACAAACGTTGAGTTATGAAGTGACTGCATGTGCAGGTTTGAGTTGTGTTTTTCTTTATTGTGGTGGGATTCAGTGGGTGGGGGTGGGCCCTGCCGAAAACATTTTGTAGTTTGTTTTCAAGCCACTTGAAGTGAAGTGAAACCTTTACTTTTTACTCTTTCTATACTCCTTATTTTCCTCATATTTATCATGTTTTCATACTATCACAGAAAATTCCTCATCCAACTGATTCTGATCAGAGTGACAGTACTCAAAAGGTCTTCAGGGATCCAACAAAGTCTGCAGCATCAGTCTGGGTGAGAGTTACCCCTGCGCTGTCAGAGAACAGCTGGAGAAGGTAACACCTCTGAACATGAGGGAGTAAGAGTGAACCAAAGGTAATATGACTTAAGTATCACAGGTGAATTTGTTTCATGCTTAAGTCCTTTCCTGAAAAAAGTACTGTGTACAGATGAATGCTGAGAGAGTTGTTGTTGTGTGAAAACAATTTGTGATAATGGATGTCTTTTATGGTAAAAACTTGACGTATAGGATCATACTGATCCTGCGTTAGAGGAGCTGACTGTCCTCGAGGGCCACTAGCTCTTCAACAGTATGAGAGGTAAGCAGGACCTGTGCCCTTGGTATGACAGGATTGACTATATGATGATTTATGTTTTAGGAAACAAGACTGTGCGATGGCAGCTCTTAAAATTTACTTTAAAATTCAAGGAAAATATACCAAAAGCAATACCAACAATAAAAACAATGGTAACACTTTACAATAACCATAATTTATAAATGGTAAACAGATAGTTTATTAATGTTTATTCATCATTTAAAAACAGCATATAGACCAATTATAAATGGCAAATAGATAGTTTATCAATGTAAGTTAATAGTTACTTTACCATTAACAAGCAATGACATTATGATTAATAATTTTTATTAATTATTAATGGACTATTTATTAAAGGTTTATATAGGGTTTGAATATTGGTTGTAAAACATCTAGATTTAAATGTGTGTCAGTGGTTAATATTTGATTTTTAAACCATCTATAAACATTACTTAGATGGTTATTCTAAAGTCAGGGCTTTGTTTTTAAAATTGTAAAATTCACAATTTATCAATGGTCTATATGCTTAATAAATAATGATTAAACAATCATAAACTACCTGCTTACCATTTATAAATGGTCTATTTACCATTTATAAGTTATGGTTATTGTAAAGTGTTACCAAAACAATAGTGTGAAATAAGCCTGACTTGTTTAGAACCTCTTCCTATCATTATGAAACACTGGTCGGTAAAACCTACACAAATAGCTTACCGTAAGCAAGTTCCTCAGTCTGTCATATGATGAAACATAGTTCAGTAAAATATGCATAATATGTTCTTCAAACTGAGTCATATGATGCTAGTATGTCACACCATTGACAATATGTCAGCAGCATGCGGCGTGACCAATATGACATATGGGCCTCATTTGCACGCCACCAGTATGCCACTACACTATTTTGTATTGATAATGTTGGTCTAGCGTGCAGATGTAAACAAAGATATGTATAATTCTATCAGTTTGCATACTCTTGACCTTTGGTACGCTGTAACACATGCCATTACCATGAAAACAACATAAAAAGGGTAACACTTTACAATAACCATAACTTATAACTGGAAAATAGACCATTTATAAACGGTAAGAAGATAGTTTATTAATGTTTAATCATCATTTATAAATTGAATATAGACCATTAATAAATTGTAAATTTCACAATTTTAAAAACTAACCCTAACCCTACAATAACCATTTAACTAATGTTAAAGGTGGTTTATAAACCACTTATTGATGATTTACAAAGTATTACAAACATCAGTTGCAACTTTACAATAACCATCTTAGTAATGTTTGTAGATGGTTTAAAAACCAAATATTAACCATTTATGAAGTGTTACTGACACACATTTAAATGTAGATGTTTTACAACTAACATTTAAACCCTATAAAAAGCTTTAATAAATAGGCCATTAATAATTGATAAAAAATTTCTTATAATTTCATTGCTTGTTAACTATTAACTTACATTAATAAACTATCTTTTTGCCATTTAAAATTGGTCTATATGCTGTTTTTAAATGATGATTAAACATCTATTTACCATTTATAAATTATGGTTATTGTAAAGTGTTACAAAAAATATATTACCCAAGGATAAGCCACAGGTTGGAAAAAAAAGGTGGGGTATTGCCCATGAAAATAATAGAAATATTATCATTGAAATACTGAGTATATAGATATCTCTCTTATCATTTTTGCTGCTACTAATAGAAAATTCAAACATGTCTTCATTTTTTATTCTTATTACAACTGTGAACACAAGTCCACTAACACACGTGTAGCCTCATAAATACAACAAATGCTGTGTCTGTGTTCATACACCAGGTGGCAGGAAAGCTCCAGTTGCCCCAGTCAAACCCTCTGCTGTGAACAAGCCTTACTGAATAACAAACAACCAGTAGGTCAGTCACGTGGCATATCAGCTAATTGATTGATGAACAGATAAATCATGATGTAACATGCACTGAATTAACTTACACGGTGGTTTAATAAGCTCCCAGCTGGAAAAGACCTCGCCCCATGTGTGCCGGGCTACTTGTGTCTACATTCCCAGGCAGAGCAAAGTCAAGTCAATATTGTGGAAAAATCAAATTGCCTGTCTCGCATGTAGCTGGGTAATGATCCTGTGATTAATTGACAATAATTACATTGGAAAAAAATACAATTTAAGATCATACTGAAGTTTATAAAGGGCTCTTTGTTTAGATGGCAGAGGGAGCCAACAATGCTCCATCTGTTGCATTTTAGCCTAACGGGATCTCCCTAAGAATAGCTGTGAATGACTGTTTATTTTCTGCATTTAAAACAAGCTCTGATGTAACTTTTACCACCTGTATTATCTTTCATGGGAAGGTTAGGTATTGTATGTGAGAAGTTTCCTCATGGGTGGGACGATAATGGATCATGAGACATCTTAATGAAGATGGGCAGTCATTATACAGCTGTCAGTTCAGGTGAACGGGACATGGTGTGATCTCCAACCTCATCGTTTCTCATCGATTTTGTCGGGATTTGCCGCTGAGGCTTTGAGGACTGTGTATATCAAGCTACACTGAATAACACCGGAAGTTGAGAAACTCCAAAACCAAATGAAATCTCTCAAACTTGCTTGAATGACATTACAGTTTTTCTCAGCCACTTTGGTGCATTTCTCAGATCAGAATGAAAGTTCTCATGACTAGTAGTTCAACCTCCACAACACTGAGTCATTTACACACATAACTGTAGCAGTTTGTCATTCCTCTGAACAAATTGAAAATGCTCTTGGACATGTATCTGTTACTTTTATACAATTATCTGCTGTTTTATAACATTATCATTTGCTAATGTCATGTCAGTCAAAATGAACTATACTTATGAATACTGAATAGTCATTCCCTATAAAACTAATAGTCCACATTTCATTGTATGAGCCATTACATACAAAATTGTTGAACTAGTTCTCAAAATCTGCCACGTGGTTTCATACTTTCCTTTATCATTTTTTTATTTTTCCTGAAAATGTTTCCTAAATTGAACAAATGCTCTCAGGTGAACCTCAGCTTTCACTCATGAGTAGGTATGTGAAGCATGAACCCTCACTTGGCAAGCATATATACACCAACCAGGACTTGGTGTGAAACCTTTTCTACAACTCTGTGACATAAAAATGGAAGGCCAGCATTAACAGTAATACAGTTATCCAATCCAATCCAATCCGCTTTATTTCGATAGCACATTTTAAAAAACATTGAAGTCTATCAAAGTGCTACAAAATAAAATTAAAAGAACAGACAATACTGTCAAACATCAAGATGAAATAAATATTTGCTTTGCTTAAGGAATCAACTATTCATTTTGAGGAAATGATGGGCTTTTGCAGGTTATCCACTTGGTTTTGCAGTTTGTACTAATTGTTCTGAGAAATGCACCATGTTAATAGTGATGTGAGAAATGCACCAAAGCAACTGAGAAAAACAACTGTAAGGCGTTTTATTTTGAAAGTTCACTCCGGAAGTTTCTCTTTTCGTTGACGTTAACTTGACGTTGGTAGGTCAGAGTGATTTAGAGCTCAGAGTACAACACGCTCCCACTTGTAAGAAGTTGGTAGAGACTTTTAACTGTGTTGAATGTTTGTTTTTCCTCCCATTTCCAAGTAGCGTCCCTTTCTCTTTTTCTTACTGTTAGACTTTTTTTTTAAATTTCTTGTCAAACGTATAAAGTTACCTCATTAGGCAGCAGTTGGCTGGTTGACCGGGGTCCGCTGCTGTCAAACTTTGGGTTGACATGGATTTGTTGCACCGACGACGGATGGACTAAAAACAAAAGTGTTGTGAATTTCCATCATTCAAAAACAGACTTTGCAACTACTTTTCTGGAACAAGTTGTTTGTAAGTTATTCGCCTAAAGACATGCAAAAGTTCAACTCCACCGGTACCAACAGCAGCACGCTGCCCCGGGACGCGGAGCTCCAGTTGCGGTTAGCTGACAGCGGAGGGGCCGGGGAAGGGAAGGAGAACGGTGCTGGGAAACATTTCCTCGCCCAACCTGAGGAAGGAAAATCGCTATGTACGAAGAGGAAGATGCTCGTTTGTTTGGATTTAATATGTCTTTGTGTTGGTAAGTTGAGTTTATTCACTTTAAAACTAGTATAACAGTTGTTTTTTTCTCGTTCGACCCTCATTAACTACCTTACTAATCTGACTTTACCCTTCTACCTTTAAAATACTTCTACTTTTATCTCCAAGAACTAACTCAAGAGTCCTCTGGTTGCATATGTCAACAGCTTAGTACATCATGTTGACTTTTAAGAGGTCAGAAGGAGTTTAGACGAGGCTTGTTTCGGTGAGGGGAAAACACTGGATGGGGATTTGTAAAAGTTAACGAAGCTGCTAAGTATTTTTCCACAAGCTCGATGGAAAGTGTTGAAAAAGGCAGAAAAACGTTCAGCTCGTTCCCCTCGGCGCACGTGGGGGAAGAAGGGAGCGAGAGAGAGGAGAGAAGAGGGGAGGTGGGGAGGGGGCTCAGCTGGCAGGAGCGGAGTTGTCCCGGGAATTCAACCGTTCCCATGGAAACCCCGAAAGTTCCCGGGAGAAGAACGTGGGAATTGGGATAAAAAACATGCCCCGTGCTCTTGTGTTGTTGTCAAGCTGAAAATGACCGCTTCTCTCACTCGAGCGCTTTAGCATCTCACTGCAGGATTATAGAAATTCACCCACAAATAATTAACAGTCAAATGCTGTTCTGGCTTAAGGTTTAATAAAATCAAGATGTTTTCATACTGAGAAACAACAGAAACATGAGGACACCACCACAGGGGCCACTGACAGATACACAATGAAGAAGTGAGAGTCTCTATAAGTAAATCTGAAGTACTAGACTCATCTTAACAGATGCTTTACATGTTTCTCATCAGTTTGAGCTGCTGTCATGACAATGCTGATGGAAAGAAAGATGTTGAAAATGGCCAAATTAATCATGGACAGTCAAAGTTCATTGGGGGCCTGTGTTTCAAAAAAGGTTTTGTTTTCATATAGAGCAAAACTACTGCCTTAAATCTGGTTAACACTGTGAGGGAAGATGTAGTTTAACTTCCTTTGACTGAACTTCAAAGTTTAAACTATTAATTATTTGATAGTGGGCTTTTCATCTAGAAAAATATACTTTTCATGCTTTTTCTGAGACGAAATATGTCTCAATTGAGCGCTTTAGCATCTCTTTTCAGAGTTAAAGAAATTCATTCACAAATAATTAACAGTAAAATGATGTTCTGGCTTATGGTTTAATGAAATCAAGATGTTTTCATGCTGAGAAACAACAGAAACATGCAGACACCACCACCGGGGCCACTGACAGATCCACAATGAAGAAGTGAGAGTCTCTATGAGTAAATCTGAAGACTCTACATAAAAGTTGCTTTACATGTTTCTCATCAGTTTAAGCTGCTGTCATGACAGTGCTGATGGATAGAAAGATAGAAAGCTGTTGAAAACGTCCAAATTAATCATAATTAGTCACATGGACACCGAAAGTTCATTGGGGGCATGTGTTATAAAACAGGTTTTGTTTTCATATAGATCACAACAACTGTCTTAATTCTGGTTTTGCAGTAAATGTTAAACTTCCTTTGACTGAACTTTAAAGTTGAAACCAGTAAGTCTTTAATAGTGCACTTTTCATCTAGAAAAATATACTTTTCATGCTTTTTCTGAGACAAAGTGTGTAAATATATGAGTGACAAAGGTGCCCAAGCTCAGGGGAAAATGTTAATATGATATGGTTTAATGATAGGACAGATTTTCTTTTCCTTTTTTGTGTTTACTAGAGCTGATGCAAGTGTTTACAAAGTTCAAACCGTAGCAGAACATAATATTATTTCTGGAGTGATTCAGTTTTTATGTTTCTGTGTGACTTAAATCTACCAAAATCCAGTTACTGGAGCTGTCAGAGGAATACAGACCAGAAAAAGTCTCAGTTGTTGTTGGTAACATTTCTGACAGAAAACTACAGGACTCGAGTAAAACTCTTAAACTCTTTTAAAGTTCTGAGGGCAATGATACTGAAATCTTGTTAAAAATCTGCTGGTGGCGCTTTTTGGTACCTGCTCTACTGGATGTTGTATTTTATGAAACTAATGTAAATGAGTTTTATGTTGTCATCTCGCATGACTACAAAAGGGAAGGGAGCATAAGCATCGTGTGAGAGAGCGGTTATTTGGACCGGCAGCAAACACGAGAGGTGGAACCCGTCTAGGCAGACGGACAGGTCTCAGCCTCATTGGCAGTTAGAGCAGAAGAAATAGCCTGGCAGTGAAAAACAACTGTGCGAGGCAGTTAGTTTCATTGTAGTGCTATTCTTGACCCCTGCAGGTATGCTATTAGCCGTACACTCAGCAGCTTTGTTTTGTGTTTAGGAAGTGACTGGTGACAAAGCATCAGTCAGCACGACAGAGGAAATAAGTCTCTCTCAGTTCTCCTCCCTGGTCACACAAGGAGCACGCCACCAAAAATCTCAGAGCCTGACAACTTTCATCTCAGTTTTACTTGATTACAACACTGAGACTGAGTCAGCGAGCCTCAAGCTGGACTCAGCTGAGAGGAGAAAGAATAGGAATAAGTTGTGACTTAATCTACCTTTGAGTGAAGAGGATTCAGTGTCTTACTCTTGTTGTGGAGATTTTACAGGTTGATTTGATTTGATCCAACCTAACGTGTCACTTTAGCAACCTGAAAAAAATTTTGATTTAACAATTTGGGGACCTCATGTGGAAAAAAAAAAGAGAGCCCCGGTGACCCTAAAATAATCTGCTTGCTAGAATGCAAAAAGATCATTTTTAACAGCAGTTTGCAGGATTGATAACTGTTGTGCTACAGGGTGGTGCTGTATGATTATAGATCTAATAAAGCTTTTTAATGGGCACAGTTTCTCTGAAATGGAGTTTCTGATGATTAAGCCACAGTTATTTGAGAGCCCTGGTAATATTAAGTCTTTGTTGAATTAATCCACCAGCAAAAGAACAATCTGTTGCAAGTCCAATGTGAAAGTTATGTTCCAAGAAAGTCCCATTACATAAACATCCACTCTGACCTCTGTGGACTTAAAACCGCCTTGTCTTGCAGTGTAAATAATAGGTTCATTACTTACCTTTCTATGAGGAGAAGACAAATTTTGAGCTGGTTTCCAAGCTGGGTGTGTGCGGACTTCGTCTCTTTCCTCAATGCGCAATGCAAAAGGTTACAAACCCCGAGTAAGGAGCCAATGGCGCCTGTGCAGCTGAAACAGCTGACCATTCAGTCCGCTTTCTCCAGCCTTACGACAAAACGTTAAAGAGACACAAAAACCTCACAGATGCAGTAGCTTATTGTATTGTTAAAGACATGCTACCAATAAACACTGTTAAATTCAATTTTTTATATCGTGATATATTTCGATATCAACTAATATGAAAAAAAATGTAACGTGATAAACTTTTTACCATATTGCCCAGCCCTACTTCAGGGATCAATAAAGTTATCATTTTCTTATCTTATGGCGACAGTTAATACAACTTGATTTTCAATAGCAGTTTAAAATTTTGTGATATTAAACAATGTAGTACAATTCAGTTTTTGTTGTACCATTTTTGGCCCAGGCAGATCCATTAGATTGCTAACAGATAACTAACCGTCTGGCTGCTTTGTGCCTGTCTCTGCCCTGCTAACCGTCATGTCAGCTATCAGCAGAGGCCTGATTTTGACTCATCTGCAGGCATTCAGTAGTGAATGCATCACTTATTACAAATGAATAAGACCGTTCATTTAACTTAACTCTCTTATCTCTGACCGAGCTAATTTTCCCCTGAAAAATGCCATCATCAGACTCCCCCAGACAGTTGACCTGGTGGCATTATTCCCCCTGTAAAGGGTTCATTCACTGATGTAAGCATGGAATTTACCCTCAAGCATCCTGGCGTCATCCTGCTATCATCTGAAGAGGGATTCACCCTGATCTGAGGATATCACTGTCTGTCAGTTCGCGGTAAAAGTGAGTCGACAACCACAGGAAAAGTGTGAATTTATGAATGGACTTTAATCTGTTTGGAATGCTGGGATACATTAACCGAGGGTTTGACTCATGATACCCGATCCGACTCTTACTCAACATGAGGCCTGAAAGCTGTACACCAGTCATAAGTCAGGGTTGTTTATGTTGGTGTTCTGACGTGCGTTTAAGGGATTCTTCACATTGATGAATTGTTCCGGTTTTGCTCAGTGTCAGTAGTTTGCATGGTAACTGCAGAGTGCAAGTGTCTGCTTCTTAGTGGAACTGTAGGGGTCTGACCAGGAGAGACCTGACAGAATCCGCGCCCTGTGGCTGCATCCAACATCAAACGTCCAGCCACCCAGAGGTCAGGAGGTGTCGGCTGTTTGTCATATCTGCTGAGCGTGCAGGGGCAGGTCTCCCTCCCTCCCCTGCACTGCTGGTTCCCTTCAGCACAGGTGGTCCTCACTCTGTCATCACCCCAATAAAGTCAGTTATTGACTCTCTTAAGAGTCATTGGGAAATAATTGGAATTGGCACTTGAAAACCTGCCATTAGCTTCTACAGCTCAGAGGAACTTTATGATTGCCTGGGCTTGACCTTTTTTACGAAGGGTTAATTGGAAGATAGTTGCACACGTTCACAAAAATTTAAAGGTTGGGTTGAAATGATGATAAAAAGATGACGTGATCCCCTGCTCTGATATTTTGCAAATGGTTTTATTTGCTTGTTAAAACAGAGAGTAGCCACAATCAGTCGATCACTGTTCTGTGTGAGTGTGTTTTTGTCCCAGACGTGAAGCAGCATGCCAGAACCGGAGGACTTGTATCTTCCTCAGTGATCTGAATTCTAAAGAGCTCCCTCTTTTCAGCTAATCTCTGCTTTTGTCCCCTTTCACCCCCTTTTTTCCCTCTTTTTCTCCAGGCAAACTCTATTTTGGGACTGAAGGTGTTCCAGCAATGTAAATAGGTGTGTGAGCGTGAGTGTGTTTTATGTCTGCATGCGTGTTTAGGGCGGATGGCGGGTTTATGTTAGAGGATTCCTGGTTCTTTTCTTTTCTGGCAGAGAAAGCTGCCAAGTGAGTGAGACAGCGAGAGGCCAACACGTCACAGCATGTCAGCGTGTACAGGGCCAGGATTATTAAATTGTCTCCTGTGTGCGTGTGTACTCGTGTGTGTGTGTTTATGAGTAAAAGTGTGGGTGTGGGTGTTTTTTAAGTATGCGTCATCCTCTCTGCTAATGTGGACACCCTACTACAGCTGCCATGTGCGTACTGTTTGTTGACAATTTTGCCGGGCCTGTTTTGCCGCACGCTTAAGGCTCTGATCAAACACACTCTGAAGTTATGGAACACGGTGGCGTCACTCTGACAGATGGAGAGCCATTAAAAACGCCTCAGACAAATCATTAGCTAGTGGAAGAAGTGATTTTGCGTCCTCTCCCTCGTCAGAGTATTAATGCATCTTCTTTCTATTTGACATTACTGCAGAGGTTCAGGAATCCATTAGCTTCATCCTTCCTTAGGGAGGCCACATGGGCACATGTACTTTACTGTCGATACGTCTTCCATTAGCACAGCAGAGCCAGCTCAGGCCCAAGAAATGTCTCAGTCGCCTGGAGGCTTAGGGGCAAGTGAGAGCCTGAATGAGTGAACAGCCTCAAGGAGGGCGAGCGGAGTGAGGTGTGGAAAGAGAGAAGGGGTTGAGGATTTACAGTAGGGGTCAGAAGTCAGACCCAGGGGCGCCTGAGGGATCTTATTCACAGCTGTCTGGTCTTGTCCTCAAGAGGAAGTCACTCTGAGAAGGATAGGAAGGGTTCAGACGGCAAATAGCTTCAAATGTACTTTTAATGAGGCAGCTGCAATCTTCTCCTCCATGACGGTTCCATAAGTGCCCAAGGTGGTCCATAGTATTAGCCATAATGATTGAATAAAGATGTGTGTGGTGCTCGAATCCACAGAGCTCATTAGGTAGAATGGGTTTGGCAAGACTTCCCGTCAAAGTAGCTACCTGAATCCCAATACAGCCTGTAGCCTCTGCTTTGCGTCTGTCGGAACTAATGGCTCGTCCTCTTCTCCCTGTCCCCCTATAAGGAGACCTAGCGGGCCCCCTTGGCGCCGCAGCATGCTCACCCATCACAGAGTCTGTTTTATCATTGTGTCACATTTCACCTGCTGAAGCCTTTCCTCCCTTCATCCTCTGAAGTCGTTCCACCAAAATACTCAGACAAAACATCCCTGCAGCCTTCAACTCTTTCCATACATACACCACCAACACAAGCAGGCTACCCTGTGCCAAATACCTCCCCTGCTGTCTCACCACAAACCCTCTGTTCTTCTCACATTGTACTTACTGCCAGCCCTCACCTCACCTCACAGCACACACCCTCACCTTCACACCGCAGAACCCACCAGAGAGCTGCTTTAAAGTTTCCAAGGTGCATACCAGAGTGGCGGGTCCTTTATGTTCCTGCTGAATCAGACAGGCAGACAGACAGCCCACTTAAGACCTCACCGCTCATGCCCTGAACTCCAGAGCTGGGCTCCAGGAAGCAGGTCAGTGAAGTGTGGAGAGAACAGAAGCAGCTGTGGGAAGCATGTCTCCACTGGCCGGCAGGAACAGTAACAGAAACAGTGTAGGGGGGCACCCACCCTCCCAGGGACAGGTATGAAAACATAAATTAAAAAAAACATCTTTTAATATATATATAAGCACTTTAGGCTGGCATAGGATTTTCACTGTTTGATAGTTTCCTTCCGGCCTGTTTTTGGTCATAGTCTGTAGTGTAGCCACCCTTTACCAGTCAAAGCTACTGCCTTAACTCTGTAACTCTCTACTCAGGTGTTAACAGCAGAGATGACAGATAGCGTCTTGTTGTGAAATACATTTTGGCAGTAGTTTGAACTCGAAAACAGGGGTGGTTTTTCATAGGCTGTGTTTGGTTGAGGTATTACCACTTGACTGAAGCAATGCACCACCAGGGAAGGAATTGGGAAATTGACATGCACCAAGTACTGAAGGTTGGTGGTGCTAGCTCTCCAGAGGTGTGAATCTGCAGACTCTGTGCTTAGCCATGCCAACTAGGGCAAAGAAATCCTTGGTCAACTAAAACCCTGAAATTTTTGACCAAAAGATCAGAGTAGGAGTCCAAATCTGACGACTCACCCTTCTGCGGGGTGAAAATATACTGACATCAGCACAAGAAGGCAATCAAACACGATGAAAGTTAAAACGCTCAAAACGAAAATAAATATTCAGCCAACCACCGGACGCTGATTAACGTTGACGCTCTTCAATCTTTCTGTCTCCAGACGGTCTCCAATGGATTGGGTGAATCCAAAGTGGTGAAAACAAGGGGGGTGTTCTGAGACAGGCTGTTACCTGTGAAATGGGTGTGGTGTGAAAACACCCCCATTAGCACTTGGTATGTTCTTCCTGTTGAAATTAACCATAGACTGTAAATTGACGTGGAAAAAGATTTAGTCGACCAATCGGAATCTTGGTCGACTCAGCACATATCAACCAGTAAGTCGACCAGTCGACTAGGACTATACAGCCCTAATGCGACCTAAATCATTTCCCAATTTTAACTCTTTTTGGAGTGTTTTCCTACCTCGGAATTTAAGTTTCGACTAGGTAATAATGTCCTCACAACATCCCTTCATGCAGCCTATGTCTTTACAAACACATGAACTGGAAAACTTGAATTTGATCTCAACATAGTGCCTCTACTTGACACAGACACAAGACACAGTCTGCAGTCCAGCGGCGGCAGCTGCAGATGCTGATGATAGCAGATGATTAAAAGAGATCCAGGTCTGTTGTGGCTCCTGAGTCCTTCTTTGTTCTCCTCTGATTAGTCTCTTTGTGCTGCCGTCTGGGCAGACCAAACAGATCAGTCCCTTGAAGCAATCCAGCCAATTATGACATAAAAAATGAGCCTCTTAGCACAGGGGGCAACCACTCACCCTTATCCTCCTTATCCACCGCTTAACTACCTGGATTGGGCCACCAAGGATGAACCACCTATGAGGATATATACACACACACAGTACTTTAATTGGGTTTATGTCAGTTTACGGTTGCCAATCCTAATCACAGCCTTGGTGGGAATGACTTCACCTCCTGTTTAAGTGTAACCTGCCCCGCAGTCCTATGTTGAGTGAGTGTGCGAATTCGTTCTTTTGTATGTTTGAGCCTGTTTGACGGTGCATACAGTCTGCCTCCTCAAACAAAGACTTTTTTCAATATCAGGTGGAACATAAAAGACTCAGCTCTGCCCTTGAAGTACCTGACTCAAACTAAATAGTTATTATGAGCGAGAGAACAGATCAAGGCTTGCTGATAGAGACAGCTCTGTGCAGCGAAAGTCATTATTGCATGAATAATTGAACATGCCAATCCAGCCCGACTGCAGACTGCTGTTCATGAGCATGTAAGGCACACAGCGTCTTGAAGTGTTGTAACCGAGGGATTATCATGCTTGCAAAGATTCAAATTACGACACTTTGCAGTTCAGTTCACCAGCTTATTTTTTTTTTTTTGCAAGGTTGACTCAAAGGTAAACAAGCAGCTTAAAATTTAGTTGGGAAACTTTGGCACATGCGAGCTTGCGAAGGGGCCCAGTGAGGGTGGATGGACCACCCCTGAAGGGTGCTGTAACTAGCTGGGTTGCAGCCCAGACACTACCCAGTCCGGAGCTGCAGGCCAGATGGACCCGTGTTGACAGGTCACTTATTATCTAGCCTATCAAAGAGCAAATGTAGAGCGAGGTCTGCACGGTCAAATAGCATTGGGTGTGATGGAGCAGATGCCCATTATTGTGGTTTAGATATAGCTCTAGGCTGACTGTCGTGCTAATCTATGAGGATGCACAGGCTGCTGTCAGCAGGCGCATCCGCATGAGTTCAGTTCAGTGGGGTCTGTGTTAGTGAACTCGCCTCTCGCCTGCACGTCTTTCAGCTTGTTGGGCTTTAGTGTGGTTTATTTGGTCGCTTGGTTTGTCTTTGAGGTGCTGGTGGGTTTCGGGTGGGATTGTTTGGTTGTCTGTTAGTCTGTGTGGCTGTGGGTTTGGTTTGTTTGCATCCCAGTGTGGTTATTCTGTTTAGTGCGAGTCTGGATGTGAGTTGGGGGGGGTATTCTGCTGGTTGAGGTGGGGTCGTGTTTACAGAGCGAGTCCCAGCAGAGCCCAGATCTCTGACCCCCACATTCCAGAACCACCACTAATCGCCTCCGTCTGCTGTTCTCTGTAGACAAACCCATGCTGCATCTCTGTTGGCTTCATCACTCCAGTTTTCTCTCACCCAAGTATTCCTGCCCTCATCCCCATTTGTCAATTTAGAAGCCTTGAGGCCACGCATTTTAGCCTAGTTCGTAGTCTGACACCGTATTGATTAGTAGATGTTTAGCAACATGACCATGAAGCAGGCCAATGAATAACCACCATCTGCTCTCCTTTAGTTCTCTGCCTTTTTCTTTTCCTAAGAAGTTTTTTTTTTCTTCACTTTCTCTCTCGGTTGTTGTTGTTCTCCTCTCACAGTGAGCTCATTCTGGGCTGTGGTCATAGATGTGTAAATTAGAACCAGAAGACTTTCTCAGAGTGAGGCTCATATCCCCTCTGCTCTCATTCCTCCTCTTCTCCTTCTCTTCTCCCCCTCCTCCCTTCTTTCTTTCTATCCCTTTTGACTATTTGAAAGCATTCCTGCTTTGAGTGTCAGGCCCAGCGAGCAGCACATTTTGGCCCGGCTGTGTTAGCCAGCCCACTCCTCTTCCTCCTCCTCCTCCTCCTCCTCCTTCTGGGTCCCCTCACAGGCTTTCCTGGCCAAGCTCTCTCTTTGAGCATGTCTTGGCCAGGTGCAGAGGTTTGCTCACAGCTGCCTGACAGATGATGCGAAGGTCTCTGGAGGGTTTTTGTGTCTTGTTGTGAAAACCGTTTTAATGTAGTTGTAAAGCACGGAGGTTGACTGTGAAACAGGAGCTTGTAATTTGTATAGGATGTGCAGATACTGGGGAACTTTCCACATGGTTTCCAGGACATTTGCTTCATTTTTTTTTACTGAGAATTTGTGACACAACTCCAGCTGGGGGAATTTTGGTGGATTTGATTTTTTTAGAACCTTTGCAAACAGCTTTGCCTCAATGGTGTGAACTTTGGTTCTTCGTCTTTGAAGCCAAATCTATTCAAGGGCGTCATGCAATAGTTGGAAAGCGATTGCAAGCCATCAGCGTCTGCAGTCTTAAAATGTGACGCCCTCTGGCTCAGCAGCTCGCCTTTGATTAGAACTCTCTGAGAAGACCATGTACCTACCAAAGAGTGTTCAGTTTTCTATGTATCATCTATCTATTACCTCTTTGTCAGTGCAGAGTGATATTAATCATTGACAGAGGAATTGGAAAAGAGAAAGCAAAACAAAAAAAAAGGTCTGTTGTTTCATCAAAATTTCAGCTGGAACAGTTCTTCTCTGTGCTCCATGATGCGTTCAAGTGCACAAGAAAAAGTCCAAAATTACAATCACTCAAACTCGTTTCAGTCATGACACCAGTACATCTGAGTCAAGCTTATATTCTAAGTTTATTTTCTGTGTTTAGCACTTCTAATTAGAGGTGTCCCAAATCACTATTTATATCGGATATCAGTCCGATATCAACAAAAACTTGAGTATATTGACCTGCATCTAAAATCTCCAATATCAGCACTCCGATACAAGCAGTCCATTCCAGACTCCAGCACCTCTATCTAGCAGCACCCATAGCCAGCATGTAGAGCCCACGTGATCGCAACAACAGTGTGTACAAAGCATAGACTGTATAAAGAATGGACGCCGTCTGCCTCCTCACTGGGTGAAGCCACCCAGAGAACAGCACCCTCTGGTGACGGGCTGCAGTATCGGTCATAAATCCCACCTCCGCTTGCCATACTTAAGGGGCTGTGGACAAACTTTAGAAATTTATTACACAGAACATAATTTTTCTCCCCCCTGCTTGTGATGTTGACATGTAGTTACTGTAAGACTGGTTTGTGCTCAGGTCCTTTTTTTTTCTGTGCAGGTCCGTTTTTAAAACTTATTAGGGGGTTCATGTTTTCTATGATTGACACTTGATAAAGCCTATGGGCGTACGACGATTGCATAGTTTACCTGAGGGGATACGCTGTTTGAGCTGAGCGTCATCACAGCGACTCTCCTGCTGTATGTGTACAACGCTGCTGCGAAATGTTGGTTTCAGGAAGTGGTGAAAAATGCAGAATCACAGATAGCTTTTCGGCTTCAAATCCGTCTACAGAAGGCGGAACCTAGCTGTCCATAGTATATACAGTCTATGGTATTAATGTACTAACAAAGTTCCAAAGAGTAGGAGTGATGTCGGCCCTGTCTCAGTATTTTTCATAAAAGTCTGAAAAAGACGTTGCAGCTGAGTGCAAAACTTGTCATGCACAAGTATGTGCTTATATTGGATCAATATCGGTATCGACCAGTATCTAAGGCTGCAATATTGGTATTGTGTTGGAGGAAAAAAAGTTGTATAGGGACACCCTACTTTTAATGAAGTTGTTTAACCTCTTGTATGAGGTGAACTCATAGTATTCAAACCTTCACTCACTAGTAAATCTTAAAATTTAATTAATGCAACAATGAGTATTACTTAAGATGCTGAAATTGAAGTAATCCATCGACTACAATGCAAACTGATCTAGTCATTTTGCTCCATCACACTCACTCACACACACTAATCTGCTACATCATCATCCCCCTCCTTCTTATGTACATACTCTGTATAAACACATGCACGTACACCAGCATGCTCATGCAAATACATGCAAACTAACATTCTTGTCACGCCAGCATGTTTTGACTGTTGACTGTTTGTTGGGTTTTTTTTAGTGAGGACGTATTGAAACCTGTCTGAAGTTCTTTTTTACTAAATGGAAAATCTACAGAGTCACTTAGTCTGAGCCAGACATGAACCAGACCACGAATCTATTACACATACACACAGATAAGAGGATTAGGATTGGGTGGTTCAGGGAGTGCGTTTTATACAGGTATCTGATAGGAACCAGGAAACCATCATACAGGTTTTCTATTTTTACATTAAAGTAAGAGGTTTCTTGTACTACTTGTTTTACTGTTCTTTAAGGTGTCCTATGTAATAGACCTGATATTAATAACTATCAATATCAACTATTTAATGCAGGATTTTTGGCATAAGTGCTGTTTTAATTGTTTGTGTTGTATGATGGAGCTTCTATTCTCAAGGTAATCATTAAATTGGTTGAAAACTGTTTGTCTTTTTTAATAAAAGTAGGAACTTTGCTCACTTAACACCAGAGTTTAAAATGTTTAACAGATTCCCAGCATGGTTTCTTGGTCTACTAAGACAGATAAGACCTGTTTGTGAGCTTCATATGGAAGTTATATCGGGGATATCAGAATGTGCCAGAGCTGCACGTATGTAGGTGTCTGTGTCTGTGTGTGTCAGATGCCTGTAAATGGGAGATCCAGGTCAGATAAAGGGTGTTTCCTATCTCTGACTCTCCCTCTCTTTGTTGGCGTCACAGCCTCTGCTATCTGCTGGCAACATGTTTCCCTCTCTCCCTCCCCTCACTTTCCGACCAAGGCCCCTCTTAAAATATATGATGGAGGGCTGTTTTTTCAATCTATGTTGTGTCTTTGTTAGGGCAGCATGACTTTGACTTTACAGGTTGTTAACACAAACTTCTCTCTGTAAAAGTCTCGGTCGAGTAGAGCTATCTCCTTCAGCTGCTGTCACATGATTGCATGAAGAGCTGTCTCTTTATGTGTTTTCGTGCTGATAGCCTCAAGCCTATAGATTGTTTCCTATGTTATCATTGTTTATCAGTTCAGAGAGGCTTAGGTTTATTGGTGGACTGTATGGTTGTCGCAGCACACAGGAAATATGTTTAAAACAGCAACAAAGTCGATATGGAGGAGTCTAAAGTACTCGTGGTTGTTTACACCCGGTCAGGTAAAAGTGCGCTGCACTTTATCAGTCAATAATTGCTCATTTATTTATACTCACTGAGACATGCTTGTGATCTTCCTCTGCGCCAGATTTCGAGTTGAGTGGCCTGTGCATACTCAGTCACGTAGTCTGAGAGATTCCCTGGCAGGAGCAGTGTTTTGGACTGGGTGCGTTCCAGCCAACCAGCAGACCCTGGGATGACAGGAAGAGGCACAGAGGTTAATGATTAGTCCCATGTCCTCGCTGCATTCCATGGGGTGACGAGGGGACATGGGATAATGGACAAAGAATTGGAGCAGGCTGGGCCGGCTTACAAGGGGACTATTGGCTATTAGTTTTTAAGTCGTATACAAATTAAAAGCCTTGAGGTCCAGCTTGTGTTCTGGGGATAGAGAGACATGATTTTCTTCACTGTTGTTCAACTTTAACCTAAAGAAGAATTCTTAACTATGTGGCCGGGCTGGGTGCTTTATTTGCTTAAGTGTGCTAGACCTTGACATCCTTTTACCTGATACAGAGGTTGTGTAATTAGTGACTATTCAGGAAACACTGGTAACTCATATGCGGAACATTAGTTAATCTAAGTTAAGATGCAATGATGTCAAAGTAGATGCTTTTCTCAGCAGGTTAAAAATGTATCAGTGTTGTGTTTCCTTGCTCTCTCTACACATTAGAGGTGTCCTGATACAACTTTTTTACTTCTGATACGACACCGATATTGTATCCTTCAGTATTAGCCAATACCGATATTGATCCGATATTGGCACGAGCTTGTGCATGACAAGTTTTGCACTCAGCTGCAACGTCTTTTTCGGGCTCTAACGAAAAATACTGCCACACAGCCGACACCACTCCTACTCCCTGTTACTTTGTTAGTACATTAGTACACACTGTTAGTACACACTGTTAGTACACACGTGGGCGCTGCTAGCTAGAGGTGCCAGAGTAGAATCTGGAACGGACCGCTTGTATCAGAGTGCTGATATCTGAGATTTCAGATGCAGGCTGATATAATCCGATATTTGTTTTTTGGCTGATATTGTACCGATATCCAATATCAATATCGGGACAGCCTTACTACACATCCTTGAAAATCTTCTTCCTCCTGTCTCATCCTGATTCTTCACCGTCACTCCCATCTGTTTGTTTTGTCTCTATGTCTGTCTCCTTCTCCCTGATCCTCCTTTGGGAGCAGCTATGTGTGGAATTCTTGATCCCCCAGGAATCTGGTAATCATGTCCCCCGGATGACTGACACCTTTAAGAGCTGCTCCCTGCGAGACAGGAGTATCTCTGTGTCTCACTCTGTCAGCCTCCTTCTCTTCCTGTTATCTGTGTTGTACAGATCATACACTCGCAGACACTCATCAGGCCATCTTTTGTTTTTCACCCGCATCCCCTCCCCTTCTCTCCCACATCTCATCAGCCTCCATCCCGTTCTTTGCGTGTGAGCTGAAAGCGGTGGCTCCGTACAGGCGAGGCTTCTTCTGCGGAGACTCAAGCATCACTTATCCCTACGTGGAGAGAGAGGCCATCCCTGACAGCCTGCTCATCGCTGGTGGTATGATCATCACAGGCCTAACGGTAAGACTTTGTCATGAAGAGTTCATGTGTTCGAGCATGTGTATGTTTTAGAAAACAAACACTCTTTTATGTTTGCAGTGTTTGTGCAGCTGTACAGTACGACTTAACCAGTTCCTCTTGTCCTCTCTCTCTCTCTCCTCCTCAGATTGCTCTGGGTGAATGTTACCGTGTGCGTTTCAGAGGCGTACACTCCAGAGCTTTCGTTCAAAACTGTTACGTGTCCTGCCTGTACAAGGAGCTGGGGAGCTTCATGTTCGGTTGCTGTGTGGGTATGTCTCTCACCAACATGGCCAAGTTGAGCGTGGGACGTCTGCGGCCCAACTTTCTATCCGTCTGTAACATCACATATGCGTCCATAAACTGCACTCCGGGCAGCTACGTGCCACAACCAGAATGCAATCAGACAAATACGAAGATGATAGAGGAAGCAAGGTGTGTGTTAAGCATGTGTAGGTGTGTTTTGTGTGCTTGTGCATAACTCAAAGGTCTAATATGTAACCATCGGCATCTTTTATCAACCCTCTCTTTCAGGAAGTCTTTCTTTTCCGGCCATGCTTCCTTTGCAATGTACACCATGCTCTACCTGGCAGTAAGTCAACCCCACTGTTAAATACACACACACCCACATATATACACGCAACCAACCAACTGGAGTGTGACCTTCACTCTCATCTGCACTTTCGTTGAGTAATTACAGTACTCTGCGCTGTGTTTACAGTGTTCAGGGAATATTACAACTCTCACTTTCATTTCTGTTGTTTGAAACAAACTTGTTCCCGAGGGGACAAGAACACTCGGAGCAACCGTTAGATAGATAAGCTAATTAAAAATGCGCAAACACACACACGCACACACTCACAGATGTGTGTTTTTAGATATATTCACACTTCCTGATCGTGAGGGAGGAGATCTTTAAGTGCAGCAATTCTCCAAAGGCATCCCGCTTCAAACTGAAAGAGATGGTGAGACAGAGAGGGATGGAGGAATGAAGGGGGGAGAGAGGGAGTGAGGGAGAGGGAGTTGGAGAATGAGTGAGAATGTTTTCCACGGGGAACATGAATAGATGAAGAGACTCCACAGACAGAGGAGGCCTTGTTGTGGGTCTCATTTAGAGGAGGGGGGGCGGCGGAGTGCTGAATATGCCTGCTGAGAGATCGACAGGCTTCTTTCAGCAAGAAAAAACCCTTCCAACACCCCCCCTCGTCCTGGCCTCCCCCCTTTTCTTCATCCCTCTCTTTTTCTGTCACACCGCACCGCTCAGTGCTCACTGGTGCATTGTGGGAGAGAAAATGACAGTTAGAGGGAGACAAAAGCTCATTATTAACCATTAAATGTTCATAATTATCATGAGGTCCTCTATTAAAACCCTCAAACGACAGTCGTGGTGACTTTAAAATCGAATCCGTACAGTTTGCAAAACCAACGTCCAAGAGTGAATGTGGGTAAGGAGGAGGAAAGGGAATTACTGACTACCTTATTTGCACTTGTGGTCTTTGTTATTCAAATGAAAAAGAAAGCAGCTCTTCTCCGACCAGAAGAGACAAACAAGGATAAGTAGTGGGAGTGCCAATCGGGTAGAAATGGTCTGAGAAAAACAGCGGCCTCAGTGAGTTACCCTCGTTCCTCTCCCACCTCATTGTTTCTGAACACTCTCACACCTCAGGCACAAACACACACAAACACACACACTGGCATGTGAGTTTGCTGCTAGCTAGTGTTTCAGCAGACCCCAGAGATTGTATCAAACCTGTAGCTACATGCCACCCGGACTGCGGCCAGCTGCTAGTGTTTAAGGCAGGAACAGTGACACCTGCTCTCAGATAGGGAGAGAGAAAGGCCGGTGAGGGTCTGCCTCACTTTCAGGAATGTAGGCCACGTGCTCCCCCAGTGTTCCACACATCCAGACAGACCCCCAGCCACCTCGTAAGGCTGCGTCACACTCGCCCTGTGACCCTGTTTTTACACACACACATATACACACACATCCATTCTGCATTGTAGAGCCGGAGCAGGAGATGAGGATGAACAAAAGGAGGAAATGGGGTTTAGATAGTGTTAATGGACTTGTGCCAAGCTTGTCTTTCCCCTCTGGGTAGCAGACCGAGTGGATGTTTCCCTTCCAGAGCACCACCTGTGTTTATAGAACTTGAATCACAGGATTTTCGTTATCAGTTCATGTTTGAGGGCTGTTATTTTTACACAAAAGCTCCTGGACGCAACTATTCAGCTACAACATGATGACAAGTCCAGATTTTATGAATCGCAGAGAATTACGTCCAGGCTTTTAACTTTGTGAACAAAAGTAAAGTGATCTGTGGAAGTTTGTCGCTTGTAGCACAGCACCAGGTGGTGTCTAACTAGTGAGAGGGTCAATATCCAGATATCTGTAGTGAAGCTTATCACAGTGATATCTTTTCCCTCTGCTGTTAGTGTTTGCACAGTTCTCACAGAGTTCAGGCGTATCATTAATCCAACTAGAGGTGTATCATTAATCCAACTTTCTTTTTATTTGTCACGCTGTCTAAACATCACTAAGAAGTGTTTTATGTCTTTGTGGTTCGGCTCTATTCTTAAGCACAATGACTCTTGAGATGCTGGATTAAACTGGTTGTAATATTTTACCGAGCTGCCGCCAACTCTTGAAACCCGAGCGCTGCACATATTGCATGTTGTTGTCAGAGTTGTTGGCGTAGCAGTCATGAAATATCTACAAACCTCTGTACAGGGTTCCTAAGCAAGTATGGAAAGTATGGAAGTAATTTGATCAATTTCCAGGTCTTAAAAAGAATGGAAAATGAAAAATAAAGCATGGAAAAATATTTATGTTAATAGACTATATTACCACAGTTATAAAATACTCTTTTCTAAAGTAGAAAAGTAGGTATTTCCAAAAGTAATTTTAAAAAGCAGGGTATGGAAAAGTTTGGAAATTCACAGTTATAGTTACAGTTATACAGTTATACAATAGTTATAGCACAATATAATACCTGACGTTATAAGTCATAATAAAATGCTTTATAATGTGATGGTTATTGCTATAAAGCATTATGATCATTTTTGAGCGTTTATAACTATAGTTATACAGTGCTCTAATGTGATTAGTACATATTATACATATATTTATAATGCGTATAGAGTTAGGCTTCAAATAAAGTGCTACCAAAAAGTGCAGAGTAAGTTTAGGTGAACGATTTGTTCAAAAGAACCAGATCTTTAAGTGAACATATTGAACGAATCACCTGACTTCCCCAGGTGATTCGTTTGTTTCTCACTTCAGTTGAGCCAAAGTAAGAGACAGCATTGCCAGGCGAGCAGCCGGCGTACGAGGGACCCCATGCGCTGACACCTGAATCACTTGGTGAACGAATCAGGCATTGAGCTACACTCTACCATGCCACCCTAACAACTCACATACAATAGGACACAGCATGTAACAAGTAGTGCATAAAACCCGCAGCATCTTAGGGAATGGTGCATATTCAGTGTGAATTCTTCTAAACCTTCAGTGAACGAATCACTCACTGACCCCATCACTGAGCGGACATGATAAATAGCATACCATAGTACAGTACACTTAAAACATCATGACTTATAAACAAGTTCATTTTTACAAACCTGTTGCCAAAGCAACACAGCCGAACTCTCAAAGAAAGCTCTGAATTGAAGTGAATCCTAAAAAGGTTCAGCTGTGTATCAGTTCAAGAGGTCGGAGTTTGCAGGCTTCTACCGCCAAGCACTAACTGATTTGGTGATTTGGTGAACGAATCTTTTGAACGAATCTTTTCAATGAACTGATTCTAGTAATTCAGTACATCTAAAAAAACTGCCGTGCTCATCACTGAAGAATACTGAGAGTCAGGTCGGCGCATCTCTAATGATGATACGTGTCTTCTTTTTTGCAGTTCTACTTGCAGGCGCGATTATCGTGGCGAGGAGCTCGGCTTTTGCGCCCGCTATTACAGTTCCTCTTAGTGATGATCGCTATCTACACCGGGCTGAGCCGCATCTCTGACTACCGCCACCATCCCACTGACGTCCTCACCGGCTTCATCCAAGGAGGGCTCACTGCATACTGGGTGGTATGTGGAAACCGTCTGTTGTCTAAATAATCTTTAAAAACAGTTATCTCTGTCTTCACAGGATTTGTTTCTCTCTGCTCTCTGTTGACCGAGTTAGCATAAACAATGGGCTTTCTCCCTCATTCTGCTCGGTCTGATCTCTCATAGTGTTTATAAACAGAGGATGATTGACAGCATGTGTGGTCTGCAAATTTTCCCTGACATGTATGTGTCTGTGCCTGCAGGCCTTTTACATCTCCTCCATGTTTAAGCCCTGCACCCGTCCAGACCTGTCTCCCACTAGCATTTCCTTGGAGAGTCCACTATCCAGCCAGCAAACGGTTTGTTAGCAGGCACGTGCAATCATCCCAGGAAATCAGAAGATAAAAGAAGATGGACTGCAGCGAGACGGGGAGAATGTCAGCGAGCACACACAAGGAGAAAAACGAGAGAAAGGGAATCATACTAAGAGAAGGATATGATTAACGAGTACAATCTAACACATGCTTGTCCGCACAAGCAAACACGCAGCCACACAGTAATCTAACATGTTCACTCACTCACATATGTGAAAAAAACAAGAAGCACATTTGACTCTGAGTCAAAGCCGTCCAGTGAAAAGAACTGCATAGAAATACTACAGATATTTTTTTATATAAGAATAAAAAAAATAAAGTGTCTATTTTTCAAGAGGATTTTAGAAGCTGCTAATGTTGATAGTTTTCACTTTGAACCTGTTTTATTCTCTTTGATAGAGGCATTCGGTCAGTGCATTTAGTTAGCTTCCAAACTGAAACGCTAACTCTTTTTTTGTTTTGGGTGAGAGAGGGGAGGAGAAAACGGCGGCCATCCTGTTAGTTTTCGACTCCCCGCTTAACTTGGAAACATCCCCAGCAGCTGTGAACTGAGACCATCGCACCTCAGATGTTCGGACAGCTCTGTACAAAGCGACAGAACTGGAAGTGATAAGGAACAAGCACTGGCTTCAACTTTTAACCATCTTTACCTTCGGTGGCCTTTTGAGCCGCCGCTCTAATCAGACTGCCTGAATCACTATAACTTCACTTTAACCTCTATGTAAGCAAAAAACAGTATTTGTACTGTTATACGATGTTAACTTTCTTTTTTTTTGTGTAACCAAGGTGGTGATGTAGAAGACTCTGACCTTCCACATCACTGCGTCTTCTCTGTACTAACCACTTTGACAGTGTCTCAGAGGTGGAGGTTTGACTGAATTTTGTAACCTTTCACTTTTGCCCCCCCCGACTCTCTGAGCTGCACCTTGATTTATGCCACTCTAACAGGAAGGAGGCTGCCACCCCAGCGGCCCCTCCTGTGTATCTTTATTAATAGCACTTGAACATAATGGAACCTTATAATTGTAATCAATATTATATTTTATCACACGTTTGAATAATCAGTGTTTATTTTTGTTAATGGCAGACTCATAAACTTTTGTTTGTCTTTTTTTTTCTTGAAAATGATAATTATTCAAATTGAATGTAAATAGCTATGTCATTTTATAAACCACACAGAATTTCAAAAAGTATTAGTTCCAGTTTGGACAGTTTTTACATGTTTATTAAGTGTTTGTATTTACGTTTGTATTGATCAGGTACGGAGAGTTACTATTGTATCTGTTGTAACTACTAGACTGAGCCACAGATATTATCAGAAAGCTATATTTTTTGTGTTCCCAGTTATTGTTATAATTTGTTCGTGTCGTCTGTGAATGCCAGAAAAGGCAGAAATAACCACTGTACTCAAAAAAACCAAACCAATAAAATGAATGTTGAATGTTTCTCCGACCTCTTTGATTTTCAGTGTCAGCAAATCAGCCCTCCTCGAACCCTTACGCACACATTCTTACACTCTAAAAACTCTTGGGGGAGTTAAATTTCTGTGTTATTTTTCAGATCCATACCCATTTCTTGGGTCATATGGATTCTATTGTAACCCAATCTGAGTTTTTTTTTGATGGGCTAATAATTATGGGTTATTTTTCTGAGAGTAACCCAATAATTGTGTCAGAATGTTGGGTTTGATTGACTCTATGTGGTTTCTAGGCCTAATGGCAATTTAAGTGACCTGGTGACCTTGAGAACTTTGACCTTGATTTTATATACTGGGCGGCTGGGGTAGTTCAGCGGGTAGGGCATCCAATTCCTAACCAGGAGGTTGGGGTTCCAATCCCGCATGAGACACATCTGTAAGGAGTGAACTACATCTACCCTTAGTGCTATGGCCTACCTTATAAACATAAGTGTGTACAATTGGAAGCCAAACCAGCTCAGACAGTACAGGTTGTAAAAGCAAAGCTCCCCAAATGCATATATCAATTTTACCCAAGATCATGAGTCACATTAACTCAAAGATTGGGTTAACTTGACCCTTAAAAAGAGTTATTGAGTCACTCCAATATTTGTAGTCGGCCCCTTTTCAACCCTTGTGTTGGGTTGTTAAGTGTTTTGAGAGTGTAGTCCTGGTGTCACAATATTTATGTCATCTTGAAGGTCTCTGGTTACTCTTACAAGTCAATCAGCACAGAGTTGTTGTTTTCCTTAGAAACAGAACACCAGGCTGTATGAGGAGGTAAGGAAAACTGGGCTGAAACCAAACGTAAACACTGAAATGATAAGTGATTTAGCCTCTTGTGTTAAGAAGAATCCACTCCAGTGCTCTCCTACTTTATTTCAATACATCTCTCTCTCTCTCTCCCCCTTTACACCCTTCCTTGCTTTGCCCACTTCCCCTGCTCTCGGTCCTTTTTGAGTGCAGCGAAGCATGATGGGCTATTTCAGGGGTCATGCTACCATAGCGATGCTTAGCCAGATACAGGTTGGGGGCGTCAGAGGCATTTTCTTTCATTTCTTTTTTCTCTCTCTCTTTCTCTCTGATCTGCTTCCAGGATAAGGGGGGTAAATAAAAACCAACCCAGATCAGGCAGAGAGGGAAAAAGAGGGAGAGCTACAATAATGGGTTTGTGCGGTACGCTGAGGTAAGGGGGACAAATGAGGAGGAAATGTGGCCCAGTAATGAAGGGAGGGAGAAATGGAGCCACTGGCAAAGCAAAGGGGGTGGGAGAGAGTGAGAGTGATGGGTGTGGGGTGTCAGGGTGGGGAGGAATGTGATGGTGGTTTTCAGGCCTGTTTTGTTTCATAATATTGTAGCTAAGGAGACACTTTTCATTCCTGAGCAACGTATACGCGGCTGCTTGTGTGACAGGTTCTTGTCTATCTGCGTCTGCCTCCCTCCTTGTTATTGTCTTGCGTTTAGGTGTGTGACCGTGCCGAGCCAAAAGGTAAAACGCTCCGCTGAGAAGTGCTTACATAGCCTGTCAAACATGACATCTGGTTTACACTGTGACCAGCATCCTCCTCACTCACCCTTGCCCTAATGGAAATGAATAGGGGTCGACAAGCTGTGGCACATTCTGTATGTCCAGATTAGTGAGGTTCAGGCAGGAGGGCTTCAGTGTTTACTCTGCTGTGACTGAGCACACAGTGGGACCAGGAAGAGGGCACTGTGGTCATTTGAAAAGGGGGCTATTTGAAGTCTTATCTGAGCAGGTGAAAGCCATTACTGTCCCCATGACTCACTGTGAAAAGTAACCCACTCCCGCCCTCTCCCTCCTCCCTCGTACTTCACTTTAGGGGAATTCTGGATAAGATTATGGCTGTTGTGAATTTGGACAGGTGCAAAAATACCAGAGCGGATGCTTTTCAGAGCTGATACAAATCATCACACAGGTAGGTGTGCTGCACGTAGCTCACCTTCGTATCTCTTCCTGTCTGGGGGAGGACACCTGTACGGCACATATTTCAGTCTGACATCGATAACATCGTCAGGAGGACATTTTTAGAACAGTCAAATACCACGCATGAAACTTTGCCCCTTTTCGATAAAAACAGTATTTTTCATGGATATGTAAAACACCCTCTTAATCCTGACAAAACTCAAAATATCTGTATTTACCAAGTAAAAGCTGCTCTCTGCTGTGAATTGATTCAACCGTGCGGAAAAGAAATTTCCTTGCAAATGAATTTCTGTTAAGTACGAGCTTTTCGCTGCGGGTCTCTGAGGCATTACAGACGTAGTCTCTGGAACTCTGCTGGTCTCTTATCCAGCTGCAAACCAATTCTTAATAGAATTAAAAAGGATTAATGGGCTCTTTAGTATGCTCAAGTTCAGACTTGCTCCCTCAGCCCTTCACTGCTATGCATATTTCTAAATCTCCCAAAGTAATGGAAGTCAATGAATGCACTAGTTGTGGCCATTAGGACCACAAGTGGGCACATTAGAGCTGATGTGAGTGTGTGGAGGGCATTAGTTTGCATGTTCCCGGTGAGAAATCTTCCTCTCTCTCTCCACTCTTCAGGGATTAGGATGTACTGAGCCATGTTGGCTCTGTAAATTAGCGATGATATCGACCCTCAGAACCGATCTGTGGAGAAGTGAGGGGATCTCATGGTGAAAAATCAGATCCGCAATCACTGCTGAACGTCGAAAAGTGATTTTCCACCTCCTCACTTATGCAACAGTAAATGCATACCTAATTTATCAGTCCAGCACACACACACACACACACACACACACACACACACTATCAGATGAGAACTGTACATTATGCTGTCTGATGAAGATAGCATCTCTTTTGTTCTCCTGCACACAGACTCTTCAAATCAACAGCTTTACATTGTGTTTCTGAAGCCTGCTGTTTAACCTTCCTCCTGTGTTAGTTTTTACTTCACTATGTTAAGGGTCGATTTCGACATGTGTCTTAAATCAGCTGTAAATTACACTAAAAACAATTCTCTATCATCCAGTTTTGTTCTTATCTCTAGGTTGCCTTTTTAGGCTTCATTATCCATGAAAATATTGTATATAATATTTTTTGTTGTGGGCCTCTGGGCCTTTCTTTGCCAGTATACCCCTCATACAGACATTTTTAACAAAACCTGAGTCGAGGACCTGTGCACCTCAGCACTATATACATATTGCACTGCTAGCACTACCGCATTTATTGCACTTTTTATACTGGTTTTACTCTACTTGGCTGGTCTGCATAGGTGCATTTGTCTTTGTTATCGTTGTCTTTGTTAGTGTACTGTGTATGAGTCTGTGAGTGGCGCGACCCCTGAATTTCCTGACTGGGATTAATAAAGTATTTATCGATCTCTATCTATCAATCTATACTGAATTGATCTCACATGTCTGCACATGCTTGACGTTGTTTTTTGTGCCGGGGAAAAACCAGGCAAATTGAGAATTGACTTAAGCACTATGACTTAAGAGAGACCGATCTTTGAGTCAGCCATGTTTTAGTGAGCATGTCGGATGAAGTCATGTCTAAATTAATGAGATAAATAATGAAAATAAGTGCACTCAAGTTTTCTAAGTGCGTAACGTTTTTGTCAGATTCACCACTCAGAGCTGTATTAAATTATTGTTGACCTTTACTGAAAGTCGGCGTGTCTCTCGCTGAAGTACTTTTCATTGGCTGTGTGAGCGTAGTCATAACATAAAGAAAAACTATTACCACTATTTACCATCTAAGAGTTCATATTATCGTCTAAGAGGAGATGAAGACCTGCTCTAAAAGTAAAAAACAAAGAAAAGGTCACCTGATAACGTCTGGCGCCACAATGTGTCATCTGTTTATTTTAGCGTCAGGCTGAGTGTCTCTGGTTAAGGCGACCGCAGCTACCTGCAGCGTCTTTCCTCTTTCTGAGAAGGTCTTTACGGCTAACAACCTTCCTCTTCTTCTGTCTCCGTCACCTGCCAAACAAAGCAGCTGTAAACATATTTGAATCGTAAAACAAAGATAAAACGACAGCGGAGATTTGACACAGAATCAAAACAAGTGAAGTAGACTCGTGCATTGACATTCTTGAAAAAACAAGCTTATCTTTCAGTACCTAGACAAGACACGTTGCGGAGAGAGATACCAAACCACTGTGTTTATACTTTGTGGTCGGACGCATGAATTATCTCTGCTGTGTGTGTTTGTGTGTGTGTGTGTGTGTGCATTGGTCCTATGGCTTGCAGATTGCTAAGAGCAGACAGGAATGCAAAAACAAAACCATGTTAATAAAAACAGCTTTTGGACCCTTGAGATGTCCGTGACGGCTGCAGCGCAGAGACGGGAGGATGATCCCTGGTTGCAAGGTCTTCAAGCAGAGCCTCCTGCAACACACACAACAACGTGTGATGTTAATGTAAGTGTGACATGACACTCATCTTATGTTTTCACAAGCCGGGGAATCATGAAAACAGCCAATTCATCACTTAAGCAGCCTACAGTGCATTACTCAAAGTGGGATGTATACAGCTGACCTCAGCGCTGGCTCTAAAGCTCTTAGGAGATGATCTCACAAGTGGTACATGTCTTAAGAAAACATATCTGCTGTGTGTGTGTATTAAACATGTTGGCTTTGTGTCTTCATTTGTGTATCAGTTTTACTTACTCTACCTCACGTTTAGGAGTAAAGTGTTTGTGAACTGTGTGCATATGTATAGGGAGGTCACTGAGGCCATTAATCACGCTCTTCCACATACACATGCCGTTATAATCCTTCATATACACAGCTACACACCCCCATACACAATATTGATGCTGTTTATAAAGAGGATTATTGCGTGCGTAAGTGGGATTGTATAAACAGTATTTGAAAGAGAAGAGTAGAGGAGGAGAATATGGACAAAGGTTTGAGCTGAAAGTGGTGTGTTAATCACAGCACGTGTGTGTGTGTTTATGCAGACAAAGTATGACTAGTCCAAGGAGTGTATGTACGACAGCGTGATTTTACACTGGAAATAAATAGTAGGGTGGGAGAAAAAACTGACTTACACGTGATGTGTATTTTTGGGGGGGAATTTGGTTCCTAAAATAGTCAGTAGACAATCATAAGCATTCAACTGTTTCACTGGTGCTAAAAATGCAGACTAAAAATTGAGAAAATTGACAATATCGTAGAACTGCAATTTAAATCAAATCGGCATCCAAAAGATCGTAGATGAATCGAATTTGGAGAAAAGCATATCGTCCCAGCCCTAATAAATAGGCGTTTGTAATACAGGACGTATAAAACTTGGATCTAGTCTCAATAATCTCTTTCACTGATTTCTGAAGAGGAGTGTTGAAGCCGAATTACGACAACTGGCAAAGAAGTGCCGTTGAAGTAAGACTTGAAGCCTCCTGAAGACCAGCTACAACGTGCCTGCCTGTCAGTCAACTCAACCACGCCCCTAATTATACAAATTTATGCATAACTCTTGGCCCTAAAACAATCAGCCTCTTTGTTGCATGTGCAAGGAATTAAAGGAGCTATTCAAAGGGTTTTCAACAAGGTTTATTTTTTTTTTTTAATGTTTTTTGGTCAATTCTGCTGTAGAGCGAGCAGTTTTAACATGAGGGTTAATGGGACTTCCTGGTCTCTCTGGGTCTGTAAGTGCTATGCAGCAGGATAGCATGAGACAAGAAACCAGTATAACATAATAAAAGCAAAAAAAAACCGAATGAATTCATCAAAATGTGAGACAAGGAGTCTTGGGGATTAAAAAACTCCAAAAAATGCCCACAGACGCAGGTCAGCGCTTGGTCGGATGATCTAAAAGGTCTGGGTTTGAGAATTTGGAGATGCACTAAAGGTTGAGACAGTAAAAAGCTTTTAAAACAACGAAAGAACATTAAACTCAATCCTGAGTTTGACTGGAAGTCAGAGTGATGTCAAAAGGGCAGGAGAGGTGCTCGATCTCTCTCTTTTCCTGGTTCCAGGCTGTCGAGGAGGGGCTGAACTGAGGTTTTGATATTGCCACAGGGAAGTCGAACTGAAGGTTGACGGGGCAGCACTGGTATGACATATGTTTTTTGGAAAATTGAACCTGGTAGCATGTACAAAGGGACTGGCATATTGGAATAATCATACTAAAGTACACTGGAGTGGGTTTTTTTAAAGCTAAGAAAACAAAAGTGGTATTCATGTTGTCTTTTTGTAAGACATCATTAAATCATGTCAGAGAATCCATTTCAGTAATTTCACCCCAATTTTAAATCCATAACTCAAAGTGCCATTATGCTGTAATTCACTGGAGCCACACCATCGGCTGGACAGATTTATTGTTTTACTGGTTACTTAAAGAGAAAATGATGATACTTAACTTTGAGTTGTCAACGTATTCACTGTCAAAGTTTTTGGGGAAGCTTTAAGATAATCTGCAGCAGCATCCTTGGGCAACGAACCTCTTTGGATTCCTACAAATAGATGGATAAAAAGAAACAGAGAGAGAGTCGAGGATGGAAGAGAAGCAGAGAGGGTTTGAAATCATAGGGATAATGGAAAAGGAAGGGTGACCATATTCTGAATCCCTAAAAAGAAGACAAGATCACGAGGGGGCGGAGTCAGGGAGTCAGGGAGTCACGCATAGTAAATTTTGAGCATTTGAGTATATAGAATGGATGCCGTCTGCCTCCTCGCTGGGTGAAGCCTTTGCGAGAACAGCACCCTCTGTTGATGGGCTGCAGTATAGGTCATAAATCCCGCCTCCGACAGCAAAGCTTATGGGGCTGTGGACAAACTTTAGAAATTTGTTACACAGAATATAAACGTTTTACGCTGTTTGAGGCGAGCATCATCACAGCGACTCTCGGCGACTCTCCCGCTGAATGCGCACAACGCCACTGCGCAATGCTGGTTTCAGGAAATGATGAAAAATCACGGAAATCCTGAGAGCTTTTTGGCTTCATATCCGTATACTGGCGGGAGGCGGAACCAAGTTGTCCATAGTATATACAGTCTATGCTTCTAACTCAGTAAATCCATGTGACACAAACTCAAAACTTCCATACAAAACCCTGAATATTTGAAGGATTTTATAAACTCCACCGGACAAGGCCGGACAGCCCCCAAAAAGAGGACATGTCCGGGTAAAGGAGGATGTATGGTCACCCTACAAAAGGTTCAAATGAGGTACGGCCCTGTAACATGACATCAAATGTCACTAAGGGCACAAAATCACATAGTGTTAGTTTAAGGAAAAGTATTCAACTTCAATTTTGCAGATTTTCTGTCACATACTGTTTCTTTTCCCTGAAGCAGGTAAAGGTTGTTAAGCAGTGAAAATATGGGCGAGTATAAGAGCGAGCATGTAAGAGTCTCCAGTACAGTTTGTGTCGGGCAGAGCGTGAAAATGAGGACGCTGCTATCAGTGCGGCGCTGCTCCTAATTACAGTCCTCCTCAGGAACCAGCTGGAATAACACGAAGAATTTAGAAAACTGCAGCACTGAGGTCACACTGACAACACAGCAGTATGTCAAAGCAACGATGAATGAGCTCGGCGGAGGCCAGGAAACTGCTTAATACAAGGCGGGCCTCTCTTTCTCCTCACTGTGCTGTATACATACATCCTTTCATCTGCACCTCAGTGGATGTGAGTGTGATAATCGCTCCAAGCCAATAGTTTAATGAGTGTTCTCACAGCAGACACCTGACAATATTCCTGTAATTCCTTGTTATGAGTGAGGGGAACTAGTGAGTAATTTGTGTGTAATGCTGGCCTGCTAACATAACTTACCTTGGAGAGTTGGGGTAATTGGTAGTCAGAGAGCCATAAGTGAAGTACAGTAAGCACCAGGTATCATGTTTTATTACTACAGCCCATCATTTCTTCTTTTGTTTTAGCACGCCTCTGTAAGCAACTCCTGCAGCAGTTTTAGGGCGTCATAGCAACTTTTACAACTCTTTGTTTACAGTCTGTTGGTGTAACGTTGAACAGTGTCAGTCTGACGCTCACTGCTGCAGGCTCAGTCGTTATTAGTGTAAACTTGAAGTGGGGGGGTGAGGAGGTGGATGGTTGCCTCTGTCCTGTAATTAAAGTTTCTCCTTCCCCTCGGTCGTGGTGATAGATGATGGCAGAGAAAAATCCGGTGAGGGAAAACCTCCTGTTGCAAGATGAGGAGAGAGACGACCTGGAACCACACAGGTATATACCTGTCTAGACACTGAACAGCTGTGTTTGACTGGAGTTCACATACTGTAAAAAAAAGAAGCCACAAGTCGGTAAGCATGTCTTAAAAATAAGAAAAGGAATGTGTTCAAAAATGTGTCGACTCAAGCCTCACAGTCAAAAGTACCAGAACCAATGACCTGGAGCAGGTTGCTTATTAACAAGTGCTTTTTATGCAGGTTCATGTCGAAGCGTCTGCTGTGCAAATATGTGGTTTTTATGGTTTTTAATAAAGTTTGAGTGTGAAAGCATGAATTTCTCTCTGCGCGCCGCTCTGCTCTCCACTCTCCAATTTTTCAGGTGAGTGGCTGATCCACACTCGCTGATCCGTAGCTCGAACCAAACACAAGCCTTTGTTTATTTAACAATAGGGCTCAGCCGAGTGTGAATGGCTACAGAAGGGCTGCCTTAACAAAACATGACAGTGATAGACATACTGACTTAACTGTCATTTCACAGAGCCGCAGAAACTCCCCGTTTACAAATCCCCATCCCCTAAAACTGCATTCATGTCACTCACAGCTTTAGGTGAGACATTCCTGCTTTTTCTGCAGAGGGTGATCGACAGCAGCTTGCACTGAGGGCAGCACTGAAACAAAATTAACCAAATGGGTAATTTGATGTGAATTTCTTGCATACTTTCACACGAGTCCACTGAGTGTGCCCTGCATGCCACTGCTTGCATATGTACTTGTTTGTGTGACAAAACAAATGGTTGCGTGTGAGTTGTGTGCATACTGTGTGTATATTTAAGAGTGAGGCTATAGAAACAACACAGGGCATGGTATAAAAATCTGATTGTTTCTGTGGGATTATCCTTCACAATGCAGGGCTTTATCAGAGGGCCCTGGACTGCTGTAATAAGACACGCTCACCCTGAGTTTGCCCGGCCAAATACTGAGACTTACGCCAGCAACGAATCAAAGAGGAGGAAGGGGGGAGTGAAGTGAGTAAAGAAAAGAAACACAAGGAGAAAGCTATGGCAAAGGAGAGCAGACAAAAGGGAGAAATAGATAATGAGAAAGGGAAAGTGAAGTGAGAAGGAGAAAATAGAAAAGTGAAAATAGACACAGGCTGAAGTTGAACAAGTTTAACTGGAGGCCGTGCTTCAAACAGAGAGGTTTGTTTTTTGTCAAAGATCCCTCTCAGGAGATTTAGCTGGAAAACCGATTAATACAGCCTGTCCAAGTTGCTCTCTGCTTATTGCACAACATGCGCCTCAGTACCATGTGAATATGAGCTGCTGTGCATCAAACTGTGCTGTACTTAGACGTGGCTCTCTTTATGTTATCTCTGAATAATAATGCAGCATTACTCGGCCTTTACGTCCAAACACCAATGAGCCCTGAGGCAGGGTGTTAGTCCGATTGAAGAATTACCTTCAGATCTTTATGTCTGGCTCTGTGGAGGAGAGGTGTTTTTGCTTCTTTTTATAAGACTTTCTCAGAGGGATCAGGTTGCCATGCCCGGGCTAACTAAGCTATGCAAAGGAGAGGAGAGAGCTGTGGTTTTTAAGGGAAAGAGAGAGTTGGCCACTGTGGCAGGGACTTTAATGCATGTGTAGGAGGAGAAGATGGGGTGGGGGCGCATATGATATTGTGTGAGGCCCTGTGGCTTCATATATTCACATGTTCCCATGGTACCACTTCTCCCAGCACACATAGAGAGCCTGCTGTCAGTCTTGATACTTCACTGTTATTAGATAATCAGCGTTTGGTGTGTGAGAGCCGAAACATGCCCATGTAAAGTGATTTAATGTTTGTGTGTGACAGAAACTTGGTGATGTGGATGTATTTTATGTGTGCCAGTGTTGTAGTCCTCAAGTTCTGACTTTCAGGACTCATGATTTGACTTTGATTTGGGCGCTGATGACTCGGATTTGGATTAAAACTCCAGCACTGAATGCATTAGGACTCAAAGCATGAATGACTCTGACTTCTTCACTGGTTTAATATGTACTCAGTGAGTACTTTCAAGTTCACCAACAGAATGGATGCCTTGATTTCTTTAGTAAAGAGACTAAACACAACTCACCCACTCTCCTCCAGCAGCCGCTTGTTTGCAGCGGGACCTAGGGCGAGTCCACTGACTGCAACAGGGGGACGCAGCTCAAGGAAGAACATTTATGATCATTTCCTCATGGACATGCAATCAGACCGAGACGCTAAGGCAGGGGCTAAAAATTAGGCAAAGCTAAAAAGACCATGGTGGTTAGAGCTTAGGCTAGGACCCTATATGTTCTGTTGATGAAGTTAGGTGCTGTTGCTGTGTAATTTGTGGCTATAGAGTGGCTTTTTGGTTGAGCGCCTGACTCTCTGTATTGCTATTGTGCTGTCTTTAGTAAAGTTGGTATAACTACAGAAGCAAGCGGTCGGCAACATTCATCTCTCGACGGGGTGTCTAACTCGGTGTTACGGTGTGTTTGACCCTAAATTAATTTTACGCCAGAATATCCCTTTAAGAGGTACCACTTATTACACAGGTCCCACCCATAGATTTTATATATAATATAAACAACTTGGTTCTGCCTTCCACTAGTATACAGATTTGAAGCCAAAAAGCTTTCGGTATTTCTGTTTTTTTCTCCACTTCCTGAAACCAACATTGCAACATTGCGCCGTAGTGTTGTACGCATTTGGTGGGAGAATCACCAAAATCATTGTGATGACGCTCCGGCGTCTGGAAAAAATAGAACTCTTGCGATCAGCTGAGGAGTCCAACAATCTGCAGCAGAACGGAAAGAAGCTGGTAGAAATTGACGCACTTACTCGAATGGTTGCAATCAGCTGTGATCAGCGGATACGGTGTTTTCGTAGCTGTTTCAGATGTGGTGGAAATTCAGGGTTACAGTAACTACATGTCAACATTGCAAATGGGGGGGGGGATTTTATATTCTGTGTAATAAATTTCTAAAGTTTGTCAACAGCTCCATAGGAATGACCTATACTGCAGCCCGTCACCAGAGGGTGCTGTTCTTGGAGTGGCTTCACCCAGCGAGGAGGCAGACAATGTCCATTCTATATACAGTCTATGGTCCCACACAGTCAGTCCAGATTCATACAGTGAGACAGTTTTTACAACACCTTCAATAATTAGGAGCTGATTCAGACTCAAATACTGAGGGCTCAAGACTTGACTTCAACTCCATGTTGGTGAGAGGTTTGAGAAAGTATGTTAGTGTGTCAGGGGTAAACCAATTAGCTAACATCAGATGACAGTATAGCCTCTGGATGTAGCAGCTAACTTTTTGGGGCTTCCTGTGTAGCCACCAGTTAGGAATAAAGAACTTCCTGCCAAGATTTGTTTATGGGTCGACGTAAGAGGCAAGCAGGGGGTTAGAGTCGTTAACATCACTCGCAAGCAGATGTCTGTTTGTAATGAGCAGAATCATTGTCAGATGTTACTGGGAACCAGGATGGCAGATTTCAATTTTGCTCTCAGTGCCCAAAATTGTGCCACTTCCCACAGATTTTGCACTCTTATGTATAATCTGTGAATAGAGATTAGCGCTGAGCAGTCTGGACATACAAAAGTCTGTGTAACAGCCCCATTTGCTGCCCTGAAAACTCCCTCACACCGAGGTCTTACGCTCAGAATGAGGGATTATGCTAATTAGCATTTTACTGAAAGCAGCCCTCGTGATTCCATGCTTTTCCTAGCCCTGTCAGTCACAACTAAGGATTGGGTTTAGAGGAATAGTAAAGGCCTGTGATAACTCAAGTATGCTGTCTATTAAAGAAAATGTACAACACTGACTGTCAGGGTGTGAACATGATCCTGTTTTCTTAATAGGAGTCACTCCTGGCCTATGTTGTGTTTTCATTGCGGTCAGCTTTCTACAGGGTGTATTTTGAAACTGATGTGGAGCTAAGAAAACTCAAGCCAAGCAGGGTAGCGAGCAGCCAGCACTTTCCTTTCAGAGCTACTCAGGATTCTCAGGGTGTCGCTCTGCCTTAGCTTTGACTCCACAACTCACACGCCCTGAATGGTGCACCCGGGTTTTGTTTAGAACTCAAGTTCATACAAGTGAACTGCAAACTGGATGGGGGTTTGTTTTGCTTTTTTTACTTTGACAGAAAAAAAAAAATCTTCCAAATACCAGAGCTAATACTTTCTATCTGTATACTTCCCTCATTCACATGGAGCTCGAGCGAGGGTGGCAGTGAAATGGAAGAGAGTTGTTTATCTCTCTTAGCTGCTCTTATGAACAGAATAACAATGGAGGAGTGGAGACAGATAGGAAGAGGGAGAAAAAGATGCAGCGCTGTAGCTATTTACCCGTGAAGTCTTGTTTTGACTCTGGTATTTGCTCTTTCTCTCGGCCTGGTGGAGAGGATGCACTGTTTGTAGGAGTGTGTTCCCTGGGACATATGTGTTTAAAACTTTCTCTGTGTTTTCATCCTGACCTGCGTCATCAGCGCTCTCCTCTGTTTATGCAGGGGCTCTGTGGATATGAAGAGGGATGTTGGGATATCTCTACCACCCACTTTCGCTCGATATCTGGGGAGAATGGAACAGAGGATTGGACAAGTCCACTTCCACACAGCTCCAGGGGACCTGAACGGAGAGTGTTTATTGTTGTGATGTTGTCATCTTTACCCAGAAGGGTCTTGTCAAGGAGCGATGAAGCAATCAAGAATGATGCAATGCTAAAGCGGTTAGCCACACCAAATTGGCTAATGAGTAAATCTCCTCTGCTTTAATGTCACTTCATCCAATCCAACTTCTGAGCCAATGAGATAATTATGTTTAAGATGGAAACTTAAGAGAGTATTTTAGGAGAATTTCTTTTCCTTTTTGAGGGTGGACTATCAGAGAGTAAGAGAGAGAGAGGGCGAGCAAATGAGAGGCATGAGGGATGGGACACAGAGATGCAGGAGAGGAAGCAGACAAACTTGAAGAGATTGAGAGGGGCCCATATTGAGTGACACAGACTCTGGTCTGTGTTTTCTCGATGGACCAGAGAAGATGCAGTGTAAATGAAGCGTGCTGCACCAGAGCGGCTTCTGCTTTATCCCTGCACTGAGTGTGTTTGTGTGTGAGTTTGAAAGAGAATGACAGAGGCCTCTTTGAGCACTCAGAGGCCTCTGTTGCCCCTCTGCTCCTCTCTCTCTTTCTCTCTCTCTCTCTGAACATGACAGGTCGACTGCCATCCTCTAACTGTACAATGAACAAAAATCCAAACGGATGAAAATAAACTCATCCTCCCGAGAGAGAGAGAGAAAGAGAAAGTCCTGCTTCAACACAGCCTTCATACTGCATGTCAGGATGTGTTTATCTGCTGACACACCAATTTGAAAGTCTATCTTTGGAAAGCATTCTGTAGTTCTGCAACATACTGACTGTCCTCCCTTTATTACGTTATTTTAGAATAAAAAGGACAATCCTGATTTGTGTGAATACTGAAACAGTAAACCCTGGTGTGTTTGTGAGTCCCAGGGAGGGCTGTTCAGTGTGCGCCTCTGACCTGAAAGGCGATGGCTTCCCCTTGTGGTGGACAAAAACAATTACATTTTAAATAAATTACATATTTCTGAGCTCTCTCTTGTTGTCTTCAGCACAAGTGTAGAATGCACCCCTGAATTAGCTTGTTAAAGTGGAAGAAAATGATCTCAAATTACAAAAAAAAAAAAAAAAAAAAAAGAACACGAGTAGGGGAGAGTGGGGTAAGATGAGCCATTTTTCACATTTCAGATCACTACATCAAGGCGATCATAGTTTTGTCTCTAACTAGTGTATCTGCATGTATTTCAAGATTTTGTGCATCCCTGCAAACCAACAGAATGAGTGTAAACATAACTGTCTTGATAATAAAGCATCCCAAAAAAAGTGGTCAACTTACCCCATAGTTGACCATAGGAGCGGGGTAAGTTGAGCCATATCCCTACTACCCCCCACCCTCCCTCACCTTCTCTCTCCCTATATAACAGTCACTTCTTCACATTCATGTGTATTTATATCTATTATACACTATTCAACTAGTACATTAATTCTTTTTATTATTATTGCATATAATAACTGCAAAAAAGCTGTTTTGTAAAAAGTCATTCTAACATGAGAACACCTTTAAGTGATTCAGAACATTCACAGCTGTTTTTTTTTAACACATTTCAACAATCTGAACTGAAACTCTGATCCTCTCATCAGACTCCTTCACTTTCTCAGTTGAGCCACTGCTTCAACTTACCCCAGAACTACTATGATGACTTTATTAGTCCTTTAATATAAAATGGTGAACTTCTATGCTAAATAAATGTCTAACCCCTTCACCCGTGTGCTTCTAACCTTCACAGACTCCATGAATTGATGCCCATCTCCTAAATATTTGGTCACATGATCAATTTCTTTTACCATTTCCAAGAAACAGGGGGTGGCTCAACTTACCCCAACCTACCCTACATATGTCAGAGCTCTCACTTGGCGCCGCCCAACAGGTGTTCTGCCGTAGAATGCACCCCTGCAAACCATCCACTTATTAGCTTCTTAAAGCGGAAGAAAATGATCTCATATTTAAAAAAAAAAAACGAGTATTTGATCATGACAACATGTCAAATGGATCAGCAAACTTTCATTCTATTTTTATGTGTCTTAAAAATGCACATATAGAGGTGTACTTGGGTATATAAACTGTACAGTAAGCTGTCAAGGTAGAGAACATGACAGCAAATATTCCGAATCAGAGGGCTATTGTTTTCGGCTTATCTGAATAGCCTGAATGAAATCATTACGGCACACGCTTTTGAATCCATCCAACGGTAAGGAAAACTTGGATTATCTCGCCTTGTTGTGTACCTTCAACCGCGCTCCCGTCAGGGGTGCATTTTACGGCACAACACCCCGGCAGTTGACGTCATGACGTCATCCCGTGAGTTCTTATAAGGCAGCCGTTCACAACTTTTACTTGCTGAAGAAGAGACGGCTTCACTGGTGACAGAAGAAACAGGCCGGGCCTATGCTTTTATTCGACAAAATGCACGGTCTGACAGTTCTCCTGCTGATGATTTTTATATCATTCAGAATTAAGGAGACACAAGGTAGGAATTATGATGTTTTAAATACATATTTCTTTCATATTTCTCTCAGAAATTTCACTTTTTTGGGGGTGGGTTCTACTTCCGGGTTTTCTTAAGCTGTACTGTTGCTTTGGAAAAGTTTGAAACGAGTCAAAAAGTTCGCATTTGATATATTTTGTGACTCTGTTGTCTCACAGGTTGCTCAACGATAAACAAAACCTGTGTGGAAATAAAACAGGAGGACGGTTATGGCTTCGTACACAATTGTCGTCGGGGCAGTAGAATTCGTGTGTCTGAAAACGAGGTATTTTAATATCCCTTCAAACTTTAAAATAGTTTTATAGTTTTGTGTGATGAAATGATAAAATATGTGTGGCTTTTGAACTGATTGTTTATGAGAAATCAAAGTCTTTTGTTCTGATTTGTTAACTTTTTTTTACAGATTACTGTAGCGTATTCGTACCCTGAAATCAAATATCTGCGAAAGGGAATGACATTAAACGACACTACCTTCGTCATGCAACAGTGCAATAACCTGAAGATAAAGTGCACATTCAATAATGTAAGTCTTTCCGGACTGGAACATGTCTTCACACCAACTTTGAAAAGTTTTAGTATAACAATGAAATGTCAATAATAAGACATTTATTTTTTGTATTATAGGGTGGCCGAGCTGAAGACATCTGTATGGACTTCAACATTATAGGTAAGGTTATATGACCTATGTGATTATGTTACTAATAGTGTAATCTTGGCTTGCTGTGAAAATGAAATGTACATTTATCTTACTGCTTTATCTTAAACAGAGCCACCAAAGAGTCTTACTTCTACTTCTACTACTCCTCCTCCTGTTACTGCGCCACCACCAAACGACCAACTCAGTGAGTCTCCGTGATTGTAGTGGCTAGAAATACTGTTGTTGAACTAACTTTAATTTGCTGTAATAAACCTTTGAACAAATATTTGATGGTAACATGTTTGCATGTTGTCTGTTTTCCAGTCACAGGATTATGTATTGGGATATGCCTGATTATGATAATCGGGTGCATTGTGGGTTCTCATTGTGGTTTCTTCAAATCCTGTTGCCAAAAAAAGTAAGTTCCGTTATATTTTCTTCAACGTTCAAATGTCGTTTACAAATTCAGCCATTTTGTAGTGTCGAGTGTTGTTTTTTCCTGTATTAGCAGAGCCCACTGTAGCTACACTTCCTGACTTCTGAGGGGGATTTCTAAAATAGGCGAGGCCAAAGAAACTCACTCTGTTACTTCTCACACAGTCACAAATGCAATCCTACTCCTGTTTTATATCAGGACTTCAAGAAATTATTCCCACTTAAGTGTAAAATCTCTTTCAAATGTTGTCTTTAGCTTAATTTATTTTATCCAATAAAACAGATAAACTTCTATGTTCATCCTCATAACTCATTGTAACTAATTATATGATTTTCCCTAAGACAAAAGGAAGAAACTGAAGACCAGAAGTCTCCTGATTCAAACATGGACAACAGTCGTAACATCACGATTGAGTGAGTAAATGTTCAAAAGCTGCCATCGGCACATATCATTCAAGTTGTGCACACGCTCATCTTTTCTTTATCATTATAGGATGAATGGAATACAACCTGCCAATGGCGCATGTAATGAAAATGAGAAAAACGGCACACTTGAAAGTGTCAAAGTCCAAAGGTGAGCTGTGACATTAAGTTCTTTTCTGATCTCCTTTTAGCCTGTTAGTAAAATCATCAAATTTTGTTTCTCACTATAGTTTCAATTCTAAATGTTGTAAAAGCTGCCTCTGTCTCTACAGTGCCGAGAGGGAGGCTCCTCCAAACCTCAGTCCGAACCACATTGCGGAAAGCGATGAGGAAAACCAGGCTAAAGAGTAAAGAGATTTTTCAACCTCTGTTGTCTTTTTATCTCTAACAATTTAGGTGAAATGTCCATTTACCCAGTCTGTCAGAAATGAGACTCAACTCTTATATTTATCTTGCAGTGGGGGTGCAAGTGTCCCAGAGAGAGCCATCACATGCCGAGATATGCAAAGGTAAGACTCAAATGTTTGTATATTATGTTTCCTTTGAAATACTTTGAAATTAAGGTTTAAAAATCTTTTTTTTTCAATTTCATTTTAATGTGTGTGTCTTTCTGAGGAACCTGAGAGATGATCCCGGAGGAATGAACGGCCATAAACCCAAAGGCAATGTTGGGTTAGTCAATAACTTAAAAGTTAAAATAATCAGTTTTATTGCAGATGCTACAGGATCATAGAGTTCAAAAGACTTTCTTTTTTGTTTAATCTTTTAAGTTTACACTTTTTAAAAAAATATATGGTGATTTACGACATAGATAAAACACTACAGCATCTCCCTGCTTCTGCCATGATAGAAATTGACACCCCTGCACTTTTAAATGGCACAATACTCGATAAACTCAAAGACAACTCGGCTGACAAATCAAAAGTATTATGATCTTTGTGTCAAGTGGATTTAAAATATCACAGGTGGGTTAAGAGTTTGGGCTACCGCATACAAGCAAAGTAATCTGACTGATGTCAGCTGGTAACCACATCACAGATGGTGGCAGAGCACCACTCTGGAGTGTGTAAACCGTTAATCCACCTGTGGATGAAACTGAATTGAAGGAATTTAATACAGAAACCCCTGCATGTTTCCTCATGTCTAACAGTGCTTTCTATTATAAAAAATAAAAATAAGCAATTTGAAGTTGTATCTAACTTCCCTGTTACGGTTTCAGACGACACTAAAGTTGCAGTGCAGCTTTTTTGAATGACAAATATAAAAGCCAAGATCAAAAGTTAATTTCATTTCATGCTGTGATTCCCAAATCTTCACATTCTTAAAATAAAAAAAACTAATTTGAAATGCAAGATAACAAACTTCTTAACAGATCATTAAAATATAATCTATCTCCACAAATTCAGAAATCCATTATAAAATAAAATGTATGTTAAAGTAGCTCTAAGAGCTTTAAGCCCTAAAAAGAACCGAAAAAAAAAGACTTTTTCTTTAACAATATGTCAGACACTGACAAGTACAACCTGTTTTATGCATGTTGATAGTGGTTGTGAATTCTCCTGCAGAATTGAGGCAATGCAGAATGGATGGACTCTCGGTGGTCGTGGTCCTAAAGAAGATGAGACTGTAAGAGAGCCGCTGCTGCCTATTCAGAGGTGAGACGGCGTTTGTTGATTTATCTCTCTGTTCTCATGACTTGTGCCCAAAGAGAAATATCTGTCACTTCCCTGTTTGCACTTTCCCTTAAAGCTTTCTATTACTTCTGTTGCTGCTGTCTGGACAGCTGTCAGGTGTAACTTTATGAACAACTCCTCTCCACATATTTGAAGGGCTAGTCTGAGTTTCAGAACTTGTCTGAGGTCTGCTCGGAAAGTAAACATGAAACTCTGCTGTTTCTGTGCAGACGTTTGAGCCTCTTTTCTGCTGTTTCTGTCTGCAGTGCTGCCATCCAACCTTCGAACATGTCAGGCGAAGATAAAGCTCTGGTGGACAAGAGCTGCTTCGACCCTGGCCCCATCAACGTGTGCTCTGTAGCACAAGTGAGTAGAGCACACAATGTAGAATTACTGTGTCAAGAGTTTTTTTTTACTTTGTTGTCGTTTTCATAAGCAATTATTGTTTTCTTTGTTACAGGACACTGATGTGGAGTCAGCACACGACTTGAAGAACATAAATATATACTAAATATATACTAAATAATAATAACAATATTATTGATAATGATAATAATAATCATAATTATGAGAATACCTTATATTTATCATCCTCACAGTACATGTATGTGGTACTCTTTTAGTCCTTTGTTTGGGATTATTACATATCGCAGATTCTGTTCAAGCATATTTCTGAGAGATCATAAGATCCATTTTTAAGAAACCCTACCTTCAGGATTTAATATGACGACAAAAGCATCTATAAATCATTCTAAAAGCAGAGGTTTTGACCACCCAGTGGAAACTGGTGTTGTCAGGATTGGACTCTTCACCCACACGCCATCAGCTGTGCAGGCAGTCTTTTGATTTTGGCCGTCACATTTAAAACATTATCAGACTGCAAAACCTGATATAGTCATTATGAACTAACTGAGGTAAAAAGCACTGATCACATTTTAGAAACGAACATGTGGATTGTTTGTTTCACGATTTGACCAAAACATGCGGGACCACATACACAGCTGTGAGGATGATCAATATTATACAATAAATATTATGTATAATGTACAGTAGTAGGCATGTTTGTTAAGAGTATAAATAACTATATAATTGTCATTTATTATATCTATACTGGTTATAAATGCGCATTATACATCAAACATGCATTTTAAAGCTTAATGAAATCATTTTATCTTTTGTGTCATGATATTTTACTTGTATTAATCTAAACTGATTCTCATCTCTTGATTCATATTTGTAACCTAAAGGTACAGTGTGTAGAAATAGGAACATTAAGCAATATCTAATGATCATATTCTGCACTGAAATTCCTTGCTCACCCTCCCTGTTGATGAAATTCTAGATGTGAAGGTGGTTTTCACGGACATGTATCTTCTGTGATGTTTAATTGGCATGATTTTTTTAAGTTTGCTTATTTTGTGCCACTGTAGGGCGGCCCCAGTGGTTGGGGAACCGTGCCTATGTTTTTAAAAGATTTATTTACAGGCTTTTTATCTCAATTTGGCCTCCTCGGGATGAGAGAGTGGGATGTGACATGGAAAGGGATCCAAAGGCTTGAAGCAAACCTAGGCATAACTTCCGTTAACTAACTAACAAAAGACCAAAAAAAAAAAAAAATCAGCTTTTGCTTATTTACGTTAACAAATATGATATCTGATTTTAACCACGTTTGCTCTGCTGAATAACACACACTGTACCTTTAAGGAGATGTTTTTATCATGTATTTGCTGCCTACCTATGTAATCTTTTGCATCGCAATAAGCATCATATTACTTATTGCGACATATATACTCCTGTTTACCATATGTGTGAAAATAAATCATGTAGCCTATATTCGAAGTTAGAAATAAATCATTTTATCCACCCTGGCTTTCATTCACTTTATTTAACTCACTTTGTGAAGGAGTTTCTTTTCCCTGGAGGTCCACCAGGGGGCAGTAAATAGACATGGTCTCACAGCACAGAGTTAACAGGCAGCCTAATTACACCTCTTTTACTTTAGTTGAGTGATGCAAGCCTAATTAATGCTCATAAATGTCTGATTACAGTGTCCTTGATTTAAGTTCCTAATTTCACCAACACCTACAAAGCATATACCTTATTACATACACTGTTTCTATTATGAGGAAGGCTGAGGATGATGTGTGTCTAACGCTTTCAATCAGCGTTGATTGACTATTGTGTTGTTATTCTGTGCAATCAGTGTCTGTGTTTGGGTTGATCCCTGTTTTTCTCATGCAGTATTTTGATTTATTAATTAACTTAAGGACAGTCAGCACATCTTTAAGTGATTCTACTGTTAGATATGTGTGTTACAGTGCTCATACGATTTATACTCCCAGTGATGAATCAAGTAAAACACAAACACACAGGGTTTCTGTCTGACTCTGAGACATCTCTGAGGATCTGCCGTGATGTGTAATTCTATTTTTGCTTCCTTAAATGTGCAATGACCTTGAGAAAACCCTGATTTTTTTTATACCTCTTTGATGGACTGAGCTGCAGGAGGAGATCGTATGAGAGGTTAGAAGCCCTGTTGCTCATGTTGGTATGTCAGTGTACGAAAGTGTTACTGTAACACCGGTGAAAAGAGGGTGATTGAATGGCCGAGGCCTCAGAGCGTCCCCTCTCTGGGAGTTTCACAGAGGGGACATGAGCGAGGTGGGGGCTGGGCAGATGGGTGGATGGGTAGGGGGTGAGTCGTCACGTGTCATCATACATGCACAGCTTACCATGTGACATGGAAAAAAAAAACAGGTACATGGGAGAGGCTGTAATTATGGAGGAATCCTCCATGCTCTGATGCATGTAATAATTACTCAGTATATCAGCTAATTAGTAACCAATAACTCTCCACTGTGAGCGGCATTATGAGCAGTCGAGGATGCAGAACTCAGCAGGAGATGAACACTGATCACACCACATCAGGGATAAGATGACTTAAGGAGAGCTCGCCGGGCAGCACTTGTGTGTTATCCCTAACTGATCTCCAGTGTATCACGTTGTTTATGGTTACTCTGGAGTGTACTAAAGGTCGCCTACTGCTGCGTGCCGGGGCTTAGCAGACAGCTGCGAGCAAACAGTGCTGCATTGAAAAGTCGGTAAGCTGTATTCACACGGCAGTTTTAAAGCGATTACATCAGGGATCACACCCCACTGTATGATTAATTAACCTTGACTGATGCTTTATAAAGCTGAATCCAGCTGAGAGAGTACGCTCACAGGTCTGCATGTGCATGGAGATACATGTGAGATAGTTGAAAGGAACGCTTCAGCTGGGGTTGGTAATACTGACTTATGGTCACTGTAGTGTAACAAAGCTTTTTCTCCGGATAAGCATGGGACCAGTCGTCTTATTCTCCCTGTAAAGCTTTCACTAGTCCCGGTTCTAACACTGACAGAGTTGGGACTCTGGGTCTCCTGCACTGACCGCTTTATTTTTCCCTGCATCTCTCTCTCTGATCACATTGTGTAGTATGCTTTGGACACAGACCAGTGTTTGACAGAATCATCATCCCAACCCACAGGTCAAATCTGCATATGCATACACTGTGTGGTTCAAGGGGGAGCTGACTCAGGAAGGGGCTGGGTTGCTGCTCGGCTTTCGTACTCTGCATCCCATGGTACACAGATGAGCAGCGCAGTGCTGCCATAACCTGCAGGACAGCTGATGAATAAAACATAACCTGTAATAGTGCTTAAAGATGTCTTTTCATTTCCAGTTTGAGTCATGAGGCAGATATACTGACGTTTATACACATACGGTAATGCAAAAGATTATCAATCTCTTCTGTGTGCTGTTATGCTTTTATCACACCGGCACATGCATAAGCACACTACCAATTACGCCGTATATCAACACACACAGAAACACACATTCACCACAAATGAGCTCCTTCGAAACGCTCCCAGAGAAACCCTGAAGCATTAACAGCGTATATTTTCAATGTTTTTTTTTATTAATATGTGCTGATACAAGGTCGCTCTGACCTGCGATGGCGCAAACACTCACAAAATAAAATCGTCCCCTTTGGCCCAGACAGCTGTCAAAGCAATGACTGTGAGAAAGAAAGAAAAAAAAATCAAATAAAACACATGAACATCATTCCTCAAAGAAAACAGAATCAAGGTGTTGTATTGACCTCAGTTTACAAATGTATCAGTGGAACATGATAAATCACTCATTTCATAGAAAAATCACAGAAAGCTCTGGAAGTGAGTGGTGCTGTAAGTTGAACCCCACATGGCACAATGTCGTTGCAGTCCTACAGCCTGCTATGTGCTGTAAATCACCAACACACAATAATTCAGTCGCATAGGGCACTTCAGAGATTTCTAATACTGAGCAGGTCCTTCGATACCAAGCTTTTTAATCCAGCTCTTGGCTTATGCTCAGAATATCCAGTTCACACCAGCTTCAGCTAGTTATCCTCCCTCTCTGATGATTGACAGTCTGCATTTCCTGGCTAGTCCTATAGACCGACTACAGCCACCGACATGCACATACAAGCCCAACTCAGCTCCTCTCTACTCTCTTTAGACAGTGCAAACAGCAAAAAGTAAAAAAATCTGAGGAATCATGCCTATATTTTCAGCTTGTGTACAAACTGACAGATGAGGATGTGTGCAGTACAGAAGGCAGTGTCAGAAGATATGTTGTTTTGGTTTTGGACCTTTGAGACATGTTTCAGTTTCAGTCTCTCACCCTGTGCGTTAAAGATGGACACATATTCGACTCGAAAGCAAAAGCAGCACAATCCTCATGACTGTTCAAACTACTCTATTAGTGCTGTATATCAGTCATGTGGACAATTGAGCAATAACAAAATAGCACTACTTTATCATTGTTTACAACAGCCGTTTAAAAATCTCATTAGGAAAAATCCTGTCGCATAAATAAGCGTTCTAAAAATCTCCATCTAATCAGCTGATGCGGCAGTGGATTCATTTTCACATTTTTAAGGAAGCATCCATTAGGACCGAGCAGCAGTCATATCATCTTTCTTCCTCTACAGGCGGATTTTTTTCCTCCTTAACTCCAGATCTGGCTCAGCAGCTTGATCAACTGCAACAATAAAGTGATAACCTCTGGACTGCAAACCACCAACGGAAAGCCCTCTGAAACATAGCAGCACATCCATCTCCTTATCTCCACATCCAGCCCTGCAAAGCCTCTCTGCAAACCCCAACTACCCCCTCTCTCTCCCTCTCTCTCTCTCTCCTCCTCTCTTACTGCCTGTAGCTATGAATTAGTGACATCTGTGACATCTCGGCTCTTGTTGTCCCTTCTCTGCCCCCTCCCGGGACACCCTTTGCAGACATAAAGACCCTCTGCACCTCAGCTGCTGTTGAACTCACACACCAGTATCCTGCCCCCCATCACCCTCCTGGTGTGATATGCGTCACTGAAATCACTGAAAAGGAAAAAAAAAAAAAAAAGTGTGTGTGTGAAAGGGTCAAGTCCAAGTAAGCGGACTGTAGGCCTGCTGGGACCTCTGCTGTCTAATGATAGACTGAACAATGCTGCAGCTCACTCTCCACTGACACTGAGCTGCAGGGGTGAGGCAGCAATATGTCAAAGGTTAGGCATCCCACCTTTTTAAACAACTTCCCATCAAAACACTGTCAGGCTAGCTAGCCGTGGCGTGGAACGGGGATAGCATCCAACATTTGCAGGCCGAGACAGAAACAGGAGAACAGAGCAGAAAGTGAGGGCGAGTTCACTGCAGTAAATTAGTACCCACGGTGTTATTATTGTAATCAGGGGTTAGGAGGGATTTGAATGGTGGAGAAACTCCCATTGTGCGCACCTCCTCCATCGGCATGAGCTACAGACCTTCTACTGTATAATCACTATCATTTACCACAGTACAGCACTCCTCTGTTTATTGAGATATTAATCTGGGATAAACAAAGCTTTTGACAAAACAAATTAACATTCTCAAAGAAGTGCTGCACTAATGGAGTCCATTGAGATTGATATTAAAATGAGGATGAGATGCAGCGTGAGGAAGGAGACGAGAAAAAAAAAAAAACAGAAGCAGGCCCAAGGTGACGCACATTCCTCCTCTCATGGGGAGTGTCTGTCTAAACAGCCTTCCTCCCTGGGGCGGGTCTCAGCTGAGCACTGGAGATCGGCATCAGCACATTATGTCAAATACAATGAGAGAGGGACGGAGTTAATGACGATGAGAACGATGAGGATAGAAATGATGATGATGATGATGGCCATCTTGCCTTTTCCCCCATTAACACTTCCACCCTGGAGTGGATCGGTTTATCTTCAGTCTTGCTTGTTAAAATACATTCAGTTGTCCTCAGCTGACCAGCGAGCGCCGCCTCGGTACAATGCCCCGTCACTGAGCCATGAGATCCGTGCCTCACCTTGTCGAGCACGGCAGCAGAGCAGAATACATGTGCATATTGTCCTTTCATTTGTAAACACAGTCGGCTTCCAGGTTCAGCTGCAACTCCGAGTCATGTTCCATCAAACCAGAATTGCACATTTTCCCCCTTATGGCTCAAGTGACAATACTCAGGCTTGTACTCTGAGCCTCAGTGTGCTCCATGGCCCATACAAAGTTACTCACAAAAGTGATTTAAATAACAAGAATAAATGGGAGGCAAATCCTTGTAATCCCACTCCTTTTATCTGCCTTTAACCCTCCTATCTCTGTTTCAGCCCCAGGAGCCACAGCTAACAGCAGTCCTCTGGGTTTCCTTTTTAGAAGTGGGACAGTGAGGCCCCAGCCAAATGTCACACACTGCAGCTCGAGCATCTATTTTCCACTCACGTTCAGTCCACACATCCCCACCGAGCGCTTTACGAGGGGGAGAGACAGTCAAAAGAAAAATCTGAGCAATTCAA